GCCATAAGAGATAGCTTATCACTGATTTCAACGAGATCTGTGGCAATGGGCTCCTACGAAGAAAAAATGGCACAACCAACCATGCATGGAAACAAGTTCATCTCAGCAAAGCACTTACTTCAGGCAGCTTTAGAGGATGGACCCATAGGGTTCATGTTATTGGAAGTACCACCCTCATCACTCCTGGCCTTCAGTTTTGTTCCTACTGGCACTGACAAAGGAGTAGAGATGGAGGTTGAGATTGAGAAGAAGGTGATGGCAGCAGATATACCAAAGCCATACCAACACCTTCATGATGTGTTCGACGAGGTGGAAGCAGACAGGCTCCCCCAGCATACTGAACATGATCTCCACCTTGAACTAATGGAAGGAAGTCGACTGCCTCAAGGCCTGTTGTATCTCAAGGGGCCTAAAGAAATGTCTGAATTGAGGAAGTATCTGGATGAGAACCTCACGAAGGGGTTCATATGACCATCGAAGAGTCCAGCAAGGTCACCTGTGCTCTTTGTACCTAAGAAAGACAGAGGTCTCAGACTTTGTGTGGACTATTGGGGACTCAATGAGATTACTGTCAAGAACAGGGCTCCATTGCCCCTCATCGAGGAGCAACTGTTCCTGCTCCGAAAGGCAAAGATCTATTCCAAACTAGATCTCTGAGCAGCATACAACCTCATTCGCATTGTGAAAGGAGATGATTGGAAAACAGCATTTGGTACACAATTGGGACTATATGAGTACCTTGTGATGCCATTCAGGCTAGCAAATGCACCAGCTCATTTCCAATCATTCATCAATGTCATCTTCTGAGACATCATTGGAGTATATGTTGTTGTATACTTGGACAACTTCCTCATCTTCAGTGACATGGAGGAAGCACATGTATGACATGTCACTGAAGTTCTCACCCATTTGAGAAACAATCGGCTGTTTGCTAAACTGTCAAAGTGTGAGTTCCACACCACAGCAGTAGAGTTTCTAGGGTACATGATCAAACCCACAGGGGTAGAGATGGATCCTGAGAAAGTACAGACAGTCAAGGAGTGGCCAATGCCAGAATCAATCCATGATATCCAAAGATTCCTTGGCTTTGCCAATTTCTACAGGCGATTCATCACTCACTTTGCTCAAATCGCCAAGCCACTAACATCACTGGTAAAACCAACTGAACATTTCAAGAAGTTTGAGTTGCCAGAAGAAGCTCGACAAGCTTTCCACAAACTCATCCAAGCATTCACAACAGCTGGAGTACTTCGACACTTCAATTACCACCTTCCTACAAGGCTGGAAACAGATGCAAGCGACTTTGCCATCGCTGGAGTGCTCAAGCAAGAGCACAAAGGATGTTGGCACCTGGTAGCATTTTATTCAAGGAAGATGTCATTGGCTGAGAAAAACTACGAGATCCATGACAAGGAGCTCCTAGCAGTGGTTGCCTGCCTCACTCAGTGGCGACACATGCTAGCAGGACTTCCAAATCAGTTAGTCATTCTCACAGATCACGAAGTGCTCAAGTACTTCAAGTTGCAACATTGTATCACTGGCAGACAAGCAAGATGGGCAGTATTGTTAGCAGATTTCGACTTTGTGCTACAATATCGACCAGGAGACAAGGGTGGCGAACCCGATGCTCTCACCAGACGAGCTGATATGCAGCCGGTCGGTAAAGAGCAGGAGCATAATGTTCCACAACTATTGCCCCCCTGGGTGTTTGAACAGGTCGAAAACGAAATTGCAGCAAGAAGCAAGTTGCAGCAGATCCCAGCCAAAAATGTAATAGCAAGCATGATATTACTGATTTCAGCAGAATTGGTTCTAACTGCATGCTCAGGTGATGATTCCGTATTAGTGGCTCCTGTCCTCACGATGGAGTCTATAGCCATGAAAGGAATCAAAGATCTGGCCAGAATCTTCCAGCCTCTGGATCCCGAGCTTCAGGAGATTCATCTAAGGAAGCCATTCGAGATCAGAGACAACTTATGGTATAGTGGCGGATGGTTGGTTATCCCCAAGGTAACAATGCCAGGGAAGACCAATGACTGTCATTCGTGAAGTGCCAAAGAAGTTGATGGACAGTTGTTGTCTGTAGAACACTTATGATTCATGGTCATGTCTCAATGTCATGATGGCATCACAGCTGGACATGTGGGATGAGATGCTACCATTAAGTCGGCCCAATGACACTATTGGTGGCCAAACATGTCAGCCTGGATTGCTGATTATGTCGCAAGTTGCCAAGTGTGTGCCAGATACAAGGCTCCTCACCATTGCCCATATGGCTTGCTGCAGCCACTCACTACCCCAGAAAGGCCATGGGGCTCTATATCCTTGGATTTCATTGAAGGATTACCACCCTCAAAGGGATACGATTCAATCCTGGTCATCATTGACAGATTGACCAAGTTTGCTATTCTGGCCCCTACATACAAAATGGTCACAACAAAACAGACTGCTGTGCTACTATGGGGTTATCTGGTTAGACACTTCGGTTACCCAGATCACATGGTCTCAGACTGAGGCAGGCAGTTTATCTCAGGAGCATGGAAAGCATTTGCTGATCAAATGGGTATGAAACACTCGCTCAGCACTGCTTATCATCCTCAAATGGATGGGCAAACAGAAAGGGTCAACCAAGTAGTAGAGCAGTACCTTCATATGTACTGCAACTATGAACAGAACAACTGGGCTGGCTTGCTTGACACTGCAGCATTTGTGTACAACAATACCATACACAACAGCATTGGTGTCTCACCATCCTTTGCATGTTACAGATGGAATCCTAAGGCCCATCCTGATATCCCTCAACACCTAGGGGTAAACGACCCTGAACGTTCTGAGTACTTGCTCAATGGCAAGGAGCATTGCAAGTACCTTCAAGAGCAAATTAGGGAAGCACAACGTCGAACTGTGGAACAGTACAATCGAAAGCACAAAGATATCGAATTCAAGGTTGGCGACATGGTTTATATCAACCACAAGAATTGGAAAACGAGGCGACCCACACCAAAGCTGGACACTGTCATGGGCCTAGATGCTCAAGAAGCAGGAGGGTCACTGATTCATATGGAAGGAGCACAGGTATCGAAGGGACCTAGTCGATACCAGTAGAGAGCATGGTCGTAGTGCAGTCTCCATGGAGACCATGGACTCCTACGGACTCACATGCAAAGGAGGACCGAGCCATATGCGAGGAGGGCCAGGCACAGCCACGAGGAGGACCAAGCTCAAGGAGCAGGCACAGCCACAAAGAGGACCAAGCTCAAGGAGCATGCAGATGGTTACCACTCAGGGGCTCAAGAGACAAGAGTCAAAGGAACCATCACTGGTCAAAGGAGAAGGAGCAGTGTATAGGACACTGGCAAGCAGGTCCTGAGGAGGAGGAGCAGTGTTGAAGGAGTCGACACCACTCAGGAGGCACAGGGGTGCCAAACAAGCAGCAGGATAGCAAGGAGGAGGAGCAGTGTCAAAGGAGTCGACACAGCTCAAGAGGCACAGGGGTGCCAAGCAGGAGAGGCCCCTGAACAGTACTCGATGAAGAAGGTACTCTCTGGAGAGAGAGCAGGAGCAGCATCGCTGGCGATGCTGTGAAGAGGTATATAACCATGCTTTCTCATCATCAAAGGTCGAGTGGATCCTCATCCACTCTACTCACCATACAACTAGTCAATACTTTAGAAACATAAGTACTCATTAGTTTTCAGTCAGCATAGCAGCAATCTATCAAGGTTGCTCCTCATCATAGTGTGTGTGTTGTATCACCACTACCTGACGCCCAAAGGTGCCCCATAGCAGGTTAGCAGTCCAGATCAAGATAGAACCAAAGGCAGTAGTCCACTGCGGTCCAGGGATCACCTCAAGCATCAGTCAACACACTGGACACTCATGTTGACACCACCAACCTTATCACCAACACCATCAACCTCATCATCATCAACACTCACACCAGTCCTTGGTGTCATCACAACCTACATATTGATATTACTCATGCCGAGCTACCCCTGAATGGAGTGTCCACAGAGGTCAGCCAAAACCTATGATAGTATATACAATGAACACCACCCACTGTCATTGCACAACTTGATAGTTGCTGAATGACTAGCTCATCAAGACCGATACTGAGACAATAGCTGTCACACAGTTTGATAGTCACTGAGTATCTCGACAGACCGACCTGGGTTTCAGGCGCGAGACCCCTGACACGGGGTTGTTCTCGATCGCTGATTGCCAGATGGATAGGGCAGTGGCAAGGGCAGTGGCAAGGGCACTGAAACTAAGCTGGCTTATGGTAGCAACAGTTTCTTTGTACATTGGGTGTCAGATGGTGCACTTTTGTAGATTAGAAAACAGGGTGTCATCAGCAAATGGCTTTCCCAGTAAGCTACTCTCTGTTTGGATGGTTCTTATTTCTTGGATGAGCTTTCATACATCTGAGTTGTACATCCTGAGTTCTCCTAGCTGAGCGATCAATGCAATATGACGAGATATGGCAGTAGCCTCATTGGTGAGTCCATTTTCAATCTTCTTCCATACATTATGGAATGTATGATGTTCCCTGATGATGTCAAGAATCAAGTAATTTATGTTGAACTCTCCAGTGGTGTCGATGGTACTGCATAGTGCATTTGTTAAGGCATCATTGAACATGCAGTTCCACTTGGGATGTTTCTTGTCATACACTCCATCAAGATGCTTCATAGCATGGGGGACACATCATAGGAAGGACTTGATATGGGTGCTCCAACTATAATAGTTGTGTGATGTGAGTCTTGGAACTGGCTCAAGTAGCTTTGCTAGGGTATGAAAGTTGTATTGCTTGCCATCATTGTCATGGTCTGAGTCAGAGTCAGTTTCTTCATCAGCATTGTCATCGATCACCTTGGTGTCTGACTCATTGGTGGCCTCATTATCAGCAACATGCAGTTGCATTGCCTTGCCCTTTCTTCCTCCTTTGGCCTTGCTTGCTATGGCTTGAGCTTCGGTTTCTTGTACCATGTTATCAATGATCCCAGCTAGCTCAGTTGGTAGAGCATCAGACTCTTAATCAGTTGAAGATTACAGGTAAAACATGACTGTTAGGAGCTACTAGCAAGCTCAACTGATCAGGCATATAATGGTTATTATTATTTTAATTGATGGGTGCTACAACGTGAACATATATATACTTGATTGTTACCCTTAGCCCATACTAGATCATAATGAACTATTCTTCATATCATCCCAGCTCATGCTCACACGGCCGACAGATGCGAGAAAGGGTTTGATTGCGGGTCAGCGGCGAAGCGTGCTGGCTCTGAGGCTCCTGGCCCGCCGTACAGGGCCGGATGAGCGCAAAACAAGCGAAACAAACAAGGGAGGGAATGGGCGGGTCACAAAAGGGAGCAAGGTTGTGCACTATGGCTACGCCTGCGACAAGAGAGAGATGATGGAGAAGAGGGAAGCATGATGAGACAGAGCACTGACGAAGTCAGTGCAATGAGGGATGTGGATGATGTGGAAGGTGGGCACGTGTGCGCAAGCTCAGATGTGCACGCCAGTCACGTGCTGCATCCCAGCTCATGCTCACACGGCCGACAGATGCAAGAAAGGGTTTGATTGCAGGTCAGCGGCGAAGCATGCTGGCTCTGAGGCTCCCGGCCCACCAACTGAGAGTCGAGGCGCCTGTGCAGCAGACAGTGCTCTCAACAAGGCTGGGCCCAACGATGGGCTAGGTGGCCCCCACATCTTGCCACGAGGTGCTGTCGGGGACGAGGGGGCCATCATGAATGCTGAAGAGGGCAGCAACGGAGAGGTCACGGCGTTCGCCGGCAGAGCAGTCAACATAGTGCCGGAAACAGTCAGAATTCCAATGGCCGAGGCACTGGATGGTCTTGGGGCTGGCGCCAAGGTGGGCCGCCCACGTGGCGGTGCCACGTCGAAAGGAATGGCTGGCATAGGCTGACGGTGCCAGGCCAGTGAAGGCGATGGCATGCTGAAGGACAGCAATGAATGACGAGCACGGGAGGGGGTCTGCCCCAGACGGGCCGAGGCCAAAGAGGGGGGCAGAAGAGGGATGACCAGAGAGCAGGCAGCAAAGGTGGGTGATTGGGCATTCCGGGCCACCGACAAGAGGGGCGACGACCTTGACGCCGAGGCAGAAGGGGTCCATCTTGGATGCCGGCAAGGTGACGACAGCGTGGTCGGCGGCCAATTTGACACTGCCAACACGAAGGACGATGGCTGGGTCGGTGTGCCGGTCCCAGACGACCTCACCCGAGCGCAGGAAACAGGCAAAGGAGAGGGTGAATGCCACCTTGAACATGGCACGATCGCGCGCAGAGAGGTCGCCAAAGGTATCGACAGCAGCGACAAGGCAGCGAAGGAGGGGCAACGTGATGGGGAGCTTGGCGCCGGTGCACCGAGCACCGTGGACATGCTTGTAGCCGCACAGAGCCCACTCGAGATGGCCACACTCAAAGCCGGCCAGGCTGAGGCCAAGGTCGACGTGGTGGGAGTGGAGGTGGCTGAGCTCGTGCTTGGTGGAGTGGTATGAACGGCTGGTGGAGGACATGCTGCCAAGCCACTCGAGGAGCTGGACACTGGTGGCAGGCAGACAAGCAATGTTGGCACCAAAGTGCCAGGCGCAGAAGGTTCGGAAAGCGGTGACGGTACCACCAGCACGGTCTCGAGTGCTGGGCGCAAGGCCATTCCAGAGCAAGGTAGCTGCCACCAAAGTGATCCCCATGCTGGATGCGAAGGTGGGAGGGGGTTGGCCGGCTGGTCGATGTGTCCCTGGCGGAAGGACAACTGGCTGTATGCCTGCAGAAAGGACTGCTGGATGTGACGGAACTGGCGACGGGAAAGAAGGTCAGCAAGAACATTGTCAGCGGTCGAGACACGCACAGGGTGTAGAGTGAAGTTGTGGGTGAAGCAGAACCCAAAGATCTCCCGAAGCAGCTTCTGCGTGAGTGGGTCGTGTGAGCTGCCGGAACGGAGACCGTGCTCGATGTTCTCATTGTCAACGTGGACAACCACCATCAAAGGAGATGACCAGAGGGGAGCAAAGAGATGGAGCACTTCCAGGACGGCCAAGGCCTCCAAGAACTGGATGTTCTTCTTGCAGTGTCGGCGCGGGACCTCATGCAAGAAGACAGCCATGGTGTCGGCAGCCAGTCCCAAGTGGGCGCCATAGCTGCGAGGGCAGGCATCAGTCCACACATGGGCAACCACCAAGGGAGAAGGGGAGAGGACACTCGTGCCAGACCAGGATTCCAGCATGGTGACCCACCAGGCGAGCTTGGCAAGGGCCGGTCTGGGTATGCGCCAGCAACCAGCAGAGTGCCGGCGGTGAGTACAGCTGTAAAGGCGGCGCAGGAAAGCCTTGCTGCACAGGAAAACCTGTGACACAAACTGCAGGAGGCCGGTGATATGCTGCATGTCGAGAAGGTCTGCAGTGCTGCGGCTAAGGAGGTGGTGGCACTGAGAGAGGATGTGTGCCCGACATTCCGAAGTAATGCCAACGGTTTGAGCTGCAGAGTCGATGTCGATGCCAAGGACCTCGAGGTGCGTGAGGTTGGTGAAAGTCTTTTTGACCAACAGGCGGAGGCCAAGGGCAGTGGAGGCCAGGGCTAGGGTGTGGACCGGAAGGAGGGCCAGGTGGGCAGCCTCGGCCGGAACGGTGCCAAAGGTGTCATCCAGGTAGTGGTTGACTGGCCACGTGTTGGGCAGGCAAGAGGCAACGACCCAATGGAGGAACTCGGCCACCAGGTTGAACAGGAATGGCGAGCTGCTGCCACCAAAGGTGAGGGCATTCTCGCAGTAGCAGACGCCGTCATACTGGAAACTGAGAAGGTATGCATCAGACTCTGCCATCACAACGTGGCAAAAAGCGTCCTCTAGATCACCTTTCCAGAGGAGGCAGTTAGGGTTGGACCGCACAAAGTCGACGAGCTGGTGGACGGACTCGTACTGGATGCGGACGAAGGAAGGATTGATGCTGGCATTGACCGATGAAAGAGCCAAGGATGCTGGGTGCTGGGGGTGGGATAGGTGGTGGATGGTGCGGAGCTTGACAGAGCGAGGCTTGGGAATGACACCAATCGGTGACTCGACGAGGGCTGAGGTGGCCGGTACCACAGTGAGCCGACCCTCAGCGAGGCGAGTGGTAATCTCATGGCGAAGGTGAGCATGGCCGTCGGCATCGATGGGCAGGTTGGCAATGCGGTGATTGGCCTGACAGAGAGGGCCATCATAGCCAAGGAGACAGCCATGTTGAATCATGCCAGCCATCTGCATGCAGTAGCACTTGTCTGGGTAGTCCAGAAGAAGGCGCTCCCACGCCGGCAACTGGAGCTGCATGGAGCCGATGCGGGCAGGTGACGTGGTGGGGTCAAATGCATCAAGCTCGAGTGTGGTGTTGGGGCAGACGGGAGGAAGATGCTGGCGCAGGTCGAACAGAAGTGAAAGACACCAGTCAGCTGATGGAACATCGAGGGCTGCCGGGACCGAGGTGAGATGCCGGACCTGAGTCTGTCGCGGAGACATGTCGTCGACGACAGTGTCGACAAGCTGGACCTGAGTCTGTCACGGAGACCTAGAGGGATGCTGGACCTGAGTCTGTCGCAGAGACATAGTGTCGTCATCAGGAGAGACGCGCTGGACCTGAGTCTGTCACAGAGATGAAGAGGAGGATGTCAGGCAACTAATGCTGCTGTTTCTTGATGGCGGCCGATGGATTGGTGCATGAGGTGCGAGGGTGAGGACCTTTACAGGTTTTGCACATGTGCTGGCATGGGCACTGAGAGCCGTCGGGACAGCCAGTGGAGTTCCAACGGAAGCAGACCTGCCCGCTGAGGTCATGGTGCTGGCACTTGGTGGACGATGAGGCTGGGACATCGGTGGAAGATGCTGCTGTTGAAGGCTTGGCTGGTGATTTGGAGGTCGACACGTCATGGTGGGGTATGCCTCCCAGGGCTTTCTGCCAAGCACTGAGATCGTCGATGGCCCAGTCACCGGCTGAAGCATAGCCAAAACGATGCTCACAGACAGTGAGGACGTACTCAGCTATGGCCGGCCAGTGCCACCTGGTATCGTGGTCAATGACTGCTACGAGGAAAGAACTGAGGCTGGCACAGAGGTCGGAATCGCTGGTGCTGGCGCAACGGAGGGCCGTGTAGGCTGTCCAAGCCTGAGCGAAGGTGCACACATCTGGGATTTGGCGCAGGAACCTCTTGACGTCCGGTGTGTCGGATGAAGGGAGGGCTGGCTGGACTCGGATGCCATTGACTAAGATGCCAGAGGCGGTGTCAGGCTCAGCACGAGACTTGCTGGCACGACGAAGCTTGCCAAGGTTGTGAGGTGGAAGACGGTTGTCATAGACCAACTGAGCGACTTCAGGAGAGATCCAAGGGAACAGGCGATGAAGCTGTAACTCACCGGCAGGTGATGACGATGAGGGCGTAGAGGCCTGTGGCAGCTGTGCTGGAGTCACTGTTGGTGCTGATGGAACAGGACGAGAGGAACTGGCTGAGCCAGTCAGCTGGGCCTGGTCTTGACGAAGGGATAAGATCAGCTGTCAGATCTCTGAGACAGAGCCAGCGAGCTGGGAGGAAAAATTGGCCTGAGCGTCGAGGCGGGCATGCAGGGCATCAATGTCAGTGGTAACGTCGCGCTGAGGGACATGTTCAACAGTCAACGGCACAGGCGCAGAGGGTGCTTGGGCCGGTGCTGCCAGGACAGGAGAAGGTGGTGGTGGCGATGAAGCTGGAGTAGTTGCCTGTGGCTGGAAACTCGGGGCCGGTATAGCCTCAGCAAGGAGCAAAACAGGCTGAACACCGCGACAAGCTGCACAGCATTGACAGGCACAGTTGCGCTTGCCAAGGAAATGGTTGGGCGGAAAGGACTTGCTGCAGTGTGTACAAGCCTGCTGCTGGGCCATCGTCAAGGCCCAGGAAGGCGAGAACACAAAAGGGAGCAAGGTTGTGCACTATGGCTACACCTGCGACAAGAGAGAGATGATGGAGAAGAGGGAAGCATGATGAGACAGAGCACTGACAAAGTCAGTGCGACGAGGGATGTGGAAGGTGGGCGCGTGCGCGCAAGCTCAGATGTGCACGCCAGTCACGTGCTGCACCCCTGTGTTGTCACCTCCTGAGCATTGCCATCTCCTGAGTGTTATGGTTGAAGTACTTATATATCCCACATGCATATTAATGCATGTTGACATGCAGCTCTGACTCACTGGTGTCTCGCTTGTGCTCCACCGACCACGTGATTCATGTTAGGATGCCGATGCATCTTCAACTCCATTTCTTCAACATCCGATTATTTACAAAATAAAAAATATACAGCATGCGCATAAACTGTCCCATAATTTTACATGTCACCATACATCACTCTAATGCTCAATAGCTATAAGTTGTATTGCCACACTGTCTGATATTGTCTGAAAGCCCTGCTTCTTCTCTCCAAGACTGTGTAATTGATATTGACATTGACTAAAAAAAATTGTGCTATGAAGAAGAGCCAATTTTATTTTTTTATTGTGGGACAGTTTATGGAGCATGCTCCCAAATAGCAACACCACTCCATTCCTGACCTTGTGGGCTTTTGACTACAATGAAACTTGCAATGTAACTTGGTGGGCACCTTCATACACATTGAAAGTAGTGACATGGAAAGTTTCAGCTCAATCAGATGACTGTGAGTGATCTGGCAGCACTTCCAGTCTGACACCATCATATCTATACCATCATGCCAAAAACCACCCCAGAGAGGCACCAATTGGCACTCTTTCACATCTAAAATGGGGAATCTACCCATTCAGTTGCTGAGCAACTTGGTATGAGCAAGTCTACTGTGAATCACATCAGCAAAAGCACCTCTGCTGATATTCCAAAGTCAAAGGGGGCCCAGTCAAGAAAACTCCAGCCTCATCATGTTTGCTTCCTGGATCACTATTTCGAGCTCAATTCAACCTCTACAGTCAGGAAAGCATGTCATGCACTGCAGGAGATGTTTCAAATCAAAGCATGCCCAACCACAGTAAGAAAAGCACTTCATTACTGTCATTACAAAGCATGAAGGTTAGTGAAAAAACTGAAGCTACTCAAGAGACATTACAAAGCCCATTTCAAATTTGCTAATGAGCACAAGGACATGACTGTTGAGGATTGGAAGAATGTGGTATGGTCTGATGAGACAAAGATCAACTTCTTTGGACCAGATGGTAAGCAGTTCTGTTGGATTAAGAATGCCAGCTTCAACAGCAAGCTTGTCAGGCCAATGGTCAAGTTTGGCAGCAGCTCCATCATGATCTGGGGCTGTATGACATGGGAAGGGGTGGGAGGTATGCACTTGGTGCTGGGTTCAATGAATTCAGACCAATACATTGATATCTTGAATGACAAGCTTGTGAAAACAATCTCAGATTTGTGGCTTCAGCATGCATACACTGACATCATGTTTCAGCAAGACAATGACCCAAAACACACATCAAAGAAGACAATAACATGGTTGGAAAGCAATAGCATTAAGGTTATGCAATGGCTGGTGCAGTTGCTGGACTTGAACCTGATTGAACACCTCTGGCACCATCTCAAAATGTGACTTTCATGGTATAGTACAATTGCAAAGTCCAGGGATGAACTGCTCAAGAGATATGAAGCTGAATGGACAGCAATCACTCCAGAGACATGTAGGATGCTAATAGAGAGCATGCCAGACCACATCAAGGTGGTTCTTAAGGCCAAAGGAGGGAATACATAGTACTAAGGTGTTCTCGAGGAGTGCTCCATAAACTGTCCCACAATTAAAAAAAAAATCGGCTCTTCTTCATAGCACAATTTTTTTAGTCAATGTCAATATCAATTACACAGTCTTGGAGAGAAGAAGCAGGGCTTTCAGACAATATCAGACAGTGTGGCAATACAACTTATAGCTATTGAGCATTAGAGTGATGTATGGTGACATGTAAAATTATGGGACAGTTTATGCGCGTGCTGTATAAGAAAAAGGTGGGCAAAATTGAGGCTACAAAATTCCAAGCGAAAGTCGGGAAAAAAAAGGTTGAATCAACAGCTTCGCCACAGCTTCACCAAGCATCTTCCACGCACCATACACCCTATCATCATCTCCCTACAGCATCACCTCACCCCCGAGCCGCAGCAGACGAACGTACAGCTGCACAAAAGCCCCTCACACGATGGCGCCAAAGCTTTGCGTCATTTGCAATGCAGAGCGTGCCGTCCTTCGACGACCCAAAACTGCCCAGCAGATCTGCAAAGAATGCTTCTTCTACGTCTTTGAAACCGAAGTCCACCACACCATTGTCTCCAGCAACCTCTTCAAGCGTGGTGATCGGGTCGCTATCGGTGCATCGGGTGGTAAAGATTCCACCGTCCTGGCACACTGCATGAAAGTCCTCAACGAGCGATACGACTACGGGCTTGACCTGTTCCTTCTCTCCATCGACGAAGGTATCACCGGCTACCGAGATGATTCGCTTGAAACAGTGAAACGCAACCAGCAGCAGTACCAACTCCCACTCAAAGTGCTTGGCTATGGAGAGCTGTACGGCTGGACGATGGACGATATTGTCAGATCGGTTGGCCGCAAAAACAACTGCACCTTCTGCGGTGTTTTCCGCCGTCAAGCACTCGACCGAGGAGCGGCCGCTCTGGGGGTGGACCATATTGTGACCGGTCACAACGCAGATGATGTCTCCGAAACAGTCCTCATGAACGTTCTTCGAGGTGACATCGCCCGCTTGGAACGTTGTACAGAAATCGTCACCAAAGGGCCATCCGACGGGCTGGAGGACCCGGAGCATGAGGGCTGCGGATCTTCAGGTTCCAACAACCTCGGCGTTGGCGGAAGCGGCATTCGTCGAAGCAAACCTTTTATGTATGCATACGAAAAGGAAATTGTCATGTACGCATACTTCAAGAAGTTGGATTACTTTTCCACCGAATGCATCTACTCTCCGAACGCTTACCGAGGTTATGCTAGGACCTTCCTTAAGGATCTAGAGGCTATTCGACCAAGTTCGATCGTCGACATCATTCAGTCAGGACAGAATCTCAAGATCAGTACCGTGGTGAAACAGAGCAAGAAGACAGAACTGCAGAATTGCGCGAGATGTGGGTATATCTCGTCGAATAAGACTTGCAAAGCTTGCATATTGCTGGAGGGGTTGGAGAAGGGAACACCACAGTTGGGGATCGGAAGTGAGAAGTCCAGGAAGATCAAAGATATCAGACAGGAGATGGCGAGTAAGGATGCCAACGGTGCAAAGGCAGAGGTAGTTGCAGTTGCAGGGCAGCAGAAGACGGTGAGAAGGATTCCACAGTGGACCGGAGTAGCGAAAGATGCACCGCCAATCAGCTCGTTACCGTTTGTACCGCCTCAGCAGCGTAAGGTTGATCTTTCTTTCTGATCGCTTCTCATCATAACTCTCATTCATCTTTGTATTAGTATCCAGCATTGTCATACCAGCATCACAAACATTGTTCCGAGTGGCTGGGCATCCAAACGGATCCGAAGTGTCTACAATGGAGTCCACTCCTGGTCTCATCGCTATCTTCTCAGATGATGAGCCCAACTTTCTCATCACCAATGGACCCTGGGCACTGGTGAGGAACCCTTGCTATTCGGCATACCTAGCATCCTTGGTGGCAGGCTTCATTGTGACTAGCTCCTCGAATCATCCCGATCACGGACACGCTTACTTGGTATCGCATGCCGGTGGTATTGCTTTTGCAGGGCTGGTAGTGGCATTCAGTATCTTCTACCAGGCTATTCGGGATGAAGAGGCAAAGTTCAGCTCAAGCAAGCTGAGAACGAAGCACGAAGAGTACAAGCGGAAAGTATGGCTGTTGGTTCCGTTGAGTGATGTCATGGGACGTTAAGCAACGATGGACAGCTTCAGATGTGCTTGATCACATGCTCTCCGATTGCTCTGTCTTCTACTTCGCGATGTACTTGCTTTGTTCTGACTCTATATACCTTGGATCGGATTGGAGGCTGTTTTGTTTGCATCTCGGACAGTGTGATTGACGGTCTGTGATAGCACGGCTACAGCATGCTGAGGATTGCTTTGCGACCCCCAACGCCATCGGAAAACGGAGACAAGTGTCACCCATGGCTGGCGTCGCTATGTATCGTGTCCCTCTGAACTTGACTCTTTCAGATGACCTGTCTGGCTAAATGCTCCTCGCTTCCCCCTCTCGGCTGCAAAGGTATAGCCCCTGGCCACTTATGCCATTGCAACCACGGTCAATGGCGGAGTCATTTTGATGAGAACAACGCCTGAGACAGCACAAGAAGGCAGCGCATGGGTCAGAATCGACAGAAACTTGGCTGAGTTCTGGCCAGCTTTGAAGGTATATATACATGGCATTTGCAAGCAGCGCATACCCCCCAACACCTCCTTATCCTCACTCTGCTACCATCTTTGGCAACCTCCTCCCTCCTCGGACATCTACTTGGCCGGTGTGCCGGCGCATAACCAGGCGATTGGTCAGGCTCGAGCCGATATACCCGCTACCCTTTAACATTATCATGGGGCCCTGGCCATGGGGTCCTGCCCCCCCCTCTGGGGGTTAAGCGCGGGGCAGACACGTTTGGCGTGTCTGATCTGAATCTCTGCGAAAATGTCATACTAGCCTCCAAATCCCTCCCCGTCCCAAATCCATGTTTTCACCGTCCCATCGTCACCACACGAAGCCAACAGACTCTGTGCCTTATTCCACACCGCCCCATACGCCACGTTATTGTTGGTCGAGAGCGAAGACGTTAGATCCGACACAACCGAGTTTGACCCTTGCACTCCACCCATGCTCCCTGGCAGTGCTGTTGTGGATTTCGTAACCTGATGCAACGTATCTCTCCCGTGCCCTTCTAGCGTTTGCAGCACCTCGGAACTCTCCTGATCCCACATATAGATCAGTCCATCTTCCGAGCCACCTACGAGCAGCGATGTGTGCGCGAAGCTGGAACGGATGAAGTTCTTGCTCGTGTTTTGGTGACCCTTGAACCGTTTCAACGGGCGAAGCATGCGGAGGTCCCAAAGTCGATTCGAGTTGTCTTTGGATGAACTGAGCAGCAAAGTGCCTGTTTCGTTGATCTCTACTGATGTCACTTCACCAAGATGTCCAGTGATAGTACGGATGCAAAGACCCGAAACAACGTCCCAAAAGCGAATCGTAGTATCCTTTGACGCTGTGACAATGAGGTTGCCGAGCGGATTAAAGATCGCCGATGAAACACCAAGTTGATGCCCAGTAAAAGTCTTGACGATAGACCCCGTCTCAACGTCGTACATCCGAACAAGCTTGTCGTAGCCCGCCGAAACAATATGCCGCTCATCAGGATGGAACCTGCAGCTGTACACATCACCCACACCAGCTCTAAGCGTCGTACGACACTGTGCACTTTCCACATCCCATACCTTAACAGTTGAGTCACCTGACGCAGAAGCAACATGTCCACCAGTCCGAGTAGAGTCAACATCCCATACACGACTACGATGACCTTCGAGCACACCTTCGCAACGACCGGTGTTGGAGTTCCAGAGTCGAACGGTGTTGTCGCTACTGCCACTGACGAGTCTGCGACCTTCTTCGCCGACGAAGCGGACACTTTTGACGTTCTTACGATGACCACGCATGGTGTGGGCGACAGAGTTGGGGACGATGAAACCGGTGTAGTCGTGCAATAGGCCGGAGATGACGGGTGCTTTCTTGGGGTGGTAGCGTGCAAATTCGACTTGGTAGGCTACGGCTTGGTGCAGCATTGTGAGTAGACGGTGTGGTGGAACGTAGGCGTAGCCGTTTGCTGAGGATGCTTTTGATGCAGTGCCGGAGGCGCTACCTTCTGCCATCAACCCATCGTCCATGAGCTCTGAAGCTTCTCTACTGGATCCCATCTCACCTCTCCCACCATTAGAAGCCGACACGCCACCATTTGTTGATGCAGATCCAGGCAAACCTGCCTCCTTCTCCATCCAGTCCTGCTCTAGCATCGCTGCAAACTCCATGACTAGCTTCTCCCGTCCCGGCTGAATTCCGTCCCAGGTCGAGAAGGACGGCGCATCAGTCACTGCCTTAGCTGAGAGCAAATAACACAGATCCCTATACTCGGAGGGGTGCGGCTGATAATGCTCCAGTGGCTTCAATCGCTTGTTGAGAAAGGTAAAGCCTTTTTGGAATTCACGATGTTCGATATGTTCCAAGAACTGCTGCTTGTAAACTGCGTAGAGAAAGGCTTTGTGATTCTTCACCAGCGGTTTCTGCAGCAACTTGTCAACCTCAGGCCAGTCACCTTCGAGGATGTGACCTCTGAGCTTGCGTGCATCGAGGCCGGCTTCTTCTCGCTCTTGACGCTTGATACCTGCTTCTTCCATCAAGAGCTGTCGTGTTGCACCGAAACCTTGGTCTGCTAGCCATTGGTCGATCATACGGATGATGTCGTTGCGTACGTGAGGATCGTCAGGACGGAGAATGGCAGTGCGCGAGGAAGCATATGTAGCTTGATTCGGGTTGGTGTCTTTGGAAGTACTGGCTGTGTTGGCTGTGAGCTGGCCGACTGTCTGGCCGAGAATGGAAGAGTTCTGATAGTAAGGGTGGTAGCTGTGCGGTGGTGGACGCATGCCGTGGAGTTGAAGGTCGGCGACGGTGTGATCTTTTGCTTCAGCGAGGAGGACTTGTTTGCGACGCTTCCATGTCTCTTTGGTTCCTCCAGAGCTAGATGCGCCGTTGGCAGTGGCAAGACCGTTGGTGCTGCTGTTGCTGCTTGCCATGCCACTCGGGCCGGCTGCGGCGTCTGTTGATGAGATGCCAAGACCGTTGACATTGCTCAAATCAGGATGTGCGCTTGTTGATCGTTCAAGACGGGAAGAAGCGATCAAGGATGCTGCATTGGCAGAAGAGGGCGCAACTGTACTTGTACGGAACATGGCGCTGGCTGTTGTGGGTGATGCAGGGGCAATGAAGGATCCGCTCGGCATGGCGTGGACGAGAGATGCTGGAGATGCTCTGTTGTCTATTGTAGTCGATGAAGATGGTCCGACATCTGGAAGCCGAAATGTAGGAGCTCGCGGTGTAAGAAATACAGGTGAAGGTTGACCTGACGCTGTCGACTCGGCGTGCAATTGCGAGTTGTGTGATGATGATCCATGTTCGTTAGCTGCTGTGATGGTAATCTGGGTTGGCTGCTGGCCTAAGCTCTTTGCCTGCCCTTGCCCATGAACCATTTCTTGACAGTGCTCCGACATTGCGAGGCCCGACGTCCAGCGCAAGAGCCTTGCTCGTATGTATGATGTGGCGATGAGGTAGATAGCTTTGCCGATGGTGTTGGTTGAGGCCAGGCTAACTTTTGGGATTTTGGAAATGTTAGGTCTTACTTTGCTCCACATTTGGATTGCTGCGCTTTTTTTTTCCGCCAATTTTCAGGGTTCCGTGTTGCGATCTGCTGCGTATTTTTTTTTTTTTTTTACCGACTTTTTCTCTCAGGTTGGAAAAGCACAGACCTTTTTGTTAAAGGACGTATGGCAAATGGCGTTGATGACAAGTATCGATTGCGATGATTCGAATGTATATATATATGTGTGTACTCCAGCGTTCTGTGTATACGTGTATGATACAAGGATGATAAGGCTGCCGGAAGTGTGATAGCCGGTATGCCGTTGCCTATCGCGACAGTCGATCGGAGCAATATTATAGGGAATCGAGTGAGCGAAGCTGGGGTAAATGTTAGATCGGAGTAGAAGTGACATAGTTTTACTCTTTTTGCTGTTGCTGCTCTTGCTTCTGCTGAGTGTGTGAAATGTGTCTGACGACGCTCTTCGAGAAGCACAGGTTTAAGGAGACCTTTTTTTCTCTCTTTTGCTTTGCTTCGCTTTGCTTCGCTTTGCTTCCATTCTTTCATCTCATCTCGGCTTCCCTCTTTCACTTCTCTCCCACCAAACCAATCAACCAGATTGCTTCATCTGGAAGGCTGTCTTTACAACTAACCTTTCCGCCAGGCTCGATCGCTTCTTTCGCTTAAGCGTTTCCGACTTCCGAGACCAAGGGACAGCTTTCGCTTAGGCTGCTGCTGCTTTGACCAAGATCGCCGCTGCTCATCCGAGATTCAGCCAGAGCAACAGCAGTTGCTGGTCAGTAGCTTGGGCAGATGCGTTCCGATCTCAATCAGAGCAACGCATCTTTATCCCAGCACTCAGCTTCAAACTCGACACATCAGCCCATCGAGCAAGCTTCGTCTTCTCTTCCCCCGTCATCTCTTCCCCCGTCATCTCTTCCCCAGTCATCTCTTCCCTCGTCATCTGCATCTTCAGGCGGCGCTCCTATCACATCTCCCCCCGTGCGTCGACCAGCTTCATCACCTGTCGACAGTCCCGAGTCGCGGCCCACTGCTCGGTTCCCTTCAGCTCTCGCAGCAAACGACCACAAGCGATCAGGTGCATACAAGAGAGCTCGAACCGTCAGCCCCATTATCGACGAGAACAGCAGCGACGTCGAAAACGAAGTCAGATCCAACTTTTCGCCTTCTGCAAGCGATCTAGGCGACTCTGAGCTCACCGAGACCCTTGCCTCCAGCCAGCCAGCTCCACTGCGTCAGAGCATTTCATCGGCAGACATATCACATTCTCATCACGCCAACATGTCGCCACCTGATCAGAACATCGAAGCTCTCATGACCGACAAGTCGCTCAGTTTGAATGATGGCGGTGCTAATCCCGTCATTGTGCGTACAAGTGACGCAACGGAGGAGGAGCCACCATCCTATCAAGAAGCAGTTGATCTTCCACCGCCAGTACAAGGGTCTATCGGGAATGAACACAGACCGACAGGTCAGCAGCAACTCGATACCATCCGACCTATGAAGAATCTTCCTCTCCATGCTGGCGATATATGGTACCTCGTCAGTCGATCTTGGTATCGACGTTGGGATGCTGCTTGTGCCGAACGTCGTGACTCGGATCCTGTCGAGAAGGCCGAGATTCCTCCTGGACCCATCGACAACTCGGACTTGCTTGATGAAGATTCCACTCCAGCTTTTGCGCAGCTCAGACCACAGATCAATGAGCATATTGATTACGAGATGTTGCCTGAGGAGGGATGGAATCTTTTGGTTGGTTGGTACGGTAGCAAAGGACCGGTGTTTGCAAGACAGGTTATCCACGGTTTCAGTCCGGGTCAGGAGAGTGTCGAGTTCTACCCGCCTACTCTTCGACTGCTCAAGCTAGGGGATCATGTCGAGGCGCAGGGATCGGGCGTGCCTTCGTTCAGCATGTCTGTCAGCTCGAGCTTGGCGATGCTCAAGGAGAAGGCCAAGACAGCACTCAATCTCGGTGCTGTTGCCGATGTTGACTTGCGATTCTACCACTTCCCTCAACCTACCGAGAAGGAATTGCGCTCTGGGCTTGTCAACATGGCTCGAGTTGACGACGAGGGTGTCGATGTCATCGATGCTGGTGAAGATAAGCCCGACAGCTATCAGCCTAATGTCACGCTCAAGTCGGTCGGGGTAGATGAGATTGAGATGAATCTTGTTGTCGAGACTCGTCCGTCTGGTCGATGGCAGACGGATCCTGCTCCTGTCGATGCTTCCGCTCCCTCGGTCAAAGGTATCTTTGCCCAGCAAGGTGACTTTTTCAGCAATCTTGAGCAGCCTAGCAGCAGCACTGCCGCATCAACTGCCACCGCGGGCGAATCAGAAGGACGTGTCACACGCTCGCAAACCGCTGTCGACCGAACCATTGGCCCATCTCGTGGGCTTCGCGGACTCAACAACCTCGGCAACACTTGCTTCATGAACAGCGCCCTCCAATGTCTCAGCAACACTTACGAGCTCCAACAGTACTTTGTCTCCGGCGCATACAAGCAAGAGCTCAACACCGATAATCCACTTGGTATGGGAGGAGCGATTGCGGATGCATTCGGCAACCTCATAACCAACATCTGGAATGGTCAAGGTGGATCCTTCTGGCCACGAGAGTTCAAGTTTGCGCTCTCGAGGTTCGCGCCCCAGTTTAGCGGGTATGCTCAGCATGACAGTCAAGAGTTGTTGGCGTTTTTGCTTGATGGGTTGCATGAGGATCTAAATAGGATCTTGAAGAAGCCGTACATTGAGGCGCCTGATTGGGAAGGTGGAGATGAGAAGGATCTTGTTGCGTTCGCCAAGAGGCAGTGGGATATCTATAAAGCCAGGAATGACTCGGTCATTGTCGATCTCTTCCAAGGACAGTACAGGAGTACACTTGTCTGCCCGGAATGCAACAAGATCTCGATCAAGTTTGATCCTTTCATGTACCTCACGCTACCGATTCCCAACAAGAAGATGTGGCGCGGTCAAGTCTACTTTGTCCCGCAAGACCCTAGCAAGCCGATGCAAAGCTTCCAGGTTCAGTTGCCGGCAGGCACTACGGTTGGAAAGTTGCGACAGAAAGTAGCGGCGCAGTTTGGTGTCGAGACGAAGAGGTTGATTTGTGGAGAAGTTTGGCATCATAGGATTTACAAGTGGATCGATGATTACGAGCCGTTGATCGATATCAAGGATGGCGACTTTGTGTACTTTTGGGAGGTGCCGGCTGCGCCGAAGTTGTCGAAGCAGAGGCATTACAGGTATCATAGGACGGTGGAGGATGCAGAGGAGTCGTTGGATATCCAGGATGAGGAGCAGGCGATTCTGCCGGTCTTCGCGAACTTTAGCAGCGAGGTGTCGGCGGCTTCGTCCAGCACGGCGTTTGTTAGTAGGAGGTCGAGGGCGGATCCTGTTGGTATTCCCTTTTTCATTTCGGTCCCAAAAGCGGAGGTCAATGATGCTGAGGCGATCCGTAGGCACGTGCTGAACGGGTTCTCGCGCTTTGCCAAGAACCAGAGTGAGCTGCGAAAGGCTATCGAGGAAGCAGATGCCGCTGCTGGTACTGCTTCGACAGAGCAGAGTTCGGCGTCGCAGATTTCGGATTGGGAGATGGTGGATGATGCAGCGAACGGCAATGGTGCTGTCGAAGTGGTTGCACCTACTCAGGTCAGCAACGAGGATCTAGTCACCGAGATCCGAGAGGATGGCGAAGCAGTATTGGTGCCGGACGTGAATATCACCTCTGCAGACAGTGATGCAGCTGCTACCCCTGCTACTGCCAGCTCGTCAAGCCAGGACAAGGCTGCCGCACAAGCCGAGCCAATTCTGCGCATCCGTTTCAGCCTCGCCGAGGTTGGCCAAGGCCTTCCGAAGGGCAGCGAAAGCAACTCCGACCATCTCTCTGAGGAGCTCGAGGAACGTCAGGCGCGTCTTGCCAAGCAGGCTTCTAACGCTGCTTCAACTTGGGTCGACGATGAGGCAGAAAGAGACGCTACTCGTGCCAAAAACATTCCTCTCGTCTTCACTGGCGGTGCGATGGTTGTCACATGGGGATACACGGTTGCCAAGCGCGAGCTGTTGGTCAAGTCTGACTCGGGTCAACTCTGGGGCGAATATAAAGAGGTCATTGACAAGGCGATTCGCGAGAAGGACAACGCTGGACCCGTTCGCCCCAAGACGCTTTCGATCGAAGACTGCATGGACGAGTTCACCAAAGAAGAGCAACTGGGGGAAGACGATCCCTGGTACTGCCCTTCATGCAAGGAGTTCCGTCAAGCTACCAAGAAGTTTGATCTCTGGAAGGCACCGGACATTCTCGTGGTCCATCTCAAGAGGTTCAGCGCGGGTCGACACTCGCGTGACAAGCTCAACATGCTCGTTGACTTCCCACTGGAAGGTCTGGATCTCACAGATCGGGTGGAAGGTACACAGGCGCTGCGCAGAGTGCAGGCAGAGGCAAAGGAGAGCGGAGAAGAGCTTTCAGAAAGCATGCTTGGTTCGGGCATTCTCAGGCCGCTGGAGGACAATGACGATGCGGTTGCGGTCGATGCTCCCATCTATGACCTGTATGCTGTGGACAATCATTTCGGAGGCTTGGGTGGAGGACACTACACTGCATTTGCCAAGAGTCCAGCCGATGGCAAGTGGTACGAATTTGACGACTTGAGTGTTCGACCCGTTGCCAACGCGGAGACGGTCAAGAGCTCGTCTGCGTACTTGCTCTTCTACCGTCGTAGGACGACGAGGCCGATTGGAGGAAAGTCGAGGCAGAAGTTCCAAGAGGCAGCCAAGACCCAAGCTGCCACAGCAGGTGGTGAGGAGGGTGATGCAGCAACGGCAGCAGGGACACTGGGGGGTTTGGCACCGGTAGTTGGACACGAGACGATGCCGGGCGAGTATTCAAGCGATTCATCGAGCGATGAGACTCCCGATTGGCCGTTGAACTTGCGCAGTGGAGCTGACAACGCGAGCGTAGCAGATGAGCCAGCGACGGGTTGGTCGAGTACAGGCAACTCTCCGCCTTCATCGAATCGTGCGCCTAGCCCGATTAGCGATCAGGGGCTTGATTCGCTGTAAGTGAACACTTTAATTTTAATGCGAGAACAATCGAAGGAATCCTAATGCGACGAACACCTTGACTGTGGTTGCAATGTGCATTGAGATGACATGGCATGGCGTGAGTTACGGCGACTAGTGAGTGCGACGAGGCTCGGCCCGGCGGAAAAAGTGAGCCTTAACATCGAGTGTTTGGTTTTTTCTTTTCCTTTTTTTTTTTTTTTTTTTTTTTTTTTTTTTCTTTTCCTTTTTTTCTTTTTCTTTTTCGGATTCCGAGCGCTAAAAAAGCCAGAAAGCTGTGTCGGGGACCCTCGGTTCCTCATGCAACTTGGCGCTCACACCTTGGCGTGTCGGTCTGCTCTCCTGATTGTGTTTAGAAGACACCGTTAGTCCATTGTTCTTTTGGAATATCGAGATGCCGTCGTTTTCAACAATGGGAACATGTATGCTTCCGAACACTTTCGACGCACTCACCGCCGCCCTAGAGGAGGAGAAACAGGCGATGATCGGATCGAGATACAAAAAGCTCTTTCGGTTTATCAGTTTGAGTTTGCGGGACTTGGACATGTGCCTCGGAGCAACACGAAGACGAGACTGTCTACAAGGCAAAAGGTGGGCTGCGCGAATGGTTGTCGGTAGAGAAAGCTGAGTGATAGACTTGGGCTCGGATTGAAAATAAATGAAATCGAGAATCAGATAGCGAGCTTGCTCTGGCGAATGCGACTCGCGAGGTTCGTCAGAAGGAGATCAACAGAGAATTGAAAGATGGCATACGAGGCAAAGCTAAGCGATGTTTCTTCCGAAACAATGGTGGTCCATACAATTGGTTCTCCGCCTAACACTATTACAGTAGCCAGCTGCCGACGGCTTTGCGAGAGACAAAGGGATGGCATGAGGGCTGTGGGGCTTTTGGCCTTGTTCATGGATTGATGGTGAGATGTCGAGCTGCATTTCAGATGCAGCGAGCATGCACAAATTTGTTTGTAGCTGCGACATGCGGGCATCTGGACAGAGGCTGAGAGATGGAAATCAAGTTTGAGGAAAATGCACGTTAAAAGTCAAAAAGGAAAATTCCAACAAAGCCTCGATTCTCGCCCCGATTTCAGAGCCTTCTAAGAGTGAGGCAAGAGCTGAGTGTCAAAGTGCTTTTCAACTTTATTTTAACGCTTACGCGTGTCTCTGCGTTTTTTTCCATTTAGGGGGTCACCAACTTGAAACTTTTTCGCGTTTTTAAAAACGCGAAAATAAAACGCGAAAAAGTTTGATACCTTTTGTCTTGTCTCTGCGGTGAAACGCATACACGTTCAATTCTTCTGCCCAAGGTGCTGCCGAGGAGCCGAAGAGAATGACAGAGAGGGAGATAGGGACAGGGAGAAAGAGAGAAGAAACAAAGCATTGAAAGGAGAATTTTAGGTTCGCAGGACAGGCAGAGTGGGTTGATGCAGTTTCATCGCATGGCAGATGCATCAACCTTCTTGGCCTTCATTTGGCTATGTCCAAGGCCCCACGCATTCCTATCTGCCTGCGATAGACGATGAGGTGGGAAAGCGTATCATCCCATACAGGTTGCTTTGACTAGTGTGATTGGACAGAGGACGTCAACTCGAGCCCACTCCCACTGGCAAGTGATTTGAAGAGCTCTGAGGGCAGAGGAGAAGAGAACCGGAAGGCCTTGTGTCGGCTCTGCCGATTGAGTATACTCTTCTTGTTCACTCGTAAGTTGACGGAGAAGAAAGTGCTTGCAAGAATGCCAGGATTGCACTACTGAAGTAAAAGCAAGTTAGCTGTGCGCTCTAGCCTGCTTGCACTTGCGAATTGATGCATGAGTTCCTGATGAAAAATCCGGGTGGATCTAGATAGATGGTCGAACCTTGTTCACATCATCCGTTAAGCAGCCTATGAAAACGCTCGCTCGGCGAGATTGCAGGCTTTGCTACAACGGCATTGTCTCGCCTTTGCATCAGAGTTCATCTTTTTTTTTCTTTTTTTGTTTCGTTTTTGTTTTTGTTTTTGTTTTTGTTATTTTTTATTTTTTTCTTTTCATTTTTTATTTTTTATTTTTGCTTTTTTGATATTGTTACGGTAGCCTACCTGCGACGACCTGCACTAACGCAACGTCTCGACCCGCTTCATACCTCGCAGCAACATTGTATGTCGATCCTTTTTGCGTGACGAGACGGGACTAACTCGGCGAATCCGATCAGACTTGGGTAGAGAATCATGGACTGGCGGGATTCAGAGAGGAACCGGCGGGCAACAGCCAACATTGTGTCTGTGCACAAGGGTCCTTCCCATTCAGCCTTGGCATGTCTTCTTGGAAACCCACTCATTCTATTCTGTACTCAAGCAGGCTTGGTTGCTTGCTGCCCTTTTCTTTTTCTTTCTTAACTTAATTGAAGCCTTGCTCGTGCAGTCTCCTCCTCTTCTCCGCCTCCACCTCTTTCTCCGCTCACCTTCCACCCTCTCTCTCTCTCTCTCTCTCTCTCTCTCTTTCTTTCTTTCTTTCTTTCTTGTCTCTCCTTTCTTTCCCTCTCGCTTCTTTATCCGCGCCCTTTTTGCCATTCCGCTGCGCGGTACAAAGGCCGGTCGCAGCTAGCAAAGCTTGGCATAGCCGAGTGTGCTCTTTTTTGTCCCTGCAGCATCAGTCTTGCCAACCTGGTTGCTTCGAGAGCTCTTGATTGAGACGCTGTCGTCTGAAAGCTTGCTTCATGGATAGACAAGCACACGTAGTTTAGACTAGGCCCCTCACTGTCTCGACTCCTGTTGATGTCCTTTCTCTTGGTTGGCCACCTGGTCCTCTCTCTGGACGCAGCGCTCTTGGAAACGGACACCTCGGCTCGAATCGCTCTTGGTCACTTTTGCAAGCGAAGACGTTTGGCGCGTCTTTCCACGTGCAGCCGTCGACATTCGTACACTTATTCCAACAAGTTTTGTTGACAATTTCAGGGTCGATCCTTCCTTACTGTCGACACTTTCATCGAGACCTACTTACAAACCTTACACACACACACTCACAAACACACACACACAAAAACACACACACATATATATGTACAACTCTGCCAACTGCATATCCTCCCTCTCCACCCTAACCTTTTCCTTCTCGACCTTGCTCTCCTCTTCTTGTTGATTAGTTACCGTTCCCCACCGTTCATTTTTGGCTACTGAACCGCCGCCCCGCCTTGTAGAGAGGCGTTCCCTGTAGTCCCACCATCGATTCAGGGACAAGGTAGAGCGGGAGACTGGCTCTCGGTGACACACATTAATCCGGACATAGTTGAAAAGGACGACTCCTAATCTGTAAGTATAGAAGTGTCTTGCCCCCCCGCCCCCTCCTCTCGTCCCTACATGTCTCCCTATCTCGTGTTGAGTGCTTATCTGAGCCGACTCTTGGTCGGTCATCTCGTTGATGCTGGATGAGAGGGTCGGTTGTCTTTCGTTGAAAGCGAATTGCAATCCAGCTTTTGTAGTACACTAGGATTCAGACTGCGCCAGCTCTCAGGAGATGTAGTTGGCTTTGAAACTTTGTTCGGCCACTTTTGCATCGGAATGGTCCTTCTTGTGCAGTCTCTCTACGAATGCATCCACGCCTGCTTGAGCTTTGCGTCGGCCTTACGAGGCTCCACTCACGTCAAGCTTTCATTGACCTCGGCTGCCATGAATGATTTGCGAGACGAGCTAGGCGAAGGCCCTCAAAAAAAAAAAAAAAAAAAAAGAGATCTCAACCCCCTCATCGTTGCTGTCTATCGCATCATGGCATGGCGACTTTGCTTTGCTTGTCTTCGGATCTTCTAGTTGCGCAGTATGTTTGCACCAACTCTCCGCTCCAACGTGTCGCGATCTGATCCGATGTCACTATCTGACCGCTAGCCATTCTTTGGCTCGCTCGCTTCCACCGCCCACGCCCGTCTTTGCCTGAGCACTTGCCTCGTTTTTTTCTTTTTTCTTTTTCTGATCCGCTGCACTGGGGGGCGTGCTCTGATTTCTCTTGTCAACGGTCTGACCTGATCAGGCGCATAGGTCCCCGCAAGGCTGTTTTGTGGAATAGGACCTGCGCAATTCCGTCTCGTCTTGGCTGATCCACTGCGTTGGTTCGCGCTGCATGCTCAGCACCGGTGTTTGGTGCAAACGTCACGGTCAGATTCGCGTTTTGCGTCGTTCTTGTTTGCATCTTGTCACTCGCACCCCATCCCCTCCTTCTCCTCCTTTTGACTGTCTGTGGGACGTCCTGCTGCGTCAGCTGCTCCTTGGCCTTGCTCTTTCAGTTCGGTGCTTGTCTTGACGCCCGGTTGCATCTCTCAACCCACCAACCTCGCTCACCGGAGCTGCAATCTTATAAGCTCGACAGCATCAACATACTTACGAACTCTAATTTGCGCATCCATATCCTTCTCTTCGCCCTCCATCGCTTCATCTAGCTCTGCATCACCTCTTCCAATCTCGACAAAGCCAGCGCTCGCCCCTCTCTTTGTTCTGCTTCTGCATTCAAAGAAGCGCCAGCCATGCACATTGGAGGCAACTGCGTTTCCCTTTCTTCTTGACAACAAAGGGTCCCACTGTTACTGTTCCGAAGCCTGTCTGCGCATCGACAGCATTTCGTCTGGCTCGACCTCGGTATCTTGCCTGACCTGGATAGCAGAGCGCAAAGTCAATATCCAACAAAGACGCTCCTCCTGCGGATCGCCAGTCTCGTTCGAGCCACCTATCAAGAACAGCAACAATCTCAGCGCAGAGAAGCTGGCGCAGACTGGCCAACTGCTCGTGATCCTCAGCAACAAGGAGGATATCATCTCATCGGGACACATCCGACCAGAATCGTTGTGAGTACTGTGCCTGCGCCCTTTTTTTAATTTTTTTTCCACGCCATCACATTGTTCCCTGTTCGCTGTAGGAAGAGCCGACGATCCTGATTCTGAAACACTGATCGATCGCTCATTCCTACTTGCGCGACAATGCCATTGAATTGGCAGATGAGAATGATGCTCTGAGTATGCGCCCACCGCCTCATCCCTCGTCGTCCTCATCACATTACTCTTCCTTCTCGGAAGCATCACAGCCTGGCACATCGACAGAGCTGCCAAGCCTACGTGCCGGGTTGCCCCCTGAAGCGTATAGCCCAACAGGGAGAGTGCACGGAGAGCAACGTTCCGATCAGCATTTTCAACGTTTCAGCAGCCAGTCAACATCGACACGCAGTACTCATCCACCTTCACCGTCACAGTCCGACGCCACAGCATACGCTCACAACCGGCATTCGGCCAGCATGTCTAGCAACGAGGGCACTCAGCAGTTGAGCGAGCTTCGTACTGGTCCATCGGCTCCTCCACCGATGCTGACTGGCCTTCCTCATCATTCCACAGAGAGTCGGTATGTATCTCTTTGGCTTTCCTCTCGCCATCCGATTCAATCTACGAGCCATCGAGAGCGAGTGTCTTGTATGAGATTCGCCAGTCGAGTGCCTTTGTCAAGGTAGCATCCTACTGTCCTCATCGTCACCGATGCCATTACATCTTCTCGGCCATGTCACATTGTCGACGTCTTTGATCTTTGCTGACACTTTCTCTCTCAATGCCACAGAACCTACCGGCTGATCATCCGCCAACAGCCACAGCAAGGTCGTCTCTGCGGTTTGGGAAGTAAGGACAAGCGTCCACTTGATCCTTTGCCCATCTTGCAATTGCGCATTCTCAAACAAGATGGCACCGAAGACGAAGAGTAAGTACATCATCACCTTGTCTCGCATCGGCCTCGTACCACGTTTTGCATACACTATTGCATCACGCTCTTCTTCTACCTCAGTGAAGAGCTTCGACGATGCAAGCCTGCACGTAGCTCTGGCCTATCGGATCTTCGAGTGCAACTGCTAACCCTAGCCTCTTGTTCGTCTGTGTCTGCTCCCTTTGCCTTCACCTTCTCGCTCTTTCCTCTCTCGCTCTGCATCGCGCTCTTCACTGTGCTCTTCACCTTTTTGCTCTTTACCTTTTTGGCTCTTCGTCTTCTCTGTCTTCTTCGTGCCCTTCGCCTCTTGCTATTCAACCGGCCATCACCTTGTCGCTCCACACCTTGTCGCTTTTGCCTTCTTGCTCGTCCTTTGACCCCTCACCACCTTCCTCTCTTCATCTTCGAACTCCCTACTCTCTCTCATCTTCACCTACTCCTACCTCACCGCTCTGTTCCGTCATCCTCCTCGCTACCACCACTCCACGACACAAACAGCGCGGAAAACAGCCCCAACCTCCTAACCCACGTCTCACTCCGCAAAGAAAACCCAACCACTTCCACCCATTCCGAATCCGTCCTAATCGAATCCAACGACTCTGCTTTCCCCTGGACGCGCATGCTCGAAGGCCGTCTTGTCGCATCCGCCAACGTTGCACGCGATCTCGACGGCTCTAGGGCATGTTTCTTTGTTTTCACCGACCTCAGCATTCGTCAGGAAGGCCAGTTTAGGTTGGCGTTTAAACTCATGGGTCTCACCCCTACAAGTGCGGGATCAGGAGGACAGGTGGTGGCAGAGGCACTAACGGAGCCCTTCCAGATTTATAGCCCGAGAAGATTCCCCGGTATGACAGAATCAACCGAGCTAGCAAAGTGTTTGGCGAGACAGGGTCTACAGGTGCCGGTGAGGAACGATATCAGGAGGAAGGGTGGCGAACAGCTTGATTTTCTCACGAATACGGATGGTTGTGATGCTGCTGATGGAGGTGAGGGCGATGATGGATGAGCATACTCGCCATTCTTGATGGGTCGCGGTCAACACCTTCACATCGGCGTCAAGTAAGCGTCTAGCAAGCATCACCTGCAGTCTTCTCTGGTTTTCAGCTCTTCGGCTTGATTGCACACTGTATCAAACAGTATGATTGACCTTGTCTGTCCGCGACAAAGTCCACACAATCGAACCACATCCACATAATCCAAAAGCAATATAACAAACAACCGCGCTACAATGCTCGACTTGACCCATGACTGTGTTCCAAAGTATCGGCCTGGATTTCAGCGACCGCTGTTGTTCCCATTCGGCTCGAATTGTCTCAACGCAACCGAGTTGGTTATGTACCCCACTCAAAGTCAATGGCAAAGACAGCGGTCCATGGCCCGATCCAGCCCTGCGATCGACCTTCTTCTGGTACTCGGCTTGACCCGATACGAAGAGATCAAGTGCGAGGCTGTGCAGAAAGGGATCAATTAAAGGTTGGAGGATGGATGAAAAATTTCTCCTTTTTTTTTTTTTTTTTTTTTTTTTTCTTTTTCTTTTCGCGAGAGGTTTATTCGAGTCGACAGACGTCGCCCAACTTTTTCTTCGGCTTTGCTTGAACTTTGTCCCGAAATTGTTTCATGCGTCGCCTTGTTTTGCTCACAGAACCCCGGTTGCAATTGTTGCACCCAGGATCGCACTCTGAAGCACTCCTTCTAAACATTTGAGCAACACATACAACAAAACAGCTGTAAGACTCCCGCTCTCGCCGAGCCTTGTCTCTTCCTTTTCTGCTCATGCCACTCCTTTGAACAATGCTCAAGCGCGCTCATGGACAAAAGGTTCTGATCTGAAAGCTGTATTATTGTTCAACGGAAGCGTGTGTATCATGTTTATCGACCAAAGCGAACGTCTTGGACCTTTTGGTGTTGTCCGCGAGCATTCGCTTTTTGGCTGATAAAGAGATCTGCCTTTGTGTATCAATCTTGCAAAGCCGGTACGGACAAGTTTGGCTGGTGATGCAAGTCGCTTCAGGCTATGCTTGCTAGTCAGAAGAAACACCAGGAGGCAACAACAATGGCACCCCTTGTCTAGCAAAATGTCTCGAAACATCCGTAACATAGGGTGCTGTATAATCCCCTCTCTTCACCACCTCAAATACTTGCGTTTCCACCGACGCTAAAACTCCATCATCCATCACACCCCTCTCTTGCATACCTGGTAGAGAGAGTCGCATGAGTCGACAGACAATCTTAAACTTTCCCGGAGTTCGAATGCTAATTTCGGGGAAGAAAAAGTATGGCTTCTCTCCTTGCTCCCCTCTTGATGCGGAGGCAGTGGTGGTAGGGGGAGCAAGGTACAGTTGTGGACCCGCAACAAGCGTTCCGTACAGCATACGCGCTAGTTTGGCAGGAGATTCTTGACCTGAGCGAGTGGCGGTGTGGGAGGATGGTATATCGTCTGAAATGGCTCCTGCGGAGGTGGAAGCATCGGTGCTTTCTGATGACCTGGTGGAGACGGCGGAGGTGGAGGCGGAGCCCCGTCGACCTGAGCTTGATCGTCGGCCTCTTCGTGCGCGCGTTGAGCCCGTGGGGACTGTCAGCTTGGATGGGCTTTGAGCAGTAGCAGCAGCAGCGGCGGCGGCGGCTGAGACAGCGGTTTGATTCACCATATCAGCGGTAGATCCCTGTTCATCGAGCAACGAACATTGACAGATGAGAAAGGGAAGTTCTGCTGATGCATCCGATGCTTGACCGTCCTTGATGACCTGTAGTTCGACGACGAGCGGAGGGGCTAAGCCGATACGTCCGAGAAGGTTGTCTTCGAACGCAGCTCCGATGGTGGGTTCTTGAACCAAGATGAGCTTGTGTTCGATTGATGAGCTGGATGAGGTCATTTTGAAGCGTTGCAAAACGTCGGGGAGACAGGGAGAAAAAGCAGCGGAACGGGTCAGCGTCGAGCGGACGGGAACGGAACGAGGGACAACTGGTGGGGCGGACGGAAGGGAGCCTCAAGGGGGGATGGTATCCCCACGCCGCCTGATATAGGGCTTGTAGCGCTAGCGAGTCGAGAGCCTTTCATCGGCGGATCGAGGGCATCACACCAGAGCAGCTGAAGAGGGCGCAAGGCCATGTTTCCGCGGAGAGGAGTGGGGACACGTCGCTTTCTTGAGCCCTGCGGCCTAGCAATCCTCCTCGTCCTTCCAGATAATGGCGTCCGAGTCTGAGGCCAACGACCCAAGGATTCGGGTCGAATCTTTGCCTTGCCCCAGAGATGAAGCAAGCAAACAAAGAATCCGTTGAGGAGGTCCGAGAACAACGAGTGAAGAAGGAGGAGAGGAGGAGGACACAAAACGCCCGGAACAATCCGCAGCCTCTTCAAGGCTCTGGTCTTGTGGGTTGTAGATTGGGTACTCACTTTTGTTCCACTGTATCGGTCTTCTTATGAACGGGAACAGCTTGGTCTGGTGCTTCACCTGGCAACCGCCGCTTTGTATTTCGTGATGTGCTGTCGGATGGGTGGGTTGAGCCCGATCCTTCTGCTGCTGCTGCTGCTGCCGTTGTCGTTGCCCCTGCTGATGTTGACGTTGCTTCTGATGAGGAAGGTGCGGGCGCCACACTTTCATTGCCAAAGTGCTGGGGCCTGTCGTTGCTGCGACCGCTGAGTCGAGGAGGTGCAGGTGTCCGTGCTCTCTGCTGAGAGTCTGACCATGGCAGTCTAGATGAAGTAGCAATGCGACTGTTTAACAATGGCCGCAATGGTGGGCGGAGTAAACACATCAGACCATGCCACGGACCATCCTGCCTTTTAGGAGAGCAGGAGTCCCCGTCTTGCTTGTGCTGTTGCTTGTGCTGTTGCTTGTGCTGATGATGTGAACGTGTCCTTGTAAATTGAGTTGCCACCTTTGCACTCAACCCCACCCCATTGTCCATCATACTCAACGCCCGATGTTGGGCCGAAGCACTCTGCACTGTTCAGAGGCTTTGTTCCAGATGGACAATACTTCCGGCAATGTATTTGGGAGAGGTAGCAAAGGGAAGATAACGATGACGAGGCCAATGCGAGCCCGGCAGTGATGAACGTCGTACTTTTGAGAGCTGACTGGATCCGACCTCTGTCTGTGACCGCACCTGTGTGTTCTTCCTCTCGGTGTGAGTGTACTGCAGAGGTGACGAGAACGGGATAGAAGGAGGCGGCAGGCGGATGTCGATAGAACTGACAGGGTCAACTGCTTTCGCTATGACCCTCGTTCAGTAGCACTTACCCCAGTGGGGCCAAAGCTGAGCCCTCTAACTCTTTTGAGCTGCAGCGGCAAGCAATTGAGGTCGAAAGGAGAGACAGCGTAGCGACGATCTGTTGACTTTGCTAATGTAGAGAGCTATTGCACGGATGGGACGAATTGAAAATGTCGCTATACAGATGTTGGTATAGTAAGACGACGAGACGACGATGTCGAGCGGCGAAACCCTGTGTGTGTCTACTTGGCGACAAGGTTCTGACTGAGATGGACAAGATGGTCTGTTGTGATGAGGAAGACAGACAGACTAGTGAGCCCGAAGTGACTGATGTATGGAGACGTGGATGCGATCAAGACGATGAAGAAGGCCAACTGGCGATGATGTAGATGGTGACAGGAGGGGAAAAAAGAGTAGGAACCAGTGGCAAGCAAGTCGCTGAACAGCAGACCAGATGAACAACAGCTGCTGATCAGCGTTGGGCTTCCCAACAGACTAATTCGCCAAATTTTGGCTCGGGGAAGGATTGGAGAACGTGGCTTGGTGCTACATAGTCGCTCTTCAGTGACGAGCACATGTACACGGCACAAGAGACAGATGGAAGGGAAGAAGCATGGTTGGACACGGGACCAGGACTGCTGGTGAGATGAGCGACGTCAGAGGGAGTACGCGAAATGACCGGTTGATCTGAGAAGGATCTACGCGGCCAAACAGTGTCAGAAGCAGAAGCCACGCATATGGCTGCGCTCCAAGAGCAGCACCGGACCTCGTACAACTCGGCCTGGATCCTGATCGTCCAGTCGCTCTAACGAGCAAGTACGCTGTCCCGGCTGTGGCTAGTTCAGCTGGTCGTCTGGAGAAATGCGCGGTGCTAGAGCGCTACAAGAAGAGGATGGAGGAGAGAGGGTGAGAGGGTGAGAGAGAGGGGGGAAACATGGACAACAAAGGGACGAAAGGGAGCTCGAGAGTTCCTTTTTCGGGAGCGCTTCGGCGGAATGATGCAGATAGAAAGGGAACGATCCGCGGCTGGACCTGGAGGAGAGGATGACTTTGAACAAAAGGATGGAGAAAGCGGAAGTGTAGTCGTGTTTGATCGTCCGCCTTCCCAATCGACCAAGTTTTTGTTTTATGCAGGGAAAGGTGTTTGAAACCGGTGGAGAGCGAGAGACAAGTTGAAAGAACAAGGAAGAGAACAAGGGAGAGAACAAGGGAGAGAAGCAGCTAGCAGCTGATAGTCCAGATGGAAGTCGCCGGTCAGGGTTTAAGCAGCAGCAGCAGCACAGCAGCTGTATCGAGGCAGGCTCAGGAGGGGGAAGAGAGCAAGCCACTGACAGCCAGGGAGGCACTAGAGGAGGAAGGGATGATTTGGATCCCAAAGCAGCATGCTTGCGTGATCAGCGACGGAGGCATGATGGCCTCAAATTCCAAACGGACCTTGAAATCGACTTATCGCCGTTTGGCTCCTTGGTCACGCCGTAGCTCCATTTTTAGCGACTCAAGCGGATGAGCACTTGATATCGTCAAAAACAGCGACGACCGCATCAAGAAAGTTGTCTTTTGCCCCGATAGCTCTCATTGACTCTAGCCAATTGACTTGATGGTGGGCACGCAACCTAATTGCGGGAAAATCAAAAAGAGAGAATTCCAAGAGTGACTAACTTACTGGAGAGTCATATCGCGCTGATTGGCGTGAGGGGTCGTCATGCCGAAGGAACAACAGGGTTGTCCAGAATGGTCGGCAAGCGGAATGATAGGGTGCTGCTGCATGATGCAACGCAAGCGAACTCGGCTGGATGGTGTGGCTGATCTGTTCCCGTCTCCCATTTGGCCTGACCTGATGGACCTTGTTCGACTACTTACATCAGCCTAGGTTTTCCGCTCTGTGCGACAACGACAAAGGTTTTGAGATTCACAGTGCGCCGAAAGGGAAGGCGGCCGAGACAACAAGATTTGAACAAGAAGAAGGCTGGATGCGGGCAGAACTTGAACACGTGATGGAAGCATGATCGAATTTGATCAGCTGCACGAAAAAGCCCGGACCGGAAGAGGCGCTTAACGGTACTACTAGTGGCGAGACATTGCCTTCGAAACAGCTGCAGCGGCGGAGCATCGATGAGAAACGAGTTCGGGGCACACATTTTCACGTACACAGACAAAGCGAGGCGTAGCAAACAAGGCAGAAGACGAGACCGAATGGTCAAAGGAGGGGCGAGTGATAGGAGCGAATGGTAAGTCACTGCAACTGTGAGACATGAGGACGCGGAAGCGAGGTTGCCCCGGTTTGCGCGCGTGCAATTCTTGGCGGGAACAAGGCTCTCTCGCTCCCTCTGGGAGACGGATAGACAACAACAACGACAACAACAACGACGACAGCAACTTGATACAATGGTATGACGCTGCTTTACCTTTACCTTTTTTTTTTTTTGTTTTTTTTTTTTTGTTACAAACATGCTCATAGCGTATGACGGGTCTAGCCACAGAGATCTTGCGTTCTGGCAAGCAAGCCTCAGATGCGAGGTGACTCAAACGACAGCTTGTTACTGTACCTTTGCTATTGACTGTATGGGATCAACACCAACAACTTTTAACACAATCACAGGCTCTATCATATCATGCTGGCAGGCTGAAGCCGTCTTTGGATTATCTATGTCGATAGTGACCCTTTTAATCTCGCTACGACAGGAAGAGACGACACGGTGCTCGTGATCTGGCCTGGTTGACTTTGCATTCTCCGCAGAGTGATTATCGATCGTCGATTCTTCTTTGTGGCAGCTTCCGCTTCTTTCTCTCAAACTGAGATCGCTCCATCGTCCACGTTGACGCGCGAATGTTGGTGTAAAAAAGTAGATGGCTAGAAACGAAGAGAAAGGCGAATTGCGACTTGCGGCTCAATTTAGTCCAGCTAGCTCGGGTGCGGAGAGCCAAATTGCAGGAACCTGCGCTGTTTGAGCGGACTCTATAGATCTTGCTTCCGTCGGGCGGCAAGGCTACAAAAGATGCTGCTAAGTTGACGGTGTTAGCCAGGATGGACAGCATGCTTGTACTTTCATTTTTCGCATCTCAGTGATCAGCAAGGCAAACTCGAAGACGAGTGAGGACGCGAATGTCAAAGTGCCTCTGATCCAACCCTTTGGAATACTGTATCGAAAAAGAATTGGCCCTTGCCTCGTGGAAAATTCGCTTTGCTAGCTCGCTTTCCGGCTGAATTTCAGTTGAAGATATACAAGTCCTGTATGCTAAGTTGGGCTACTGACAAGCTCCTAACATGAGTGTATAGTTTTCATGTAAAAAGTTTTTTTTTTTTTTTTTTTTTTTTTAAAATTTAAACTGTATGCTACTATGTATATGGTTATGTATATATACCTGATGATCACCTCCAAAGTTCATCAATCCACAATGAGTCACCTCTTATTGTTGCCCCTGAGTTGTGATTTCCTGTGTGTCACTATGACAACATATGTGCATCCCACATGCATTGCCACTTATGCATGGCTCCTCTTAATCAAGAACTAGCTCATGTTCCATGGACTCCATATTATTCTGTGAACCCTGTTGGGATGCCAACACATCTTTAACTACCCCTTCCGATGGCATTACCAGCCCTAACAACTGAGCTAGTTGAGATGTTGCTAGACCTTTCAGTGGCTTTGTTAGTATGTCTGCCACATTGCTTGCTGTTCCAACAAATTCAATTGCTATCTCTCCATCCTGCACATGGTCCCTGACAAAGTGATATCGAGTGTCTATGTGCTTCAATTTCCAATGTTTCGCTGGATCCTTGCTCACCTGAATGCATCCCTGACTGTCAGTGTGAAGGACTGGTTGGATCATTCCCATCTCCAGGTCCCTGAGGAGATAAGAGAAGAAAAGTGCCTCTCTTGCTGCTTCTGAGGTGGTGACAAATTCTGCTTCCACAGCCAATAATGCTACACACTTTTGAATGTGCAATTTCCAGCTAACGGGGCACCCATATATGTATGTTACTGCTCCTGATGTACTCCTTCATCCGTTCATTGGGTCTGACACCCAGTTCACATCTGTGTATGTGACGACTGGGCATTCCAAGTGCTTGCTTGATCTATCTCCAAAAATCAGTTTGTACTCACTGGTTTGGTTTAGGTACTTGAGCAGATGGATTGCTGCTTTCCATGCACTACTTGTTGGGCTTGACATATATCTTGCTAGTACCCCAACTGTGAATGAAACGTCCAGTCATGTGGTGTTTGATACCCATAATAGTTGTCCCACTAGCTCTTGGTATTGCTTGGCTTCCATCAGGTTACATTTGTCTTCCCTTGTAATATTAGCTATTCCTTGCATTGGTACCCAGGACTTCTGATTAGTCACTTGTAACCATTTGCTCACCATCACCTTAATGTAAGCTGACAGATCAAGTGACATCTTCTTCTGTGTCCTATCATGCTTGATTCTTACACCCAAGAACTCCTTCACTGGTTTGTTATCCTCTGTACCCCATTTTGCCATTACTTCCTTCTTGGTGTGGTCCACCTCCTCATGACTGGGGGACACTATGAGCATGTCATCCATGTACACTGTAATTATAGTTAGACTACCCTCAGTTCCTCTCGAGTATAAGCAAGGTGCACTCGGCATGCAATAGAAACCTATGCTTTGCAAGTGTGAATCCAATTCCACATTCCACTCTTGGCCTGATTGTTTTAGTCCATACAGTCCCTTAATTAACTGTAGAAACTTTCCTGGGGGAACCATTGTTCCAATTGGCAGCTTCAGGAAAACATCATGGTGTAGTGTCAAATTCAAATATGCCTGTTTTACATCGATGCAGTCCACCTCCCAATCTCATATGGTTGCTATGGCTAGAACTCCTCTGATAGCTTGGATAGGTGCCACTGGTGCAAATACATCTGTGTAGTCTATCCCCTCTCTTTGTGTGAATCCTCATGCTACCAACCTTGCCTTGAATTTTGTTGGGATCAAGTTTGCATCTGTTTTAATCTTTAAAACCAAATGCATGTCAACAGCATTCATCCCTTTTGGGAGGTTGGCAATTTCTCATGTACCCATGGCCCTGAGTCCATCCAGCTCCTTACACATCGCCTCCTCCCAATGTTTCTTGTCCTCTCTGGATAATGCTTCACTCACAGTTGGATCCAAGTTCTTCCATCTGTTATCATTTATTGCTGTGAGTCCGAGAATTGGACCATCAGTCTGCATCTCGGCATTGACATCATACATGGTGTATTTCATCACACCATTAGTTGAGTTCTCCTCCTCATTTGATTCATCAATCATATCCATGTCCAGGTATTCGTTGTGGGGCTTGTCAGGGGTCTCGCGCCTGAAACCCAGGTCGGTCTGTCGAGATACTCGGTGACTATCAAACTGTGCGACAGCTATTGTCTCGAGATACTCGGTGACTATCAAGTTGTGCAGTGACAGCAGGTGGCGTTTGTTGTATATACTATCGTAGGTTTCGGCTGACCTCTGTGGACACTCCGTTCAGGGGTAGCTCGGCACGATCAATATCAATGTTATGATGACACCAAGGTCTGGTGTGGGTGTTGATGATGATGAGGTTGATGGTGTTGGTGATGAGATTGGTGATGTCGATGATAATGAGGTTGATGGTGTTGATGATAAGAATGGTGATGTCAATGATAATGAGGTTGATGGTGTTGATGATAAGATTGGTGATGTCAATGATAATGAGGTTGATGGTGTTGGTGATAAGGTTGGTGGCGTCAACACGAGTGTCCAGTGTGTTGACTTGATGCTTTGAAGTGATCCCCGGACCGCAGTGGACTACTGCCTTCGGTTCTATCTATATCCGGACCGCTAACCTGCTATGGGCGCCTTCGGACGTCAGGTAGTGGTGATACAACACACACACTACGATGAGGAGCAACCTTGATAGATTGCTGCTATGCTGACTGAAACTAATGTATACTTATGCTGAAGTGATAACTAGTTATGGTGAGTAGAGTGGATGGGGATCCACTCGACCTATGATGATGAGAAAGCATGGTTATATACCTCTTCACAGCATCGCCAGCGATGCTGCTCCTGCTCTCTCTCCAGAGAGTACTTTCTTCATCGAGTACTGCTCAGGGGCCTCTCCTGCTTGGCACCCCTGTGCCTCTTGAGTGGTGTCGACTCCTTCGACACTGCTCCTCCTCCTCATGACCTGTGTCGACTCCTTCGACACTGCTCCTCCTCCTCATGACCTGTGTCGACTCCTTCGACACTGCTCCTCCTCCTCATGACCTGTGTCGACTTCCTGTCTCTCGAGCCCCTGAGTGGTAACCATCTGAGCTTGGTCCTCCTCATGGCTGCGCCTGCTCTTTGAGCTTGGTCCTCCTCGTGGCTGTGCCTGGTCCTCCTCGCATATGGGCTCAGTGCTCCTTTGCATGTGAATCCATAGGAGTCCATGGTCTCCATGGAGACTGCACTACGACCATGCTCTCTACTGGTATCGACTAGGTCTTCGATACCTGTGCTCCGTCCATATGAACCAGTGACCCTCCTGCTTCTTGAGCATTCAGGCCCATGACACGAGGGTCCAAAAGCCGAATCCATCGAGATTGGTAGTAGAGAGGCCCTACTACAGTTCTTGCTCAAATTGGTAAGAGTGGGAGCTTACAGCAAAACCCACCAGAATCAGTAGTATCATGATTGTATGACAGATCTCACTGAAACTGGCAAAAGGGGTGTCAATATCATGGATGGGTGGCAAAGATATCTGGGTCCACCACCAATGAAGCAGGGAACCTGCTTGGTAAATGATTCCAGGGCTGGTAGATGGGAGAAATGAAAGGGGGTGTGAACTATTGCTCAGATGAGGTGGGAATGACCCCTGTTGATGGTGAGACAATGTGAAGACTGTCCATCTGCAGGAAGCACAAGACATGGTGCTGGTGAGCAGCACCACAGGATGGATAGGAGGGGTAGAAAGGACAAGGAGGAGGAGGAGCAGTGCCAAAGAGACATTCCAGAGTAGGGTGCAATGTTGCATGGTGACATTGCAAGAATGGTTATATAACCTTGCTCTTCATCATAGCTGTTGAGTGGAGCTCCATCCACTCTACACCATACATTACTAGTTATAGCTTCACATAAGTATGCATTAGTATTTCCATCAACAGTAGCAATTGCAGAGCATTGCTTCTACATAGCACATGTGTTGTTTCACCACTCATTGACATCAATTGACATTCTGAAGGTGGTTCATACTGCAGTCTGGCTCTCTCGATCATTAGAACCAAAGGCAGTTGTCCACTATGGCTTGGGGATCACTTCAAGCACTCAGTCAACACACTGGACACTTGTGTCAGTGTTAACAACATCACTCACACCAGACCTTGGTGTCATCACAATACATCTATTGTTATTGATTGTGCTGAGCTACCTTTGGATGGAGTGTCCACAGAGGTCAGTCAAAACCTGCAATAGCAATCACCCTATCACATATTTGAGTGAGAAAAGTCATAGAGGCCTTCTATGACAGTTCTCGACAAGAATAATAATAGACAGCTGTTTACCACAGATCTCAATAAAATTGGTAGTAGTTCTAATTCTACTACAGATTTCAGGTTTCTGGCATGCGAGCCCTGACACACTTCAAGAGGACGAAACACATTGATATTGCCCACTTCTTCTTACAAGACAAGATTGCAAGTTGACAACTTATGATTGCTCTGGTCCAGAGCAGTGAAAACTTGGCTGACCTCCTCACTAAACCACTTGTGGCACCAATGCTCACACACCTTTGTCAAATGTTCAGACTATTAGCATTAGAAGCACATACTGGATTGAGAGGGGGTACTGAAAGAAACAATCCAGTGTGATGATATGGAGTGACATAAACAGCTACAAGGGGGATTGGGCAAAGGACAAACTAATTGGAGATCAAGGATCAGGTACAACCTAGTCCCACTCATTGTCAGATCTTGTCATGAAGTAGGATGTACCCATGTCCAGCAAGTGCCACCCAGTTTATATATATATCATGTGGGGAGCTTGAGGCTCCTGCCACATTCCTTTTCTTAGTCAATTGAGTATACATGTTTCTGTCCTAAAACAGCAGTGACATTGTGCTCTGACTCTCACTGATCGCCAGTCATTGGGACCCGTGCGATCCACCTTTTTCTCATCTATGGGTCTGGCCCGATTTCCATCTCATCATTGTTCTTGACGATTTTGCTGCGCCGATGATTCATTCGAATTTCTCTTCTACTGCTTTTTTTGGAAAGTGTTTCAAATTTTGGCCTTCTGGCTCTTGTCTCTTGTCTCCAAACCAAGACGTCTCCTCTTTCTTCCGGCTCGCCTTGCCACATCGAGCGAACGCATCGGGGCCCATCCATCATTGCTGCCACCACCGCCTCTTCCATTGTCATTGCCGCTCCTGATCCATACATCACCAGCCAGGCCCCCTCACGAGCCATCTTGATCCCAACGAGCATTCCGATTGACCCTGAACTGAACCTCACACCACTCGGCTCCGACGAGCTCTCAGCGAACATCATGTGGATCGCCGATTCCACTACCTCCGTCGCCAGGCGTCTTCGCCTTTTTCTAATCCTGCCCTCCGTCCTGCTTGCCTTTGCGTTCACTCTGACCCATGCCCATGACTCGGAGCCACTAATTTCTGGAGAGCCTGCTGTGAAGCAACGCGCTCCTGCAGCCGCTTCTTCTAATTGGCCATTTTCGATGCTGATGCTTGCTGCTCTCACCTGGGCCTTACTCGAATATGCCCAATTTGTTCTTCTTCTGATGACCGATGAAGACGCAGTCATCTCTTGCTATCAGCAGCGATGCTCAGCTGCTCAGATGCTCACCGGACAGATTGTCAAGGGCGAAGAAGCTCATGAGCTGAAGAAAGAGCCAGCGGAAGGGGAGCTGCTCCAGCCACCCAAGACTTACGGGCGACTCCCCAGCGACCATGTCTCGACCAACATCATCCGCACTCCCTCTCAGCTTTCCGATGAGTCAGACGAGAAACATCACTACCATACACGGGGTGAGCGCGGCACGCCCGAGATTCTCTCGATCTGCACTTGCGAGGAGGAAGACTATCTCGTTGCTATCGAGGATGATGTGAGGAAGCCTGACCTTTGTGCGGTACATAAGCCGGTAAGACGCCAAGAAGGGAGAGTCAAGGTCGAGAAGGAGGGTGGCGAGGATGCGACCCATCTCAAGGCTTCGCAAGGTGCCGTCAAGGTTCAGGAAGATCATGGAGAGGGATCTGCGGTTAAGTCTGCGAGTCCGGAGATGCCGATGAAGACCAACGAAGCGGGGGAGTCTGACGCTGCGGCCGACCACAAAGCTAGACATGAGCAGGCTAAGGAGGAGCATCACTTGAAGCAGGACCTCCTTCCTGCAGTCGATTCGACGCCGATCGACGCCTTATAAGTTACCGGCAAACACCAAGACCGACAACTGGCACCATCCCTCTATTATGCGTTCCTCAACAAGCATTCTTGTTCAGTATCGTCATCACGGTCCAGTCGCGCTTGTCGCATCTGTCGGTCGAAGCAATCTGAGCAAATCAAACCCGGCATACACTCCCAAACCTCGCAAGCTTCGCCAAAACATGTTCTCAACACACACACTTCGTTCGAAAGCATCTTCATCTATCGCTATAGCCTAGCATTCGCATCATCGCATGCTCACAATTCCACTTGCATTACTGTATCAGCATTCGCGTTTCTGCACCCGTATCATCGCATAAGCGCATCCACAGTCGTCATCGCCGCGTCCTGCACCATCATTTCCCAATGTACCACCACCATCGCAATCGCACTGTTCACATTCCCTCCAAAACACAGTGCATAGTCGCGCCATGCACCTGAATTCTAGCTTGAGCCATAAAGCACGGAATTGCCTCTCTCCTTTCCAACCCTGACTCCGCTCCGACCTTCACGTGAGGGAATGCGCATTGTAAAGCCCACTTCGTAGCCTCATCATTCCTCTTCCGCAGCTCGCAATACAGCTCTTCTGCGGCTCTGACCAGCCCTGGTGGCTGTCTAGCATCCAGTGCTTCCAAAAAGGAAGAATGGGTGGTGATTGCCCACGCTACGTCGTCTGGCATGTGAGAGCCCAAATGGCGGACGATAGAAGTGAGGGTGGTGATGATGCAGAGCGTGAGTTGGGCGGGCAGGGTGGTTATTGAGGGATGGATGAATGGGTGTTCGCTGTGCGTATGGATGTGGTTCCTTTTGGCTTTGTGGGTGCTGACTGGGGTTAGGCCTGAGATGAGGCCCGCGTTTGAGGTTGGGCTTGGTTCCGATGTGAGCAACGCTGGTCTCTCGCTACCGTTCAGCTGGCAAGTTTGGCCACGAGGTTGAGGTGAGGAATGGTGATACCGAGGATCAAACCTCTTCATCAACCTCAATAGCACCTCAAACCTCGGCCAAGCATCATCCAACACCCGCTTCCTGACAAAATCAGGTACCCATTCCACCGCAGCCTCAACATACTTTGCTGCTGCCACCCAAACTCCTACATCTTTTTCCACCATCTCCTTCTCCATCTTTTCAAACCACCTCGCATCTCCCTCTCTTACCCTCGCACCTATTGCTGTTGGGGTGAGATCGATAATCGGCACCAACCTCGAGCCCAAAGGGGAGGTAGAGGTGGAATAGGGAGTGCCTAGACGGGTCATAACAAAAGGCCAAGCGCTGTTGATTATTGGCAGAAGCTCCGCTGTACGTGATTGAGGAGCAAGCGTTAGAATACCATGTCGTAGAAGATGGAGGACTCGAATGCGGAGTGAGGGGGAGGGTGAAGTGAGGAAGAAGGTCGATTTGGTTAAAATTGTTGCTGAAACTTGTTGACTTTTTGTCGGCTTATCCTCCTCTTCATCCTCTTTCCTTCCCTTATTCCCGTCTGAAGTTGGAGGAACGTCATCAAAAGCTTTCGAGTCCTCTCTTCGGGCAGCTAGCCATGATTTGAAGTCTTCCACCTCTCCCCTTTCTCCCCCTCCGTTCTCGAGAAGCGATGCACGGGGTGTGGGGATCTGGGTGGACTGCTCAGCAGCCATACACTCCATAATCCCACCCAACACACCCAACAATCCATCACTCACCCCTCCATGCGAATGGAAACTATCTAACGCATCCAGCACTTCATCAATCGCATCCTCCACCATCGGCACCACTTCGCTACCCAATACTCTGATCATTTCCACCAGCACAAACGGCGCTCTTTGTGCCGACACCAACGGCACAACCACCCCCCCACCTTTCCTCTCTCCAACCCCCTCCGAAGCAAAAGACCGCAGCTCCTCATCCAATCCCCCAATTAGCCTCTGACAAGCAGAACCGAGAATGTAATCTGCATGATCAAGCAAACAATTCTTAACATCACCGTAGGCCGTGTTAAATGCAATATCCTGCATCGCTGCTGATGACGCTTGCTGTACAAGACCGGAGATGGGAGTGGAGGAAATGGAGATGGCTGAGATAAGCGGATATGCTCCACGCTGGAGTAAGGGTCGGAATGATTGTCCTAGCAGTCTCGATGATGAGGAGAGGAGGGAGAAGAGGAGAGAGTTGGAGAGGTCTAGTTCTTTTTGCGCTTGTCTGTGTCTTTGTTGTACACTAAGCTGTGTACTGGGGGTGGAGTTGGGGCGAGTGAGATCGGCGCAACGGACGAAAGCTAGGTCGAGCACAGGACCCAGGCGACTGGGGGTGGAGGAGGAAAGGTTGGTGGGGTAAAGTGATATGCCTTTTACATTTTCTACCAAAGACTCTACCTGGTCTGCGCCTGTTCGTGTTGTAAGGTCGTTAGAAGGTTTGGCTTGCGTTTCCTGTTCTGGCGCGGAGGGACCGGGAAAGGAGGAGGAAGCTTCTTCAGCATCACCATCCAAAATATCCATAACTAACCCAAACACCCGCTTCCCCAAGCTATGCGCAACTTTCCTCATCTGCCTTCCTACCTCTCCACCACCTAGTTGCATGTTATCTAACACCGTTGCTACACCTCGTGCCATGTCAGCTGCTACTACTAGACATACAGCACTCTGCTCTCTCCCAGCATTATTGTGATCCGCTCTGATTGACCGCAGCTGACCAGCTCGAGTGATGAGCGTGGTGATCATCCCAAACGCATCCCTCGCTTTTCCCTTCTTCATGGTGATGGTGGGATTGCATTTGATCTGAGCGAGCAAAGACAGCGCCAATGAGCGTCCAAGATCGCAAAACATCTGAGAGAATTGACGAGATGTGCTGCTCTCCAAACCTGCAAACGACGGTTGTAGGCGCCAAATAGGGTTAGTGTTGTCAGGGGTTGGATCTTTGGTGTAGGTGAGCTGTTCGACTTTGAGCGGGCGCAGAAGTCGGAATGAAGATACCTGAACATCGTTTGCTATCATAGCGATCCTAGCGAGATCCATTGCGCTAGACTGCTCTGACAGCAAGCTCAGAAGAGTGCTCACCCTCAGCACCAACCTCGAAACGGCCACGTCGTCATGTGCACCAACCACCGCCGGCAGCCTCTCCAGCGCAGCAATAAGGATGTTCCACAGCGCAGACCCATCTCTCAGCCTGGCCTCGAACTCACTTCCACCTTTTTGCAGAGCTTCAAATGACAGTTTAGCGTTTCGGACCGTAGGAGCGGAGTTATGGCTTGAGGCAAGATCAACAATCCACGTTAGGATTGTCTCTATACTCTTCCCTCTATCCGTAGTATTCGTGTTGGTCGCGTCAAGTCGAGCCATGGCTTGCAGCTGAGTGTCTAGCCATCCAAACGACCGTGAGCAGTGGGTGAGAAGGAGGATAGAGAGCCGCAGCATAGAAACCTGCACGGTTGAATGGGTGGAAGAGGGTAGGGATGTGCCGGCGAGAGAGGGGCTGGTCAGGGAAGAGAATGTTTTCAGCGCCAGATGCACTTGTGCTAGGGTTGAGAGTGTCCATTGCACTTCCTTGTCAGCTTTGTCGGTTGGGGTGGGTGTCGGTTGTGGTGCTTCGTCGGGGGTTGCGGTTTGGGACCCTGTCTCTGAGAGTGTGTCGAAATGTGCGAAATCTTCCAAACTTGTAACCTTGACCTCAGCACTCTCTCCGGCAGTACTGCGACTGAGATGGACGACGTCATTGCTGAGCACTTCAGAAAGACACTCATCCGCCAGCGTCGCTCTTAGCAAGTCGCCGAGCATTGAGATGCTCTCTGCCACCACAGCGCTCGGTGTAGGCTTTTGCTTCCTTGCTTCAGGTTGCGACTTTAACCGGCTTGTGGCGAGACGTGTCAGGGAGGATGTTATGCCTGGTAGAAGCGGACGTAATCGCATAGCTGATGCCTTTCTCGCCGCCTCCTTATCTGGTGAGCTGGGGAGGTGGACGCAGTGTAGCGGCGAAACCTCGAGCCACGAATCCTCCAAGGTAAATCTGGAGGGAAGCGGACACGTACCGCCGATCCAGACCAACAATGCATCCTTCGCAACGCGCATTGCAGCCGTCCTCACCTCCGTTGTCTCCTGCGACGATTCTGCGATCGCAAAACAGGAAAAGAGGACAAAACTTAGTGCTCCTTTTGCGACTCTTTCTGACGTTACGTATGCTAGGTGACCCGATGTTGGGAAGAGCAACTCCATATGTGCCTCTAGTATCTCCTTGCCCTTGCTTGGCTCCTCTGCATCCAAGTCTGGCTGTGTGGGAACGTCGTCCAAAGATGGCAGATCTGAGATGCCGTCCCATTCCCATCCTTCCTCCTCCCTCTTCTTCTCCTTTCCTGCCGGTTGCGACACTTTGAAGCGGGGCGATAGCAGCTCAGTCAGCACCTTTAATGCTGCAAGCTTTGCTTCATCGCTACTTGTTCCCTTTGCCTCTCCACCAGCTTTGCCAGGTTCAGCCAGCACGGAACTCGAAAGAATCACCAAATCGCACCAAATCTGCCACCCCTTCCCACCACCGTCGTTTGCCGACAATGCATTCCACCATCGACTACATAGCAGCGCTAGCACTTGTAGTACACCTTCTACTACCGAATCGGGTAGACTCGTGAGACCCTTGGGCGCGGAGGAAATGAGCTCTGAGAGCGGATAGAAGACGTAGTTGATTAGCGAAGGTGGTAGGGTGGGATCTTCATCTTGCGATACTAGGCGAGAAGCTGATGCGTGGTGTGAAGAGGGGCCAGTGGTGGCAGATGCGGAGAGAAGGGTATGGAGGGTTGATTTCAGCCGTCGCAAGCAAGCGATAGTTTGTTGTGTCGAGGTATGGGAAGGGGTTCGAGAGGTTAGCGAGAGAAGTTCGACACAGATTGGTTTAAGGCGTTGGAATGGTGTCGAAGCGGTAGAAGTGTTTGGGCCCGGTTGTGAGAATGGGCCTGCTGTTGAGGAGAACATCCTTGCTCATGGGCGGCTAGTATGCGTTCGGAAAGGGAAGTGAAGGGCAAAAGAAGGGTTCAACAGCGTTCAAAGGGTTCTTCTCGTGGTGGAGGAGCAATTCCGAGACCCGAACTGTTGAGGATGTTAGATTTTGTCAAGGGTCTGTCTGCCCAACTCTGCAAGTGCAACACTGATTTTTGGGTTGCTTGCACTCGATGTGGGGCAAGCCGAAATCCGCTTTGCACCGAAAAGACCAACACCAACACTACTTCTTCTTGTGTCTCACTTCATTCCTTTTCTCCCTTGACACTCCATCATTAAGACCTACTCAAAAGAATTACGAAGACAAGATGGCTTCAAACGCCTCCGCAGAGGGCGTGGTCACACTGAAAATGATCAACGAACTCCAACAGCAAGTTCTCGACAACAATCCCATCTACAAATACTTGCTTTCCGATGTAAGCTTCCCCTTACCCCCTTCTCCCCTCTATTATTTAGACGCCAGAAGTGCCCCTACTAACGCTCATCCTTCCTCCGAACCCCCTTCCTTGGTCCCCTTCCTTGGTCCCCTTCCTTGGTCCCCTTCCTTGGTCCCCTTCCTTGGCCCCCTTACAGCTAACAATCATCCACGTCTCCCCCGGCCTCATCGAAGCACAAGTTCCAGTCTCAAAAACTCTCATGAACAGCAAATCCATCCTCCATGGCTCCACTTCGGCAACCATTATCGATTGGATCGGAGGCATCGTCATTGCTTCCACTTCGCCTGATCGTTTCAAGAACCGCGGTGTCAGTGTCGATATCCATGTGACGTATGTTGGTGCTGCGAAAGAGGGCGATCTGTTGTTGATCAAGGGTACAAGTAGTAAGGTCGGAAGGAATTTGGCATTTATCCATGTTGAGATCAAGGCAAGGAAACAGGGTGGGAGGGAAACGGGGGAGGATGATAGGGTGGTTGTAAAAGGGAGTCACACTAAATATGTTGGTTGAATCGTATACTAGAGTAGAATATAGACATTGGATCGGTGCACGAAAGAAAGACTCTTCGTAGGAAGGTGCGTTTGTGGAGCAAGCAACCGCAAAGTGGACGTTGTGTGATCCGTAACATTGAGAAAGATATGTTATGTACAGTACATTGAGAGATGGGTATAGGTTTTGTGAATATATAAACAGGTTTGTGGGTGAATTGAGCCGCAATAGCATGCGCTGATCGTGGGTTGTGCCGTGGAGTCCAATCGCAAACACCGCACAGCTCCAAAGCCATACAGCAGAGATCTGCGCAATCAGGACAATCCGCTTCTTCCTAAGCGCCTGTTGTTGTTTTGTTCTCCTCTGTCACCGCTGCCGTTGCCGTTGCCGTCGCCGCTACCGCTGGCGCAGCAGACATCTGTGACGTAGCCTCATATTTCGGCAGCCTTTCCGCCTCGTTTACCCCCTTCTTTCCTTCATCCATCTTCCGCGTCCTATGCTCAGCGTCACTGTTTGCGATAGGATAATCTTCGACCGGTAGAGCACCTTGTTTCCAGCAACAGTTGAATCTACAACAGTTGTCTGCGCATGTGGAGTCGGCACCGTACGTGCCTGCATTTCCACAAATCCAAAAGGATAAAAGAATGTTAGCGGGGATGGCGGGAAAAGGGGAAAGGTGGGGAAGGGGTTGGGTGCTTACGGTTGTTGCAAATGGTATAAGAGAGCTGTGTGGCAATCTGGGCACAACAGTTTCCGAGTCCGAAAAGGAGCAATCCTAATCCGTCGGCCATGTTTGAAAGAATAGGGGAATAGGTGTCGGTGCTGGGTGAGAGAGGACAGTGGGAGTGAGTTTCAAGGGGCTGGTGATGGTGGTTAGAAGCGCAAAGACGTTATACGGCTAATCGAGTAGTGAGACTTGGGGTTAGTACCGACGGCAAACTCGCTTAACCGACGGAAGGACGCACCAATAGACCCTGAGACACCGAGTTGCAAACAAAAGAACATCACACTCTGACTTGGTAGGATTTCCGATATGAACCCCCCTGTCCACTTGACTCACTACCTCACTACACTATATGGCACACAAACAAGCAGCGACGCACACATTCGGACAAAAGAAATAGAGAAAGGCTGTGTACTACAATCATGCATTGCTATGCTATGCTTGAGAGGATAGATGACAACTAAAATGAACTACAGCGATGAGGTTTTAGCTAGAGATAGCCGAAACAGTCCTCTTGTCACCCCTCAACGAAGTGATCGGTGACCAAGAGTTCCTTGGGTCCTTTGCAAAAGTGTTTGCCGAGACCATAGGAGGAGAGCGGGAGCCTCCGTGAGCAGCAGTGCTTGCGATCACAGGCAGGTACTCGTCCGCACCGATCTCCATAGGTGCAGACCTGGGAGAGATCGAGGAAGAGTCGGGACTGCTACCGTCGGAACCATCTTCGCTCTTACCACCAATGGATGATCGGTTGTAGCGAGCACCAGCATCCGACGACGCAGAACGCCAGGATGCAGCAGCCTCGATCTTTGTGCTTTCGGGGGAGCGACGCAGCTCAGAGTCCCTGATGGGAGCAGAGAGAGGAGGCGAGAGACGCAGAGATGGAAGAGGCAATCTAGAGATCGAAGGCAAAGAAGCAGGAGCGCCGGCTCGACCAGAGCTGCTACCGATGGAAGAGCTCGAGAGACGAGGAAGCGTCAATGACTCTGTTGCACCTGCTGCGGAAGGACTACCGCTGCCTGGGGAAGGTGCGTCATTGCTGGGTCGGACAAAAAACCGAGCGGCTTCGGCAATATGGTGCTCGGCCAAGTTCCAGCACTGACGAGCGGTAGTCCACCATCGCGAAGCGTCAGGGCTAGGTCGGCTGTACTGAGTGCAAATGAGCAAGGCAGGGAAGGCAAAGAGGTTGCGACGACCAGTGATGCTGAGCACGGACAAGATCAAGTGGATGTTGTCAAGGGCTGCCTTCTGCTGACCTCGGTCTCCCTGGGGGCCACCAGCACGGCGAGCCTGCATGAGAAAGACAGAGCACTCAGCGACAAGGTGCATCTGAGCCCAGAACCAGGCACGGTGAGAGGCGGCGCTAGCCTCAGGCTCCTCAAGAAGACGGCTGGCCGACTTCATGTTGTAGTCATCAAACTTGTGCTCGACAACGAGCGCGGCAGCCCAGGACTGGAGAGCATCCTCACCCTTGCTGCAAGGCTCGTTGGCGTCAAGGACCAGGCCGAAGACAGTGGCGATCTCGGCAAGACGAGCGAATGAGTTGGTGACGTCGTCGCGAGTCTCATCACCGGAGGTGCCAAACTTGCGAGCAGCGGCAAGGACATCAGAGCGACGAACCATGGAAGGCTGGGTAGCAAGCGCAGAAATGGTCATGTCGAGGGTCCAGGCAAGAAGAACGAGGCGCTCGCAGGTAGCGCGACGAGGCCAGGATGACGACGAGAACGAGTCATGAGCGTAGCCGTTCTTGCGGGCAGGAGGGAGGTGGCCCTCAGCAAGGCGAAGGGTGGCAATGATGCGGACTGCATCGTTGGAGAAGGAGAGTGCACGCTGGATGCGGCCCATGCCAAGCTCATGTGCAGCAAGGAAGCAGAGCGTCATAGCAAGGTCGACGTCCGGACGGTCGAGAAGGGTGAAGCCATCCTGATCCTCTTCCTGAAGCATGCGACGAGCCGAGCGGGCGAAAGCCTCGCCGTGGGAGAAGCGACGCTCGCGCTCAGCCTCACTAATGCCCTGCTCGTAGCGAGCAGAGAGAGCAAACATGGCCATCAACAAGTAAGCGGGCACCTCGGAGGTGGAGAGATCACGAAGGAACGAGATCTCGTCCATGACAGAGCTGAAAGGGTGAATCTGGGAGAAGAAGATGCTGATGAGATCTCTCCTGCGCTCAGGTGCAACATTGTCGATGGTGAGGAGACCTTCGAGACGGGAGCTGATGGTGCCCAGAGACTGGGGGCTGGACTTGGAGCTGAGGGTGTTGGCACGAACGCGGCCAGAGACGTCGCTGCCACTTGGGGCGGGGGCATATGGGGCACCGCTGTATGCTGGTGTCAAGCCTTCAGTGGGGCGAAGAGTAGCACCAGAGTGAGCGCCAGGGCTGAGAGCGGTACTGGACTGGCCACCTTCATTAGCGACACGAGCAGTGGGGAGAACCATCTTGCCGTTGGCATCCGAGTAGCAACAAGTGCGACCGGAGAAGTCACAGTTGGAACAAGGAAGACCACCATCGCAGCGACGCTTGGCCTTGTGGCAAGCAACACAAGCCTTTTGGAGACGCTTGCGCTTGCGGCCAGTGGCAGCGTAGATGGTGGTGCCGTCGGCAGTGATGTGGGTGGTGCGGATGATGGGCTGCTCAGGCTGACTGGATGGGACAGGTGCTGGCGATGCGAAGGTGGGTGGCAAGGGCGAGGTGGAAGAACCGGCGTTGGCACTTCGGCGAGGCCGTGGTTCCGAGTGAGGGTGGGAAGGACCAGAGAGTGCACGGTAGGTGGAAGGCCCTGCGGAAGCAGAGTATGCAGAGTGAGCCATGTGTTGTTGCTGCTGCTGTTGATGGTGGTGGTGGTGGTGGTGGTGGTGGTGGTTGGAAGGAGCACGGTGCTGATCGCTGCTAGATGGCCATGACGAGTTGTGGTAGGTGGAGTGTGGTCTGGACATGTTGGGAGCTCCTGATGAGTTTATCTGAGTGTGATAAGCTAGATGCAAATAAATGCTCGAGTGCCAGGTGCGTTTGAAGTGGGGGGAGCGTGGAGAAGGGAGCGTGGAGAAGGGAGCGTGAAGAAGGGGAGCAAGCCAAAGCTGCTGCTACTGTTGTCTTGTATCAAATGTGGAAAAGGGCGGCGGAAGGACAAGGACGAGGAGGATACCGATGGACGATGGTAATGGTCAAAGGGGAAGGAGAGGGATAGAGGGGTGGGGAAAGGCGAGATTTGGGAAAGGGCTATATACGATCGGAGCGTTGACCACGAGGGAACAATGCCAAGACTTGGGCAGATCGAGCAGAGGAAGCGGGAATGAGGAGAGCAGAAAGAGGCAACGACAGCGGCGGACAGGATGAGGCGGCGGCGGAAGGCAAGCCAAAGGAGGCGAAGCGACGGAGGGAGAAGGTAGGTGTCTAAAATGCCAAGCATTCAGCTGAGTTTTGGACCGACGGGTTGTCCCACCTTCTGACCGCCTAAGCTGGTGCCTGAACGAGACAATCGGACACCGAAGTGGGGATAAGGGCCAGACGGGGCATGAGAAGAGAGAGAGAGAGAGAGAAGGCGAGATCACATGGGCACAAGCGAGAGGGCGAGAAGGGCGAGAAGGGCAACCATCACTGACTCGCAACTCAAAGGCCAGGCAACAAAGGAGGAGGCCAGAGGAGCTTAGGAGAGATGCGGAGACCTCACAAGGCGGATGGAAGGACGAGGGCATTAGAGCGAAGGAAGCCAAAGCCCAAATGCAAGAAAGGAAAATGCCAAGAACGGGAGGATGAGCAGCACATCGACACTCATGACACTTGGCACACACTTGACTTGATCATTTCAGCCAAGAAATCAAAGCCTGAGCCAAGACTGACGGTGTTTGCGAATGTGTGTTGCTCGTTGCATTGCACCATTCAATCTCACACGGCCAACAAGAACGCAGTACACAAGCTCTTGTCTCACAAAGCAAACCGAGGCCTTCTTTGTCGCCTTGTACAAGAGATGAAGTTGCAAACCTCCGTATCCCTAGTCAAAGACGGAACAGGGAGACACCGCCGGAAATTCAAACTTGACATGTCGCGGAATGCGCAGAAGCACATGAGACAGAGGGCTGAAAGGCAAAAGAAAAAAAAAAGGAAAGAAAAAAGGAAAGAAAAAAAGAAAGAAAAAAAAAGAAGAAAAAAAAAAAAAAAGGCGGAGCGGCGGCTTGAATGCCGGAAAGCAAGTGCCAGAGAAGGGGCGGGCGGGAACCAAGGAGCTCAAGCCCACACGCACCAATGCAAGCCAAGCAAATTCGCGCCTCTTTTTGCCCAAAGGGGGCGTGGGCCGAGTCTAAGGAAACGTTGAACCGTGACCATGCCAAGCCCTGTAGCTGTTTGAACCGTAGGCAACTTTGCATTTACGCCAAGCCTCTTTTCCTTGCAATTCTTAATTTGAATACATTTCATTCGCAATAGGGAACGTGACCTGGGCTCTAAACATTGATAGCCTCGATTTGTATTTGAGCTCGAAAGCAAAGCCAAGCCAGAGAGCAAACAGGTCTTTGTATCCACAAATCAGATCTGCTCGCTGTCCCGACTCCCGGTGTTCTTGTGCCTTTCCGTCCAATTAGAAAGCAACGAAAAGACGAAAATAAAATACAATATACAATATACAATATACAAAATACAAAATACAAAATACAAAATACAAAATACAAAATACAAAATACAAAATACAAAATACAAAATACAAAATACAAAATACAAAATACAAAATACAAAATACAAAATAGAAAAATACAAAATACAAAATACAAAATACAAAATAAAAGGGCGCTAGCGTGGGCTTGGCGTGTGACCGCCGCTTTCCTTACCGCCTGTCCCGCCCTCGTGTTTTTCTCGGATACGGGTTGGGTTTGTCAGTCTGAGGAGCTAAAAGGCGTGTCTCAAGTCGATTTAGCTGAATGAGCTTTGGACCACTCTCTTGAGAAGGTGCCTGCCAAACGAAATGCCCTCACACTCTTCGCAGCATCATCAATTTCCCAGCTATATCACTATCTCATCTATACATTCGTCCCAATCAAAGCTCGAGCGCGGAGACACATCGCAAAGTGCAAGACAGAGCGGGGAGCAAAGGGGCGACAGGCAATCCTTCCGAGATGCGCCAAGCCCTTTTTGCACCACCACACTCATCTTTCCGTGAAAGGCTTGGCAGCCATACAGCAGAGAATGTGATCACCAGATGCACACACAGAGGTGCCAAGACTTGGCAGCGTGGACCAAAGTCGACCCTGCGCTTCATGCTGACGCATACACAATCCCTGTTGTGAGGCCCACACTCGTCCGAGTATCAAAACCACCATCTGATGGCATCGACTCCGTCTATCCTGACGCTGTGTTGAAGTTGTCAAGACAAGGCAAATATATAATCTCTACTGAAGCAAAGTCTCTCACCTGCCTCCATAGATCCTTGACAGCACCGCATCCCGTCCGATCTGTCAAGTGAAGCAAGGTATCGCCTAGTCAGTACTGCGGTGGGGGACCACGCCGCTGCTGCAGTTCCTTTTCTCTTTCTCACCCTAGCTTCTCTTTTGCTTGCAGATCAACCTCACTGATATCAACCACGTTCTCAATCATAGCACTCGCCAACATGGTCTCTTACCTATGTCGACAGGATTGAGAGTGAATGCATCTTGATTACCATCATGATCATGAGACTACAGATCGATTGCCAATGATCACACACTCGACAAATCATCCGGGCGCAAATTCCTCTTCTTCTTCCCCTTATGACCCTTTGCCGCCGTTCCCGGCCCCCAATTCGGCAGTGGATTGTTCTGATACCTAACCAACTTCTCCTGAGCACCCAACGCCCTCAAAACCTCTTCCGACTTTGTGTTATCAAACTCGTACTCTCTCTTTGGCTCCTTGGCCAACAGCACTCTCGCCGGATCGTTCTCTTTCATATTCTCCATCTTTACCGGATGCTGCGTCTTCACCCAATATCTCAGCACATCGAACACATCCGCCCTCTTCGCATTCGTCTTTAACGACCCAGCAGCAGCATGGGATCTGCTCACTTTAAACCCAGCCGAAATCAACGCACTGACCATCTTATCCAACGGTGGAGAAACGCAGTGCAACAATCCCGATGCTTTGGGTGGGGTAAAGTAAAACATTGACTCCGTTCCCGATAGCTCTTGTCCTGCTAGACTCACCATACCTCGGATCCGGGCACTGGTGTGGAAAGCGGACGGGTTGCCATCCAGGTTGGAGAGCATGGATTGACAGAATTCAGCATCGTGCAAATCGCCCAACCACATTGGTCCACCGAGATGCATCCTATTCCCGCACTCATTGCATCCTTCGCCTACGGGTGGTCCCTGAGCTGAGTTGTAACGGTAGTTGATGTTGGTCTGACCAGTCTTGCCTCTCTTGGTCGTTTGCGTAGCCCGACCGAACTTTTGCACATGAAAATCTTGACAATGAGTGCAGACGTAGACAGTACCAGCCTTAGATGCAACCTTCTTAACTTCCACCGGTCCAGTCCAAACTCGGACGAAAGTGCGAAGGTAGAAATCAATCGAAAGACTCAGCATTGGTTGGATGTATCGTCCGTATCGTGCAGCTGAAGTGGCAAGGGTGTGCAGCACAAGTCGGAGGGCAACCTCGTGTGAGAATTCGGCTTTGACCGATACACCTCCGTATTGAGAGTAGCACTTTTCCGGGTAGTTGTGACCTGCGAGCACTGCAAGATCCGTGCAAGTGACGCAAAGGAGTCCACCATCGGCAACGGATTGGACTCCTCCGTCGATGAAGGGAGCCGCGGAGCCGTAGGGGTCGAGATCGACAACGTCGAATCGTTTGTTGGGTTCGCGATGCGTGTACATCAGCGTGATGGCATCGCCGGCATTGAGTTTCACTTTGCAGTCGGGGTGGATTGCTGCAGTTGCGGTCCATGCTTCTGGCTTTTTTGCGGGCTCGGCAGAGGACGGTGCTGTTGTTGTTGCTGCCTCGCTTTGTTCTGTTGCAGTGGTAGTGTCATGATTGGGCTCGGATGCTTCAGCAGCAGCTTGTGCTTGTGCTTGTGCTTGTGCTTGTGCTTGTGCTTGTGCTTGTGCTTGTGCTTGTGCTTGTGCTTGTGCTTGTGCTTGTGCTTGTGCTCGTGCACGTGCTTCGTCCTCCCTCTCCGCAAGAGCATCTTCGTCCATAGCCTCGCTGTCTTCACTCTCTTCCGCCTCGCTCCCGGCTTTGTTTCCGTTCAGTTCAGAGACGATCCATTCATCCACTGGACGATCAGGTGGGAAGTTGAGTGCAACATTCCGCTTCATCGCCTCCACAGCAGTGGGTGAAAGATCATTCGCCAGCACCCATCGCAGCAAGGGAATCTCTTTAGCGTATCGAATACTTCGAAGTCCCGTTGCACTTAGCGCTTCCAACAGAGTGAATTTGTAGCTTCGACATTCCTCTTCGGCAGATGTTGCCGGCACAACTGCACTCAGGATCGCTTCCACTTGTGCCCTTTCCCCGGCAACAGTAGCAGCGGAGCCCGAAGCGCTGGCACCATTCTCATCAACACGTGCCTTCTTAGCATCAGGTTGTCCCTCCCCTACAGCAGGCTTCTCTGCACTGGTGCATCCATTCGCAGCCAATTCCCCCTTCCGTTTCGACTTGCCCTTCCCCGCCGTTGCAGTCTTGCGTTGTGCTGCTCGAACAATTCTTGCTTTCTTCTCAGCATCCAGTCTCTCGCTCCAAGTGCGGATCGCGAGCGTCGAGAGATCACGGTTGAACTCTTGCACGGGGTTAAGGAAGGCAGCTTCAGCGGAAGGCATTACGATCGTGGCCGAGTTCTCGCGAAAAGCTGATTCATGGTCGGCTAGGATGATGCCAGAAGCTCGAGCACGCTCCGGAGCGAGCAAGATCGGTGTCGGTGCCATACTGCTGTACTTCCTTGCCTCCAGATGGGAGATTCGGGTGGTTGTGGTGAGGAGCGAATTGGCGAATGGGCCTTGAACGATCGCTCGTGTGGTGGAGGAGAAGGCCATGCACTGACTTGCAAAGGGGTCTTTGTGATGATGAAGTTAATCAGATGCTAAGTGGTTTAGGGGGACTATCTGCCTGTATACAGACCCTTGATTTCGCCTTCCTCTTGTCAGAATCCGATGCTATGCTGTTGTCGTCAGTAACGGCGGTATCGTCTGGGTAGTGTGGTGAGCAAGTCTTGAGAAGATCCTGAACCCTGTCCCACAAATTCTTCGATAGCAAACAATGCAGCAAAAGATAGAGCAGGAAAAGAAAAAAGAAAAAAGGAAAAAAGGAAAAACAGAAGAGCATTAGCTGCTGTGTCCGACTGCCGAGAATAAAGTCGGGTCCCGATTAGGAACCCCGATTTCACGATCCAGACAACACAGCTGTCGCTAATTCTGAGCATGCCAAGAACGGCGTTATACGGCAGGCGCTGAGAGGGGAAATTTGGCTGTGAGAGCAAGAAGAGGAGTGTGGAGGTTTGCGGCTGTGTCCCAGAGATGCCGACCCTTGCTCTCGGCTTTAATACAACTTATCTGATCCCATCTTCACAACTTTCCTCATCGCAATCATCACACCTTGTTCGCCACCCACACGCACGAGCGTACAAGCTACATCTGCATATATACCACGCCACCAGACCATCGATCGCATACCTGGAACCAAACCTGGAAGATTGCCATTCATCAGCCTAACTCACACTCATCGATATTTCTCAAAGCATAGATCTAGCCCAAAATGGTAAGTCTCCTCTCCCGCACCCATCATTGCGTTGCGTTGTCAATCGTTCTACTGGCTGACCCCCCTTTCTCTCCTTTTTCTCCTCTGCACTGCTTTCCCTCGAATTTTAGGACTTCTGCTTCTTCATCCCAGTCATCTTCGGCTGCCCCACCAAAATGAAACAAGAAGGAGATGGCACAGCACGTGTCTGTCCTCGATGCAACAACGCCCAGGTTGTTCAAGCCAAAGCACGAACCTGGTTCGAACTCTGCTGGATCCCTTTGATCCCTATGAAGACAAAGCATGTCTTCTTCTGCAACATTTGTCAATGGCAGTCTCCACAGGACGGTGGATTCCAACCACAGGTAGCAGGTGGAGGATTCGGTGGTCATCAGGGTCACCCGCAACAACCACAGCAGTACGGATACGGTCCGCCGCAAGGTGGTCAGTATGGTTATCCCCCTCCGAAGCATTGAGAAGGAGGCTAGGTGGTAGATTGTGAATATGGTTCTGTTTGTTGTAAATAGTACTTGGATCGGGTAGCTACGACTCTTTGATTCCATTCTTCCCTGGGTTGCAGTTTGTGCTGAATGGAGTGTACACGAAAGGTTCCTTGGGAGAAATACATGAACGCCCACTTGTCTCAGCAGCAAGGTTCAGCAGTACGGCATCGATCAGACATTTTGAAATCACCATGCTTCCCTTGAATTTCAATGCATCTTAGCCTAGTTTACAAACTTATCACTCTTGATCATCTCATCGATCTTCTCCTGCGGTACGCCATCCAACCTGGTCAAAAGGTAATCCACCTCGACCTCCTTCGTCAGCGGAATAACGAATGTCTTGTAGATGCGCACCACCGTGTCCACCTCAATCTTTCGTTCTTTTTCCCTCTCCTCCACATTCGCACCTGGTCGATCCATATCTTGACCATACACTTTCGCTTTCTCTGCGAGCCGTACCAGAAGGGCAGCTTCAACAGCAGGTTTTGTGATGAGTCCAGCAAGTGCTTCTCGATTAGGGTTGAGGATGTGTGGGATGAATGCCGCTGGTTCGGCGCGAAATTTGGACTCGGAGACGAACATTCCTGCCAACACCAACACAAAGGAGAAGAGGGTCAAGTGTGAGTTGTTGAACGAGCGAGAACTGAAAGAGAAGCGGAACTTACCGAAATGAATTCGACGACTGAGAGCTGAAAGGACTTCCATGTCTCGAATGGCTGAGGAGCCGTAGTGTCCGTCATCCGCGTTCTTTCATTTGTTGCACCACCAGTATGGCAAGAGAGATAAAAGGTCAGCACTAGAAAGAGATCAACAAGATCAGCATCGAGCAAAAAGAGATGACTCACCTCACCAAGTGTCTTTGTAATGTCTGGAATGATTTGGTCGACGTAAAACTTGAGAATCTGATCATTGACATTGACCGAATGCTTCCACAGCAGCTCTGGGTATGTCACCGGTGCCAAGATTGGCTTGGGCAACAGCTTTGGGTCTGTGAATGGGTACTCGTCCGGGCTGTTTCAATGCACGATACAGAATGCAAATCAGATCAGCGAGTCATTCATGCAAAAGACACTGTAGGAATCGAGTGACTTACGCTTCAAAACGGCGCACTTTTGCATGTGTACTTTCCGTCTCCTTCAAAAACCAAGCAAGCCAAGAGCTATTCCAACCTTCTCTCTCCTTCAATTCTGGAAACCCATCGGGGAGGTAGCATTTCGCATTGCGTGCGAATTGCGCGCGTTCGATGAGTTGATAGATGATGGTCTCTTCGAGTCGAATGAGAACGGCACGGATGTTTTCAAGAGAAAGAATCTCTTCTGTAGTAGCAGAGTGAATGTCGAGCGTATGCATGTTGCTGTGACTGTTCATCGCCTATCTTTTTTTTTTTTTTTTTTTTTTTTTTGCTGGCGACGGGTGTTAAGAGCAGGAAGAGAGAAGGGATCTAAGGGGTCCGAAAGGTCGCTTTTGTATGCCTGCGAGTCTCGAGTGAGTAAGAGAGTGTGCTAAAAGGTGGGCTCGAAAGAAGGCTTTCGGCAGGCCAGATTCGAGTCCGAGAATGCTGAGTCGTGAGTCCGTGGGTGACGTGGTGTGTTGTGATGGGAAAGGGTGTGAGGAAAAAGAGGGGTCCGATTGACCGAAAGCGATGGTCCAAGCACTCGAAGAAAGCTTTCCAGTCTTCTGGCGCTTTCAGCGGCTGTTTTTTAGAATTGCGCCTCAAAATAACGCAGCAAGCGCAGACTCGGCTTTGCTACTAACCGAATCATGTTTCTTCGTCTTGGCCACCCCACCATCCCTTGCTGCGCCCACCATTACACTCATCACGCCATTGACCATCAGACCGCCATACTTTCAGACATGAAGCTCACGTCTCACATACAGTCCTGCCACCTGGTTGACACCGATGGTCAGGACGTTGAATGTTTTGCTATGTTGTGGAATGAGTTGTTTTGAACAGCGGTGGGACGACGATGACTGCGTCGGAATAGCATCCTTGCTATGACAATGCAGCGGCAATCGGGTTGCGGTTCGGGTTGCGGTTCTTACGCGACTTTCGCTCGAGTCAGAAGGCCTGCATTCACACCGTTGGCCCTTGGAAATGCTTCCAAGCATTGCGCATGTGCTCGTACTTGGTAAAGTCGATCACGCTTGGATGTGCCAATTGCAACAGGTATCTGCGAAGTCCGATGAACTCGGTATCGAAGTTGGGCGAGTCCTTGTATGGCTTGATCTTTAGCCCGTTGCGAGGGTTCATGGCAAAGTTGCGGCTCAGATCGTCAATGTGGATCGTATTGTGTGGTCCGTAGACATCGGGCCACCTTCGCCAGATAAATTCGAGTGCCTTGACTTCGTGTGTTCCTGCTTTCGATTGGATCTTGAACATGGGTGTACGGTCGATGACAAACGAGATGCTGTAGTCCGGATTTCCTAGCATGTTGAGTTCGATCAGCTTGACTTCGAGCCAGCGCCACGACGTCTGCGACCATACACAGATGTCGTAGTAGGGGTAGACAGCCTTGAGCATCTCGTGCAATCCGGGTCGCGCGGCTAGAGACGCTGGCAAGTTAGGGTCCAACAAGCGTTTGGTGTCCGCAATGCAATAATCGAGATCGAGCACGAGCAGCTTCTTGCCGGGTCTGGGTGGATTGATGATGGGAAAGTCGGAGAAGCGCTGGATTGTCTTTTCCAGCTTTGCACGGTATTTGGGATCTTGGTGTGGCTTGAGCTTTGGTTCTTCAGCTTTGGGGAGGTCGAGGTAATCGAGATCTTCGTTGACATCTACTTGATCGCTTGAAAGTGAAGTCGGCGCGGCTTGGTCTTTGAAGCGACCGGCCTCTGGTGTGCCAAGTAGCGTGAACTGGACAGTGAGCTTGCATGCCTGATCTGCTTCAGCTGCAGTGTCTTTGGTGGTAGACTCTGCCTTGGACGCAGTGGGGCGGGCTCTTAGCGCTGCGGGTGCATATGGAATGGTGCCTAGCAGAGTGCCATCGCTTGGCTGCTTGCCTTTGACCATGCCTAGCAGCTTCTGGCTTTCTGGCGGGACATCGGTCATCGAGAAGAGAATCGCCTTCAGGTCACCCACCGTCTCATCTTCGGCCAACCTTGCGGAGAGCATCGAGCCTTGGTATTTGATGGAAAATCCTATCACGGGAGCATCCTCGACTGTGTCGGTGCCATCGTCTTGCTTGTCGGACCGCAGTGTCAGCCTAGAGGGTCCCGCCTCCGATGCTGCTGACGAGGCTACTGCAGTTTCTGCTGAGCGCACCGTCCCCGCATCCAGGTGCGAGTCTGTCATCTTTGGACGTTTCTCTGTGACTTCTTCTTGTGGCTCTAGATATGAAGGGGGTTCGCTTTAGTCCTTGTGAGCTGAGGGATGCTAAAGAGGACGATCCAACGTTCTATCGAAAGGTGAGCCAGCTTGACATCAAAGGCGACCGAAGCTGATGGACAAAGTGTTGCTGCGTAGTTTCAGACGACCCTGTTTGTATTCGCAGAGGTGAAGCTAGATGAGCAGAATGCAGTCTGCGTTGAGTCGACAAGGAAGAAGAGTCAGCTGTCTGAGCTTCAGTGATCTTGCCGGCGCCACAGTGAGTGTGACACTGTGTCTGTGTGGAGGCTTCGGCGTGTTCACAAAGACCAACACTTCTCCAGTCACTTGAACTTTTGAGACAGCAACACGTGACACAGGCACGCCCATGGGTAGCAATGTTTGATCGACATCTCTCACATTCCGGCTCTTGCATTTGGCAGGGTGACATGTTCCTGAGACTGTCAAACTGCACAGAGACGGGAGAGCGGCAGAAATGCACTTGCTATCGTGGGAAAGACGCGCGCACTTCAGACCAACACAGGCGCACAAACGCACACACTGCTGAAAATGACGATCCAGTGTGACGCTAAAGGACGACGCGAAGCCGACCTGATCGGAGATCAGGCAGGGCCGATCCGATTAGATGACCGATTTGATCAGAGATCGAGGATAACCGGTCTCACTAGAGATCGGGTACATCCAAGTCCTGCTCATTGTCAGGCTGGATCATTAACTATAGCAACTCCCATATTTGGCATGTGCCGCTCTTATGTATATATATATCAAGCTGGGAGCGCTAGGCTCTCGCCATGTTCACTTAAGGGGGTATCAAAGTTTTTGCGATTTTAAAAACGCGGGTTTTTTCGAGAGCGTGTTTTTGGAGGGAATTTGAACCCCCCCCAAGGAAAAGTGGGTTTCCAAAATTGCAATGAAATCATACAGCCGATAAAATGCATAACCTAACAGTGGTCATGTTACTTGTCACTCTCATCGCTATTACCCATTGCTTGCTTATATCTTGCTTTCCTCTTCACACAATGCACTCAATGTAATGTTTCATATGGTGGTGAGAAGAATTGTATTGAACAGAAGAAGAGAGAGTGCCTGTCAGATCAAGAATGGTTGTGTCAAAACTTGCTCCTGTCTCCGAGCTGATGTGCTTTGAGTCATGGCAATGTAGTCCACAGTAGTCCTCTCATGACATTGAGACAATGCAGTAGTGTCTTCCTCATTGCGCCCAGTGGATCTGAACAGCACCTGGAACAAACCCTCTTGAAGATCATGTGCAGCAGAACTTCGAAGTCTTGACACTGCATACTGTGACATTCCTTGTGTTGCAGTGGCAAGATCCAGTTTGTATTCCTGCTGATTTGTGCGTCTTGTCCTCCTGAGCTCTTGTGTATCACTGGCATCAAGTTGGAGGCTTTGAACAACCTCACTCACCTCATCCTCAGAGAAAGAGGGCAACAGCAGGTCGGCAATATCAGCAGGATGGTCATATTGACTTGCAAAGGTGTGGGCAACAATGCAGGCTTGGATCGTCTCGGCAGCAGTGATGTGGTCCTTGAAATGGTAGATGTTACCACGATAGCCTGTAAGGCACTGGAAGTGGTTCTTCAGGTATGCAATGGCATGTTCGACTTGTACTCGGACTCAAGAGAGCATGTAGTTGAAGTGTCGAAGGTCTCGACTCTTGTCAGCAGCAATGTGAGAGAATGGTCCAACTGTGAAGGCAGAATGGCCATATCCACCATCAACCCAGATGAACTCACCATCATCAAGGTACAGGCGAGGCTTCTTCAGGATGTTGCTGCCTGAGGCCCAAACCTTCGAATCCTGAACACTGCCAGGCTGTCCAACAACTGATTCGACAATCCGCAGTGAGTGTGGCAGGATCACCAGTGCTACATTGATGCTGTGGAAGCCTTTGTAGCAGAAGTGCTCTCAACTGAGCACTCCTGGCTTCCAGGCAAGAGGGATGTGTGTGCCATCCACCACAAGCCAGCCCTTACCCCACTCTTCAACCCCAGTTGTATTGCGCACCCAGGCAGAAGCATGTTGTCTCTCTCCCTCTGAAGCAAACTGCATGACCTCGTTGTTTAGCTCGAGGAGGCCAGCGACTGTGTGATTGGTGTATCCAACAATGCTCCCAACACCGCAACCACATTGCAAAGCAGCATCACGTTCACCACCTCCATTTCCAGAATGGCTGAGTCTGTACAGAGCCACTGAAAGAATCTCTTGCACTTTGTTGAGAGACATCACACCTGAGCTGCTGTAGTTCCACCGGAAAGCCTCTGTTTGCTGGAGTCAGATGGCAAGATTGTTGAATGCTTCAGGCAACATACAAACAAGTCCATGATACATCCTATGATTGCTTGATTTGTACCTGTTGAGAAGGTGGATAAGCTTATTGGCATGGCCAAGAGGAGTGCAATGTGTGATTGTGTACCTTTGCTTGCATATGAAAGTGTACAAGCAGACAAGGTGTCATGAGAGTGGAATTGGGTCGCCATCATCATCCAAGTTGTTGATGTCAGTGCTGCAGGAGTGCTGCACTCTGTCGGTGTTTTGGATGACCTCCGCAGGTATAGAGAGCTCGAGAGTGCAGACAATGTCATTGAGAATTACTTGCTTGTTGCTGTAGCACACCATGGCTGGAAGGAGGAAGGGAGTTGGAGAGGGAGCATGGAGAGGGGGGATGGAGAGGGGGGATGGAGAGGGGGGATGGAGAGGGGGGATGGAGAGGGGGGATGGAGAGGGGGGATGGAGAGGGGGGATGGCAGCAAGAGTGATGCTGAAAGGTTGCAGAGTGGAGTGGTGGTAGTAATGGAAGAGGTGTGAGAGTGAAATTTTTTGTTTAAATGCTTTTGAGCTCATTATGTGACTGTGCTGCACAGCATTTTTATTCACCTCATACTTGCACTCTACAGAAAAACACTCAGAAATGACTTTGCATTGAGACCAGATGATAGTACATGTAATGCTACAAGACAGGAAAATTGAATGAAGAGTCCATGTTGTTGTTGTTGTTGCTGGTGTTCTGACAAGCATCCTGTTTGATGCTGGCCTGAGAAGCAAGGAGGCGCACCATCTCCATCACCATTTCATGATCACATGTGCAAACACATTCATTGTGCTCTTTCTCCTCCCTCTTGTGATGCAGGTGCATCTCCTTGCGCTTGGTATGCTCAGCCTCCAGTATTTTCTTGTGTCTGGTGCATTCCTGTTCAAGCTGCAGGCAGATCTGAAGGGTATCAATGGAAGAATGATAGAAAGCTTCAGCAAGTGTGTCATGCTTGTGATCAAGGGCACCTCGCTTGTGCTTGGTGCTGGGAGAGAGCTGGGCTGAAGATTGAGAAGAGGTGGAATCAGAGACATCCAAACCGCCAGCAGTGGAGGAAGGTGGTTGAGCCTGCAAAGGTGGAGATGAAGGTGTGTTAAAGATGTCATCATCACCAGCGCCAGCAAAGGATGCACCAGAAGTGGATGCAACAGCAGCCAGGGGGTTGGTGGGTTCGATCAAGTCAAGAATAGGAGGCAAACCACAGCCGTGAGTGCTGTGATCATACAGCTCGCTGCCACAAATATCCATGGGTATGTCAGCTGTGCCATTTGAAGGCATGTCAGGCTTGTCATCACTGGTGAAGTCAAGACTGGGAGTTGTGATAAGTGCTGCAGGATCAGCATTGAATCGGCCATTCATCATCTCGTGCATCCTTTCAAACCAAGCATACTTTGTTGACAGGGCAATGCGAGATATGTAGGACTGTTTAAAATTGAAAGTATGAATCAGCATCCAAGCATACTATTGCAAGCAACGAAGATCACCAAAACTTACTGGGTTGGATGCATCCATGTCCTCCAGCAGTGTACCAGCTCCAGTGGGTGAAAGCTTCTTCTTCTCCCTGTAGTATGTCTCTAGCAGCCACCTCAGCTTGGACTTGATGCAATTGGGATCGACAGATGCACCTGGGAAAATCATCTTGGAGATATCCCGAAAAATGGGATGTTTGTGAAGTTTGAGGGCTGGATCACTCTCAGCCGATTCTCGAGATGGCAGCAGAGTGTGCTGGTAGGAGTTGTTGTTGTAGAGGATTGTGACAAGGTGAAGAACATTGGCACCCGACCATGTCAAGTTCTTCTTGCCTGTGGCAGATCTAGAGGCTCGAGTTGGACAGGAAGTGTGGATGTCAGGAGCACTTGTAGAACCAGATTGAGACAGTGCAGGCATGCTTTTGGTCTGAGTTGCAGAGCTTGTAGGTGTAGTGGACTGGCATAACAACTCTGCAGAGATGTCACCAGAATCATCAGTGGAGGAGGTCATGTTGAATGAGCGCAAGGAAGAGGGAGTAAGCAAAAGTGCGATGAGATTGAGAAAAGGAGAGAAGATGTGGAGTGATAAAAAAACCGTGTTTTCGCAAATGCACCTCCTGAGCTGCATTTTTGAAAATGCGGTTTTTTTTTTCCCTTTGCAGAGCTTATGTAAGCTTTTGCGTTTTTTTGAAAAATGTGCTCTTGAAAAAACCCGGGTTTTTAAAAATGCAAAAACTTTGATACCCCCTTTAGTCAATTGAGTATATTTGTTTCTATCTAAAACTAGCAGTGACATCGTACTCAGATCTACCCGATCGCCAGTTATCGGGACCAAACTTCAACACACACATGTCCTTTCCGCTTTGCTTTGTTGAACTTGAGCTTGAAATTGGCCTTGCCTGCCGAAAGCGTGGATCGTCGACATCATCCTTTCCTACAGCATCATATTCCGCCCGCCATTCTCATCCTCCTCCTCCCCTTCACCTTAAACAGCGCTCTCAGCTTCCGCTTGCCCCGAAAAGCCCTCGACGTCTCGATCGAGCGGAGGATCTGCAATTCATAGGACGCACAGCTGTTTGGGTTACAACCAACGAAGCACCGCGGTCTGAGCGCAAGAAAACCGCAACGACTCGATCACCGTTCTTTCGACAAGAGACTTTATACTGATATTTCGACACTACCTCAATCATTCTTCGATCACTAGATTCGCTTCTCAACCATGTCCAATAACATCAAGGTCGTCTGTCGTTTTCGTCCGCCCAACTCGATCGAGCAGCGCGAGGGAAGCGACATTGTCGTTGATTTCAGCCATGACGGTTCCTTGGTCAAGATGACTCGTGGGGCCTCCACCTCGGGTCCAGAAGCAGGCGGCTTCGTCTTCGATCGAGTCTTCCCCATGAACACCATGCAGCGAGATGTCTTTGAGTTCGGCATTAAGGAGACCGTCGATGACGTTCTCAACGGCTACAACGGTACCATCTTCGCCTATGGTCAGACTGGTTCCGGTAAGACCTTCACCATGATGGGTTCTGACATCGACAATGATGACCTCAAGGGTATCATCCCACGTATCACCGAGCAGATCTTCGAAAACATCATGGCCAGTCCACCGCATCTCGAATACCTCGTCAAGGTCTCGTACATGGAAATCTACATGGAAAAGATCCGCGATCTGCTCGCACCACAGAACGACAACTTGCAGGTGCACGAGGAAAAGAATCGCGGCGTTTACGTCAAAGGTCTCTCCGACTTCTACGTCGGTGGTCAAGCCGATGTCTACGAGATCATGCGTCAAGGTGGACAAGCTCGTGCCGTCTCTTCCACCAACATGAACGCCGAGTCCTCTCGTTCACACTCCATCTTCCTGATCACCATCCAGCAGCGTAATACCGAGACAGGTAGTGTCAAGACCGGTAACCTCTATCTAGTTGATTTGGCTGGTTCCGAGAAGGTGGGCAAGACCGGCGCCAGTGGTCAAACGCTCGAGGAAGCCAAGAAGATCAACAAGAGTCTCTCAGCGCTCGGTATGGTCATCAACGCCCTCACAGACGGCAAGTCATCGCACATTCCTTACCGTGACTCGAAACTCACACGTATCCTGCAAGAATCGCTCGGTGGTAACTCGCGTACTACACTCATCGTCAACGCCTCGCCATGTGTCTACAATGCCGACGAAACACTTTCGACACTCCGATTCGGTGTACGAGCCAAAAGCATCAAGAACAAGGCACGAGTCAATGCAGAACTGTCTCCTGCCGAGCTCAAAGCGTTGCTCAAGAAGGCCAAGGCCGACAACGAGAGATACCAGCAGTACATTGCCAACCTCGAGGCAGAGCTCAAAACATGGCGTTCGGGCGGCAAGCTACCCGAATCCGAATGGGCCGATGCCAGCAAGGTCGTTTTGGGTCAGGGTGCACCTGTCTCCACACCATCATTGGCAGCCACTCCCACAAGTCAGTCACGTCCGCTTACACCTGCTGTCGAGAACTTGCGCGAGCTTGCCTTGCGGCCCGAAACACCGTCGGCTGTGTCGATCGACAAGGACGAGCGCGACGAGTTTTTGCGCAGAGAGAATGAGCTCAGCGACCAGATCGCAGAGAAGGAGGTGGCACTCAAGACGGCAGAGACAGCACTGCGCGAGGCTACACAAGAGCTTGCTTTCTATCGCGAGCAAGAGGCTACGCTCTCCAAGGACAACAAGTCGATGACCTCCGAGATCAACGAGATCAAGCTGCAGCTCGAGCGCGTCACCTACGAGCACAAGGATGCCACCATCACCCTCGACATCCTCAAGGAGCAGAACAAGGATCTTTCCACCGAGCTCGAAGAGCTTCGTAAGTCGCTTGCCGACACTGCCAAGAGCGTCAGGGACCCTTCGCAGGAGGGCAAGGAGCGCAAGAAGGCCGAGCGCATGGCCAAGATGATGGCCGACTTCAACCAGGGCATCGTCTCGGAGAAGGAGGAGCAGATCCGCGACACACTCAGCAAGCTCGAAAATGCAGGCCCCCGTGTTCTTTCTGCCGACGATCTCTCTACTCTTCGCGAGCAGCTGCTCGAGTCGCAAAGCTTGGCACGAGAGCAAACCGAACGCGTTCGTCAGGCACACGAAGAGAACGAGCTGCTGCATCAGCGACGACAAGAGCTCGAGAGCCGCTTCGCTACGCTCGAGGCCGAGTACGAGGAGTTGCTCGACAAGTCGATCAAGGCGGAAGAGGCCAATCACGTCAATGTCGACATCACCATTCAGGATCTCAAGGACAAGCTCGAATCGCAATACGCATCAAAGCGTCAAGCACAAGCGAGCGAAATCACCGACCTCAAGCGCCAGATGGAGCTCAAGGCCAAAGAGATTGCCGTGCTGTCGTCCAACAACGACAACCTCAAGAGCACCAACGAGGAGCTCAAGCGCGCCTTTGCTGTCACCACAGCGGGTGTCAAAGGCGGACGTAACCTGGCCGAGTCAGCACGCGAATTGGAGCGTGTGCGCAAGACCATGGCTGCACAGCTGTCCGAGTTTGACACGATGAAGAAGTCGCTGATGCGCGATCTGCAGAACCGATGCGAAAAGGTGGTCGAGTTGGAGATCTCGCTCGACGAGTCGCGCGAGCAGTACAACAATGTGGTGCGCAACAGCAACTCGAAAGCACAGCAGAAGAAGATGGCGTTCCTTGAACGCAACTTGGAACAGCTCACCAATGTGCAGAAGCAGTTGGTGGAGCAAAACAGCAGTCTCAAGAAGGAAGTCTCAATCGCCGAGAGGAAGCTGTTGGCAAGGAACGAACGCATCCAAGCATTGGAACAGCACCTTATGGACAGCCAGGAGAAGCTCATGCTGCAGAACCGCAAGTTCGAGGAGCAGCTGCAGGCTGTCAAGGAACGCCTGCATCAGGCCAACCAGATGCGTGGACCTGCTGCAGCAGGTGCCGCACCAGGGCCCTTGGCCGGCTTTGGGCGTATCGCCAAACCGTTGCGTGGTGGTGGACCCACAGCAGGTCCTCAGCCCGGCTCTGTCGCCGCGAGACAGGCAGCCTTTGGCAATGCTGGTGTCGGACCGAACGACAACTCGCCCAAAGCCCGATCCAGCTGGTTCTTCTCGTCCAAGTAAAGACATGACACAGCCCTCACACACATCTACATACCCGCTCGCCACATTCCTTTCCATTGATAATGCATAGGGAGCTATTCTACCTCACACCCTTACGAAGCATGATGCTGTGTTGAGCATTCGATGGCCGGGGAGATTACAGACCATTGACCACTTTGTGAGAAGTATTAGCGATTCAAGGAATGCAACGAAGCATGTCCAAGCTTTGCTGTTGCATCAAGAAGCAACAAAAAAGGGGAAACGAAAAAAAGGGCCCAAAACAAGGCTCAGCAAATCGGAAAAGTGGCGGCCATTACGGAATGGAGAAAGAATGTTGAGCTTTGACACTTCCTCCCACCTACTCTCACAACGACCACTCGCAAGATGTTGCTCCGACAGGCTCTCAGAAACAACTATGCGCTACGAGCGCAGCTGCCGCGCTCCTTTGAGGCGACTTCGCTCCGAACATGCCCTCCCGCAGGTAAGTTATCGATCCGTGCCAAGGAGTTAGGAACGCACGAGCAGTAGCTGACCCAATCTCTCGCGATACGTCGTCCTGCCACACAGCCACCAACCAACAAGCATGGCCTCGTTTCTCATCAACGGAAGCTCCGTCGAGCGAAGATCCGGAAGCATTGCTGTTGGCCAAGGTCAAGTCAGGGATCAAAGAGGCGATGAAGGCGAAAGACTCGCTCACTTCGACAGTGTTACGTTCGATCGTATCCGAACACCAATACTCGGCCAAGCAAAAGGGAAACCAGGTATCCAAGGTTTCGAAACTCATCACAAAGGCGATCAAGCGAAGACAGGAGACAGCAAAACAGTTTCGTGCCGCCAAGCCTCCTCGTGAGGATCTTGCCGAACAGGAAGAGAAGGAGGCTTCTGTTTTAGAGAAGTTGCTTCCCGAGAGCAAGTGATACAACTGAAAGCAATGCAAACACCATCATCGTCTATCGTATTCGGCGAGGTTCTTGAGATCTTTGAGATCGGCAGTGAGGATATGAAGACAAGATTGATGGTTCTGATGAGCTGATGAGCTTCTCCTGCGATTTGTTAGACCGCGAGAATGTTTTGCTCGAAAATATATTTCGTGTGAGCGGAGCAAGAAAAAGGTGGAGCGAAAGAAGAAGAAGGGCATAACGTCACACAGCAGCCATGCCTACACTCTGCTCCAAGCTCAGTCACACTTCTTCGTTCTCTGGAACCCCTTCTTCACTTCGAAACCCATATCTGCTCAAAGCTCATAGACTCTGGAACACCGGTCCGGACAGCTTAGACTACTCCCACGCAAACGCAAGGAAACATGTCACGACATCGCGCTATTCGCAACCTGGACCTCGACGAGGAGCTGGCCGAGGACGACTACTACGATGAAGATCCTTACGGTATGTTAAAGCTGCGAACGATACTGTCAGATGAATGCTTGTCAACTGACTCCTAGTTGAATTGACTTTCTGTGCTGGTAGACAATCTTTCACCCGAGGACCACGAGTCCATGACCGAAGCATACTCACAAACACTTGACCTACTAGGACCAACCAGCACGAACGGTTTCACAGAGCGCGAGATCAAAGACATTCTCTGGGACGCCTACTTCGACGTCGACTCAGCAGTCACACAACTTGTCGAAGAGAAAAGCAGAAGAGAAGCCAAAGCAGAAAAGGATCGTCAAAAACAAGGTAAGTAGTAGAAAAGCCAGGCTCGGTGCGGTCCCTTTCGACAAACAGTAATTCCTTGGCACCCTTTGCAGGCAGAATATAGTTGCCGGTCAACCGAACGGGCCGAGCAGGCTGAAGGCTGCAGGCGAGCGATGGAATCTCAAATCTGAAACCACTTTCCATTACTGCCGATGCTGCGGTCACAGAGAGCGATCACATGCATCTTGACAACGACGAGGAGGGACCGACAATAGAGGCATTCAAGGAGCTTTCGTTGCAACGAGATCGACGAGCAGAGATACGTGGCGGGCGTGGCATGCCAAGAGGCAAGGCGCAGGGTCTTCGTCGTCTGGCCACAGGCGGTCGTGCGGGCCTTGCGAAACGCAATCTAGCCAACTTGGCTCCAGATTTCGTAAAGAACGCACAAGCCGGCCCCTCACAAGCACCCTCCAAGCCAATGTCGAAGCTGTATGCACTGGCAGCTCGATCAAGTGCAAAACGTCCTGCAGAAAACCCTCCACCCAACGCTGGGGATCGACCTCGACCTGCTTCGCCAGCGCCCTCCACCGTTGCCGCATCATCTTCTTCTGCATCTGCGGCACCCAGCACGAGTTCAGCTCCTACGACTGGAACGGGGCGCCCGAGCAAGCTGGCTGCTCTTGCAGCTGCGCGAAGTGTAGCAAATACCTCTTCGGCACCTAAGCCCGCTGCGGTCCCGACCCAAGAGCCTAGCAGTGCGGCCTCGGATACGCCATCAAAGCCTCTGTCGAAGCTGCAGCAGCGAATGCTCGCCAACAAGCAACAACGCAGCGCCGCTAGCCCAGAAGCCAAAGAGGCAGCAGCTGCCGAGGCTGCAGAGGAGGAAGCTCGATCGCGTCCGCAGACCTGCTTTGGCTCCGATCTGCCCATTTCGGCCCTGTTTCCGACCGCAACTTTTGCTGCATCCGAAACTGCAACCCAACTTGCCGCTGCAGGGACATCGCATGCTTCTCTGGCATCTGTTAGTGTCATTGCTGGATCGTCTAACCATGCGACGGACCAGCTCGTCGCTCCAATGGCAAGGCCGAGAACTGTGCCCGGAGGCTCGCCCTTTGCGCTCTACGTCCAGGGTTCCGCAGACGAGGCTTCGCCAAGGACTGAGCAGGTCAAGAAAGCCTTTGCGGGTCCTAGTCCGGATGATGTGGTTTTGAAGGCACGAGAAGGGACGAGGCTAGGGGCAAAGTGAGGATGGTCTCAGTCCATAGTGCATGGAAGACGGTGGTTGATGATGATCCTGGACGCTCGCTCTACAAGAATTGCTCAGACCGAATACTGATTCTCTTATTGCAACGATCTTTCGTACCCCCGACGACCATCCATCTCAGCCGCAAAGAAAGCAGCAGCAGCTAGCGCATCTACACCGACATCTGGCACATCGACACCATTGCATCGAAAAGCAGCTGTGGGCCAAGCTGTTAAGGCGGCCGCCGGAGGCTCAACAAAGCAAGGCGGAACCACTGTCAGTCAATTGAGAAACGAGATCGAATCGCTTGAAATCCATGGTGGCGGAAGCAGCAAGGCCGCCTCTTCCGCAGGCTCCAATGCACCAAGTGCTGTTTCGACACCGATGGGCATCGCACACGAGCGCATCATTGAAGAATACCGCAAGCGTGAACGGGAAGGCAAGGCTGAGCTCAGCTTGGTTGTCGTTGGTAAGTAGCTCATCGGGGTTCTTGATTCCCGCATTGCACTTTTGCATTGTGCTCACCACCAGTTCTTTCAACTTTGTTCAACTCGTGCGATGGACTCAGGCCACGTCGATGCGGGCAAATCCACTTTGATGGGCCGTATGCTTCTCGAGCTAGGTTCTCTCTCCCAGCGCGAATATTCAAGCAACGAGCGCGCATCGCAAAAGATCGGTAAAGGCAGCTTCGCCTATGCCTGGGCACTCGATTCGTCCGAAGAAGAACGCGAACGAGGTGTCACCATCGACATTGCTCAAGACCATTTCTCTACCCAACACCGTTCTTTCACCCTTCTGGATGCTCCTGGACATCGTGACTTTATCCCGAACATGATTTCTGGTGCCGCACAAGCCGATTCTGCCATCCTTGTGGTTGACTCGATTCAGGGTGCGTTCGAAGCAGGATTTGGACCCAACGGGCAAACGCGTGAACATGCGCTGCTGGTGCGAAGTCTAGGTGTACAACAGCTCGTGGTGGTAGTCAACAAGCTCGATGCTGTTAACTACAGTCAGGAGCGGTATGAAGAGATTGTGGGTAAAGTCAACCCTTTCTTGACTTCTTGTGGGTTTGATGCGGGCAAGCTCAAGTTTGTTCCCTGCGGCGGGTCGGTTGGAGAGAATCTTGCGGTAAGGGAAGAAGGTGGTGCACTCTCAAAATGGTACAAAGGACCCACGCTTGTTGACATTTTGGACACGCTCGAGCCTCCCGCTCGACTCCTGGACTCTCCATTGCGATTACCAGTGACGAACGTATTCAAAGGTCAAACAGCCATTGCTGCCGGTGTAGCCGTCTCGGGTCGAGTCGTCTCCGGGATCGTCCAGATCGGTGACCGGATCCGACCAGTCCCCGGCGACGAATCCGGCATCGTCCGCGCTATCGAAGTCGACACGGAGTCCGTCCCTTGGGCCGTTGCAGGCGCCAACGCTACTGTATACCTAAGTGGTATCGATCAGATTCAGATCTCGGTCGGATCTGTTCTCTGCGCCCCTTCCCAACCGATTGCGCTGTGCGATTCTTTCCTAGCTCAAATTTTGGTGTTCGAACCAACATATCCTCTGGTAGCGGGTACGAGCATCGAGTTGTTCCACCACAGTGCGAATATTGCTGCTACGCTGACGGAGCTAGTTTCGATTCTGGATAAGACTACGGGTGGAATTAGTAAGAAGAAGCCGAGAGTGTTGACAAAGGGTTGTACTGCGATGGTGAGGGTGACGGTGAAAGCGGGTGGTATGGCGGGACAGAGTAAGGGGATTCCATTGGAAGATGCAAAGACGAATAAGGAGATGGCGAGAGTGCTGATGCGGATGAATGGGGAGACGGTTGCTGCGGGGATCGTTGTTGAGGCTCACAGTGCTAACTAGGCTTCACTACAGAGAAGAGACGGAATAGGTTCAGTGATGATCATGAATGAAATGCAAACATGCCACAAACAGAAACAAGCTTCAGAACGAGAACGAGAGTGGTCGCTGAATGTAAGAACGTGGTGAGATGGTGCATGTGTGTATGTATATGATGTGAGTTGAGAGTCAAGGCTACCAATCCAAGGCACGCTCAACAGCAGCCTGCTCATCCTCACCTTCTTCCTTCTTAACCATGGCCACCCCTTCACCAGCTTCCAACAAGTCTCCCACCTCCATCATCCCCCTCCCCTCCGGCCCATGCATCTCTACTTCAACCTTGACCTTCGGCTCCGCCTCCTTTTCCACCACCATCCGCTCATCATCAGTTCGCAGCAACTCCACCTTGACCCGCTTTGCCGTTGATTTCTCATCGACCACCCTCCGACTTGGACAGAATCCAGCTTTTCCCACATCGCAAAGATCGCATCTCGGACCAAGTGGTACACAGATGACTTGACCGAATCCTACCAGCAAGCTGTTGATCTTGGCGTGCAGTTCTTGTGGTAGCCAAGACTGGAGATTAAGACGTGTTTGTTCGGGGGTTGTTGTCTTGTGCCACCCAAGCCGATTGGTTAGGCGATGTACATGTGTGTCTACTCCAATCCCGATTTGGATGCCCATTGAGCTTAAAGCTAAGAATGCCATCTTTGGGCCCACTCCCGGGAGCGAGCAAAGTTCGTCGACGGTCCTAGGTAGGTCTCCTTGAAAATCATCTTTTAGAATCCTAGCTGCGCTTTTGAGGTATCCTGTCTTCCTCCGCCAGAATCCCACCTTAGCAATACAACTCGAAATAGTCTCATCATCAGCTTCCAACAAACTTTTCAAACACAAACCATCAGGCAGCGTCCTCTGCAAATTATACACAGCCTCTGCAGTAACCGGATCCTTCGTCTGCGAGCTTAACATGAGCGAAACCAACGTTGCTAGTCTTTCTCTCTTCGCTGCATCTTGGGGAGTGTCAGTATCACGCCAAAAGTCGGCCCGTCGATCAGACCGACCATTTTGGTCGCAACCCATAGTGTCGACTGGTGCAACGATTTTAGTTCGTTGACGAGAGAGGAGAGAGTAGACCGTTTCCCAGTGTGGCGGGGCTGGGTGGGCTTCGGATGGGTCGAGGTTGACCTTTATGGGTTTGATGGCTGCTTTGCGCGGGGAGATGTCGAATGGCGATGTTGGGGGTTTCTTGGGGGAGGAGGATGCGGATTTGCGTTTCTTAGAGGTGGATTTGTTGTTTTGCTCTTTCTTCGCTGGTGTCTTGCGAGTTGGTTTGAGTAAAGCGCTTTTGCCTTTCGCCTTCGACTTTGACCTGGTTTCGGCGGTGAAGAGATCACTATCAGCATCAGAAGCATCTCCCTCGACATTGGCAGAGAAGTCAGATTCCTCAGAAGCGGTGGAAGGCGAAGCTGCTCTTGTTGGGTTAGTCCGCTTCTGAGTAGACCGGTTGGTGCGTGAGGTAAGCTTAACTGGTGCCGAAGTACTCGCAACAGAAGCAGAGGCAGCCGATCGTGTGCGGAGGGAGTACGACCTACGAGCCTCAGAAGCTGAAGTTGCAGCCGCCACGCCATTCGTTCCATTGGTGTGTGGGTGATTGTCGCCGTTAGCCGCTGGGATGGGGGTTGGTGCGAATAGCTTTCGCCGAGAAGAAGTGGGTCTGCTTGACATTGTTCTTGCTGCAGCAAAGCGGGTGAGGTTGAGAGGAAGTCGATGAATGGTGATGATGGCTAAGGCAGCGAGGGAAAGAAGAGGATGCAAAGGGTGGTGTGAGAGTAGATTGTGTGGGCCCTTTCTTCTCAAGCGTTCAGCATAGCAGACTCTGCTGAACGCTCGGCTTTCAAGACGGCGTTTCTAATTGTGCAGCTTTTTGTGAGATTTTTGTTTTCCGCACAGGGAGCCTGAATTTTTACAACTCTCCGGCGGCTCACCTCGTCCTCAACGAGAGGATATCAAGACCATGCCATCTTGTTACCTTCTCACCTTCTCAGTCTTGCCTTTCATTCATGCCAATCTCAGTCTTTGTCTCGTCGCACACACACGAGTCTGCTTGGATTCTTCATGATTGAATCTATTTCCCATCTCAAAACATCGCCAGCCCTAATGCCTCACATCTCCCCAATTCTCTTCAGATACGCCTCCCAACCAGCCTTCTTATACCTCTCGCCCTGCTCCCTCACTCTTCGCCACGCTGCCTCCTTATCCTTCTTCCCCTCCTCCGTCATCAACGCACCATAAATCCCTCTTCCAACAATGATCACATCACACCCACTCTCCCTAATCACCTCGTCTGGAGTCCTATACTGTTGACCCATGGCATCACCCTTCACATCCAAGCCTACACCCGGTGTAAGGATCAACAGATCGCGTTCTGTATTCGGCCCCTCCCTCTCGTCTACACGAGACATGGCGATGAAACCACAGACGAAGCCGGTAGTGTCGTTCTTTGCTTCCTGAACGCATGCTTCTGTGTAAGATCCCTTTGTCAGCGCCCCAGCCGACGACATTTCTGCTAACAACAACAAGCCTCTCCCCAGCGGCACTCCTACCTTTGCCAACCCTGTAACGACTCCCGGCCCGGGTAGCAGGTGCGCATTGGTGATGTGGGACCAAGACGCAATCTTGTGGACTCCGGAAGAGTATTGAAGGCTGGCGGTGTTGCCGATATCGGCGAACTTTCGGTCTTCGAAGATCAAAAAGTCATGCTTCTTACTTAACTCGGTCAACCTCTCCACTAGATCCATATCGAAGTCTTGAACAATATCGATATGCGTCTTGACTAAGCAGACGTTGGGTCCGACGGCATTGCACACGTCGACGAGGTCTTGTTTGTTGGTTACGTCGACTGAGACGCATAGGTTGGTTTGTTTGCGGGAGATGCATTCAAGGAGGGAGCGTGCTGCCGGGTTGGATTGGGTGGCTGCTCGGGCTGCGTAGCTTTTCTTGGTGATTGAAGTCATGATTGCGATCCTTAGGAGTAGGGAGGGCGTCAGAAGGGAAGAAGGAGTCCTCGATGATCGACTAAAGAAGAAAAGGTTGTCTGCCGCATTGTGTGTTGATGTAAAGCAAAGTCAAGTGAGACCAAGTATTGAGGAGGAAATTCCTATCGCGCGAAAGAAATCACCTCAAGACAGCAGCGGTGGAAGAAAAAGGCGCTCGCATCAGCCAGAAGAAAATTTGTCCAACCAATTGGATCAGCACCATCTGCTTCTCCTCGTCAACACCTCTGATCACCTTGCATCACCATCGTATCTCGACCCTTCCCTTACATAGTGGCAGCAGCATCAGTCCTGCCGCACTACCTCCACTTTTGCCATGGCAGCCAACCAAGCCACCACGGCCCCCACCCAGCTATCCAAACTCCTCCGTCAAGCTCGCATTTCCACATTCGACCCCTCCATTCCCCAAGTCTACACCTCTCCCCCCGCCTACGCCTTCCGAGGTGATTTCGGTCTGAAACGCCCCCTCCCATCCTCCTCCGCCTCCATCTTTGGCTCCTCTTCCGGCACTTGCCCTTACCCTGGTGCGCTTCGCTATGTCCAAGTATCCCAACTCGACACTTCCGAAGGTCAAACCACCTGGAAAGAGCGCGAAAAGGAGGTGCTTTTCCTCAAACGTTGGCGTGAAGCAGATACCAAACTTAACATCACTCGACCTGGTTCCACCGGGTATACCTATACCGAGCCTGGAAGTCATGGGCCCAGACCACAGACGAGTTTTTTGAGAACCACTGAGAGGTATTTCCCGAGCGAAATCCCAGGAAAGATTACGTTGACTCCCGAAGAGGAAGCGAGAGAGGGGAGGAAAGAGAGAGAGGCAAGGCTCTACAATAATAAATGGAGGGAGATTATGAAGCATCATGCCGCAAGGGGGGTTGCTGATCCCACTTATAAAGGGTTGGATTTTATGGGTGAACTATCTCCTTCTCCCGCTTTTGGCTTTGATAACGAAAAGTTTACGGTTCGACCTAAGATGATGACCAATTACAATGCCTTATCCGATGCAGAGTTCGAAAAGTTTCTCAACGGTATTCGAGGCGAGAGAGGAGCATTGAAAAAGTTCTTCAGAAACAAAGAACGTGCTCAATTGCTCGCTTTAATCCGTAAACGACAAGAAAAGTCTTACGCCATCGCCCTTCGCGCACAAGAAGATGCCGAACGTCGAGGAGCAACGAAAGAACCCCTCCCCGAGATCAACCCGGAAGCAGAACTCGAAAAGCTGCCACTCGCAGAAATCGATTTGCTCGAACAATCCCGTGATGCAGACGCAACCCAGGATGCTTTCCGCATGCTCGAGGAGAAGAGTCTTGGCCAAACTTCAAAAACTCATTCCACCACCCTCCCCGGTACCTCTCAACCGAACACAATCCATCCTTTGGCCGGGTTGCAATTCTCCCAACCCGACCCCATCTATTCCTCCTTAGCCGATCCTGTTCCGGGTAGGGTGATTCATGAAGTTTCGAGTAGAGCGGACAGGTTGTATAACCGAAACACCAAGATTGCTGATGGACGATCGGTGTTGGTCGGTGGACATGTTTCCTACTTACATGCTCCCTTGAGAGCCCAAGCTCCACCGACGATTGATTGGAGTAGACAACAGCCGAAGCAGGGTACGGCTTTGTTTAGGATTGTGGATGCGTACAGGACGAGTAATTTAATGTTGAATAGTGGGATGCATAAGGATATGTTGACGCCCAGGAATGATGTTGGTTATATTAGGAGTAATGTTGAATTGGTGAAGACGGATAGTAGTGGAAAACCGTTGGATAAGACGGCGGATATCGGGGGTGCGGATTGGGTCGGGAAGACTGTTCAGGATCCGAATAGGCCGGTGAGGAGAGCCCTTGGCGCTGGGTTGGCCGATAACACTGGCGATGAGAAGAGGCCAGGGAGTTTGAGTGCACTGAGTGCAAGCAGAGCAGCTTCAGCAGGCGCCAAGGCTAAAAACCAAAGGACGCTGGGCCGTACCAGTCAGGCAAGCGCACAAGAAGGGAACAAGAGATATTCGACCAAGAAGATGCTCGACAACCTAGATTCCCTTATCAAAACCCCCGACAAGAAGTAAGACAACCACAAGTCACAGCTATTCAATACAACATCCATTCAAAGTCTTGTGCCGTGTACTCATCGTGTGTTTCTTTGTCCTGGTCCTCCTGAACGTTTGTTCGACGCGAGATGAGAAAGGGGTGACGATTGTCTTTCTTCTGAGCGATCACCTGTGCCGTGAACTACCTGCAAACTACCTTGCCCGCAGCGTATTAGCAAAGGTATCGATCACTGCTGATATGCATTCAGCCTCGAGTTCAGCCCAAAGAAGGTGACATGGGCCACAAACACACCATTCATAGTAAAGATGGCTGGCAGAAATGTGTTTCCAATTCGAAACTACAGTCGCGTCCAAAATTGCCCAGCATCTTTTAGGATAATTAAATGCTCATCACCACACATCAACTTCGCTTCTCAAGAGCTGGTATCCTCAATGAAGTGTAGCTTGTGACATATTGTTGGAAAGCTGAGATTGAGAGCTACAAGTACATATAAGGTGTCATGGGCCTGAATGCTCAAGAAGCAGGAGGGTCACTGGTTCATATGGAAGGAGCACAGGTATCGGAGTTCTAGTTGATACCAGTAGAGAGCATGGTCATAGTGCAGTCTCCATGGAGACCATGGACTCCTATGGACTCACATGCAAAGGAGCACTGAGCCATATGCGAGGAGGGCCAGGCACAGCCACAAAGAGGACCAAGCTCAAGGAGCATGCAAATGGTTACCACTCAGGGGCTTGAGAGACAAGAGTCAAAGGAACTGTCACCAGTCAAAGGAGAAGGAGCAGTGTATAGGAAACCAGCAAGCAGGTCCTGAGGAGGAGGAGCAGTGTCAAAGGAGTTGACACAGCTCAAGAGGCACAGGGGTGCCAAACAAGCAGGACAGCAAGGAGGAGGAGCAGTGTCAAAGGAGTCGACACAGCTCAAGAGGCACAAGGGTGCCAAGCAAGCAGGATAGCTCAAGGAGGACAGGAGTGGTGCTAGAGGGGCCCCCTGTACAGTACTCAATGAAGAAGGTACTCTCTGGAGAGAGAGCAGGAGCAGCATCACTGGTGACACTGTGAAGAGGTATATAACCATACCTTCTCATCATCAAAGGTCAAGTGGATCCTCATCCACTCTACACACACCATAACTAGTTATCACTTCAGCATAAGTATACATTAGTTCCAGTCAGCACAGTAGCAATCTATCAAGATTGCTCCTCATTGTAGTGCATGTGTTGTATCACCACTACCTGACATCCAAAGGCAGCCCATAGCAGGTCAGCAGTCTGGATATAGATAGAACCAAAGGCAGTAGTCCACTGCAGTCCGGGGATCACTCCAAGCATTAGTCAGCACACTGGACACTTGTGTTGATGCCACCGAATTACCACCAATGCCACCAACCTTATCAGCCACACCATCAACCACATCATCATCAACACTCACACCAGACCTTGGTGTCACCATAACCTACATATTGATATTGATCGTGCCGAGCTACCCCTGATCTCGTTGAGACCTCGGTAGTCCACACAGAGCCTGAGACCTCCATCCTTCTTTGGTATGAAGAGCACTGGTGATCATGCTGGGCTCTTCGATGGTCTTATGAACCCCTTCTCAAGGTTCTCATCCAAGTACCTCCTCAACTCGGACATCTCCTTGGGTCCCTTAAGGTACAGGGGCCCCTGAGGTGGCTTACCTCCTTCTATCAACTCAAGGTGGAGATCATGCTCGGTATGATGGGGCAGCTTGTCTGCTTCCACTTCATCGAACACATCTCACAGGTGTTGGTATGGTTTTGGTATATCTGCAGCCATCACCACCTTGTCCACCTCTACCTCCATCTCTACTCCTTTGTCTGCACCTGTAGGTACAAAACCAAAGGCCAGGAGTGATGATGGTGGCTCCTCCAACAGCATGAACCCTATGGGTCCATCTTCCAGAGCTGCTTGCAGTATGTGCTCTGCTGAGACAAACTCATTTCCATGAAGGGTTGGTCTCCTCATGGGTAGGTCCCCTGCTCTTGCTGTTTCAGGGGGTCTCTTTGGGGGTTGGTCCTGCTCCTGAGTCTTGAACTCCAGCTGGCCCATGTCCCATTGTATAGTGGGTTTGAGCCTCTGTAGCTCAGTGAACCCCAGGATGAGGTCATAGTCAGCAGTGTTGGCCACTGAAGCTTTGACCACATCCAGATTGTGTATACCAATAGATACCTGCATGCTCACAGAACTATTGATGGAGAGTTGGTGTCTGGTGACACCATGGATCAATCTTGTTTTTGTGGGTTTTGTGGGTATTTGGTACTTACTAATGAAAGAATCTGAGACTATGGACAAACCAGCACTGGTATCAGCTAGTATCTGAGCAGGATGGTCTTGAACCATTCCAGAGAGCTCCAATACTGCTTTGCCTCCACTGGTAGAGAAACATACTTGACAATCTTGATATATACAGAGTGATGGCAGGGAGGTTTGTAGAGCAATGCATGCCATCAGTGCATCACCCCACTGACATTTCCCTTGTTGTCGCCATCATCGTGCTCCTCCTCATGTTCGGGGTCCATGGCCTTGGGGTCACCCATCTCGGTGCTGCCTGTGTGGCCATCTCCTGAGTCGGTGGCCTCCTCAAAGGGGTCTGCTGTGGTGACCATGACCTTGGGGCCATGGGTCGAGAGCTAAGAGGGTCTACCCTCCTGCTGGGGCAGTCTCTGGCCCAATGGCCAATACCCTTGCATACATGACAGGTGTTGGTACCTGTTGGAGCAGGGCTTCCTTGCTTCGAGGTTTGGGTGAATTGATGGGGAAGGGGTCGATTAGTTGGTCAATTTAGGTTTTGTGTAGTTGCTTGTGTAGTTGCTTGTGCTGGTGATTGAGCTGGATAAGGTTGAGTGGGTTGACATATGGGGATTGAACTTTGAATTGGCCGAGACCCAGTTCTTAGTGGAGGTGACATGGCATTTGGGAGTGAGTGCCTAGCTGAGGACTGCTGTAGTAGCATCCTCTGTCAATTGATTTCCTCCACCTCTCGGTACCACTCCCATCTCTTCCCAGGTGGGTTCCTCTCAAACTTCTCCTGTATGCTGCAAGTGAGACTACCTCTGAAGAGATCAATCACTAGCTCATTGTCATCTAGGTTGACCTGTCCTTCCAAGTCTCTGAACTGCTCTACATGATGTGTGGTGGCACCAGGAGCATCACTTGTGAGCCTGAGAGCTAACAGCTTGTTATATGCCTCCATCCTAGCATTGCGTGGGTTGAACTGCTCTGACAGTTGCTCTGTGAAGTAGTGCCAATCATTGAACAACCTTCCTTCTCTAGCTCTATCAATACAGAGCTTTGAGGTCCACTGTCATGGGCCTGGGTGCGCAGAACGAGGAAAGACCGAAGTTCATATGAAGGTAGCACAGGAATCGTGGAATCGGGTAGATTGGAGGAGCTGTGACAAAGTTCACTGAGATTGGTAGTAGAATCAGCTCTATGGCAGATCACAGCGAAATCGGCACAAGCATTGTCGATATCACGAATCCCACCAGAATCTGCAGCAAGCAAGATTGTGTGGCAGACTCCATGGAGATTGGTAGTAAGGATGTCCATACAACGATTCACATGTGAGAGGGACCGAGCTCAGCGACATGCAGTCGGTTACCACTCAGGGGCCCACAGGACAGGAGTAGAAGAGAACTGTCACTGGTCAAAGGAAGGAGATCTGTGTATAGGACACTGGCGAAAGGGACATGAAGAGGAGGAGCAGTGTCGATGAAGTCGACACAGCTCAGGAAAGACAGGAGGGACAAGGCTTGAAACAGAGAAGGTGCCTCCTTGGAGATCCCTGTGCAGTACTCGATGAGGAGGGTACCCTCTGGAGAGAGGGAGCAGGAGCAGTGTCGCTGGTGATGCTGCGAAGAGGTATATAGTCCTACCTCCTCATCACAAATGGTCGAGTGGATCCTCATCCACTCTACACTCATCAAGCAACTAGTATTACTTCAAGCAATAAGTAACATTAGTTCACAGTCAGCATAAGTAGTAATCAACAGATTGCTCCTCATCGAAGCGCGTGTGTTGTAGCACCGTTTCCTGACATCTGAAGGTGGTTTGTAGTAACCAGCAGTCCGGATAACCATAGAACTGAAGGCAGATGTCCACTGCGGCCTGGGGATCACTTCAAGCATTAGTTGACACACTGGACACTTGTGTCGGCGTCAACATTCCATACCCACACCAGACCATTGGTGTCAATATCAAGCTCACTTAGAGTCATATTATAGTTTGATCATGCCGAGCTACCTCTGGATGGAGTGTCCACAGCAGTTAGTCAAAATCTGTCATAACAATAATACAACTACAGATTCTAACGAGAAAGGTGACAGAGAAGGCTCTGTCGCATATTTCACTAAGAATCGAAATACCATTAGCGCTGTTGCATAATTCAACAGAATCGGTGATAGTACAGATACTACTACTGATTTCAGGTTTTAGGTGTGTGACTGCTGACATTAGAGTGGATCATTCAAGCAGCACCCCACAATCACAATGATGGACCAAGGCCTCAACGATAAGCTCAACCAGCTTCTAGCACTATTGGAAGCCCAACTCGAGCTCACCAGGCAAGGCCAACGAGAAGAGCGACTTTGCTGTGCTCACCTAAGTGGAGAAGAGATGATTGAGTTCTCGCAATCAGAAGATCAAGCAGGAGGAGATGAATCCATGCTAGGAGACCCTCAGACTCCTACACCAGCATCACGACCAAGACAATTGGTCTCGTTTGCTGCTGTAGATGAGCAAGATGATGTTAATTATGAAAAGTATGCATTGCCCACTGGGCCAAAGTACTACAAACCCAGGGAGGATCTGTATAGTAGGACTAGGATGGAACCTTATGCCCCATACTCGGAGGAGGATACTAGTGTATTGGCAGACCTCTCTCGATCAAAGCCAATCGCCACACCCTTTCCTAAGTTTAACCCACGAGATGTGGAGATATTCATTCTCGAAGCTGAATCCTGGTTTAAGTTTAATCAGGTATATGAGCAAACAAGAATGATCAACCACATGGGCTCTCAATTGGAAGGGAATGCATGGGAGTGGTGGACCTCCAAGCTCCGAATTGACAGGGCACAGGAAGGAAGGTTATTCAATGACTGGCACTACTTCACAGAGCAGCTGTCAGAACAATTCAATCCCTGGAATGCTAGAATGGAAGCCTACAACAAGCTGTTGGCTCTCAAACTCACTAGCGATGCACCCAGTGCTGCCACCCACCATGTGGAACGTTTCAGAGACCTGGAGGGGCAAGTCAATCTGGATGATAACAAACTCATCATTGACTTGTTCAGAGGCAGTCTCGCATGTAGTCTGCAAGAAAAGTTTGAGTGTAACCCGCCTGCAAAGAGGTGGGGATGGTACCGAGAGGTCGAAGATATCGACTGACAGAGGATGCTGCTACAGCAGTCCTCTGCTAGGCACCCAAGCGCTGCTCCTCCACGATTGAACCCGGGAATCCGACCAACGCCACCTGCTCAGAGTTCACTCCCCATTCAGCAACCGGCACAAAGAAACTCCGCTCATACACTGGCACCAATAACAGCAGGAAGCCCGAGCAGACCAACCAATCGGCTGCTACCTCAGCAATATGTACCGGGCCCAAAACAAGGAGGCCCCACAGTACCAGGCAATAGCACTTGCCATATCTGCAAAGGCATCAGACATTGGGCCAGAGACTGTCCAAGCAAGAAGGCAGATCCTCTGGGACCACGACCTTTGGGCCCAAGGGTCATGGTAACCATGGAAGACCCCTTCGAAGAAGGGGCCACCAACTCAGGGGATGGGCATACAGGCAGCGCTGAAACGAGTGACCCTGATGACCTAGACTTCAGTCAATACCAAATTCCTAATGACGCTAATCATGAAGAACCCCAAGATGATGATGATGAGGGAAACAACAGTGGGGCGATGCACTGATGGTGTGCATGGCTCTACAAACCTCCTTGCCATCGTTGTGTATATATCAAGATTGCCAAATATGTTTCTCCACCAGCAAAGGAAAAGCAGTATTAGAGCTTACAGGAATGGTCCAAGACCATCCTGCTCATATACTCACTGACACTGGCACTGGCTTGTCCATAGTTTCAGATTCATTTATCAGTAAGTACCTAATACCCACTAAACCCTCAAAAACAAGATTGATTCATGGTGTCACCAGACACCAGCTTGTTATCAATAGCACCACGACCGTACAGGTGGTTATTGGCAAGCACAGCCTAGGTGTAGTTGAAGTATCGGTAGCCAATACCACTGACTATGACCTTATATTGGGATTCACCAAGCTCAGAAGGCTCAAGCCCACCATATGATGGGACACAGGCCAACTAGAGTTCAAGTCCCAGGACCGAAAACGACCCCCTGAAGCTGCCACAACTAGGGGCTTACAATCAAAAGTGTCGAAATCGGTCATAGTAGTGGAACTGTCACAGAATTTGATGAAAGCCACCATAACAGGCAGGCAAAAACAGGAGCTTGCCATAAGAGATAGCTTATCACCAATTCCAACGAAATCTGTGGCAATGGGCTCCAACGAAGAAAAAATGGCATGACCAACCATGCATGGAAACAAGTTCGTCTCAGCAAAGCGCTTACTTCAGGCAGCTTTAGAGGATGGACCCATAGGGTTCATGTTATTGGAAGTACCACCCTCATCACTCCCGGCCTTCGGTTTCATTCCTACCAGCGCCGATAAAGGAGTAGAGATGGAGGTTGAGATCGAGAAGAAGGTGACAGCAGTGGATATACCAAAGCTGTACCAACACCTTCATGATGTGTTCGATGAGGTGGAAGCAGACAGGCTTCCCCAGCATACCGAACATGATCTTCACCTTGAACTAATGGAAGGAAGTCAACTGCCTCAGGGCCCGCTGTATCTCAAAGGGCCTAAAGAAATGTCTGAATTGAGGAAGTATCTGGACAAGAACCTCATGAAGGGGTTCATATGACCGTCGAAGAGTCCAGCAAGGTCACCTGTGCTCTTTGTACCTAAGAAAGACAGAGGCCTCAGGCTTTGTGTGGACTATCGGGGACTCAATGAGATTACTGTCAAGAACAGGGCTCTGTTGCCCCTCATTGAGGAGCAACTGTTCCTGCTCCGAAAGGCAAAGATCTATTCCAAGCTAGATCTCCGAGCAGCATACAACCTCATTCGCATCACAAAAGGAGATGAATGGAAAACAGCATTTGGTACACAATTGGGACTATACAAGTACCTGGTGATGCCATTCAGGCTAGCAAACACACCAGCTCATTTCCAATCATTCATCAATGTCATCTTCTGAGACATCATTGGAGTATATGTTGTTGTATACTTGGACAACTTCCTCATCTTCAGTGACATGGAGGAAGCACACATATGACATGTCACTGAAGTTCTCACCCATTTGAGAAACAATCAGCTGTTTGCTAAACTGTCGAAGTGTGAGTTCCACACCACAGCAGTAGAGTTTCTAGGGTACATCATCAAACCCACAGGGGTAGAGATGGATCCTGAGAAAGTACAGACAGTCAAGGAGTGGCCAATGCCAGAATCAATCCATGATATCCAAAGATTCCTTGGCTTTGCCAACTTCTACAGGTGATTCATTGCTCACTTTGCTCGAATCACCAAGCCACTAACATCACTGGTGAAACCAACTGAATGTTTCAAGAAGTTTGAGTTGCCAGAAGAAGCTCAACAAGCTTTCCACAAACTCATCCAAGCATTCACGACAGCCAGAGTACTTCGTCACTTCAATTACCACCTTCCTACAAGGCTGGAAACAGATGCAAGTGACTTTGCCATCGCTGGAGTGCTCAAACAAGAGCATGAAGGGCATTGGCACCCAGTAGCATTTTATTCAAGGAAGATGTCATCGGCTGAGAAGAACTACGAGATCCATGACAAGGAGCTCCTAGCAGTGGTCACCTGCCTCACTCAGTGGTGACACATGCTAGCAGGACTACCAAGTCAGTTAGTCATTCTCACAGATCATGAAGCACTCAAGTACTTTAAGTTGCAATGTCATATCACTGGCAGACAAGCAAGATGGGCAGTATTGTTAGCAGATTTCGACTTTGTGCTACAATATCGACCAGGAGACAAGGGTGGCGAACCCGATGCTCTCACCAGACAAGCTGACATGCAGCTGGTCGGTGAAGAGCAGGAGCACAATGTTCAACAACTACTGCCCCCCCAGGTGTTTGAACAAGTCGAAAATGAAATCACAACAGGGAGTGAGTTGCAGCAGATTTCAGCTGAAAATGTAATAGCAAGCATGATATTGCCGATTTCAGCGGAATCGGTTCTAACTGCATGCTCAGGTGACAATTTTGTATTAGTGGCTCCCGTCCTCATGATGGAGTCTATAGCCACGAAAGGAATCAAAGATCTGGCCAGAATCTTCCAGCCTCTGGATCCAGAGCTTCAGGAGATCCATCTAAGGAAGCCATTCGAGATCAGAGACGGCTTGTGGTATAGTGGCAGACAATTGGTTATCCCCAAGGTAACAATGCCAGGGAAGACCAACAACCGTCATTTGTGAAGCACCAAAGAAGTTGATGGGCAGTCATTGTCTGTAGAACATTTGCAATTCATGGTCATGTCTCAATGTCATGATGGCATCACAGCTGGACATGTGGGACGAGATGATACCATTAAGTTGGCCCAATGACACTATTGGTGGCCAAACATGTCAGCCTGGATTGCTGATTATGTTGCAAGTTGCCAAGTGTGTGCAAGATATAAGGCTCCTCGCCATCGCCCATATGGCTTGTGTCAGGGGTCTCGCACCTGAAACCCAGGTCGGTCTGTCGAGATACTTGGTGACTATCAAACTGTGCGACAGCTATTGTCTCGGTATCGGTGACTATCAAGTTGCGCAGTGACAACAGGTGGCATTCATTGTATATACTAACGTAGGTTTTGGCTGACCTCTGTGGACACTCTGTTCAGGGGTAGCTTGGCACAATCAATATCAATGCTTTGGTTATGATGACACCAAGGTCTGGTGTGAGTGTTGATGATGATGAGGTTGATGATGATGAGGTTGATGATGATGAGGTTGATGATGTTGGTGATAAGGTTGGTGAGTGTTGATGATAATGAGGTTGATGGTGTTGGTGATAAGGTTGGTGGCATCAACATGAGTGTCCAGTGTGTTGACTTGATGCTTGAAGTGATCCCCGGACCACAGTGGACTACTGCCTTCGGTTCTATCTTGATCCAGACTGCTAACCTGCTATGGGCGCCTTTGGATGTCAGGTAGTGGTGATACAACACACACACTATGATGAGGAGCAACCTTGATAGATTGCTGCTATGCTGACTGAAACTAATATATACTTATGCTGAAGTGATAACTAGTTATGGTGAGTAGAGTGGATGAGGATCCACTCGACCTTTGATGATGAGAAAGCATGGTTATATACCTCTTCACAGCATCACCAGCGATGCTGCTCCTGCTCTCTCTCCAGAGAGTACCTTCTTCATCGAGTACTGTTCAGGGGCCTCTCCTGCTTGGCACCCCTGTGCCTCTTGAGTGGTGTTGGCTCCTTCGACACTGCTCCTCCTCCTCATGACCTGGTGTCGACTCCTTCAACACTGCTCCTCCTCCTCATGACCTGGTGTCGACTCCTTTGACACTGCTCCTCTTCCTCAGGACCTGCTTGCCAGTGTCCTATGACTCTTGTCTCTCGAGCCCCTGAGTGGTAACCATCTGCATGCTCCTTGAGCTTGGTCCTCTTCGTGGCTGTGCCTGGCCCTCCTCGCATATGGGCCCAGTCCTCCTTTGCATGTGAGTCTGTGGAAGTCCATGGTCTCCATGGAGACTGCACTACAACCATGCTCTCCACTGGTATCAACTAAATCTCTGATACCTGTGCTCCTTCCATATGAACCAGTGACCCTCCTGCTTCTTGAGCATTCAGGCCCATGACAGTTATCTCCATATGCTTCTCCTTCTAATGCCAGTATCTTCCTTCCTGAATCTCCTGACACTTGCTTGTGTCAGCTGACTTGCTGAGGCATGCTGATCCAGCTGATCCCAATTGATCCTCATGAGATTAACCTGGAACCCAGAGTTCAGTTGATCTTGTAAATCATATGTGCTACCAGCCCAATTAGCTTTGTTGATTCCTGATGATTTGGCACTGATCAATTTGGTGCCCCCTTCATACATTGATCCACTGACCCTGACATTACCATAATTGCCACTGGTCAATTTGGCGCACCCTTCATACGCTGGCCCGCTGGCCCTGTGACAAACACCATATCAAATCAATTAGATGCCAGGCAATTTTGGACGCGACTGTATGACCATTAACACCAAAAAAAAAAAAAAAAAAAAAAAAAAAAAACAAAACGAAAAAAAGGAAAAAGTGGGTGCAAGTAGCAAAGGCACTGGGAGATAAAAGAGACTAAAAGTGCCTGTGTGCGTTTTTGGTATGTGTGTGTGTGTGTGTGTGTGTGTGTAAGTCAAAGCAAACGAAGAGGGGTGCAAAGTGTTATTTACAGAGGGGAAAGGGCAGATGCCGCAACCGAAAGACCATGATGATAAAAAGAAGAGGGATGGAGGCAGCCTAATCATGAGACCAACCGGAGGTGGACAAAGGCGCAAACATGGCTCCGTGTTGGAACAGCGCTCTTGAACCGTTGAGCAATGCTGATGGTATGAGAGGCCCTGTCATGGTGCCGTTCTGCGTTTTACCGGATTCGCTTAGCAATGGGCTGATGTCTTTGAAAGCTCCACCCGCTGCAGAAGCAAAGTCGGTGTTGGTGCGGAACAGAGTTGCTGATGGCTTCTCCATTGCTAGGCTTGCTCGTGAGAGGTGCGTGGGTCGATGTGACGACGAATCGTCAAAAGCGAACGGCTTTCGAGGAGACATGAGCGTGGCAACTGCAGGTGCAGATCGACAATGTTGCTGATCTGTGCCGTCAAGTAGCGCCAATGAACCAGGGCGGTGGTGATGGTGTGACTTGGCCCACATGTCCATGGGAGATGCCGCTTTGTCGTCGGCATCACCAATTCCATCGCCGTCCAGCTGGAATTCCGGAATGGCATCAAAGGGAGACAGAGCTTCGTCAAGAACAAGCAAGAGCCGCTTTGACGATTCGTGGTCACGATGCATACCGCGGCTCGAACGCTTCTCTTCCCAAGACTGGAGTCGATGGAGGAAGCCAATCCAAGTCTCGTCAGGGACGGTGATCTCGTAGTTGCACTTTTTCAAGAACCAAGCCTCGGTCTGGTTAAGCTCGGCAAGTGGTATGCCGGTGACCTCGTTCCAGGTCTTGTTGAGGAAGGTGTTGTCATCAAGATGCTTGTTGGCAATCATCATGCCCAAGGTGAAGAGCTTGAAGGGAGCAGCCGAGGTCGGCTGCGCAAACAGCTCGAGCACCACAGGGTCGATGGTACCATCAGGCAGCTGAGCCATGATGAGTAGCCTAAGCGCACTCAGGATGCCGACAAGGAACGAGGTGGGCGAAAGGAGGGTCTGAGCAAGCACCTGGTGGACGAATCTCCTAAAGGCTGGGCTTGGCTCGTTGGCGTACGAGGTGACGATGCTTGTGACCGCGTCACGTCCCGATCGTCCTTGGCTTGGAGAGTGGCTAGCTTTAGCAACGGCTGCAGCTGTGCTCGCGGACACGAGCGTCTGGCCAAGAGAAACAAACTGATCGTCGTTGTTGCTCCACTGCCAATCCGGAGAGACGAGACGGAGAACAGCAAGCACGTTGTCACGAAGCCTACCAGACCACTTGGATGAGGCAAGCTTAAGCGATGCCTTGTTGGAGGAGCTACGACGCGCGCGGATCGCCGACTCAGATCGCGAATGGTGGCCCAAAGACATCCTGAGGCCAGCTCGGAGCGGGCTGCGAGCAGTCTCGATAGAGTGAGCCGACACAGTAGAGCTGAGGGCGGGACTCTGATGAGCAAGCGAAGCGGGTGTGCCAGGCTCGGAGCTGCTCGCAGTGCTCGCGCTGGAGCTGTGTACTGTAGCTGTCTCGGACTGACCCGAGCCCTGACGCGAACGCTTGGACGGCGAGGCATGACGAACAATCGCTGAGCGGACACGTTCAGCACCCACAGCCATGCGGTGAAGGTCATGCTGTGACGACGAAGCTTGATCACTGCCAAAGGTGAAGGAATGCGCCTGAGGACGCATGTGAGGCAGACGGTGAGGACCGAAAGGCGAGCGGAAGGCATTCCAATTATCCAAAGAGGACGAAGAGGTCTCTGCAGCAGCGGAACGATCAAGCACTGTCGAAGACCACGGCGAGATGTCGGGCGTATTGAGCGAAGGTGTCGACGAGGAAGAGGGCATGGAGGCACCAGCTGGTGACATGACCTCGTCGCAGTCTTCGTCCATAGCCTCATCCGAGGTCTCGTGGGCTTCAATCATAAGCTCGGGGTCAAACAGAGCAGTGCAGGCGTTCCAGATTAGTTGGGCACCAATGGCAGCGATGGGCAAAGCTGACTTCTCGAGCGAGTCAGGCGAAGAAGGTGCAGCTGGCTGGGCTTGATCAGCGGCGCCCTCTGTAGCTTTCTCATCATCATCATCAGGAGCAACAGGAGCAGCGACGTGATGAACTTGGTGACGAGCGTCAGACTGCGCTGCGTAAGGGCGAGAATCATCTAGCTGCCAGTGTTGAGAGTGAGCATCATAGTGTCGAATGTCTTGATGGTGAGCACGCATCGCAGACTGCTCATCGATGTGATGCTGTCCAGCGGGATAGGAACGGTCGTGGTGCCTCGTGTAGGGGCCCTCGTAGCGTTGGTCTCGATGTGCCGAGTGCGAGTCGGGATAGGACTGCTGGGCATACTGGGTCGCGTGCTCCCAGCCTTGTGCTTGGTGAGCAGCTCGGGCATTGTGTGCAGCCCAGGCGTTTGACTCGTATCGAGATTCATCGTCCGAGTGGCGGTGGTGAGCTTGCATGTGGGCATGATCTGCGTACATTTGCGACTGAGGAGGCAGATGCGAGACGGAAGCTCGATGAGCATTTGACTGCTGCTGCTGCTGCCAGCTGGACCAGTCACGAGCGGCGCGGTCCGAAGTTCGCTGATCGCGGTGGTAGCCAGAGTTGTTCGACCAGTTGTCATGATACCTGGGTTGATGCTCGGCATAGCCGTGGTGAGCGGCTTGATTGGCAGTTTGGTAGGGAGGGTAGTAGTTCTGGGGTTGACGATGATGGGATCGGGAGGTATGATGATGCTGCTGCTGTTGTTGGTGATTGGCGAAGGCGGAGGGACCGAAAGCAGGTTGGTACATGCTTGCACCGTTCTGTCTCTCGTGCGCCTTTGCAAGATGATGTTGAACGAGAAGCTGCTGCTCAAGCTGCTGATGGGTTCGAGGCTGCTGGTATGGTTGAGGGACGGCAAGAGCCTGTGCATACCATGCTGTGGCACCGTGTGGTTGAGCATAATCGGCAGGCATGTAGCCACCACCCATCATATGCTGTCGTGCAGCACGAGCGGCTGCAGCGGAAAGACGGGGCGCCTGAGGAGGTTGCCAGACGCCGCCGTGGTCCATAGTTGCCGTTGGGGCAGGGGCAACGTCGCCGTAGGATTGGCGGTGGTACTGATCCGCATAGCCGTAGTCGGGATGAGGAGCAGGAATCGCACCAGCCATGCTGTTGGCCTGTTGGTCGTGGTGCGAGTACTGATTCATGGCATAACCACGGTCAAGGGGACGGAAGGCGCCCGTAAGGGGCTGGCCGTGGGGATAGAAGGCCATCATGTCGTGGGTGCAGCAGGTGCGAGCACGCCGGTCTAGAAACCGAAGTGGACGCTTTTGGGATGTAAGACCGAAGTGGCGCAAGGAGCGATGGTCTTACTTTTGGCACAATTGAACAAAGGTGAAGTTGCGTTGTCGTTGCAACTTGTGTCTCTAAGCGATCAGATGCCGATGAGGTCGAGCAGACAAGGAGAAAACTAAACAGACCGAGTCGGGTAGGAGAGTCGGGTGGAGCTGTCGTCTAGAAGGAAAAGGTTGAAGAGTGGGAATGAAGAGAAGCTAGGACGAGATCCGAGTGTAAATGGGCGTGAATCGAAGAAGTGATAGGATTTGAGGAGAATCGTGAAGGAGATGGTGGTGGTGGTGGTGGTGGTGGAGGTAGGAGGTAGGAGGTAGGAGGTAGGAGGTAGGAGGTAGGAGGTAGGAGGTAGGAGGAGGAGGATATGAGAATGGGAACAAGAGAGCAGCACAATTAAGGCGTCCCGCGACCCTGAGGTGACTTGAAAAGGGATCACCTAGATGTGTGTTAGACAGCCATAGAGTCGTTGAAGGAGAAGCAGAGATAGGTAACTAGAAGCTGGAAGCGAATAGCTAAGAGGTGAATCTGTCTGCAATGCAGGCTATCGTGACAGGAGTGCAGAGGCGACGATAGGTGGAAAGGAAGTGTCGGCCTGAGCGAGAAGGATGCTGTCGCGGATGACTGAACGAGAAGGTCAAAGTCTGCGGATGGTGAGACTTGACAACGAACTCGAAAGGAGGTCAGAAGGAGGGGTCGTTACGAGGTCGGAAGACTAGCCGCAAATGCCGAAAGCTGATGAGCTAGAAACGAGGTGCGGAAAGAACAGCAGGAGAGAACGAGGAGCAATGTCACTTTGCGGAAAGCAACAAAGCTAGCGAGGTACTGATCGTAAGATACCGTCTTCTTGTTGTTGTCCCCTATAGGCTACACAAGACACCAGGATGTTCGAGGAGGTGAAGCGCTCGAACAAGAACCACTTTCGCAAGCAATGCGGGTTGGTGACAAGCGGCGTAAGAGAGAGCGAGTGAGACTGCTCGAGGGAAAGGGAGAAGAATCCCGGAACGAAAAAGAGAAGCCCCGCAGACCACAAAGATGAGTCGAACTCAAGGAAGGAGGAGGAGGTGTTGATGAAGAGGAAAAGGAGGATGGTGAGATGAAGACAAGGAGATGAAGAATAGACACTATCGACCGTAGGCTGAGCTGAGACAGACAGAGTGTTTCGGACCCGTATTGGCACGTAAGCACGCAGTGCTCGGAAAGCGCTGAGTGACCGCACAAAGCTCAGTTCTGACGTACTTTGAGCTGGTTTGTAACTGCGGTCAAGTCACTTTTAAAAGAGTAGTCACTTTTAAAAGAGTAGTCACTTTTAAAAGAGTAGTCACTTTTAAAAGAGTAGTCACTTTTAAAAGAGTAGTCACTTTTAAAAGAGTAGTCACTTTTAAAAGAGTAGTCACTTTTAAAAGAGTAGTCACTTTTAAAAGAGTAGTCACTTTTAAAAGAGTAGTCACTTTTAAAAGAGTAGTCACTTTTAAAAGAGTAGTCACTTTTAAAAGAGTAGTCACTTTTAAAAGAGTAGTCACTTTTAAAAGAGTAGTCACTTTCAAAAGAGTAGTCACTTTCAAAAGCAGTCACTTTCAAAAGCAGCCCCTTTTAAAAGCATTTTTGGCGTGCAACAATTTGGAATTTTAAGCTTCAACCTCATGTGTATTCGATCCGTCGATTCGCCTCTTTCCAGCTCAGTTTGAATACAGATGCGGGACGCGAGGTTTCTAATTTGGACTATTCAAAATCGAGAGCTGAAATCCAGGGCGGCCCGACAGAGAACTGCGGATGGATCTTTGCTTTGGACTGCTTTGAACCTGCATTGGCTTGCTTCCGGTTGCAGATCTCTAAGCAAACAGGGCGAGAGAGCTAGAGAGCAGTGTGTCTGACAAGATGAAATGACGGAAAGAGCTCTCTTCTCCCTCCCCGCCTCTTCTCCCCCGCCTCTTTCCCCCGCCTTTTCTTGTCTTTCCACATCGGGACGGCTTTCTCTCTCGGTTGTTGAATTCCTTGACACCCGACACCCGACACCCGACACCCGACACCATCCTTGATCGACACCATCTCCCCATCCATCCTCCACCATCATCCTCAATACCGAATCCATCTCTCTGGGATAAGGGCAAGGAAACAAGATCCTACAATTTTCTTCTTGCAGCTCTGACCCACCACGATGCCCATACAACCCACATTGGCTCCTCGTGCAGAGGCGCTGTGGGAACGACAGCAAGATCCCGTCGCCAGTTTTCTGAGTAGCCTGTTTGGTAGCCCAGACAACACTGATTCTGTCGTTACCAATCAACCCACTCCCACCACCACACGTGCTTTCACGACCACTTCCAGCTCCAGCCGTTCAACGCGCACCACTACTTGTAAGTGACTAGATCCCTTCTCTCTCTCTCTCTACCTCGGCCAATTCTGAACCCTTCCCTTTTCATTGCATTGCAAAACCAACTTGAAACTCACACGCTATAGCTTCGTCTCTTCCACCTCCGGTAGCTTCCACTCCAACCACCACATCCACCTCTTTAACCTCCACCACTTCCTCCACCTCAAGCACACCCACCTCCACCTCCACCTCCTCATCCAGCACCTTCATCATCACCACCTCCTCGCCCTCTACCCTCATCTCCACCTCCCAAGTCGTCTCCGGTACTAGCACCTCTCAAGTCGTCCTAACTACCGTCGTCACCCCCGTTGTAACCACTACCGCTGCTGCCGCTCGATCCAACTCCAGCTCATCTGGCTCCAATGGAGGTCTCATTGGTGGTCTTGTCGGTGGAGTCATTGGAGGACTGGCTCTCATCGCTCTAATCATCACCATTTGTGTAATGGCCAGCCGACGCAAATCTCGCACAGGTCATGCCTACTTCCTTTGCTTCGGTGAGCGTCCTTCACGCAACGCAGCTGGCGATTTGCGTCACAGCGGTGGTGCATGGCCCACTTTCGACCCACAAGATGATCATCGTAACTCGAGCTACGCTGCTGGTGCAGCAGGTGTCGGCGCTGGTGCTGCTGCTGCTTCTCCTTCTCGTCGAACAAGACGTGAGCAGACGAATGCCACTCTTCCTGCTGAATTTGCCAACGAGCAAGATCCCGAACGATACGGATACTCTGGTTCTGCCGCCGCTCACAACGGTTACCCAGCTGCTGCCACTCAGTACGATGCTGGATACGATGCCTACGATGCGTACGGAACAAGCGGCTATCCCGATATGCAACAACGCCCCGCACGCAACGGTGCAGGTGCACTTGCTGCTGGTGCCGCTGCAGGTGGAGCTGGAGCGTATCTGTACAACAACAGTAGTCCAGCTATCAACCGTCGTTCATCTGCTGGCCATCCTTCGCACGATTCAACTTCGTACGCAAACATGTCGCCTCACGCAACTGCTTTGAACGAAACAGCTCCCGCTCCTTGGACCTTACCCATGATGGGATGGCAAGATACACATGGGCCCTACAGCGTTGCTGGTGTGGGTGGAAATATGGTTACTACCTCCCCTCCCCAGGCTCAATTCATGGTTTCGCCGAGTGAGGCGAATAGGACGGCTGCTGCTGCCGCTGCCGCTGGTGCCGGTGCCGGTGGTGTAGCTGGCGCTGCTGCTGGAACTCCAACCCGCAGCACAGGGCCGGATTACAGCCATTTCGACCCACCCGAGATCCGCGACGCTAGAGCGAGAGAAGCGGCAGCTGAGGCACTCGCCAGGGGAAGCTTCTCAACCGCTCACTCGTACGGAAAGCCAACTTGGCCAAGAAGGCAACCTAGAAGGCTCTCGAGTAGCCAAGGAACTCCGATCAACCAACACTCGAATCTAGCTGCGGGTGGTGCGATGGCTCCCCCGGCATACGTAGATGCTCAGGATGGAATCATGGAAGAGATGGACGATCAACCGAGGAGGTTGCATTTGACGAATGCCGAACCGGATGTAACTACGGATGATGATAGTTCCAGGGGTGGGCCCACTAGAAGACCGACACATAATCACAAGGACCAGCCTCCGGCTGCTACTTACCGCCAGCACTGAGTGACTCAAATCGCTGCTCTGGCAATAGTCAGAACCAACGGATACGTTGATATCCCATGGACCTTTTCGATACCTGGTTTGAATCCTTTTGCTTCCGAATACCTTTATTCTCGATTTCTTACATACAAGAGGAGATGACTTGTTCCGTCTTGTCGCGCCCTTTTTGCCTCACTTTGGACGCTTTTGTCTCGCTATCTTTCATTTGATCCGGACGTTTTTGTATCTTAGAAAACGCCTATGTCCCATCTCTGGTGGGGAGTGGAACAGTATCTCACAACAATATCTTCAAACCGATCTTGTGTTCGCCCCTAAGACCAATGTAACTCGTTTGCCATATGCTCAGACTGAACACAGTGACTGAAATCTACACGACCTCGTCCTTCTCAGGGTATCACCTTCGCTTGCCTCCGCCTCTTACTCTACTCAGGCATAACCTTCCCCCGAACAAATCCAGGCACATCAGCAATTCCCAACATATGCACACTCACCGCAATAACCAACCCGAGCAATATAAACCCAGCGGCAAACCCTGCCACCATGGCCCCCACGACCGCAAATGCGGCCAGGAAAATAGACCCTCTAACCGCTTCCCAACTCAACCACCCTTTCTCTCTCCCCTCCAGAAAGGCATTCACCCTTTCCGCCACAACCGCACTGCCGGCCACTACAACGGGTACACCAGTGCCCGGCTGGGTACTCGCCCCGACAAAAAACAGATTGTGGTACTTGGCATGCTGGATACTAGGTCTAAACCATAAAACCTGCGGGATGGTGTGGGATAGACCCAAGATGGAACCTCGGAAAAGGTTGAATTTGTCCGCCCAGTCGAAGGGGTCGTTGATGATTTCGTGTTCGATGAGGTCTTTGAAGTCGGGTCGGTTGAGGCGACGGGAGAGGATGGAGATGACTTGTGAGCGGACACGCGAGACTGTTTTTGCGAATTGTTGGCGTGTGTGTGCGCCCTTGGAGGGATCCGAACAGGCTTTTTCGGGGATCGAGATGGGGCCGCAGGGGACGAGGATCACTAGCGAGTCTTTGCCAGCGGGTGCAGCGGTTGCGTCTAGACGGGAGGGGACGTTGACGTAGAAAGAGGGTTCGGAAGGTGTGTCGCCATCACGGAAGATTTCGTCAAAGGATTCTTGGTATGCGTCAGCGAGAAAGATGTTGTGTCCTCCCAACTCCTCTACGATTTGCGAAAGGGACCAGTAGAAGCTGATCGATGAGCATGTCTGATCTTTTCCTCGAAGTTTCGTTGCGTAGGAAGAGGCGGGTAGGAGGTTGTTATAAGTCCACACGAGGTCGGCGTTGCTAACTACAACATCTGCTTCCATCACCTCGCCATTCTCCAATTCCACCCCTTTCGCCGTACCACTTGTCTCATCCACCACAATCCTCTTGACACTGGTATCATACCTAAATTCCGCACCAAACTTATCCCTGGCAACCCTCTCGATCGCCTCTACCACCTTCCAAAAGCCACCGAGAGGATACCATATCCCCTTGGCATACTCGGCATACTGCAACAAACTATACGTCGCCGGCGCATCAAATGGACTCATACCCATATACATTGCACTAAACGTCAACGCCCTCCTAACATGCCTACTTTTAAAATACTCGGCAGTCCTCTCATACAAGGTCGTGTACATCCTCAACCCTTTCGTTTTCCACAACATCGGAAACAATTCCGGCCGGAAGAAGGCCCACCATACACTCCAATCCTTCGTCAAGACATGCTTTACACTTTCCTCGTAGTTCTCCCCCGCCTCTCTCAGGAATGCGAGAAAGTTTGCGAGCGGGTCAGCTTTCGAACCGGCCCGCTTTTCGAAGAAGGATAAGGTTTGGGACATTTGAGAGAGGTTGGAGGATAAGACCATTTTTTCGCCATCTGCAAAGTGGATTCGGTAGGCTGGGTTGCATTGGTGCAGGGTTACGTGGGAATGGATGTCTTCGCCGAGATCGCGGAAACATGATTCAAAGATTTCTGGCATAAGGTAGAGTGAGGGACCTTGGTCGAAGCGATGGCCGTTGTGGTGGATCAGCGAACAACGGCCGCCGGAAAACGTGTTTTTTTCGAGGACGGTGACGGTATGGCCTCGACGAGCGAGGCGGGCGGCGAGAGCGGTGCCGCCGGCACCTGCACCGATGATGATGACTCGTTTGTTGGTTTTGCGGGGAGAGGGGGGCAAGTAGGAGTTGATGCGGGATAGAGCCGGTCCTGGCGTGGAGAGCTTTTCCTCGCTCATGATGTTGAGCTACGGTAAGGGGTGGATTTGGTACAACGAGGGTGGTGGTGGTGGTGGTTTTAGTTCGGAAGGGATCAACAAGGAAGCAGGGAAGCGTGATGGGAGAGATCAACACAAAGATGACTTGAGGGTGCGCATGGACATGGTAAGCTGCATGCATTTCGAGTGATATCTGTGCGCGCCAGGCGATATGAAAGCCGCGGCGAACTCTTGGAAAATAAAAATAAAAAATCGCATTCCACAGTTGAGAAATTGGAGGGGCGTCGAATTGCGAATCGGGCACGTTGTTCAATCTTGTGTGTGTTGCACAAGTACAATGACGTTAGTATGCTGTATGAGATAATGTACAAATGGGTCCTATCCAGGCATCACAGAGGTTGAGTGGTGCATAGCTAGCGAGATCCCCCACCACCTGCGCCCCGACTAGCAGGTCTAGAAGGTGCAAAGATAGATGACAGAGCTGCTGGTGACGCCCTGACCATCCTACTATCCTGCCCTCCGCCTGCGGCTGCTGGGCGGAACGAGTTGCTTTGGTGTCTAATCGAAATTGGTCTTGCGCTGCCATTTCCCCTGACTTGGGCTGTAGCAGGACGGGCGGGTTTTGTGTTTGGACTGGCAACTTTCTCTGGTGGCGGTGGTGGTGGGGAGCTAGGCCGAGGCGACGAGGGAGACTCTGCCTTCTCCTGTGTTCGCACTCGTTTGGCTTGTATCACTTTGACTGCCGGTTTGCCGCTAGCTGAGCCAAATGGAGCAAATGAGGTTGCAGTTGGTGAGCTGGCAGTTGGCGGTGAAGCGACTTGCTTTGTGGGTGGAGCTCGAGTGCTGCTAGAGCTGTGAGTGCGTTTCAAGCGGCAAGAGAGTGGGGAGCTCGGACGCGGGCTGCTGCTGCATCCTACCGCTGTTGCTGCCGATGAAGGTGAGGAGCAAGGTTTGGAGCTGCCAAAAAAGTCGAGCTTGCGTCGCTCTACCCTTGCGATGTCTGGCGGCGGTGATGAGGATGCTGGTGGTGCCTTTTGGATGGATGATCCCGCTTGCTGACCGCTGGACGTTGGCCTGCTCTTCACTGAGACTGAGCCAGATCTTGGACAAGAAGCGCAAGAAGGCGTCAAAGGCGCAGCAGCTGCCACCTCATGCGGCTTCAGTCTCGGTAGCCCTGTCGCCACTGATACTGCATCGCTATCCACCCTCTGCATACTCTCTTCCTTCTTACTGCGTGCCGCTGAAGTTGAAGTTTTCCCTTTAGCTTCCTCTTCCAACCCATCACTACCCGGCATCGGCATCGAAAACTTCTTCAACTTGGCAAGGCCTTCACTCCCTCCACCCTCAATCCTCCTCGGAGCGACCATCGGTCTTACCATCTCGCTCCTCACTTCCGCCCCTGCTGCCTCTGGTGCTATCTCCGCACCAAGCATCTTACTCCTTCCCAACCCTTTAAACGTCGGTCTCCCACCTCTCGGAGCTGTCAACTTTGCTTGTGCTACACTCCCCGATCTTGCTTTGTTCATCAGACTCTGTCCTTTACTCACTCCTCCCCCTCCTCCACCACCGGCAGCCATTAGACCGAACCGTCTTCCGGCAGATCTAGCATTCTTCACCATCAGGGGTCGATCACTCACAACCAGCTTCTTCGCTTCTTTCTCTGCTCGATGCTGAACATACTTGTCCTTAATCCTCTTCGCTGCTTCCAACTTAGCCTGTTCGGTTTCCCCCTTCGTGCGAAAGTACAGCCTTCTCCAGCTCTTTGGCTCTTTCGGGAGAGCAATGCAAGGTGTCGAGGGGGTGTATTTCTTGCGGAGCTCGTTAAAGTCTCTTAGGCAGTTTCGTTTCCATACTTCCTCAGTATGTTCGAGGAGGTGAGGAGAAGCTTCTTCGAGTGTGACTAGTTGTTCGACCCGACATTCTTCGAGGATGGGTTTGGCGTTGCGGTATGGCATTTCTCCCAGATCTTGGACGGAAGAGATGTTGCGGAGGATGACGCGGAGACACATCGAGTATAGGCTCATGTTGGAGCTGGGTGGTGGGTGCGGGTTGCGGAAGGAGGAGGAGGAGAAGGAGGAGGAGGAGAAGGAGGAGGAGGAGAAGGAGGAGGAGGAGGAGGAGGAGGAGGTGCGGAGAGCAGTAGGACAAGTGCCAGGGAGTGGAGAGGCAGGGTCAAAGTCAAGCTCTTCAGGTTGACCCCAATTGCCTTGGACCTTGTAGGTGGTGTCTTTGAGACCCATCATCCCCGGTGGTTCTGGGGATCGTTTCCAGTCTTTCATATTGTCGGTGCTTGAGGCTGTGGTACAGCTTCCGCTCTTGTTGGTGGTGAGCGGAGCAGATCAGGTTCTAGAAGCAGGTGCTTTAGGGGGTACCAAAGGTAGGTGGTCGGACATGCTGCATGGTCGTCCTGAACAAAGCGGGTTTGGAAATGTAGCCTTAGTGGTGGCCGAGCGGAAGCTTGAGTTGGGAGGCGAAACACGGTAGCGTAAGTGGCTGATTGTAAACCGATGTAGCCTTTCGAGCAACGCCGGTGCGAATCTGATGAAGTCGAGACTCGAAGATGTTTCCCGTGTGTCAAACGACGCCGAAAAGCGCACAGGCACACGCACAGACAGGCACACGCACACATAGTAACACGAAGCACAGGTGTGAAAAGAAAAAAGAAAAGAAATAAAAAGAAAGAAAAAAAAGAAGAAAAAAAACAAGGCAGCAGAGCGCGGTCGGTTTTTAGCTTGTATGTATATCCTCCACATTTTGATTCAGCCTCGCACCGACCTTCTCAACCTCAACACAACCATCAAGAGATACGTTCTGACAGACGACCTCAGCACTGGAGCATAGCAGGTTCAACGAATGGCCATTAAAAAGCGGGTCTACACAGTATTCAGCCCGAAATGTGTGGAGCTGTCATGTGAAAGAGTGTGGGTTTAGACGAGTTGAGGGGCCAAAGGATAGTGCCACACCGCAGTGTCAAGTACGCAGCATGGTATGCTCAGAGCATAAGGCCAGCAGCTTCACCATCCCTTACCTTCCCCCTGTACTCTTCTCTTGCATTCTTAATAGTCGCCCTAACATCCTTCCTCGCCAACGCATCCCTCACCCAGAACAAGAACGCATCATCGTCCTCTGGCACAAAGAAGCTACTCAGTGCACTCAATATCATTTCAAAATCCGCCCCCTCCGCCAACACCGCCCCTCTATGCGCCCAAATGATCCCCACGGCGACCATTGTAATTACATCCTGGCCATCCAGTAGCCACGCATCCCACACCCTTAGCTGCGTCTCGAATGGTATCGAGTTCGAAAACAGCGTAATGTACCACTTCGTCGCATACGAGCTTGCAACGATCATTTGATTGTCAAATACAGCTGCTAGTTCCGGCGCATACTTCCGCAACAGCTGCTCTTGCACGAACAAATTCTCCACCAGACCAGGAAATCCAGGAGAGAAGGTAGTGTGGAGGTTGAGATAGTTGTGCATCGATACCATCGCCGTATAAGCACGTTCGGGGCTAAAATAGCAGAGTAGGGTAGCAGCGATGGGTCCCATGCCTTGGCAGTAGCCGCATTGCTCGCATAGCATCGATATTGCGTGGAGGACGTGGAAGAGCGATCGTTGACCTTGACCGTAGCGAGTGTGGAATTGAATGTGGCCAGAGATGGTACGTGGGACGTCGAGGTCGATCTGCACATCGTGTGCGCTGGGCATATCTGCGAGCTTTCCCAAGTTTCCCGGATCAGGTTTGCTGAGCGAGACAGGTGTTGAAGCAGCAGGACCTTGCAGATGAGGCTGAGCAAGCGAGTTTGAGTATCGCCCCTCCTCGGTTTGCTGACGATGCTGAATGAGAGCTGCCCAGGCTGCAGCACGCCAGCTGTCAGGTATGCCTTTGTAGACTCTGCGACGGAGCTTCCGATCGATAGCTTTGGCGAAGTCGAAATGAACAGCGTTGTGACCTTGATCTCGTCCTTTCACTGTAAGCATCTTTGACCATTTAGCGATCCGCTCCTGCTCACGCCGACGGTGCAAGGTGTCGGCTGCTGCACGCGCTTCCTGCACGAGGTGCGATCCGAATTGGTCGCTGCCATTCGTCTGCGCCCGCGTGGCCGTGTTGCTGGCTGACGAGTGGGGTGGCGTGAGGCTGGTTGGTAGAGGTCCTCTTTGCGATGCTAAGCCTTTTGTGCCCTTTTTTGGGAACGGAGCTGCGAAGAGACTTGATGATAGCAGAGTGGACTTGTGATGCGCATTGCTGGGACTATCTGAGAAGAACCCATAGCGGTCAATGTTGGCGATGAGCTGTTCTCGTTTTTTTCCTGCAATCTCTTGTCGACGTTGACGCTCGTTAGTGGAGAGCAAAGTGTTGTTCGAAACTGATGTTGCAGCGCTGAAAGAAGTCGGTAGAGGCGGTCTAGGAGAATGTCCGCCCTGTGAAGACCATTGCGATAAGCCGCTCCTTGCGCTCCCACTACCGTCGATCGCTGGTATATTGTGTCCATTGATACCACCATTCGGAACATTCTCCACACCGCTGCGACCCGGAGTCGTTGGTGCTGATGTATTGGCTTCAGACGGCCTAGCCGAGCTGCGAGCGGCAATGTTGTGATTGGGTCGAGAGAGTGCAGCTTCCTCCCATGCTGAGAGTCCATTCTTTTCGCGGGTATATTCTTTGCCATCGGCGAAGCCATCATCTGGCACACCAGCAACGGCAAAGTGTGCATATGTTCTACGAACGAATTCGGCATCGGATTCGAGCGGCGTGCTGAACTGATTGGCGTGCCATTCAGGGATTTGAGATCCTTCCTCGGGTGCAGAGGATCTGCGTATCCTAGGCGATACGGGTATTGGAGGAGCTAGAGTTGAGGTTGATCGATCCTCGCCAGGGTCGGGAGTGGTGGATGCGGTCTTTGGTCGAAATCTGGCTGGCAGAGCACGAAGGGAGATGGATCTGGATAGTTTGTGGTCTTCCTTGCCTTTGATGGCAGAGACCGACGCCTCAGCTGGGATGTGGTGATCCGTCGTCATCTTGTCGTGCACCAAGAACTCGTACGTGACATTCCTCAGCGAATTGTTGTCTGAGAAGTGGTCAGAAGGCTGTTGCTAAACACTGGCTGTGTACATGCTTGCTCTTCAGCAAGCCTAGAAGAAGCTCAACGCCGAGCCATTGTCAAAGTCCTGACGAATCACGAGCCTGAGGGATGACCAAGTTTAGTGATGGTCGTGTGAGCTATCGTTATATGCCGAAGAAAATTGTATGCGCTGCTGTTCAGGTTATGAGAGTGTTGAGGTCGGAGCGCCTTCCGGCTGTGAGTCTGGCGGAGTAATCGAGTTGGGCGTTCACTCCATGATGGCCGAGATGAAGCTTTGATCGGTGGCAATCGTGTTCAGATGATGCAATGTATGCTCAGCATCGAGAGACGAGAGTTTGTTTTGATGAGGAAGAGCAACACACAATGCACAGGCAGGAGTTTAGACCTCCTTACACTTCATGCAGCTCCCAAGTAACTATCACAGCGGTCAAGGGGCGATACACTGACTCTCTCGTCCAATCGGGCTCGAGTTTCAAGATGAAAATGAGATCTACGATGCCGAGTTGGATTTAACACTCTCGAATCAAAGCTGAGTTGAGAAGGCGTCGTTTTCTGGGCCAACCGCACCAACCAACCAAAAGTCGCAGAATCTTTTTGCTCACTTTTATCTGATTTGTCGAAAAAGCCTTCCGCCGTCTTCCGAGAACTTTCTCTACGCTGCGCAATCCTCATCACACACGCCACCTTGCTCATCCACGTTTCCATCACCAGATACCCCCATCACACAATGTCGCAATTCAATGAGGCAGGACCAAGCAATCTCATCGAGGTGACCTCTCCGGAGCATTTCACCGAGATCATGCAACAAGACTTGACTCGAGTCTCTCTTCTCAACTTTTACGCTCCATGGGCCGAACCATGCCGGCAGATGAACGAGGTTGTCCGCGAAATTGCCATCAAGTATCCTCAGGTCCTTTGCCTCATCATCGAGGCCGAATCTCTTCCCGACGTTTCTGAATCATTCGACATTGAAGCAGTCCCCTCCTTTGTCTTGCTCCGAGGGCACACTCTTCTTTCTCGCATCAGTGGTGCTAACGCGTCAGCCCTCTCCGCCGCTGTTGCCACTCACGTTGCCCCAACTCGCGTCAACGGAACCGGCAGCGTATCCAAAACTTCTGCTGCTCCCCGCGCCGCCGCTGACACATACGACGCATCCACACGCAACGGCACCGCAGCAACCTACGCAGATGACCAAGACGAGGAAGACGTAGTCCCCGAGACCGAAGAACAGATCTTTGCTCGATGCAAGAAACTAATGGAACAGAGCAAAGTCATGCTCTTCATGAAGGGTGATCCTGATACACCCAAGTGCGGGTTCAGTCAGAAGACAGTCAACCTTTTCAGACAGGAGAAGGTCGAATTTGGTCATTACGATATTTTGAAGGATGAAAACGTTAGACAGGGATTGAAGAAGTTAAATGAGTGGCCCACTTTTCCTCAGATCATTGTGAACGGAGAGTTGATCGGCGGACTGGATATCTTGAAGGAGAGCATCGAGAGTGGGGAGTTCCAGGAGATGCTTCAGGGCTGATATCTCTGAGAGTAGGTTCAAAGTTGTATTCGAATCTGCATTGTACATTAGTAATTCTGGCGCAAATCTTAGTTTGATCTTTGTTGACGTTATGACTAGAAGATCAGGATATAGTACAAAAGAGGGTGGTGGCTAGAGCTTCCAGATTTCGACCCCGTCCCAGTCATCTCTGGACCATGCGGCGCCATCACCAAGGGTATCGAAAATTTTGCGAACCCGCTTTGCAGGAATCTGTTTGAATGGGAGGTCGTAGTCCTCGCTAGCAAGACGGAAAGCTTCGTTGACCTGAGTGGGATCTCTGCGTTCCAGCGCAAGCAGGATTGTTGGCTTTGACTCTGCTTGTCGTTGGTAAAGGTGGGCAATGGTGAACAGGAGCGACCTTATCAGTGATGGCTCGTAGATCGTGTCTGCCGTCAGAATTAGGTCGAAGTGTTGTTCAGTAGTCGTTTGGGTGTTGCGAGTATCGGCGTCAACGTGCTCCTGGGCGCTAGGAAAACCCAGCTCTGGATGCCAATGCCACCTTTCAGGCAGAACGGTCCAGTCCAGCTGGCAGACTCGAATTTGATCCTTCTCTGCCTTCCCCTCGTTGACGAGCTGATAGAGACCAGCCTCAACATTCGGCTTCAGCACCGATTCGAGTACTGGCGGAATATCTGTGGCCACAGTATCCCACCCCAGCCTCGCCATGAGAAGCGAGAGCAGACCTGTGCCTGACCCTAGTTCGAGCACTCTCTTGCGTGCTGCCGAGCTATCCTTCTGCTGTACTTTCCCATAAGTATGGATAAGGAAAGACGAGAGCACTTGGGGGGACAGCCAAAGTGACGAGCCTGTGCTATTTGTGTCGTTGCGCTGTGTCAGCCGAAATGAGGTGTCGATGCAAGGGAAATGGTAGACTAGCTCTGGAAGGTGCTTTGTCTGATGAGCTGGCAGGTTGACGGCTTTCTCGTAGCTTTGAGATTTATCCTCATTGGTGCTCGCGTCAGAACCGCTGTCGATATCGTCTGGCTTCAACATCTGCTCCTTCTTCACCCTCTTTGTGGCCCTTCGAGTCATTATGGCAGGCACCTGCTACAGGCACTTCAATGTCGGACCAAGCTTGCTCTCCTCGCTCATTCTTGACTGTTTTGGGGAAGGCGTGCGTTGGACTCGACGGCTTGGTTTCCTCGCGGCGGAACAAAGTCGGCAATGCTCAAACCACCAATTGCATCTCGATCGTCTGATAAGAAGAAAGGGAGTTGGGATGAGCAGCGCAAGATGGGAGCAAATGAGTGTTGAAATGTGGAGTGGAGCAGGTCACGTGCTGAAGCGCGTTGGCGGGTGGAATTCCAGCGTAAACTCGCTCCGCCAAAGTTGCGCTGTGTAGTTAGCTGTTTGCACGGCGCGAAACGCGTCGAGAGAGAGAGAGGGAGGGAGAGTGAGAGAGCAACACTTTGGCTGCAGGGGAATGCCCAAATTTGACCTGCTCAGCTTTCTCTTTCCTTGTGCGCCTACCGAGAACAACACTTGCAAGCATCTCGAACCGCTCGCCAATATTGACCACCATCTACCATCCACGACACCATCATCGCCGAAGATCGCCATCTCACAAAATCAACCCTTACATCATCCAACCCCTCTCAATAAACAACACGGATAGTGCACCCCTCAGTGCCCACCATTCTGACCCCAACATGGCGTCCACCATCCACCAATCCTTCCCCATGTCCTCAGCACGCGTCCCCGAAGACGCCGTCAAAGGCAGTGGAAACTACTCCTCCTTCCCTGTTGTTAAAATTGACGAACTACTCGGAGTCCTATCCGAAATGGGACTTTCCATCTCACCCGAAGACATACAGAAACCACAAGGTCACGTCGCACATCGAGTCTTTGTCGCCTTTCTCGAATGTCTTTCCGGAACAACAACCGAGATGATGGATGGACGACGTCACGAAGCGCTCGCATCCGTCGAATACAGCGAACTCTACGAAGACGGCCTGCAAATGCTCATGTTCTTCCGCGAAGTCAAGGACATGATGAATGCAGCTACCCTCTACGACTTGACGCTGCAGGATCTTACGCGGCCTAATCCGAAACGGTTTCGACGACAAATGTCCGCGCTGGTCAACTTCTATCGTTTTCGCTCAGACCGTATTGTCGAGTTCGAGGAACTTGTTACTGGATCTGAAGATCTCGAGAACAAACGGAACGAGATCGAAGACGACATCGATCGGCAACGAAGCGAACTCGCCCGGTTCAAAGCCGAACGTGAACTCGACGAGCCAAAAGTCAAAGAACTCCAACGAATCAACGCCGAGATCACAGACGATCTTCTCGCAGCACGGAATCAACAGAAGGAGACCATCGAGCAACTTGAAGAGCTCAAGAAACGTAAAGATGGCTTGGCGATCAAACATGCCGAATTGGCCCAAGAAAAGTTTCAGATCTACGAAAAGATCACCTACCTCGAAGCACGCGTCGTTTCGAGTCCTAGTAAGATGAAGAATAGCGTCCGGGAGTTGGGAGAGCAGTTGGATAAAGATACCGTCTCTTTGCAAGAGAGTTTGAAGAAGGTGGAAGAGTTTAAGCGCAACCTGGAGACTTTGGATAAGTTGAGTAATGATTTAGAGACTTGTATGAATGCTATGCATGAAGTCAACCTCGAGATGGTAAAGGGCAAGGAAGAGGTTCAGAATCAAACGGATTTACAGGCTCTTTCTCAGGGGATCAATAATCAGCTCGCTTCGCTGAAACATTCGTTAGAGATGACGGAATATGAGATGAAGAGGTTGGAGGACAAACAGAATAGGAATCGAAAGACCTTGATGGATATCACTGAGAAACACACAAAGAAGATGGAGAATCTGCAGACCGAATTCGAACAAGCCAAGCAGGAAAGGAGTAGGAAAAACCAGTTGGCCGAAGTCAAGAATTTGGAATCCGAAAAGATCGAGGCAAAGATGGCAGAGTTGGAGGAGGCCTACGAAGGCTATCAGAAGAAGATGATCAGGCAGAAGGATGCGATTGAGACCGCGGTAAGGCTTTATATCAGTACCTTGACCAATTCCTTGCAGTTGGAGAGGTTCGAGGCTTGATCCGATACAAGACATGCCAAGACCGTTAGTTGTTTCTTTGTAATTGTAGTCCATGCTTGCGTTCAACTTGTTATACCCCATATGTAGGACCTGCGTGAGTGGCCGTGTTGCGAGGCCTCTTACTTGAACGTGACACCGCTACACAAGTAACTAGCACAGACGAAAGAGTTATGAGCAAGAGGAACAGATCTAGTTTGCAGGTAATAGAATATACTCGTCATGCCTCCTTTCCAGCCTTCTCCCGCAAAAGCATCCGACAAGAACCCGACAAACGCCATACGCAGCTGTCATGATCGCTATCGTCTGAACCAAGCTTCTGTTGCTTGAATTCATAATCCAGCCCCGTCTACTGATGTATCTTTCTCCTTTTACATCCCATTCTGCCAATGACGTTTGCGCTGCCGGGTCAATGCTTCTGCTGAGATACCGCTTGATATCATCCTGAACGATTTCGATGCATTTCTCGCCATTGGCACTGCCAGCGCACAGCCCACCAACCTTCTCCCTTCGATCATCACCCTTGACAGGATGTAGCAGCATTGGCCCGATACATGCATCTCTATCCCTTTTCCACTGCCCATATATCTCACCTGCAATGGTAGAGCTGTAATAATAAGAAGTATCCTTTAGCACCTCTTCCCTGTGCTTTGCCAAAGTTGCGCTGGTTGGGTTGAGCAGTTGGTTGAGCTTTGCTGGCGAAGCCTCGTACCGGAACGCGATAGGATGAGGGTAGTGAACCATCTTGAGCTGCTCCCTACACTCATCCTCACCTGCCGCTAACGGAAGCGAGTCAGTTTGGAGGACGAGGGTGGGCACCATAGCTTCGCAGAACAGCGACCGATGTTGGTCTGCCGTAACATTCTCTAGCGCCTGAAGCGTTCTTTTACTCAGCCAGAGGTTTGTGCCTACTGAAGCGGCGCGAGGTTTGGCTTGGAAAGAAGGGTATCCTTGTACGTCGTATTCCCAATACCACCCCGAGTCGACTGTGTTGCGGACTGGAGAGAAGACTACTACATCTGCACTCTTTCCTTTGCACACCTCTGTGTCCTTATCGCTCCTGCTGAGAGTGGCACCTTGAACTGGCCACTGAGTGTAATTTTGTGCACTGGTGCGATGGGCGTAGTTCCAAATCGACTCCAAAAGATGGTCGTAAGTATGGGTGAAGCGAGTGTCGAGCTCCCAATTGACGAAGCTATCGTATTCGGGATGCTCGATGGAGAAGCGTTGAAATGGAAGCAGACAGCCTCGATAAGACCCAGCAGCCTTTATCCCTTCCCTGAAATCTCCGTAGAGTGGGTACCGTAAGATCATTCCCTGCTCGCTCCATAGTTTGACTAGAGACCAGAACTCGATAGGTACGCTGCCTCGGAGGATCTGCTTGCGACCTGACTCGGTGAACATCGAGACGTAGTTTGATGTATCTTTGACTTCCAGAAGCAAGTGGACGTCCACTTCGAATGGAAGGGTAGGAGATGTGCGCAACTCCCAGATGAGAGCACGAAGGTGAAGGATTGCATCCTGAGTCCAGGTGAAGCCTTGGTAGCAGCGGAGGACGAGTGCGACTCTGTGCTTCTTTGTCGTTGCTCTTGTTGATCGTGCAGTTGGCGAGGGTGTAGGACAGGACGAGGGGTAGGAGAGGTTTGACCATTCGACATGTGGGAACAACTGCGGATCATGTTCCGCCAGTAAGTTTGCGTACCAAATGACATCGCCTGTGATGCTCGCCTTATCTCGCACACCTAGTCTCTCTTGCGCTTTGGGGATGTAGTCATTCCCCCACGCCTGCGCGAGGTAAGGCTCGAATCGTGAAGAATAGTGATAGCATTGATTATTGTCCAACGCTGCCTCTTGTGGCGACCCTACGGGACCAGCCACAATATGGCTCTGTGTTTTTGAAGCTGAGAATATGGGCTGAAAGCAAGGTCCTTCCTGAGAGATGGATGATGCAGGCAGGTGCTCTGAATACCTTGAAATCGACGCTTGAGGAAGGTAAAGGCGATGCCAAGGGTAGATGCGTGCAAAGTGCCAAATTAACGCCCCTGCTAGCACCAAGCTCAGCTCCAGAGCCCACCGTTTGGCCTGTTGCCTTGAGCAAGGTAGCCCCATCATGATGAAGAAGGCGCCTTCATGCTGCGATGAAGGTTCAAAACTGACCGCTGAGGATGGTCAGCGCTAAAGGTCTTGGGGTTATTCTCTCGGCTGTGCGTGGGCTTCTATCCGAATTCCGTCGCTCTGTCTGCGCGAGGAGAAGAGGCTCTCCCCCTCCTTCCTCTATTGAAACTTCTCAGAGGACCCAGATAAGTCTGCATAGACTCGACACATACTGAGTCCTGCTCATGGTGGAGATGAACACGCACGCAAGCACTTGCACTCGAGACAAATGTCAAGCTTCCAAAGATTGGTGTGATTGATCAAAACAACCTCAAAGACCTTACACTTTTCACCTCAGCCATCGACAACCGCCACGAAATGCCCGACGAAACGGCATTCTGGTACAAATCACCTTCGTCTTCCCCACGATCCAGGTTCAACACATAACTGATCTGTTGCAATCTCGTGAATTTGTCCCTGATCGGCAGACTAGTTTGTGCAGTCAAGAAGCCGATCACTGCTCTTAGATCTTTATCGAACTTCAACGCTCCGAGTTCTGTAAACCTCATACCCATCACCATCGCCTCCCATGGCTTGAGTAGGGCATCAAGAGCCATTTGGACGTAGGTGTTGAAGTTGGCATCGGTGAATTGGCCTCGGAAGTGATGGAATAGGAGATCCCAGGACTTGACGAAGCGCCGTCGGACAAGGCCGCGCGATTCGGCGTCTGAGTAGGATTCGTCGTCCAACACGTACGAAACATCGCGGTAGGTTTCAACTAGGACACCTCGGAGACGAGGAGAAGTGAGCTGAGTGAACAAGTGCTCGATCTCGGTCCGCAGCGAAGACTTGAAACGGTTCACGAGTTGGGAGAGCGAATTGATGGCGGCAAATGCTTCATCTAGCTCTGTCGGCTCGAAGAGTCTCGTCAGTGCCTGTTCGTGCCCAACCTCGGCCAGGACACGAGACATGTAGTTTGAGCTAACATCCAGAACATTGAGATACGTGATGAACACAGTGCGCATCTCTCTACTCGCTGCATCTTTCCGTGGGCCATCTATTATCATTGAGCCCGAGATGCTTCGCCAGAGAGTTTCCATCTTGCGCACGATGACTTCGATGTATTCTTCCTCGAGAGAGGTTTTGACGATCCGAACCATCTCGTTGAGTGTGGTGAGGGATGAGGTGGAGAGGATGCGAGCAAGGACGGTACGTATGACGTAGAATGCGTCGTCGAGGATGGATGATGTGTAAGGGCGAGAGGTGGTGTCTGGTTGATCGATGCGGAAGGCTTTTCCGAGACTGTTGCGCAGATACCAGGTTTCCATGGGGATGTAGATGGTTTTCATCGTATCGAGGACTTCTTGGCCCAACTTGGATTCAGCGGCAAGGTCGACTGGCTCGAATGGAAGCGCATGCTCATCAGCCATGCCGTCGTTGGGGAAGGGGCCATTGACGCTCGAGGCGATGGAGATGCGACGATCGATCGATGTGCGACGAAAGTCTTTGAGTGGCTCGTCGGCTTGTGTTGCCCTTTCGTCCTCTAGAGTTCTTTGCCGATTGCCCTTGGCTGCATCGCCGTCGTCCTGCTCTGGAGCAAGTCGACTTTGCAAGAAACGTCGATACAGTCCCCATCGGGAAGACATGCCAGCTAGCTCCGTGAGTATACGGTCGATCTCACGCCCGTCCGGACCAGAAGGCTCATCGAAAGAGCTATTTGCCGTCGAACCTGCTGCTGGACTTGCTGTTCTGCCAGGAACACCAAATGACGCCTTGAAAGTCGGTTGCTGTGTCTTGTTTGCCACCACTGCTCCTGTAAATCGATACGACTGTACTTCATCTAATCTTCTACGAACATTGCGATCTTCACGCCACGAATCCATTATGCGGTGACCTAATCTATCGCATTCCTCCTGCAGCCCTGGCATGACACCATGCCCAAAATGACCGACACCATAATGTCTGTCCACCACAGGCTGATGCATATCGATGAGCATAGCAAGGTGTTCGAACAGAGAAGTAAGTAGCAGAGCAAAGTGAATAGGATGCTGTGCCTTGCCCGACGCAAGCGAGTCCGAGATGGCTCGCCCCTTCTCACGCACCATCGAGCGAGCAAAGGAACTATATACCTCCAGACCTTCCTTCTTCCATCCGACTTGAGGGAAGAGCTTGAAGAATCGCGAAGCTTCCTTTTCGTCCTTGTTCTGCGTCGACTTGATAAATGCATCCGTGAAGGCTTTGAGCATGGTCTTGCGAAGTTCGAGCAGTGTCGTCTCTGGTGGCTCTGGAAGGTCGGTGCTCGGGACGACAGCTGCAGCAAATTGAGAGGAGCGGATAGCGGGATCAATGGCAAGTGCTCGACTGCAATGCGCGGTTGCCATGTCCCAGTCACGGTGCTCGACGGCAGCAGCGAGGAGGGAGAGAGACGATTTGAGCTCGGCCGTTCGCACTGCCCATTCTGTAGCGAGAGCGATTCGTTTACGTTCTTCATCGAGTAGCCGAACTCGTTCGGAGATGCGTTTTGCGACAGATGCTGAGCTCTGTAGTCGACGGTCGAGCACACCGGCTTCTTCCTGGATCAGCTGCACTTGGGGAGCCAGACCAGAGATGGAACGTCTCGCATCGGTGACAACGGGTTCGGACTCTTCGAAGAGCGAGACGAGCTCATCATCGAGGGAGCTCAAGTATGCAGAAAGGTCCGAAAGTGCATGAACTATCGCAGATCGGCTGGTGAGCTTGGAAATGTCGACCAGCTGCTGTGGTGGTGGTTGTGCGTGTTGTGTCTGTTTGGAGGGACCGCCATCTTCTTTGAGTGGACTTGGAGACAGAGCTAGCCGCGTCGGAGAAGTGTCAGAGGGACCAGGTATTGTCATGAGGTGGGTGCTGTGCTGGCATGCGAGCCGAGCCGTTGTGATGGTCAAAGGAGGAAGTTTCTTGGAGGAGGAAGAGAAGACCAGACCTGTCAAAGGTGTGGTTGGCTGTTGGTTGTCGCTGGTCCGAGCTCTCTCTCTCTCTCTCTCTCTCTCTCTCTCTCCACGCTATCGTTAATGTTAACTGACACGCGAGAAGGCTCGGAATTGCACACAATTTTGCCTGTCCGCTCTTTTTCCAATTCTTCGTTTCATCGACATCTTGCGTCTCATCTGCTCTCTTTCACTCCACCCCACCATCCATCCATCCACACATCACCTCAACTCAAGTGGAGAAGTGGCAGCATCTTCAACTGCAACTGCATTCGGCAAGATGGCGCAGATCTCCACCACATCCGAACATACCATCCAGACCCTGGAACGCATTGGCGCACATTCGCACGTCAAAGGTCTCGGTCTCGATGATCAGCTCGAACCGCGCCCGTCTTCGCAGGGCATGGTAGGCCAGCGTGCTGCCCGAAAAGCTGCTGGTCTTATCGTCAAGATGGTCCAGGACGGTCGTATTGCCGGCCGCGCCATTTTGATTGCCGGCCCACCCAGTACAGGAAAGACAGCCATCGCGATGGGTATGGCGCAGACCCTTGGCTCCGACGTTCCTTTCACCATGCTCTCCGCTTCCGAAGTGTTTTCGCTCGAGATGAGCAAGACTGAGGCGCTCATGCAGGCATTCCGTCGTTCCATCGGCGTTCGAATCCGAGAAGAGGCGGAAGTCGTCGAAGGTGAAGTGGTCGAGATCCAGATTGACCGATCTTTGACTGGCGCCACCAAGACTGGAAAGTTGACCATCAAGACCACCGACATGGAGACCATCTACGAGCTCGGTAACAAGATGATCGACTCGTTGCAAAAGGAAAAGATCACCGCCGGCGATGTGATTGCCATCGACAAGGCAAGTGGTCGCATCACCAAGCTCGGACGCAGTTTCACACGTGCCCGCGACTACGACGCTATGGGAAGCGATACCAAGTTCGTTCAGTGCCCCGAGGGAGAGTTGCAACGAAGGAAGGATGTGGTGCACACTGTCTCTTTGCACGAGATCGATGTGATCAACTCGCGAACACAAGGTTTCTTGGCGCTGTTCTCCGGTGACACTGGAGAGATCAAGCCCGAGTTGCGTGATCAGATCAACACCAAGGTGGGCGAGTGGAGAGAAGAGGGCAAGGCCGAGATCGTTCCTGGCGTGTTGTTCATCGACGAAGTGCACATGCTCGATATCGAGTGCTTCTCGTTCCTCAACCGCGCTCTCGAGTCGGAGTTGGCACCTTTGGTCATCATGGCTTCGAACCGAGGCATCTGCCGAATCCGTGGCACACGCTTCCGCTCGCCACACGGTATGCCCATCGACTTGCTCGACCGTGTTCTTATCATCAGCACCAAACCTTACGAGCTCGAGGACCTCAAGCAAATCTTGACCATCCGTGCTGCCGAAGAGGAAGTGACTCTCAAAGCCGAGGCGCTCGAAGTGCTCACACGCATGGCTTCCGAAACATCGCTTCGTTACGCCATCAACCTCATCACCACCGCCAACCTGGCGGCTAAGCGCAGAAAGGCAGACGCTGTCGAAGTTGCCGACATTCGTCGAGTGTACAACCTCTTTGTCGACGAGAAGCGCAGCGTGCAGTACCTCAAGGAACATGCCGAGCAGTTTATGAGCGAGTCGGACGAGTATGGCGATATCGATGCGTTGGGTTCGGCTGCTCCCATCATTGGTCGTCAAGCTTCCGGTGTTCAGGCTTAAAACACAACCGTGATATCCCTTTGTCTCGAGAGCGTGCGCTTCTGCCTCGTCAGTGCCAACGCCATGTATTTTTACCAACTTTTCTTGCAAAGACAAGCTATTTTACAACTTCATTCGACTCTGACCTCCTGTCTGCATCTTACCGTCGACCATGAAGCCTCTAGAAGATGCCGACCAGCTCATGGCCGGTATCGGATTGAACAGGTGTGTTTATGAGTAAGTAAGAGGTTACTGATATGCTCGTGGAGCGCTTTTGGCTGCATTGCGAGGCTTCAGTGCAGAAGAATGAGAAACTCGAAGGTGATCGAAGCTTGCTTTTCTCGAGCTTTAAAGAAAACACGCGAATCAGGGAAGTCGGATTTTATTTTTATTTTTCGCCCAATTTTCCCACAGCTTAACAGTTCGGAGGGAAGCAAAAAGAATCCCGGCCGGAAGCGCAGTCAAATTGGCAGAAAGCTTATCGCGACCCGGCCTGTTGCGAGACGGGAGAGGGAGAAAGGAGAAAGGAGAAAGGAGATAGGAGAAAGGAGAAAGGAGAAAGGAGAAAGGAGAAAGGAGAAAGGAAAAAGGAAAAAGGCATTTGCTGCTGCGCTTTCTTTTTCAACTCAACGTGCACCGCAAAAGTGCTGACCGACAGAGACCTCGGTTATCGCCACTGGCAACTTTACTTTTGCCATCACCACCATCAGCCACACCAATAGCATCGGCATCTCGGCCCTTCCTAGACGGCTTTTAGCACGAATTCCCATCTTCCACGGCCCGTGTCTTCTCTGCTCGTCAGTAACTTGCATCAGGTCTCAGGAATCGGTGCAGCGTAGCAAGACGCAGCAGTCAAGATGCGTGGTCGTTCCATTCACGCTCGTTCGTTGCTCAGGCAATCGAGTCGTAACACACCAGCGATAGCTTCAGTCTCGCCAGCAGCAAGGAACTTCATCTCCAGCTGTGGTTCGCGATCAACACGCCCGCAGTCTCGTCGAGCTTCTTCGGTGCTTTCTTCGTCAAAATCGTCTAGCAGCTCTTCGCCTTCCAACGGCGGCAACTCGTCTTCCTCCGGCAGCAACAACAACAGCAGCTCCGCATCATCGTCATCATCCTCGGCTTCCAACGCCGCTGCTACCGAAAAGCACCTCTCTGCCTCGGCAGCATCGCCCCTCGTCAAAGTCAAGGCTTCATCTGCTCGTCTCGCCAAGGCAAGCATCTCCCCCGCCAACCCACCTCCCTCTTCGCTCGCTAGGATTGCATGGGAGAACTTTTTCTCGAATGAACGACCTCTGCTTCAGCACGAGATGCTGCCACCACGTCCCAAGCGTGCTGGTGGATTCGGCTCTTCGACGTCTCCCTCGGGTGGCACTTTGACTGCCATCTTCACAACAGACGGCTCGCTTGCCACTTTTGGCAATTTTGATAGCGAAACACATCAGCAGTGGAGGCGAAGGATGCGAAATATCTCACCAGAACGATTCGGCGAGCTCATCGATGGTCTTGCAGGTATTGAGTCTGAAGCAGCCAGCGACACTACCAAAGACAGTGCTACACGCTGGCTTGTCTCGAGCTTTCACCCTGAATCGGATCGCGTAGCTGTCGAGTCGGCCAAGCTGGAAGAGGAAGAAAGGATCAGGGAGGAAGAGGAGGAAGCAGTGCAAAATGCACTCGAACGCGGCGAAGATGCCGAAACAGCACGCAAGCTTGGTGCTGAAGCGGATCTCATCATCTTGGGTGAACCGCACGGTCCTTCGGCCGAATGGTCGCGTGGTGTGGCTACTTATCTTGCCGAAAAGGGTCGTGCTTACGAAGCTCCACCGGCGCCTGTTGCCGGTGATGCTGCTGAAGCAGCTGAGCTCGAACCTGTTCATGTCTCGAGCAGCGTCTTTTTCACCGATGACGATCCCAACTTGATGCTCTCGCACGCTTTGGTTCAGTCGACACTGCCGCTTGCGCTGAAGTGGGACAAGCTGGTTGCGCAGATGGACGCTGTTGCATTGAACGACCCATTACGAGCTGACAATGTAGTGGACACGACCAAGTTGGATGCCAAACTCGAGAATGTGAAGGGCAAGCACGGGGAAGTGGGACCTTTGCTGGCAGCACACAACATTATGATGGACAGTGTGAGGAGAAAGAGGAGAAAGAAGATCAGAAAGCACAAGTATAAGAAGTTGCGTAAGACGCAACGCGCTGAGCGACAGAAGATGAAGAAGTAGTCTTGCTTCAAGCCCGTTTGCATTCTCATTTTCGATCCAAGTCAAGTGTATTGTAGCACGACGTCAAACCATAGAAGTGACGACCTCTCCTAAGCCATACGTGTGTCATGACGATGAATTTGCAGGGGCAACGATGATGAGGAAGGGCGTATGCATTGAAGGAAAGGCCTTGACGTCGATGAGACCTTGTGAGTGGGCTTAGGCGGTGTTGACCCCTGCATCTGGTCATTTCGCGCTTTCTGCATGTTGATCACTTAGCCTGACGCACTGGGCTTTCTTCGAGTTGTACGATGTTTCGCAGCCACACACAGACTCAGCACAGCGAGGAGTCTTTTGCTTCCTCCTTCCATAGCATGGTCATTATTGATACCTTTCACACCATGTATTTTTCTTTGAAAGGCGCCCACCTGGTTGACATGAGGTCGGTGTTGATCCTTGCAAATCTGAGGATGAAGCGTCGAATTGGAGAGCGCGTCCGCGTTGTGTGTGAGTGAGTGAGTGTGTGTGTGTGTGTGTGTGTGTGTGTGGGTTTGCTGCGGGTTTGCTGCGTTCAAATTCGCGGCCTGCGTGTCAAGTCTCGGTCTTGACTGCCCAGAAAGCGTGTCTTTTGCCCTCTCTTTCACCGAGCGTTGGACAGCCACAAGGCAGTTGTCTCTCCTTGTTTCCTCATCCACTCGTTCCATCCCCCGGATCCACCTTTCACCTTTGTCCCGAGTCCTTCGTCGTCATCATCCTTTTTTACAACCTTCCATCCGCTTGATCGCCTCTTGTTTGGTTCGACTGGCATCCATCATCGTCAGGCTCGGAGGTACCCTTGATCATCCTCGACGGAAGGGAGAACAACTTGAAAGATGGCTCGTGATCGTCTTGCGGCCATGAGGGTAAGTTCATCTTCATCAGCTTCCATGGAAGAACATGCATCCAGTGACTGACTCTCTTACCACTCTGACACCTGGATGCTTTCATGCAATGACAGGCCCAGCAGGCCGGTGGGTACGGAGGCTACGGAGGAGGTAACAATGGCTACGGCGATCACTCTTATCCTACACAACAACAAGGCGCTCCCCAGGCTGGCTATGCTCAACCACAGCAAGGTCACCCTCAACAAGGCTATGCCGCACCACAACAACAGCAGGGTGCATACAACGCCTACGATCAAGGCGGATACGCCGCCCAACCTCAGCAGCAGACTGGGTACGGCCAGATGCCTCAAGCCCAATCCCAAGACGCTTATGCTGGCGGCAACGCATACGAAATGCAAAACGTAACCTCGGAGAAGTCTGCGGGAGATATGAACTCTTTCTTCTCTGACATCTCCGAAATCCAAGACACCATCCGTTTGATCGATGAAAACGTCAACAAGATCTCCGACCTTCACTCTCGTTCACTTAACAACATGGATGAAGCTTCTGCTCAGTATGCTGAGCAACAGCTCGCTTCCATTCAACAGGAAACTTCTTCGTTGACTAGTGGTGTCAAGAACCGAATCAAGCTCTTGCAGACTCAAACCAACAGGGTTCCGCCTGGTGGGGACAAGAATGTGAGGAACACCCAGATTGGTGCGGTTAAGAACAGGTTCAAGGAAAGCATCCAACGCTATCAGCAGGTGGAACAGAATTACAGGCACAAGTATAGGGCCAGAGCAGAGAGACAGTTCAGGATTGTCAAGCCTGATGCTACCCAGCAAGAAATCAAGGCTGCATTGGATGATGACCAGAATGGTCAAATCTTCTCCCAGGCACTACTCAACTCGAATAGACATGGTGAAGCCAAGGGCGCCTTGCGCGAGGTTCAGGAGCGTCACGAGGATATCAAGCGAATCGAACGCACCATTACTGAACTCGCACAGCTGTTCAACGAGATGTCCATCCTGGTCGACGAACAAGATGACGCGCTCAACGTGATCCAAGAACAAGGTCAACAAGTCGAAACAGACATGTCCCAAGGCCTGCAACACACTCACAAGGCGGTGGATTCGGCAAGGAAAGCAAGGAAGAAGAGATGGATCTGTCTCTGGATCATCATTATCCTCATCATCGTCATTGCGGCCGTGGTGGCGGCGGTCATTTGCACAAGGCCGGGTAACTGTGGGATGAGTAATGGAAACGATAACAGGGTTGCTAGAAGGTCGTTGGTTGAAAGAAGTGTTCATGCTGCACATGGATATGTTATGCCTCAGAAGAGGGCGACTGCCATCTTGTTGCCTGACTTGGGCATCTAAGGCGGAGGAGGGGGTTGGATAAGACGCAGGCCGATGCAACAACACACTCTTTTGGTTTCCGAGTTTGCCTTTTCTCACTTTCGTTGGATTTTTGATTTTTTTTTTTTTTTTGGTGCTGCGTCTTTCTCTTTTGTTTCCGTTTTGCGTTTCGTTGTAAGTATGACTTTGGTTGATGATGTTTCCAGTCTGAATAGTGTTGGTTGTTGTTGATGAGAAGCAGAAGAGCGTTTGCTGGATGTGAGATATAGGCTTGTGTTTTTGCGAGCAGGCTTTCTGTGACCTCATTTCCTGGGCTGGATTTGGGAGCCTGTGGACACAAACAAAACCAACCTCCGTGTTGAGAAGAATTGCCGACGCCCGGACGGAAACTTGAGTGGGACCCTGAATGCTATCTCCCCTCCTCGCCTTCCTGTATCCTCACTCCCTGTCTCAGCACCTTCTCATTGCTTCGTTGGGCCTTCCACGATGCCGCCGAGTACAAGCAACGATCTCGTACCGGTAGACTCGCTCAGTGCTACTCAGATCCAGTCGTATCTCGACTCGTACCCCTCCGCAATAGCGCACAAAGCCTCACTCTCCTCCACCGCTCCCAAACCCGGCGAGGGCCTAGCAGATCTCGATAACTGGTACCAATCTCTCCCCGCTCTCACTGCCTCTTCTGATCTCAAAAAAGGCATCAAAGGCAAGGCAGAGCTCGAAAAACTGATGCGATGGAAGCTCGCCCGCGAGAAACATCGCCCAACTCTCATGTCGCTGATCAAATCAAACCCTGCTGCTACTTGCACCAACGTGATCACTCGAGCATCCACCCATCTCCTCTCCCATTCCTCAAAACTTTCATCGGAAAAATCATCCGCAGAAGAACTGCTGAAAGCGGTAGAGGGAACAATGCGCATCTTAGCAGAGCTAAGAGGTGTTGGTCCTGCAACGTCTTCAGCTATCGTTGCCAGTTGGGTTGAATGGGGTGTCTTTCAGTCGGATGAGCTCGTGATGAGTTTGATGGGGAAAGGGATGAAGATTGAGTACAGTTGGGGGTTTTATAGGAAGTTTTATAGGCTAGCGGTGCAGAGTTTGAGGGGGTGGAGGAAGGATGGGAAGGTGGGGAGTGCGAGGGAGATGGAGAGGGTTGCTTGGAGTGTATTCTATTCTCCGAACTCGTTGGGTGAGGCAGGAGCGTTAGAATCCAAGCCAAAGCAGGAGACAGGTCTCGAGGAGGAGTCAAGAGAGAAAGAGAAAGAGACAAAAGAGTCAGGACGGGGTACAGCAAAGGAGAAGGTCAGGGCCAAAACCAAGAAGGAGGGAAGAGGCGAGGGGAAACGCAAGACCGCCCTCAAAGCTGACCCTAAAGTGGAAGAAGATCAAAGCGAGAGCGCAGCAGACACGGCAAGCAGAAGCTCTAAGCGAACTCGCACAGCAAAGTGAACGCCCATTCGGCACCGTCGGCTCTAGATAATCAGCTATAGCCTCCTCAGTTGTGGCTGCCTGAACACCATTTGGGATCTTTCAGTCCGATGAGCTGGTCATCTGATGGGCAAGGATGTCTAGAGCGATGATACTTGGGCGTTCTATCGTCGTTTCTACTTGCAAGCCATCGAAGCACTCTTGCGCCAAACTACACCGATCGAGATCTTACGTGGATGCGGCCGCGTGGATGCAGGCAGAGAAACGGAAAAGGCTGCTTGGAGTGTCTTTCATCCACCTCCTCCACACAAGCGCTACCCCAACGGGAGGCTGCGCAGCTCTCCTTCTCCTGACTCAGACGAGAGCTTAGGTCTGACTACCACAGATGAAGAAACATAGGATTGGACTTGGGAGGAAGAATGGGAGCCGTATTTGAGAATTGCTTTCTGCGCAGCATTTCGACTTGATTTCGGTAACCTTGCCTCATCGAGACGGCAAGGTTGACTGTTGCGCTTCTTCTTTCTTACTGTATCTTGGATGCACAACAGATCGGCTGCTCTCATCGCTTCTCTCGTCGCTTCTCTCCTCAGCACCATCATATGTGGGGCCGGCTACTTCTGATCCGTAGTAATGTGAGAGAGACGAGGAACAAGCTCATTCCTTCTGATGTATCCCATAGCCATCACGCACTTTTATCCAATCAAATACCAAAACTTGAAGCGCAACACCGAGCCTGCGATGATTGAAAAGCTGATCTGGAAGCCATCGGTAAGAAATGGCTGAGCTTGCGATGTGTACTGCGTGAGATCACATTTCCTCTAGAGAATCTCATTCCGGAATGTTATCCGTGGCGATGTGGTGGGTCGCAGGCGCAAGGACACCGAACGCCTAGCCAGAGAATCCTCGTCAATCACTTTCTTACTCCTTCCTTCCCTACCATCATCGACCTTCCTCAGTCTTTCCAAGTCTCTTACTCTTCCAATCTTTCTGGTACTTATTCCCACCTCTGCCGGTGACGATCATGTCAGTTGTCGGGGTTCAAAAATGTCCGCCCCACCCTGACATTGTTAAATCTTTGCTTCTGAATCAGGTAGCACCTCACCTCTCGCATTACAAGCGTATGATGAACGGCATCGGTGACGAGTTGCTCAGATTTGACTACTACAAACGCTTCGGGATAAGCCTTTCCAAGGTCGACGAGGTGTACCAGAGCCGTTCGTTCCTCACTCCGGAGGTATTGTCTGACAACGTCCGGATGCTATGCAACCATCGCAGCTTCTTGGAGGTCGTGGGCTGGAGATATTACCGCTTGGGGCATCCTGATCGCCACAAGCGCCTATCGCAGTTCGAAACCCACAACAAAGACGTTAAAAGCTCCTACAGAAAGATCAGGACTCGAGCGATGCAGCATCTCATGGATCACTATGACCAGCTTTCCTTCGATGCCAACACAGCGGACTTGTATGTTATCGTCAAAGAGTCCATGAACATCCTCTGCGAGATCAAACACGTCGATACTTCTCTTGCTTCGGCCATCGTGGCTAGCTGGACGCCCTTCGGGATCTACATGAGCGAAGAGTTGGTACAATACATAACTGGTAAAAGAATGAATCACGACTCTCCCCCGCCTCAGTACGATTCAGTGTACTTCCCAGCGATGGAAAAATTGAAGAGCATGTACCAGAAGGGCCAAATGAACAGCGGCAGGGAGTTGGAGAGATTTGCCTGGAGCGTTTGTTGGTGGTCTCACCATGCTGTGAAGGAGGAGGAAGATCAGGTTACCTCGATCGCAACCTCATCTTTAGTGTCAGATGATCGACAAGAGTCAGCGCGCTCCCCTACTCCACTGCCGAATGCTGACGAGGTCGTCGATGCCACCTTGGCTGACCTTCGTTCGCGGGCTGTCACCCCAGTGTATCAGCCCGACATTCAGCCGCTCACTCCCCCCCCTCAATGGATTGGTCAACGTACGCCATCCCCACCGCCGCCTGATTGCCACATCCCCACTAATGGTGAGATCGCCGGGTGGGCTGAACGGTACGTCGTGGCTGACTTGGTGGTGCGAGTGGCTGGCCAGTACTTTCCTCTCGACTGGGAAGTACCTGCGGGGTCGGCAGCTGAAAAGCGTTTGCACCGTCTGGTAATGCTACGACTAACCGAAGGCTGCATGCCTTGGCCGAGTTGGCAGTGTCGCCGCTGCTTCAATCTGGGTGTACCGTAAGTACCACCCCCTCTACTTGGCTTCCTGTTCTACTGCTGACATCATTTCCTTTCGCCTCACAGCTGCTTCGCCTCGGCGTTTGCCAACCCATACGGCGAGCGTAGTCGGATCCCTCGCGCCTGCACGCACTGCCACCTCGCCGGTTTGGGACATTGCGAGCGGAACATCCCTGCATACCCTGGGATGGAGTATCTGGGCGATGGAACGCCTAGTATGCAGCCTCGAGGCTTGCATCGCGCCGAACGCGCTCATCTGACCGTCGCCGACGGTCTTGGACCGGGTGTCGTTCGTTCTGAGGACCGGGTGGTCGACCCCGTGTCGACGCAAGGATGGGCAGCAGCAATGCGTTACGTATGGCGCCTGGCCAATCGTGAGCTGGTGAGTCCGCTCCTGCAGGTGTACATGATCTATGTTGAACACCACGACCAACTACTCTCGGAGTGCCAACCGCACGAGTCAGTTACAGAGGTTGGTGGTCCTCCTGGTCGCATCTCTGAGTGCGTGCTCCCTACCGTGGACGAAGGGTTGATTCGCGCGACTCATGCTGTTCGAGACGTTCGTACTGGCTACGCCGACATGTAGCGACGTGGCAAAACAATGATTTTTGGCTCCTTTGACTTCGTTTGAAACTGTGTCCTGTCCCTCGTGAGCGTGGAGGGCGCGCCAACAGGAGAGTCAGCGTTGGTCACAGAAGAGAATGAGGAATCAGAAGGAGGTGTTCCGACCGGAGGATCATCCTTGGTATTATTCGATGAACCGGACGCCATTCTCTTCCCTCATGATTCGCAAAGGGTACTCCACCGTGATGCTGGAGGTAGCAAGGACAACCAAAACAACGTAGCTCTAACTGGCGGGGTTGTCCACAGCAGCACACTTGCAACCCAGCCTCCAGTTCAGGACCCAAACGGGTCATCGACTTCTGACGCACCACATCAAGCTTGGACGCAAGCTCACAGCTTGACGATTTCGAACTCCGACCCGGATCAAGTCTCGGATCCCCAATCTGACACTGAAGAACCCCTATTGACAGTCGAAGTCTTCGACGATAAGCCAACGGAGTCGAGCTAGGAAGGCAAGAAGAGGGAACGCGATCAGAACATCACGCTTCAAGTATCTGAGCTGCTTGCCAGGGAGGGTAACACAGCCTCGAAGAAAGTCACAGTGCAGTCCTCAAAGACTCAGAGTAAGCCGTCCTCACAAGATCGTCCTTTCTTTCAATCTCTAGCCTCGCACATTCCTGAAGGCTTCATAGCTCGGCATCACTTTGTCTGTATCAAATCACTTTGTACTACAGTACACGCAAGCATCAGACTCAAAAAGAAATTTGAATCGTTGCTTTGATTGACCTCCCCACACCAACAAACATGTCCTCACGTTGGATAACAGACAGCGAAAAGTGGCGACTACTGATCAGGCCTCCAACCACTCATCTCGTTGTACTCCTCCTCTTCATTCTCCGGACCCTTATGCGCTCCCTCTAGAATCTGTTTCTGCGTCAACTTCGCAAATCCTTTCTTCTTCCCTCCAGCACGCTCGCCATTCTCCACCGCGTTCCCATTCTGTCCTGCGCCGGATTGAGCATTGAACAAATCCAAAATCTGTTCAGTCTCCATACTATCCAATCCCTTATTCTGTTGGTTAACCACACTATTCGCAATGTTCAACTTAAACCTTTGCAGACCCATGATTTTCGCCTCCAAGGTATTCTTCGTGATCAACCTATACACGTTTACCACCTTTTTCTGACCTAAGCGATGAGCGCGATCCATAGCCTGGAGATCTTTCATTGGGTTCCAATCGTGTTCTACGAATATCACCGTGTCTGCACCAGTGAGGGTTAAGCCGAGACCTCCGACTTGGGTGGTTAGGAGAAGGACGTCGATCGAGGGGTCTGCGTTGAAGGTTTGAACGATCGAATGGCGTTTTTCGGCTGAAACGGAACCGTCGAGACGCATGTAGGATACGGATGGCATCAGGGTGCCGAATAGATCGCGCTGGATGATATCGATCATCTGCTTGAGTTGGCAGAAGATTAAAACGCGATGTTGGGAGACTGCATCACCTGCACCACCGCCACCAACGTCTTCTCCAGCAGAGTTATTGCCACCGCCAATTCCACAATCCAACAACAACTGCCTAAGAGCTTGCAACTTGGGTGAGTGGGAAATATCGTTCAAGCTGCCGCCATTCTTTTGCAACTTTTGCTTGATCGCAACATGTTTCGGGTTGTCATCTGTCAACACCAACGACGGATGATTCACCAACTTGCGCATATACTGTAAAGCCTTGAACACGTGTTGCTTTTCCGAAGCTGCTTCTTTGCCGCTAGAAGAAGCTGTGGTTCCAGCAAACTCCTCCGCCTCTTCTTCGTCCTGTTCTTTACTAAAGTCATCGTAGAGTTGCTTTTGAATCTCCCCAAGATCGCATTCGATATCTTGAATAATCTTCGGCGGAAGATCGTCCAGTACATCTTCTTTGAGTCGACGCAGAAGGAAAGGCAGAACCTGCTTGTGAAGAGCTTCAAGTGCAAGTGCTGCTGCTTCTTGTTCTTTCGCACTAAGTTTACCATCGCGTGAAGCAATGATTGGTTTACCAAACCGCTCGTGAAAGCTCCTCTCCGTACCCAGGAAACCAGGCATAAGAAAATCGAACAACGACCAAAGCTCCAATACATTGTTCTGAATCGGCGTCCCCGAGAGCAGCAATCGGTGATTAGCCCTGATCAACTTCACCGCTTTCGTAGTCTTCGTCTTTGCCGACCTAATGACATGTCCTTCATCGAGAATGCAATAATTCCAAGAATTCTGCGAGAGAGCTGCAATATCGTTCCGCACAACATCGTACGACATTACCACTGCATCGTACTGTGGGATTTCGGCCTGCAACCGTGCACGTTCCGCAGGCAATCCCGAATAGAGCAAGGGTCGCAGGTTGTTCGCATACTGCTTGATCTCATGACACCAATGCCCAGTGAGAGTTGGGGGACAGATGATCAAACTCGGCAGCGGTTTGGAATCTGCCGCTTTGCTTTCTTTGTATCGTTCCGCTCTCTCGTGATGCTTAGAGGAGAGAATGCAGATCGATTGCAGGGTCTTACCCAATCCCATGTCGTCACATAGAATACCATGTAGCTGATATTTGGCCAAGAACGCCATCCAATTCACACCGTCTTGCTGGTACTTTCGTAGTTTGGCATTGATCTTGACCGGAATTTGGTAGGGTTCGACTTTCGACCCATCCAACAACTGCATCAGGAACTTGCGTTCCGTTTCCCTTCTCTGCAGCAGATCAGCCGAAAAGCCGGGGGGATCAGGTAACCCAGCTTCAAGAGGAACCATCTTGACCAGCGAAGCAAAAGTGTTCGCCGCGACCAAACGCACTTTTTCGTCATCATCACTCATCCTACCGAGGATGGGAACGATGAGGAAGATGAGATATGGTAAAATCTCAAGATCGAGCTGCTGGACGGTATGGTAGACAAGCTCGATAGAACCTTGTCGATTGGTAACGGAGGCTGCGTCTGCTAGGAGTGGTACTACTTGCTCGACGACGTGCTTGAGCGCTACTTCGGTAAGACAGGCAGCGACAACGGCAAAGCATTTGGCTGCTGCTGAACGGACAACTGCAAACTCGCTCTGAATCGCAAGCGTCAAAGCAGGCAACAGCTCGACCACTTTATCGCAAAGTTGACCCTTAAGATTGGGCAAATTGACATCGAGCACTGCGCATGCGTCTAGGATGCTTTGTCCTAGATCGTCTTGCTGTGCGATCTTTGCGTCTGCTTCGGCGGCACTGGAGCCAAATGTGCTCAAGAGCGCACTGCTCATGCATTGCCACAGCATGGGCACAACTTTGAACAGCTTCTCGCCAAACAGATCCGCCAATTGAGCAAGTGCAGCTGCAGCACCACGACGAATGAGCTTTCCCTGCAGCACCTCCTCCGATTCCACCCCTTCATCCTTCGTACTAGTCCTTCCCGGTCCCTTTGCTACGACAGCAGGCTCGTTCATGCTAAGGATGCCTTCTCGCTCGTTCTTGCTATTCGCAAAGATCGCAACGCGGGTAGTATCCTGGCATACGAAAGCGCAGAGGTTCTTGACGATCTTGTCGCTAGGGTTGGACTTTGCAGCGGAGGAAACGCAGTACTCGATCAGCTTGGCTACAGACCGAGCCGAGCGAGTCTGAAGATCGAGATTCTCTTCGAACTTGACACTGTTCATGGTGCTTCTGATGACTGGGTTGAGCTTCGATGGTAGAACCTTGAGTGAGATAACGGCACCAGCGATTGAGGCAAAGACTTGAGTATCCTGCTTCTCCTTGTTCGCCTGGTAGAAGCCGATAGCAGCGATGAGTTTGCGTTGACGATCTTCGAGGAGGGGTAGAGCAGCTTTTTTGGCTTTGGACCCTGCTTGAGCGAGCAAGCTCTCGAACCCACTCTGGGCGACTTGCTTGGCGGTGTCGATGGTGAACGCGTCCGACATCATACCCAGAGGATCAACGGTGGTGGGAAGCGCAGGGATCTTGGTCTTGGGCACTTTGGCATCTCGCTGGAACGAATTGTACAGACCCTGGCACTCGGCTTGGATACGCTGGAGCATGACCGTCATCTCTGCATAGGTCGGTGGTGCGAGCGTTTCGAGCATACTGATGAGGCGGCTGGCCACGTCAGCAACGACAGCGCTGGAGTCCTTGAGAACGACATCGAGCTTGTCACATGCTTGGGCCCATTCTTGAATGATAGCTGCTGCCAGGCACTTTTGTAATGCAGAGGTCGACTCGAGGTATTCACGGAGCACTGGCCCGAAAGCAGCTTCGTCTTCTGAACGAGGGAACCGAGCCAGAGCACCACCAAGCGCTTCAGCAGCACTAAGACGACCGCGGATGACGGCATCAACACCGACCAGCGACAGATCCTGTGTGAGGATGCCTTTGTCGACATTGTGTCGATTTGCATCAGCATGACTGCTGGATCCAAACGAAGCGGTGTAGAAGAGCGAAAAGTCGATGGGTGAACCTAGTGGAGTCATGATGATGCGGAAGAAGTTGACAACATAAGGACCCAGCAGCTTCTGTACGTTGGCTGCATCACTTGCAACATGTGCAAGAGCATGTCCCCAAGCGTTAGCACTGGCACGGCGAATGGGTAACTTCTCTTCAACGACGAGATTCTGGAAGAGCAGACGCAGCACTCGCTCATCGATCCAGTCCTTCGGCAAGGATGGGACAGTGAGGAAGACGCGCAGCGCATTAAGCACCGAAAGACGGACGCTGGTGATCGTGTGTCGGAAGAACGGGAACAGCCGTGGGATCAGGAGCGACAATGCGCGCTGCTCTTGAGCTTCAGCTTTGAGATGCACTACAATGCCTGGGTGCTCAACCAGCTTAGCCAGCAGGTCCATGACACCACCGATACTACTAGCAAGGTCATCTTTCAGATCACCGAGACAATCCCACAGCTGATCGAGGAGTCTTCCGACCTCGCTTGGCAGCTTCTCGAGAATGACGTCGACGATTGGCACCAAAGCTGAAGCAGCTACTGCGCGCACATCATCGTCATCATCCTTCAGACCGAGAATAGCAACTTCGACCACGTCTTGCAGCATCTTGCTGGTGTCGATGTCTGCATCTTGGTCGGAAAGAGGATTGTGGTCCTCGTCTTGCTTCTTAAGGGCTTGTGGCTCGGACTTGACGACAGAAGAGGACAAGAGCAGGTCTTTCTTGACCACGACTTCGTATTTGAGACCGAGCAAACCAGCATGTCTGACCTCCCAGACGTAGCCCTTTTTGCCTCGCTTTGCGGCAAAGCCGAGATTGTAATCAGTGGCAGCACCGTCAGCTGCATGGTCTTGACGGATCATCTGAAGAAGCACGTTGTGTACCGAAAGAATGGACGCCTCGGGCATGTGTGGCATGAGACAAGCCAGTGTTTGACTAGCTGTCTCGCGGACCGGTGCCACAACCTGATCGAAGACAAAGTCCCCGAGTCGATCAAGAGCGAAAACGCAGAGTAGCTTGATGGACATATCATCGCACCAAGCCTTGTGCATCTTGGCATTGTCTTGCTTCGACGCGAGTTGGACTTTGCCACCGCCAGAGCCTAGTGTCTTGAGGAGTTCACGAAGACCGAGGGCGGCACCGTGACGTGTTTGCCAGGTAGGGCTGAAGAGATCGACGCTGAGAGTGTCGACGACGAGGCGGAAGGGCCATTCTCCAGGTCGCACTTGGAAGGGGTTGGAAGTTGAGCCATAAGCTGCGGGTGCAGCGCCTCCTGATGCAGGGGAAGAAGCGGCAGCAGGTGATCCTGGCACCTCGCCAATTGGAGTAGGAGTCGACACACTGGCAGTGGCAGCAGGCATGGAGCCTGGACCGCCGGCAGGATGCTTAGGAGCGGGAGGAGGAGCAGCGGAGAGGTAGTCAGCTGCGCCTTCAGGGTTGGCTGGAGTAGATGGAGTCTGGGCCATCCCGCCTGAAGGGGCCTTGACACGAAGGCCGCCAGCGGTAGAGGAAGAAGCAACATCACTGGTATCGATGACCCTAGTCTTGGCTTCTGATGGGCCATTCTTGCCTTCCAATTTGCGCTTTCTCTTGAGTGCATTGCGCTCACGTGCGCTCAACTTGCTCATATCGATCTCGTCGAGGGCGGGTGTGTCGGATGGAGTAGCAGCGGGTGCTGGTGACGGGGACGGCGCTGATGCTGCCGATGCGAAGGTAGGTGTGATGGGCGAAGGAGAAGCTGGACTAGCGTTGCTAGCGAATCGTGAAGGAGGCAAGGATGCTGCTCCGGGCGAAGCAGCCGAAGCAGCCGAATGGAAGCGAGGAGCTGGTAGCTTGGACTTGGATGCACCTCCTGCTGCTGTCCTCCAGTCAACACTACCCTGGGATGTAGGTGGCAGGTTGGAACGGGTAACTGATTCGCCTGTCTTGAGCTCTGCCTCTACATCCATACCGATGTCCATCTCATCGAGACCAAAGCCAAGGCCGAGCTTGCTGACAACATCCTTCTTGGCTTGTGCAAGACGATCTGAACCAGCCGCAAGGGAAGCTTGCTCGAACTCCTTGCCTGCTGATGAGAGTAGCTTGGTGCCCGTTGCGAGAACGGTGGGTAGGGAGAAAGCGTCAAAAGTGAGGAGCGACTCGGTGGCGATGAGCTCCGAGAGATTGGGCTTAGCATCTTTGCCATCCTCCTCTTGATCGGCAAGAAGGGGCTTGGAGCTCTCGCCAGGCTTTGACGGATCCATGTCGGGATCCCAGATACCAGCGGCGTGGCAGATGCTCTCGATGGCCAGAGCAGCAGCTACGCGAGTGTCCCAGCTCTTGGAGCGGAGGAAGGGAACGACTCTGGCAAGATAAGAGGTGATCTCATCCCAATCGCCGTCGGTGCCTCGATAGATGCCTGCTTGTTCGGTAGCGGATGGCCCGACAAAGCTGTGCTGCTTGTTAATCTGTTCGGAGGTGCCGAACTTGCCTGCCGGTTTGGACGAGATCACGCCATCTTCGGTCTTGATCAGGCCATCTGCTTCCGGGTCGATAGCTGGAGTCAAAGTGCCGGAAGTGGTCGATCGAGCATGTGTCGATGGTTCGGCCTTGTGAGTTCTTGCTTGCTGTTGCGCTGTGCTCTGACCTCGAATGCGAACGGCTGCGATCTGGCCGAGTTGCTTGGCGGCAGTGGCACGGATGGCCGGGGTCGAACCGGTGTCGAGGAGCGAGACCAAGCGGTCTAGCCTTGTGGCGGCCATGGTGGCGATTGAGGCTGGCAGATGAAACGTGGAGAGTTGATGGCCTTTGGGACTATCACAGCAATGTTCCAGAGACTACCGACGCGACTGTAGCCAAGACAAGCTCAGAACCAGTGAGCAGGCAAGCTACAGTGTGCGGATGGCGCGAGTGCCGACGACAAGAACGGCAAAAGAGGACAGCGAATATATAGATTCTGCGATTTCTTCTTGACAGCCGTCAAAACGCGTTGCAGAGACAGAGAAAGAGAGGCGCTGGGCAAGGAGAGAGCAAGCTGAACCAGCTGAAAACGCGCAAGAGAGTGCAAAATGAAACTGCATTCAAAAGCAGGCGAATTTCAGCAGGTAGCAAGGTAGCGGGTAGCAAGGTGGAGGCTTTGGGCTGTTTTCCGAGGAGATCCCAAGAAGCGAGTCTGTAAGTGCTGATCCTATATATCCTTCTTGCATCCTGTCCTTTGGCATTTCCTCTGGAAGCTGAGTCGAATGACGCGCTGCTCCTGCCAAAAAGACTTCCGTTCTTGTTGGATGCAGAACTTCAATTTTTTAATTTTTTAATTTTTTAATTTTTAATTTTTAAAAATTTCCCCTTCTTTTCGCTGATTTTCTGCCAATCCGAATCAGCAGCAAACAAAGCGCCGAAAGTCAGCATCGGGCGAATCTGTTCCTGGGCATTCACATCAGCCCGATAAGCATCAGAATGTCGGAACCAACGACTTTGAGGGTGAAAAAGTTGCCCGCTGAGAAGAAGGTACAAGAGTAGTTCAACAGCAGTCAATCGCTCCTCGTCATCATTGTTGTCGCCGCACCCTTAACCATACCACCGACACTTTTTGCAGAGCTGCCACTCTCAGCACTCCGAAGAGTTCGTCAGCATGTCGACAGCGTCACTCACTCGCTCTCTTGCGAGATTGACCCTTGTCTCCAGCTCGCAAACACCTCGCATCGCACTTCGACAACCTGCCAGGATCCTTCCCACACAGATCGCATCGTCTTCGCTCCATGTATCAGCACGTACATACGCCACACCTGCATCTGCAGCTATCCGACTCGCCAACTTACGGCCTGGTCAGCCAACTAAGAACGTGAGTCTCGCTATATCAACTTGCTCATGTCCCAACCTTGAGGGTATCTTTACTAACTTTTTCACCCTCCTCGCATTTGCTTTCGATGACACGCAGCGCAAACGTCTCGGTCGTGGTCCATCGTCCGGAAGAGGTGGTACCAGTACACGAGGTCACAAAGGTCAAAAGGCGAGAGCTGGTAATGGCAAGCCCGTTCCCGGTTTTGAAGGCGGTCAGACTCCTCTGACTCGTCGTTATCCCAAGCGTGGCTTTGCCAACGTGTAAGTTTTCTACCACACCTCAGCACTCACACTTGTCTGTCAGTGCTTACATACTGACTCCCTCCTCCCTCCTCCCTCCTCCCTCCTCCCTCCTCCCTCCTCCCTCCTCCCTCCTCCCTCCTCCCTCTTTTGTTCTCGACATGCAGTCACGGCCAAACATTTGTCCCAGTCAACCTGGACAAAATCCAGCACTGGATCAATCGTGGCCTCCTCGACCCTTCCCGACCCATCACCGCCAAAGAACTCTACGAAACCCGTTGCATCCACTCGCTCAAGGACGGCGTCAAGATCCTCGGCGAAGGTGCCAACCACCTCGAAACTCCTGTCAACCTTATTGTCTCTCGTGCCTCCCAGACTGCAATCTCGGCCATCGAGACTGCAGGCGGAAGTGTAGAGTGCAGATACTACACTCCGCTCAGCTTGAGGGCGTTGGTCAAGCCGCATAAGTTTGCAGGCAAGATTCTCCCTCGTCCTGCTGATCCGATTGCTAAGAAGGATTTGAGTAAGTTCCACATAATGCCGATGCTGTGAAAGAGTAGTTTGCTGATATTTGCTTTCTTACTTTGTGTGATGTCTTGCAGTCTGGTACTCTTCACCTCGCAACAGAGGATACTTGGCTAAGCGTGCTGCGTTGACAAAGGCTTTCGCTGCTGAACAAGCTAACCAGGATGCTCAGGCTCCTCCAACTTCGGCTTCGACTTAGACTTCTGCATAAACGATGGTGCGAACCAATACATGTACTTTTAATACTTTCACATGGCATACTCTTTCTCATGCTCACGCAAGCTGCCAGTTGACTGTTCCTTGATGAATGAGTTGCAGTACGACTTGGTGGAGAATACAAAGAACGAGTGAAAGGTGTTCAGGTCATAGGCAATCCACGCAAGAAAGCAAGCGTTCCCAAACAGTGATCCAACAAACCATTGAATCTGTTGTTCTCAGATACTTGAACACGAATCAGCTTCCTGATAACCAATTTGAGCTGCTTCGCCTCCTCTTCATCCGCACCTCCGAACCCACCATCCTCCTTGTCCTCCATATCCTTATCCTCAGCATCCTCGCCATCCTGGCCATCTTCAGGATTAAACGTAGTCAAAATCAAATCCGTATGAACCTTCAGCAGTGTGGCCAAAAGCGCTTGGACAGCTTCGAAATCACGATGCTGCTTCAACCTCTTCAGCAGCATTCCCAAAAACGCCACCAGATCTTCCGTCACTGTAAGGCCGCGGATCTCTGCATCGAGCTGAGGAGTTGACAAGGTCTCCAAGTACATAAAGAAACCATTGACATCACCTTTCTCTTCTGCTGCTGCAAGTCTCTCCTGGAATTCAGTCTTGAAGCTGATACCGCCCGAAGAGAAGATGTTGCTCTTTCCACCCTTGTACCCTCCATCTTCACCTTTGGTTTCAGTGGACGTAGAAGCGGTGGGATCGAATTTGAAATCAACACCAGAGACGGTTTGAGGGAGGAAGAAAGGTGCTCTGTTTGCCTCGGGTTTGGAGGGAGCAGCTTTGGGTTTGTTACGCTGCTTGATTGTGTCTAGGTTGATGAGGGTCATCCAACGAGCACGAGGCATGGTGGAGAGTGTTACTAAGCCGCCTTCCTCGCGTGATGGGTCGACGAGTTGAGGTGGTGAGGTGTAGACTCGTTGCAACTCAGGTTCGCCAACTTCGCGCATTGCTTCGGAATACTCGGCAAGCGCTGCGTCTTCAACATCACCTTGCACGGTGGGCAGTGCGACGGCAATCGAGTCCTCTTCTTCGACAACTTCAGCTAGCTCGTCAAGACCCTGCATAGCAACAGGCGAGAACTGCGTCTTATTCGCCCAGAGGTAGATGCCGACACTGTCGACGTGGGCTGTTGCGAGGAAGTCACCCGTCGGACTAAAGCTGACTGAGGTAGCGATGCTTGCCACTTTGAAAGCGTCAATCAGGCGCGAAGAGGGGATGTCGAACGTTCGAATAACAGCATCCATCGAAGTAGTCACAATCCATCGTGCATCATTGCTAAAGCATGCATCGAGGATTCGACCGCGGAAGCCGACAAACTCACGCACCACCCGGCGCGTCTCGATATCCACCAGTCGCAGCACCAGATCGTCGGAAACGATGAGAAGCAAATTCGAGTCTCGGTCAAGCTGAACCGATGAGATGCCTGAAGCTGAGATCGTGGTGCGATGCAGCAGCTCAGTCGAGCCAAAGTCGTACCACGAGAGCTTACCATCCATGGTGCTGACCACTACAAGACGGTTGAGCGCATCCGTGACGACACCGGTAACGGCAGATCCTTTGACGCGAGAATTGAGCAATGCTTGCGCCTTCTTCGATCCAGCAGGCAACTCTTTCGCCTTGGCTGGACCCATCGGGTCGAGTGGACGAGTGTCAAACGTCCTCCTGTGCACGTAAGACTGCATATTGTACATCTCTACCAGACCTTCCGAGTTACCAATGAGACCAAAGTTACCACAGGCGCTGACGCAGCTTGTTCTGGCCTCGGCGAGGATCTTGCGATCAGCGGATGCTGGAAGAGGCTTCTTACCCATGCGCTTGTCTCGAACTGTCCAGGTGTTGCCGAATTGTCGGCCTTGATGTGTTGTAAGCACATCGTCCCAGTCACGGCTGCGGGTCAAGCTGAAGGAAAGCGAGCTAGCGGCGGGAAGTTTGAGGGATGAGACAGAGATGGACAGCTGGTTGCTTCGCTTTTGCAATTCACCTTGGCTGAGTTCGTGAGAGCGCGAGTCGCGGACTACAGAGATGTTACGGATGGAACGATCACGACCAGCTGAGAGGATCTCTTTGCCTTGCTCGCCGTAGTATCGAATCAAATGTGGGGGCTGGTGGTGACCCGATCGGCCCTTGAGCAGACGTGGTGGCATGGAGGCGGACTCGAAGAACCATTGCTTGCAGCTGTTGTCGCCTCCGGACGAGATGAGCAGAGGCTGCCCTGGAACGAAATCGATGCTTCCTACAGCGCCGTCGTGAGCATCTTGGATCGAGTAAGTCAGACGAGGGCCGTTGTTCGCCGAGCTAGGCCCAGTGCCAGAAGCGGGTTCTAGATCGAAGATGCTGATGTTGCCCGAGTTGGTGGCAATGGCGACCGAGTGTTGCTTGCCATCAGAGCGGAAAGAGACAGAGCCTAAAGAGAGACCGCCGTTGGCATGTAAAGAGAACAAGCTCTCGTCGAGTCGAATGTCGTGAAGGAGAACATGTCCATCTGCGAAGCCGACTGCGATAACATCGACTGCAGGAGACTGGGTGAGGTTGACAATAGCTGCTGATGGAGCAGCGGCGTTGGGACGCGCTGCAGCAGTGCGAAGCTGCTGTGAGTCGTAAGTGTGAACAAGAGAGCCGGTTCGAATGTTCCAGAGCGCAAGCTGACCGTCAGTCGAGCCGATGAGGATCTTGTTGAGATAAGTGGCGGGATGCAAGAGTGAGCTGGCGACAAAGTTGTCTGGAAAATCGATGCGGCGGATGAGCTCGGTGTTGGCGATGGACCAGACAAAGACACTTCGGCCGTCTGAGGACAAGGCGACGATGGTGTCACCAAAGACGATCAAAGACGAAAGCTGGGTGCCTTCCTCCTTTTGCTGAAGCTCGAGGTTGCTGGACGAGGCGTCTGAATCCGAGTCCGAGTCTGAGTCGTCTCTGTCCTCATCTTGTAAACCGTTGGGCTTGTTGAAGCGGGACATGATGTGGTCAACCGTGTCGTAAACAGCATCAACCTTTCCACGTCGGAAGCGATACACCTTGGAGCCTGATGCGGCAAGTACGGCATCTGGGCTAAGCGAAACTACGAGAGAGGAGATGGGTGCAGGAAGAGAAGCTGAGACGAAGAGGAGAGTCATTCGCTCTGCATCCCACATAGCCCAGCTGTCACCAAGACATGTGATGACGTTGACGTCCGGTGTAGTCGCATCCTTGCCACCAAAGCGTGTCTGCAGTGCGAAGGGAACATCGTTGCTGATCAAGCCGAGCGCACGAAAGGGTGCAAATAGGCGGTTCTGGGAGACGATCTTGCGGGCGGCAGGGGTACTCGATGATGAGGATGAAGCCTGAGCGGTCCCGGCGTTGCTAATGGGTTGCTGTCGCCTACGCTTGGAATTTGGCTCGGTGTTTGATGGTGTTGTTGGTGCTGTGGACTTTGATGTTGCCTTGCCCTTGACAGGCGTAGCAGCCGTCTTGGGAACTTTGGACGGCATCGTTGTACGACCCGACCTTGCTATACTGGCTCCTAGCAGAAGCAGCGATCAAAGACGTCCGAGCGATAGTGATGCGATCGATGAATACCAGGTTGTAGATTGACGAAAAGGAAGCCGATAGGAAGTCTTCAGAACAAACATCGCAAGATTGCTTCTTTGCTTCTCAACGAGCAGGAAGAAGCACGAGCAGGGAAGACTTCTAACAAAATTTCTCCAAAGCTCAATTATTCTTCACCATCTGCTGCCGCTCAAAAACAGAAAGAAAAAAAAAAAAAAAAAAAAAAAAAAAAAAAAAAAAAAGCCTTGAAAATACGGAACTCGGGACCCGGGATTCGGGAATTTTACTGGTCCTCTCCTAAAGTGCCTTCAAATTCTTGACCCTTGACACTTTTTTCTTTTGTGGCTGCAAGCTGAGTGTGGAAAATTTGGAAAATTTCAAGGCGAGAAAGAGCGAAAGTGCATCTTGAACTTGAACAAGGCTATCTCCACTCATCCACTTGGCTCATACCTTCATCCCCGACGGCAACCTTCTATTCAGAACACACTCATCGAGGGAAAACGACTCGCTCTTAGGCGCCATAAACTCCGCTTCGCCCATCACCATACGCATATTGGCCAGCCATGGCGCCTCACAAGAACGAAGAGGTGGATGCTGAGGCCGAGCTCGCCTCTCAGCTTGCCGCTGATGTCGCCGCTGCCGAGTCTTCCACAAAGGCAAAGGCATCATTATCATCACCTTCATCTTCCAGCACACCCGCCGTTGAGCGACAGCCATTTTCGACCCTTGACCTTTCCGAGCCTACACGCAAAGCCATCGAGACCATGGGCTTCAAGACGATGACCGAGGTTCAGGCTCGTTGCATTCCTCCTCTCATGGCCGGTAAAGACGTTCTCGGTGCCGCTCAGACAGGTTCAGGAAAGACACTTTCTTTCCTCATCCCAGCAATTGAGATGCTCCACAGACTCAAATTCAAGCCAAGAAACGGTACCGGTGCTATCATCATTTCGCCCACCCGTGAGCTCGCGCTGCAGATCTTCGGTGTTGCAAAGGAGCTCATGGCACATCACCACCAGACTTTCGGTATCATCATGGGTGGTGCCAACCGCAGAGCAGAGGCAGACAAGCTGCAAAAGGGTGTTAACCTTATTGTTGCTACTCCTGGTCGTTTGCTCGATCATTTGCAGAACACCAAGGGATTCGTCTTCTCCAACTTAAAGGCGTTGTGTATCGACGAAGCCGATCGTATTCTCGAGATTGGTTTCGAGGACGAAATGCGACAGATCGTCAAGATCCTGCCTAACGACAACCGACAGAGCATGCTTTTCTCGGCTACACAGACGACCAAGGTGCAGGACCTCGCTCGTATTTCGCTCCGACCCGGTCCTCTCTACATCAACGTGCACGCCGATCTTGCAGCAAGTACCGTCTCGCGCCTTGAGCAGGGCTACGTCGTTTGCGAATCCGACCGCCGCTTCCTCCTGCTGTTCACCTTCTTGAAGAAGAATGCCGGCAAGAAGATCATTGTATTCATGAGTTCCTGCAACTCGGTCAAGTACCACTCGGATTTGCTCAACTTCATCGACGTTCCCGTCCTCGATCTGCATGGCAAGCAAAAGCAACAAAAGCGAACCAACACTTTCTTCGAATACTGCAACGCACCTTCGGGCACCCTTCTCTGCACAGACGTAGCCGCACGAGGCCTCGATATCCCCAGTGTAGACTGGATCATCCAGTTCGACCCACCTGATGACCCTCGTGACTACATTCACCGTGTCGGTCGCACGGCACGTGCAGGCAATGCTGGTAAATCGCTTCTCTTCCTTCTCCCCTCCGAACTTGGCTTCTTGCGTTTCCTAAAGGTGGCCAAAGTTCCTCTCAACGAATACACTTTCCCCGCCGACAAGGTCGCCAACGTCCAAGGTCAGCTCGAGAAGCTCATCAGCAAGAACTACTACCTTCATCAGTCAGCAAGAGACGGTTACCGATCCTACCTCCAAGCGTACGGCTCTTACTCCTTGAAACGTATCTTTGACATTCACAAGTTGGATCTTACAAAGGTGGCAAAGGCATATGGATTCGCTGTACCGCCCAAGGTCAACATCACGATTGGTACTGGGTTGAAGGGGTCAGCGTCGAGCAGTGCGGGTGGGAAGAGGAAGGAAGTGGATGCAGATGGTGAGGGCGGCGATGATGATGAGATCAACCCTAAGAGGCAACAGGGTGACAGGAGGGCGTATTACCGCAGGAACCATCAGAACGGAAGCGGAAAGGATCACTTCCGAAAGTCAGGTGCGAATGCGATGGGTAACAAGGACAAAAAGCAGTGGTCGCGATAAACAACGACACTTGCTCTCGTCTAACTCTGCATTCTTCATGTCACGTCTTGTGTTGGTCTCCCGCATGTACTCTAGTCTTGGCTCTCTTTCATCCTTTTCTACGGGTATAATTGCGTGTCGGACATGGCTGTGATGTTCAGCTTGTCTCATTTCGAGTGTTGGAGAGAAGCGATAGCCTTGACGTGCTCGAGGAAGGTCTTGTTAATCACTTCGAAATGCGCTTCGTCATTCTGATCGATCATCTCACCAGCTGGCACGTCGAGCGTGTACTCGGGTGCATAGTTGGGCCAGAACTTGTGATCCGGTATCGCTGTATCGAAAGAGATCTTGTCCGTTGAAGCTGGCTTCCCTTGCTCGTCTCCATCCTCCTGCGTCTTGTGCTGTTCAGTAAGCGGTGTCGGCTCCTCATGCGATGGCTTAGCAGCATGCCTTTTTGCATGAGCTTGATCCTCAAACCGACCCAAACAGACAGCAGTGAGCAAACTCCAACACCTCGCCGCATTCTCACTGTTATACCCACCCCCACCCAGCAACAGCGTTGGCTTCTTCCAACTCAACACGCTTTGCATCGTCTTGACATATGCAGCGGCTGAGAGATTCCACACTGCCATCGGATCACCCGCCAGTCCATCCACTCCGCACTGAACCACAACCACTTCGGGATGCCAAGCTTGCACCAAGGACTGAACCGTGCTTTCTATCACCCTATTCAGGCTGGAGTCGGAGGTGCCAACAGCGAGCGGAATGTTGAGGGTTTTACTTCCTGCGCCTGTGTCGCCTTTGAGTGAGCCAGGTGGGCCAAACCGGTCCGGATCCGATGAGGGAGCGTAACAGGGAAAGAAACCAGGCGCATAGTGATGTATGCTGAGTGTGAGCACATTCGGGCTGGTATGAAAAGCTTCTTGGACACCATCGCCCCAATGAAGGTCGAGGTCGAGATACAGGACTCGATCGACTCTTTTGATCGTTGTCTTGCGTATCGTCTCCTTCCCCTCCCCTTCCTCGATCTCCTCATCATCCCCCTCGGTGCTGAAATTTCGAGGGATAGTAGTCGTTACGGCGACCTTGCTCGGCTTCCGCAGCGCCAAAATAGCCAATACTACATCATTGATATAACAGAACCCTGACGCAGCATCTTTCTTGGCATGGTGTCTACCTCCATCCCACGCAATAGCAATATCGGCCTGTCCAGTAGCCAACAGCTCTGCAGCGGTAATGGATGCTCCGGCTACCAGCGATATGTGTCGATGTAGGCCGTCAAACGTCGGACAGTCGTCTTGGAGTCCAAACTGATTTCTCGCTCTTGGGCGCTTGTACGAGAGACCAGAGACTGTGGAGGAGGGTCGACGGTGAAGCTCTTCTGAGCTCGAGGTGCGGTCCGATGCTTCTTCGTCGCTCTCGATCTCGTTAGAAGAGCCGCTATCGCTGGATTCAAGACTGGAGTTGAGTTTGCGACGCTTGGAAGAGTTATCGAGGTTGACTGCGCTGGAGCTCTTGGCTAGCTGTTTGAGGAAGGATTCTTGGTGGTAGCTCGTCAGCTGTTGATGCGTTGCTGGGTGCGGGAGGTAGACTGTGGCTCGACTCAGCTCCTTGTGAGTAGCTGCGGCCGGAGACAGATCAGCGAAAATAGCTTCGAGTAGCTTTGTCTTTTCGGAGGTCTCAATACTTCTGTCACTGTCGTTCAGAGCAGAGAGATCGAGTAAATCGAGGTGGTATGCTAGAGAGTGTACGAGAGATGAACGCCCCTCATTTGACGGCAGCAAGTCCGCAAACCGCACTAGGTCGCCCGACACTACATATGCCACTCGAGGCGGATCTGTCACAACCGACATCGCGATTCGTTCCCGTCGAGTGGTTATGATACAGACCGACCGATACGATGCAAGTGTATCCAAGTCTTGAGTTGGACCCTGAAATCAGAAGAACCTGATCGACCTGCAGGTGATGAGGCTTTCGTGCATCACGTGATCGTCAAAGACTGACGTGCGCGTCTGACCACCGTTGCTCAGATCCACGTCAACACCCTCCTGCTCCAATTGTGGTAGCACGCAAACCTTGAGAAAATGTGGATCGCACGGGTCCCGATGACTGGCGATCGGTGAGAGTCGGAGCACAATTGTCACTAGGGTATCAATTTTCGAGTGTTTTTAGAAACACGTGTTTCTCGATTTTGACGAGTTTTTATTTTGCACAAAAACCTTACATAAGCTCACCCAAAGTTGAAAAAACATGTGTTTCTAAAAACACACCTCTGGACCCAGTAAAATGGACTCACTTTTTTGTCACTCTCCAAAATGATGTGCAGATGGATGTGCTTCCACTTGCTTCACCTCCTCAACTTTACTACTTCATCACACTGGTGTGCCATGTCATTCATTGACAAAGTATTTGAAGCTGGAAGCTGGGATGTTTCTCTTCCCTCTTCTCCAACTCCCCCATCCAACACAGAGCAAGAACAAGGTGCACCTCCTGCACTTTCACTTGCAATGGGCAGCAGCACAATCCTCCCTTGCCCTTCTCCTGTCACTTCCCCAATCAATCGGATGTCTGATACACCTTCTGCCCAATCCACCAGGCCTGCTGACAATGGGGCAAAGAAGAACTTTGTCTGGCAGGCTCAGGACATCAAGTGCCTTGTAGACACAATCTACATCTGTCATGGGACTGGATGTGCAGGAAGCAGGAAGATCCAAAGTCATATGAAGAGGAGTGCAGGAATCGCAGGATCGGGCTAAGTGAGGGTTAAAAGCAAAATTCACCAAGATCTGTAGTAGGAAAAGCTCTATGGCAGATGTAAGTGGTCACATGCCTGAAACCAGGTTGGGTGTTTCCAATTGATTTTGGTGAGATCAATTGAGTAAGATTTACTCAGTAAGTTTCAACTAAAAGTAACCAGACAGCTTTGTTCTGGTAGGTTTCAGCTGACTGCCTTGAACACTCCATTCAGAGGTTGTGCAGCATGTCTGTTACTTCCTGGGGTGAAAGTATTACACTCTCCTATACAGCACGAGTGTTTGTAGTACTGTAGCTAATGCTCTTCAACATTGCCTGGGCTGCAATATGCCTATTGCTTACAGAGGACAGGAGTTACTGGACCACAGGTGTTGAACACCACCTACAATAACTGACTGGACTGCAGATGTTGAGCAACACCAGGGGTCTCGCGCCTGAAACCCAGGTCGGTCTGTCGAGATACTCGGTGACTATCAAACTGTGTGACAGCTATTGTCTCGGTATCGGTCTCGATGAGCTTATCGCTCAGCAACTATCAAGTTGCGCGATGGGTGGCGTTTGTGTATATAATATCATAGGTTTCGGCTGACCTCTGTGGACACTCCGTTCAGGGGTAGCTTGGCATGATCAATATCAATGCTTAGATTATGATGACACCAAGGTCTGGTGTGAGTGTTGATGATGATGAGGTTGATGGGGTTGGTGATAAGGTTGGTGAATGTCAATGATAATGAGGTTGGGTTGGTGATAAGGTTGGTGGCATCAACACGAGTGTCCAGTGTGCTGACTGATGCTTGAGGTGATCCTGGGACCACAGTGGACTACTGCCTTTGGTTCTATCTGGATCCAGACCGCTAACCTGCTATGGGTGCCTTCGGACATCAGGTAGTGGTGATACAACACACACACTACAATGAGAAGCAACCTTGATAGATTGCTGCTATGCTGACTGAAACTAATATATACTTATGCTGAAGTGATAACTAGTTATGATGGTTGTGTAAAGTGGATGAGGATCCACTCGACCTTTGATGATGAGAAAGCATGGTTATATACCTCTTCACAGCATCACCAGTGATGCTGCTCCTGCTCTCTCTCCAGAGAGTACCTTCTTCATCGAGTACTGTTCAGGGGGCCTCTCCTGCTTGCTTGGTACCCCTGTGCCTCTTGAGCTGTGTCAACTCCTTCAACACTGCTCCTCCTCCTTGCTATCCTGCTTGTTTGGCACCCTTGTGCCTCCTGAGTGGTGTCGACTCCTTCAACACTGCTCCTCCTCCTCAGGACCTGGTGTTGACTCTTTCAACACTGCTCCTCCTCCTCAAGACCTGCTTGCCGGTTCCCTATACACTGCTCCTTCTCCTTTGACTGGTGATGGTTCCTTTGACTCTTGTCTCTCGAGCCCCTGAGTGGTAACCATCTGCATGCTCCTTGAGCTTGGTCCTCTTCGTGGCTGTGCCTGCTCCTTGAGCTTGGTCCTCCTTGTGGCTGTGCCTGGCCCTCCTCACATATGGCTCGATCCTCCTTTGCATGTGAGTCTGTAGGAGTCCATGGTCTCCATGGAGACTGCACTACGACCATGCTCTCTAATGGTATCGACTAGATCCTCGATACTTGTGCTCCTTCCATATGAACCAGTGACCCTCCTGCTTCTTGAGCATTCAGGCCCATGACACATTGCATGGAGCAAGTGCTTACTAAGCATGGTTGTCCACTCAAGTATTAGTCAGCTCCAAGACTCACTGCAATTGAAAGCTCTTCTTTTGGACTTGCTCACTGTGTGTTTTGCTCAGCCTGACACTTATGAGAGATCAGTCCTCCAAGCAGATGGAAGGTATGCTATTGGATGATTGATTTATTGTCTATTGGACCCTGTCCCCAAACTTTGGACAGGGACTGTATAGGGAGGGTGAAAAACTACGGACGAGGCTGTTAATGATACAGCTGGCTTTGGAGAAGAAGATGGTAGTGAGGAGAGGAGCGGAGAGCAGATTGATGTTGTGAAGAGCGGAGCGGAGGAGAACAATTCGATTGTTGAGTCCAGCGCCAGACGCGCACGTAAAAATCCACTATCACGTGATGCATACAATTTTAGTTACCTTTCGTGCGATTGAGTCCAGACGGGACGCGCAGAAATCGGGCTCTCAATCTGTCTCCAGTGCCTTTGTCCTACAACCACATTTTGCTGCGGAATGCTTGCTCCGGGGGGGACCTGACGAGATGTGGCCTGCAGCAGAAGCTGTTTGCAGTTCTTCCTAGGCTTTTGCGGAGACAGCTCACGACTGCACCGGGAGGACGGCCTTTTTCAGCCGGTGCTCATGGCTGACTGCGGGCGGAGAGGACAGAAGAAAGCTGGCCCGGGCCACAAAAGTGAGAATCAGGAATCTGTTGCTTGTGCCTGACCCGCTCTTGCTCTTCTCCATCTTGGCCTTGGTTGGCTTTTCGTGTTATCCATCCACCAGCCAAGCGCGGTCGGTCGGTCGGTCTTCCAGTCACAGTCGCGACTCATCCTTTTGTGAGACAGAAGACAGAGCGAGACAGATTGGAAAGAGAGAAAAGATTGTAACGCACCAGTTTGACCGGCATAGTCGGAAGCAAGGCGTGTTGTTTGATCTCGGCGTCAGCTTCAGATGATCTGATCCTCTTCTTAACCAACCACAGCCGACTTCTTACTGAGCCTTCTACCGGCTTTTCCTCCTCTTCCACCTCCCATCGACGACTGAGCTTGGCCTTCCTGATTATCCTTCTCCTCATCAACACCACTGTGGTCGTGACTGCCGTCGGGAGACGCTTGAGCTCAAGCTCAAACCTCACAACATCATCTCGTTGTTGCACATTGTCGATCCACCGAACTCGCTTCTCGATACATAGACCCCCAAGCGCAGCTACAGCCCGGTTCGAGGCCTCGTTCTCTCCTCCGGCATCGCAGGAATCCTGTTCAGCCTCGTCCTATCTGTCAACGCTTCATTTGCGACGGTCATTTCATTTCGACTGCAATTATCCACTTGCATCATCCCTCTGTCCTCCCAACGCAATTCGCGCTTCCGCAATTCTTGCGACCCGACACTTGGCCTCTGCCTTAGAGCGGGTCTCTCCATCTTTACCGCCCTCATCAACCTCAACTTCATCGACTTGCTTGCGGAAGTTGTCACCACATCCTTCCATCCCTCAAGTCACCTCTTCTTCGCGCCTGTTCAAAACACCGGTCCGGCTCGTTGATCCCAGAATAAGCGACTTTGCGTCTTCCAAGTCCAACCTCTATCTTTTATCATAACGCAGTCATCCATCCAACCATCCATCCATCCATCCATTCATTCATCCATCCATCCATCCATCCATCCATCCATCCATCCATCCACGCGACCACGTTGCCTCACTATTCAAATAGCCCATTTCCCGCTTTCCCCGACACGGATCTCTCTCGACCATGAACACTCCGCCGAAGTTCTCGCATTCACGGCAAGGATCCATCGAGCACAACGTGCCGACGTCGTCTGCTGCGCATCTCCAGCATCCGTCGCTTTCCGGACACGCCGGCAGCGGATCTCACAACCCCGGCAATCACTCTCCTCTCACATCCTACGGGCATGCTTTGGCGTCTTTAGCCTACCCATCCTCGTCTTACTCACCCTACCGCACTGGTCAGACACCTGTTTCCGCATGGGCTACTTCCAACCTGTCCGCTCTTCACAACGGCAGCGCACCACCTTCCGCGAAGAGGAGCGAGAGTAGGGAAGCAGACGGCGACGACGAGGAAGATGATGACGATGACGATGACAACAGCGTTGACTCGGACGACGATGATGATGACGATGAGGAGGAAGGGACCGAGATTGAGGACGAAGCCAATACCACAGCCAATAATGGCAACTCCAAAGGCGCCGTGAACAAGCGCAAACGCTCAGCATCACCCAAAGGAAAGGGCAAAAAGGCAAATGCCGGCAAGACGGCAAATGGGGACAAGGCGAATGGCGGCAAGGATGCTAAGGGTGGGACACCTGGCAAGAAGCAGAAGCCAACCCGTGGTGCGCGCGCTTGTACCAACTGTCGACGTCTCAAGATGCGCTGTGTAGGTGCTGAGAAGGGCCCACCGTGCAACAGGTGTCGCAATGGCAACCACGAATGCATCTTTGAGGAGAGCAATCGTGGCAAGAAAGGCGGCAAGAACCAGAAGGCAGAAGCCATGCAACAGAGTCTGCGCAAGATGGAGCAGACCCTCGCAACTGTACTTCGCAGCATCCGAGACCCCGGTCTTGCAGCCCAGCACGGTGGCATGGTGACACGCAGCCCTTCGCCGGAACGATCCTACAAAGAGACGCAGCGTTCTGATCCTCGTCTCACTCACTCCAGCTCTTTCTCTGGCGGCGACTTTGGTCCGCGTTCGCCTTGGACTCGTGTCGCGGATCCCTACTCATCACATGGAACACACGCAGCCTCGCCCGCTCGCGCTAGTGCTGATGGTGCCAGCCCCGTTAGCACCATCAACCCGAATGCTGTCGCGCAGAGGAGCGCCTCCTCTACTGATGGCAGTGTCCCTTCACCTGCTAACGCGACAGGCACGCGCTTCCTCGAGCCTTTGCCGCATCTTCATCGCCCGCAGTCGCGCACAAGCGCCCAGGGTCCTGATGGGCAGCGCAGTCGACCCTCGCGTGGCTCTCCTCGTCTCCATTCGCTACCTGACAACACTCTCAATCCGCTCGGTCTACTTGCCGAGGCCAGTCTACACAACACTCATCGCGTCCGCAAGCTCGCCCGCAGTGGCGCCAGCAACAAGTCCAGCGAGAAGGATAGCCAAAAGTCAGGAAGCACTGGCGGTCAGAGCCCAGACAAGACCATCAATTCTGAGGGCGGTGAGGATGGCTCACCCAACGGCGAAGGTGGAGAGCAAGATGAGGGCAAACGCAAGATCCCTCTTGGTGTCGCTTCACAGAACTACTTCCGTCCTGGTCCGATGACCATCTTGCCTCTTCGTCGAATCATTATTGAACGTGAGATGCCTCCTGAGCTTCTCACCCTAGGCATTGTCTCGTCCGAAGAGGTGCTTGATCTTTTCAGCATCTTCTTCCGCCGATGCACGCAGCACGTTTGTCTCTTAGATGCAGAATGGCACACGCCGACCTTCATCTGCAGTCGCTCGCCTTTTCTTTTTACCTGTGTCTGCACTGTCGCATCCAAATTCTACGAGAAACGCCCCGATCTTCACTCCAAGTGCCAAGCTCTCACTCGCAAGGTCGCGTTCGATGTCGTCAACCGAGGATTCAAGTCTATCGAGATCGTACAGGGCTTCTTGCTGATGGCCATGTACGCGCAGCCAGCCGAGCGGTTCGAGGAGGATAAAACCTGGATGTACTCTGGAATAGCTCTTCGTATGGCTACCGATCTCAATCTGCACAGGAAGAGCGTGGCGACTTTCAACCACACCCCGCACCCGGATGACCCGGCTGTGCTCGATCGCGAGCGAGAAATTCTCAACCGTGAGCGCACGTGGTACGTCTGCTTCGCTCTTGACCGCGGGTTGAGTATCCAGATGGGTAAGCCGTACACCATTCGAGAGGATTGGATCATCAGAAATTGCCGAAATTGGGGAAGCAGGTTCAGTCGGCCTTGGGATCTTTCTGTTAGCGCTGTGGTCGATTTGTACCGTATCAGCTCGAGGCAGCTCGATTTCTTGTATTCCTCGACTTCTTCGGTGTCGGGCCTCAACACCGAGATCGATTACTCACTTGTGCTGCCTGTCTTCAACGAGCAGTTGCAGGAGTGGAAGGAGGAATGGCGATACCGTGGTCTTTGGTCCATGCCGGAGGAAGGTGAGGAGTACATCGAGAAGAAAAGACGACGATTGACTCTTGCTGCCAAGAAGGCTGCTGTGAAGGACAAGGGTAAAGGCAAAGGCACCAACAAGGATGCATCTGCTGACAACGCTGCTGGCAAGAAAGACGCAGCGAATGGTACGGCGACCGACAAAGGCTTCAGGTACGAGTTCGACGATGACGATGAGGATGCCGAGAATCTCGATCTCAACACTCGCATTATGATCTTCCACTCGAACTCGGCGCCTGTTCGATACAGCTTTGCCGTCCTTGTGCTCAACTCGTTCGGTCTGCAGCAAGCTGTTGATCACCCGATTGGTGCCAGTTTGGACCGAGCGCAGTACTTTGCCAAGTGTCTGGAGGCTGCAAGGACGATCGTTGTTCAGAGTACCGGACCGTTGCGTCGCAACATGAGGTATGCTCCCGATGCGCATATCTTGACGCTAGCTTATGCATGCGTTTTCCTGCTCAAGCTGATCCGACCTGCATTCGCGGGTTACGTTGAAGAGGAGTCGATTTTGACGTTGGTGCAGGACGCGGTAGATATGCTGCAAGAGGTGGCTGTTAATGAGACGCACACTCCGCACTTGTATGCGCAGTTCCTGCGGGCGTTGTTGCAGGCGAAGAAGGAGCACACTACAGCGTCCAAGTCCGCTACTGGCAGTCGAGCTGCTTCTCGTGCTGTTTCGCCTGATGGAATGCAGGTTGATGGCGAAAACAACGAGACGGCTCATGGCATAGCTAACGCGCAAGCTGGTATCGGTGGGTCTACCCTTCCCACCACCAGCGCTACAGTAGAAGGCAACATCCATGCTACCCTCGACCCGCACTCAGCAGAGTTCGCCTCAGGTGCAGCCTCCGCCCCCGCCGCAGAAGGGATAAACGTCAACTGGCCCTCTCAGATCTTTGGCGCAACTTCAGGCATGGATGACTTCTGGGGTTCCCTTCTTCCACCTGGTTTCAGCCAAACCTCGATGCACGATCTTTTCGGGGCTGCCACTGTCGATGGTACTGTCCCCAACGGCTCTCATATAGCTGCTGTGGAAGGGGAGGTGGTAGAACCGAGCCAACACGCGACAAAGTTCGGTATGGGCGGTGGTGGAGCTTTTGATTTCGGAGGTGGAGCTATTGGGAATGGAAATGGTGGTGTGCCGTTAAACTCGGCGGCGGCTAACGCGGCGTTGGCGAGCTCGATGAGTATGACTCCAGTTGCGAGTGGACATTTGTCAGGGGCTAACACGCCTCATGGTTTGGGGAGCAGGTCGAGGAGGACAAGTGCTAGTCATTGCTTGAGTGGATTGAGTGGGGTTAATTTTGATTTCTCCTCGTAAACCGCAAAGGAGGACCACAAAAGCATCGTTCAGAAGCAATGGGACGTTCTCTAATCATGCATTACTAGTATGCGTCTGCTGTGCGATGTGATCACTGCTGAAACTCAAATGGGTAAATATCAGGATCTCCCTCCCTCTCCTTTCCCTTTTCCTTCTTGCCGCCTTGTGTAGGCGCAGCAGCAATCGCCATCGCCTTGTACTGCACACCCATCCCAGTCTCGTCAATCAATCGATTAGCTGCATCCTTAATCCTCTTCTCAACCTCTTCCCCTTTTCCCTTGATGAGCCTTTCAGTACGCATCTGCAACCCCATCCCAACCAAGAAATCCGCTTGATCCAACGGTCCCAAATACCTTGCATCCGTAGTTTGAATCGCTGACTTGAGATGCAAGAAATCGACATTGACAGTGAGATCAACAGCGCCAGGTTGTTCGAATACCGGCACAAGCTGGTGATGTTTAAACGCACGGAAGGATGATCCGTAGGCTTGGTCTGCTCCGTAGTCGATGATTAACCCGATACCGCCGGAGGAAGGGGTTGCGAGTCGGGCGCTTTCTCTTGCTTGTTCAGCTTCGAGGCGTTCGGATTCTAGACTTGCTTCTGCTTCCGCTTCTGTCGACCCAGCAGCCGGTTTCGGGCCAGTGGAGGGAGGTTTAGGGAGAGAAGTGGGCGGAGCAGCAGGTCTACCAGCAACAAGTTCACCTACACGACGAGCAACAGCCCAAGCTTCAGGTGAAACTTCAACTCTTTGACCCGGTTGCAAGCCCTGGAATCGCGGATTGGTTTGAACTAGCATCTGCGCCCAAGGTGTTGGGGTGGGGGAGAGGACGAATCCCAGTTCTTCCTTTCCTTTTTCTTTTTTGAGGGTCGAAAGGTTGTCGCCAGGTCTAAGAATGGTGATGGGAGATTTGGGTTTGATACCGACCATGACTTCTCTGAATTTTCCATCGGTGTGTTTTTCAAAGATATGCGTCGGGAGAGCATCGAAGAACTCGTGTGCGGTCAAGATGGTAAACTCCTGCGGAACGATGGGAACTAGGTCCACAGAAGGGTACCATTCCACCACAACGCCGTCAGATCCGGCTTCGGCTTCTTCTTCAGCACTAATAACCTGTTTCCCACCCACCGCAAGCGCCTCTTTGATCGCATTCAACTGAAACTCCATCAACCCATCACTCGTTTCCACCAACTGAATCCGCTTCAACGTCGCCATGAAAGGTTTGAACGTTGCGAAAGTCCTCAGCATATCCGCTAACAAGGTTCCTTTCCCAGGCCCCAACTCGACCAGTCTAGTCTTTTGCGGTGCTCCAACACTCTGCCATCTCGCAAGGTAGAAAATCGCTACGAGCTCGCCGAACACCTGCGAGATTTCGGGGGAGGTGATAAAGTCTCCGCGTGAACCGAGAACTTCGCGCAAGGTAGCGGGGGAGTTGGCGGATGAGTAGTAGCCTTGCATGGGATCCAGAAGACAGGTTCGCATGTAGGTAGAGACTGGCATGGGTCCAGAGGCGCGAATGCTGTCGAGAAGGATCTCGTTTAGGCTTTTGGTTGCTTTCTTCTCGTCAAGCTTTTCCGAGGTTGGTGTGGAAGCGAGGGGGGATGAAGGGGGTTTGGCAGCTTCTAGTGCTCGTCGAGATGTGGAGAACTGACGGCGAGAAGAGGTGTGAATGCCTCGAGCGGCGGAGAACTGTGTGGTGGTGGGACCCATCAGTCCTTGTGGCTGAGTACTGGGCCGTGTGTCGCCGTTCCTCACTTTTGCTGTAATACTCGAACTGGTCTGAGTAGGTGCGGCGGGAGGAATAGCAAACGATCGCAAACCAGTCACAATCTTGTCGCCACCATTCAGCTCTGCTGTTACAATCTGCTCCACCGCCTCAGTAGCGTAGGCTACACAGTCGTTCAAGCTGACACCGGTATAACTCGCACCGACCAGCGTCAGCTTGTCAGCCAGAGTCTCGTCCCTCTCCAACGCTTTGTGCAGCTGAGCCATCCTCACTGGGTGACCTACGAGGTACCACGGGATGCAATCCTTTTGCATCGTCGCTTTGACCGTCACCTTCGACGCGTCCTCCAGTAGCGCGGCGTCAAGGCCAAGATGGTTTGAGACAGCCCGGATTGCGCGCTTCTTCATATCTTCTTCACTAGGGAATGCTGAGAGGTTGGACCAGTGTGAGCCGCCCATCATCACTGTCAATTTGATTGGTCGAGAAGCTGTATCTGCCGAGTCTTGGTCTGGGATCGCATCGCTGTCAAAGACAACGCCGAGGATTCCATCTTCGTTGCCCGGGGTTGTACGAGGGATGAGATAACCAAAGCCTTCGACAGGGACCAGAGGCTTGCTACTCGACGAGACAGCGCCGGGAGAGACGACGATATTGACGACACCTACGTTCGCTGATGGGTTGTGTTTGAGGTGAGGCAGCTCGGTAGTTTCAGAGAGGGTGTCGGCAAGCACAGATGATGGGATGCTGGAGATAACTCGGTCTGCTTGGATTGTCTCTCCTCTCTTTGTGCGCAATGACACCTTGCCCGAAGAGTCGACGACAACAGATTTGACAGCATCGCCCTTTTTGACCTGCACATTCTCGTATTCAGCGAGCTGCGTCTCCAACGCCTTAACAATTTCCTGTACTCCATTTGGAAAGCTGTATACGCTGATCTTCTTGAAGCTTTCCACGAATTCTTTGCCGAGCTCTGTCTCGATCTGCTTCAGTCGATCCTCCTTTGCCGCCTTGACTGCTGCCTCAGCTTCCGGTAGCACGCGATGACGCTTATTCCTCTTGGTGGGAAGCATAGTGCGCAGCACACTACCATGCACTCGTTCGGCTTCCCACAGAAAAGGAAGCACAGCACGTACACTCAGCCTCCGTGTATCTCCAGCATAGATGCCGTGAATGACAGCCGAGACAAGGTTCTCCGCCAGCCCTTTACCAAAGCGTCGCGAAACGAAGGAGTCGACGCTCTCGTCCTCAATGAGTTCTCGCTGATGCAAGCGGGCCTTCTCAGACTGTGATTCGGATCGTGGTCGGAGGAAGCGCGATGGCACACGTGGTTCCCGCAGCACACCAGGGATAATGGAACGGAGGAAGGGCAATTTGAGCAGTGCTGAGACGAGGGAGGGGATGCTGCTAGGAAGCTTTGCGAGTCGATCCGGATAGTAGAGGTATCTGTTTTGTGCTGATGGTGCCGTCTTGGGTACCTTAAGTAGTCTTCCGAGCAAGCCGAGCGATCGAACGAGGTCAAGCATCATCAGCCCTGAGTAACCGGCTGGTCGGATGCTGCGTGGGCCCTTCTCAATGAGCGCTGTGGTGGAGCTTGATGCAGCGGCACCGGTGGCCTGTAATGCAATGCGTTCAGACTGAATCCAGCCTCCGAGCCGGTCTTGATGTTCAAAAAGGACGACATCGTATCTGTCTTTTGGCAGCTGCTGAGCGAGACGGTATGCTGAGGTGAGACCCGAGATTCCACCGCCTAGCACAGCCATGCGCTTCTTGCCCGTGCTTGCTGCTGCTAGCAGCCTTGTCGAGGTGCTCAGAGGTCTGGACTTGCTGTGCACCAGAGATGCCGGGCCTGAAGACAGGCGAGACGCTGTTCTTGAGAGCAGCATCTTGGCGTCGATATAGTGGAGCCAATGCGCTGCAGTAAGGATAGGAAGGCTTGTGCGGCTTCTTCCAAAAATGAGCCTTCAGTCATGCTTCCGGCTGACATCTTCTCAACGTGTGGAGAAGGCAGCTTTCAAGTGTCATCATTACATCAGCTGATGGCTGTCAAAGATGCAGATCTCACAATCAAAATGAATTGGAGCTCTCTGCGACGCTCCGACAAGATAATTCCAATCTTCGCGCGCAGAACAACGCCCGATTTGAATTCGACAATTACAAGCTTGCGCGGGGCGGACTTTCTAGGAAGCGCTGCTATTTGTAATCGAAGAGCTTCAGCAAGCGAGACCATTCGTGCGAATGAGGATTTGGAAGTCTTGCAAGGCTTAAAGACTCGCACAGATGTGGCTCCTCGGCCATCGCAGGGAAATCTTGATCGTTGTTGTCGCTATCTTGAACCCTGTTAATCACCATCATCATCCAATCCCTCATCTTTTGTATCCGCAAAGATGGTTCTCGTAAGTACTTCAGTCATTGTTGGCAGCGCATAGCAATGTACACACGGATCCTAGCCGTCACTGAAGGGCGGCCCAGAAGATCTTTCACCAACAGCTTCTGCGAACAATTGATGCTAACCACACTTATTCCTTGTGACTCTCCTCTGCCCAACATCCTCGCCACTGCATCATCTACATTGCATTATAACCATACACCAACATTCAACGACCTCTAAACTGCCCAACACGACACACCGCACGCATGCATGCATTCGACTACCTCACGCCCGACCTCTTACCGCTTCGTCTCAAATCGTCTCCTCGCAGGGACTTTCCGGTCTCTCTCTTATCAAGTACGTTCAGTCGTCGCCAACACTTTTGCGTATGCTTAAGCCCGTCGCCAACGCCTACGCCAACTCCACCGGTCACCGTCAGATGGGTCTCCGATACGATGACTTGATGATCGAGGAATCGCCCCGTGTTCAGAAGGCTATCTCTCGTCTTCCTGATAAGGTGGCCTACGACCGTGCTTTCCGTCTTCGTCAGGCCGCTCAGCTCTCGGTTCTTCACCGTGAACTTCCCAAGGAACAGTGGCTTCCGGCTAAGGAGGTAAGTTTCGAACAACTTGGCGTGCTATGGAGGCAAATTGGAACCATTGGTATTTGGAGGGAGCACAGTGCATTTCGTGAAGGGGCCAAATCGAAAGGCAAGACAGTGGTACCATTAAGACGAGCTGGAAGCGATATATGGTGGTCGAGCGTGTCAAATTCGATCGAATCAGCCAACACCGTTGGCATCGGACGGATAAAGGCAGGAATGAAGTCCTGATAGTCTCTGGCACACAACAGTATCGTATTGACACGCATCCTCTTCTTTCTTTCTGACCTTGCAGGACAAGCGATACCTCACCCCTTACGTCACAGAGGTGGCCGAGGAGGAGACCGAGCGTGCCGCATGGGACACTATTGCCGTCAAGAAGGGTAACTAAACTCGTCGCGCCTCGACTCAATCCTTAAGTCATCTTGTCATGTATTGATTTCGTTTCGCTAAAACTGAAATAGGACCTACCTTCTGCACCGAACAAATTTGCATGTGTTGCTCAGAATGTGCAGTTGGAGCCCAAACATTCCTGGACCGGAACCTGTTACGTGCGCCGTAAAGGTCGCTCTGCGATGCTGTTCTTGGCGGAGACTCGGAGATTGTATACGGTTTTGAGAAGCTGTTCTTTCCTGTTCCGACTGTCAAGTCTGCAATAGTGACGGTCTTGCGCTCCCCTTGCGAAGCTTATACTCATTGCATATGAATTGTGCTGAGATCCAAGTTTCGTGTGATGGATGTTTGACCTTCACACAATCGGATATGTACAGACGCTCGACTGCCATGAAGAATAATTGCATTGCATTACACCAAACTACCGAATTGAATGTGCCTCGCGATTGCTCCTCTCCCGCTACACCGACTTGATAGCCTTCGTCAGCGGAGTATCCTTAAAGATGCCGATAATCAAAGCCCAGCCGAACACGATCTGTGCCACCGCAATACAGAACAAAAACTGAATCCTCCTCGACCTCTGTGCATGTGTAATCGTCTGACTCGAAGGCGAACTAGGATCTGGCAACACGACATACCTCAAACTCCTCAACAAAAAGAACGCATTCGCCGCAAAACAGTACAAGAAGACGCTCCAATACACCAAGCCCCTCACCTTCAACAATCCCACCATAAGCGTGATCAGTGTACCGACGAACTTGTAGCCGGAGTATGCGAGGAGGTCCATCATTGTGTGATCTCCCTGAATGTTGAGAAGGTAGGTACCGAGTTTGATGGCGGCTAGTTCGACGAGGATGATTGCGAGAGCGCGGGATGCGCGTAGGCCGAGAACTTCGGGATGGAAACGGGATTCAAGACCGAGAATGACGCTGGTTAGGATGATGTACGTGACGAAAGCCATGGTGGGGATGTAAAGGTCGGGAGAGTTGACGTCGTCTCGGGGTGGAAGGTAGCCTTCTTGACCCGAAGAGGCGGTTTTGACAGCGGAAGGAGTCTCTGAGTAGGCGGAAGAAACGCCTCCGCCACCGGCAGAGTGACGGTGTGCACGAGACCAAGGTTTGTGACGCCATGGGAAGAGGACGATGCGAAGTTTATGGAGAACGTAGGAGTTGGAGACGTTGAAGTAGTGCTTGAGTACAGGCATGGGAAGAAGAGCGTTGAAGTTCTTTTGGACGTATTCGCCACCGACTGCTGCCATGTGCTGGCCGAACTGAACACCCATCTGTGCGGTAGCATCGTTCATAATTGGAGGTCCGCCTGCACCGCCGAAGCCAGGGAAACCACCCCAGCCCTGTTGCTGAGCTCCAGCAGCGCCAGTGCCGGGGAAGTAGCCTTGGTTGGGCTGTTGCGAGACATAAGATGAAGAAGCATAGGCTGACTGGTTTGGAGGTGACTGAATGGGTGGAGATGCAAAACGTTGGTACCCGCCTCCTGCAGCTGCTTGGAGGTTGGCAGCAGGTCCTCCTCGTCGTAGAGCCGATGAAACGTGTGGGTCTGTGACGGAAGCTTGAGGAACAGGGTTGGGCGAGATGGGCGGGTCAGGGACCTTGAACGGAGGATGTGTTGGGATGGGATGCTGAAGCGGCGGGGGCGACCGTGATGGGTAGCCATCTTGTGGTTGGTACATGGTGTCGAAGCTAGTAGTGTGAGATGCCGAGAAAGACTGTTGTCGGAAGCGAGTGTGATCGGGTCAATAACTCGATAAGTGAGGTGACTTAGAGTATGCTCGTGTTCCTATCCGTGAATGCTAGTGTAGGATGAAGAGACGAGGCGTTATTGATTGGTGACTATGATTGCGAAACGCGTTGTGGTGAAACGTCGAAGATGGTGAAGCTTGAATCAGAAATTGTGAGAAGCGCTGCGTGGCTTCCAACTTGGCCTGTGCTTGTTTCAGTCGCCAGTCAGCACGTCCGTCTGCACTTTCTTCCCACATTCGCTCTCCAGTACTTCTCCAGCCAGACAGAATAAATTCTCGTCACTGTCAGGTCGCCATTTCTACTTTTGTTTCTCTTTTTTTTTTTTTTTTTTTTTTCCCCCTTTCTTTCTGACTTTTTGAATTCAAAATTTCTTCATGACGCATTTCTTTCTGTTTGCTGCGAATACAAAGAAAGAGCTTCCTTGTAGCTGTCGGTGGCTTTCTTCTATTTCTCAAACGCAGCAGCGATCGGCACAGCGTTAGTTTCAGGCCTCACACCTGGCATTTCACACGCTCCAGCTTAGCTTCTTCTCCACCATACTGTCTCCACCACTTCACACACCAACAGTACAGAGACATCATGCCCAAGAACAAAGGAAAGGGTGGTAAGAACCGTCGTCGCGGAAAGAACGACATAGGCGACAAGCGCGAGCTCGTCCTCAAGGAAGAGGGTCAAGGTTAGTATCTGTCCCACAATCACCGCCCAACCGCCACAGTCTTCTATCTTCAATCGTCCCGACAACATTGCTGATTCCACTCCCATCTCTCTGTGCCTCTGCCATGCCTTGCGATGCAATAGAGTACGCTCAGGTGCTCAAGATGCTCGGTAACGGTCGATTGGAAGCACAATGTTTCGATGGCGAGAAGCGTCTTGCACACATTCGTGGCAAGCTTCGAAAGAAGGTCTGGATCAACCAAGGGGATATCATCTTGATCTCGCTCCGTGATTTCCAGGATGGCAAAGCCGATGTGATCCAAAAGTACAACGCTGATGAGGCTCGTGCGCTCAAGCAGCAGGGAGAGTTGCCCGAGTCGGCCAAGATCAACGAGACCGACACCTTCGGCGAAGAGGAGGGCGGCGAAATCGAGTTCCAGGAAGGTAGCGATGATGACGAGGATGACAGCGACGATGATGAGGATCTTGACGATCTCTAGGCTGCTCGCGACGATTTACACTTGGATGCAGACACAAGATCATATTAGCCAATACAGCTCGAAATCGAACCGAACTCAGCTTGGCTGCGTCTCCATTGTCAGTCGCTGCAGCACTCATCACCGTGCCTGCCGCTTTTCACCTGGTTCGTGCTCTCGCACTTACCCGCTCAAAACGCTCAATAGCCTCCAGCAGCTGCGACTAGAGCAGTTGTCAGTAGTCCTGCTCCTTGGCAACCCTCTTTACCGTCTGCAACCGACGACCACACGTCACACCCCGTTGTACCATATACATCAACCCTCATGCCCATCTCAAAAAGATCAGAACCATTCCCACACTTTGACTCTGTTTCCAGCTCTTTGGTATCATTCTCAGGCATGAGCAAAGTCTCTACGCCCACGGATTCTCAGCATCCTCTTCATCCACTCTACCGTTCTGAACGGGAGAAAGCACTCTTCCGTGCAGAAAAGCCTCGTTCTCCTCCACATCAATTCTACTACTCAACAGCACATCTCCTTCTTTATCGCCGCTGTTCTTCGCTGTGCCGTGCTTGGTCGAGTTCTCCAGTTGAACATTGACTTTCTTTCCTCCCCCACTCTTCTCTTTCTTCTTACCGTCCGTGGAGCTGGACTGAACGGTAACAGCAGCAGCAGTAGACGAAGGAGGGTTGAGCGGTGTTGATGGTGAGCCGTCTCTTTCGATCACCTTGTGCGGCGGCTTTGTGGAAGAAGGGGCGTGTTCGGTGTTGGGAGTGGAAGAGCCAGAGTGAGGTGGTGTAGGGATGTATTGCTTTTTGAAAATGCGGGTTCCTTTGCCTGCGCGTAGCGCTGGGTCACCACGACGTCGTTCGAGAAGTCGCTCGCGTTCTTCGGCTTTGTAGTCTTCGATAACGAGATCGACTGCTCCGTATGGGTTGTGTTCTTCTGGCTCCTTTTCCTCCTCCGAGTCTTTACATTTGTCGTCTTGTTTCGGAGGGGTTTCAGCAGAGCCGTTCTGCTTAGAACCTTCCTTGGGTTTGGAGTTGTCCTCGGAAGCTTCGGGTGAGTCGTCTGGCTCTCGATCCCATGAAAGCCACGGCGACTTGGACTTGCGCTTCTCGGCCTCGTCCTTGCTCTCGCCGTCCTTACCGTCTTTGCTTGACTTTTTGCCCTCCTTTACATTCCCATCACCCGCTTTGCCCTTTGCTTTACCCTTCGCTTTACCCTTCGCTATTCCATCCCTAACGCCATTAGCTCCCTGTGCGTCCTTTCCACTACCTTGCGAAGGACCACGATTCGAGCTCCCCTCTACCCCATTCTCAAACTCTCGCACCTCTTGACGAGCTTTATCAAGCGCACCCTTATCCTTCTTCGAAATTGTACCTCTCCGTTTCCTTCTGTGCACAATATCATCATCCTGCTCCCACCGATTATTCCTCGCCTGCTCACGCATGATGTCAATGTTAGGATATGCGTAATCACCAAAGTTGAGCGCTCTTGAACGCTTATATGCATCTTCCTCATCCTCATCCGGATCGTCGAACCTCAAGTCCTCTGCCTCCTCATCCGAATCAAGCTGTCGCTCAGCAAAGAAGTCCAGCCCTTCACCTGCGTGCCGTACAGCACTTCGAGCTGCGTCTCTCGGATGGCGCAGGAGAGGGCTTCGTTCAGAATGTTCTTGTTCCTGAGCTAGGTCTGGATCTTCGTGCACGATTTCGTCGGCTTCAGCGGGAGTGAGGGGGGCATGACCTTCAAGCTGCATGCGTTTGTCATTGATGTATCTGCGGAGCTTCTTGAGTGGACCCTGGTGACGGGCGCCTCGGGTGGCATCGCGTATATCGCCCGTGCCTCGTTGAGGCAGCCAGTACTTGCCTTTGCCTCCTTGTGTATAGCGCAGACCGGCTTTGGATCTGCGTTCACGAGCAAGCGGTTGATGGATCACTCCTTCGCTCGGTTCGAAGGTTTGATAGACGTATCCGGTGCCTCGGACGGTGGTGAGACTGTCAGAGAAGACGTCGTACATGCCAATGCAGTCTCGTAGAGCGTAGTAGACGGGTAGTCGAGCTGCAAAGTGTGCGAATGGATCGATATAGTCTGTGTGCGAAAAGGCGTATGCGTGAGCAAGTGCGAAGATGGGCATCTCCAAACAGATCATGAAGTCTTGAATGGCCATTGAGATGTACTCTGGGTCATAAACCGGTCCGACTTTCTTAATCAGTCCAGCAGCAACGAGAATCGAGATACCAAGACCCTGCCAGAAGGAGAAAAAGATGATGCCTTTGATGCAGAGGAACTTGGACGTAACACGGAAAGGCTTGAGATCGTCGTTGAGGCACTTCCAGAACATGCCTAGACAGTAGAGCGAGAGAAAGACGGAAAGGTTGTAGGCGAAAGACACCCATGTGTAGCCGTTGGTTGGTGAGATTTTGCCCTCTTCGTACTTTCCAGCAGCTTTTAGGACGAGTGTTGCTACTGCGAGAACAGGTTTGACCTGAACGTATTGCAGGACGCCACGTTTGAGCGCAAGGAAGGTATATGGATCCGATGCGTCCATGTCATGCAAGAGGAGGTTGACAGGGAAGATGTGTTCCTGTGGTCTTCTACCATGGAGAAGAACAATGAGACTGCGCTCTCCGCCGAGATACTCGATTAGAAGGTTGAAGAAACAGTAGATGACGAATGCTTCGTAGAGGTCGCGGAAGAGGTCGATGATGTCGGCTAGCTGAAGCGAGTAGAGTGAGATGACCGATGCAATAGAGTAGATCGGTACCATTAGAAGGAGACGGACGACATAGCGCTGCAGAGTAGGCTTGCGATAGTTCTTGAGCTGTTTCCAGATGAGAAAGACGGAGAAGAGGGTTGCGAAGAATGCGGCAAGTGTCGACATCACGAGGAGAGGCATGGGTAGTGATCGTCCTGAGCCGCTACCTTCCGGGGGCTCATGCTCGGGCTGTTTGGCCTTCGCGAGTGACCTCGCTAGCTGCAACGGCAGCTCCACTGCTCGTAGGTGTGGCATCGTGGGCGAGCCTGTCTACACGCACGCAGACGAATGCAAGTGATGAGAGTGCAGTGATGGGGGTGTCGGTGATGGAGACCGTCGATGAGGCCGCTGTTGTCTTGATCACTTTGACAGCATCGCTGGGTGAGGTAGGACGGTTAGGAGCCGCTTTGACGTTGTTCAACGTAGTTGTGTGGTACGCCGGTCAAGGTGGAGCGAAGGTCGAAATGGCAAGCGAGCAGCGTCAGGGTCGTGCAAAGCTGAGTTTCTCGATGATGAGGCTGCTGCAGAAAAGCACACTTCTCCTCCACATACTCTGAGAAGAGAGAGAGAGAGAAGAGAGAAGGGTGCGAAAATAGCAGTTGAAGATGCACCGACATCGCCAACGCGTGATGTATTAAATAGGAGCTCACAGGATCGGGGAATCGGGAAGGCATCAGGCGATGAGGAGGACAAGCAGAATGCGAAGCTAGTGGGAGCTAACGCAGCCTATGCACGAGGATTGACACCATGGTATGCAGGGAATATGTTGATATGACAACACTTATGAAAGAAGATACGTGGCACATGGGCATGACTCGACATAGGGAGCACAGTCAGGTGCCAAGAATATGTATATATGCCCTTAGCTTAGTCATTACCTCCTTACAAAATTCAAGCCTTTCACATAGTAGCATCAGACTAAAGGAGTGCCTGACCGTGGCCTCCTGAGTGGTGTATCTAATTCCAACTGGCTCCCAACGTGGGGCTCGAACCCACGACATTCAGATATGGCAGGAGATAACGACCGCCAAGCCAGCACGGGTGAAGCAGCCAAGAGGACAAGAAAAGGTAAAACACCACAACGAGTACAAATTGACGAAGAGGTCACTGACGGTAACGAAACCGAGTATTTTGACAATGAGGATGAAGGAGGATCAGAATCGGACGACGATGACGACCGATACAATTACCGCACCTTGGCCAAAATCTTGGAGACGGTTCCCAAGCTCACGTCATGCAACTACTATAGTTGGAGCACACTCATCAAGGCCAACCTCCGAGTAGTCCCTCATGCCACACGACACTTAGAGGGCATGTACAATAGAAACCACCCGAAATGGAACAGAACTTTTGACAACGCCCTAGTGGGTGTCCTACGAAGCACCTTAGACACTGAAGGAGAGTACAACGTCCTTTACCTCCTACTCGACATCAGCAAGAATCACCTGACCTGCCATCAAGCTTGGAAGAAGATTGAAAGGAGTCTTACCAGCGAGGCAGCTAGAACCTCGCGATGGATAGCATTACTTGCTGAGCTCAATGAGACAAAGATGTTTCATGCTGATGCCCGTAAGCTAATCAAAGAGATCAGGGTCATACAGATGGAAACTAGCCTCCTAGGTGCCCCATTTAGTAATGATGCACTATATTCCGCGCTCCAGAGGTGCACGATTCGACACCCGGTCTACAAGGAGATGGTCGCCACGGTTCACCAGGTCAGCTTCAATGCTCTAGCAACGGCGTTGACTACACGCCAGTCTGCAATAGAGAGTGTACCTGGTCAGAAAGTGGACCCACGTCAAGCAAGTGCTAGAATGGCTGGGGGAAACAAAGAGCAGGCCGAAGACACTGAGTCGGACACGGGCAGCACAAAAACCAAACCAAAGAGGATTCATTGCTGGGTATGCAAGCGCTACAGACATGGCGCCAGCAAATGCGATGCTTCCATTGCCATCCCTGAAAATTCCCCCCTCACCAAGACCAACTAGGAGGTCTGGTGCTCTTTCACCCCGAGTTGGCAGCAGCTCCCAAAGTCAGAAGGAACCACATGTTGGATCTTGGATTCGGGAGCGAGCTACCACATGGTTAATGACCACAGCATGCTCATCCATCCAAGAAATTGCAGAAAGCGCGTGTATACCGCTGGAAGCGAAGTGCTGGAGGCAACTGCTGTGGGAGATACCAACATAGCAACAGAACATGGAGACGTTTATCTCCAAAATGTGTTGTATGTTAAAAGACTCAATATTAACCTGTTGTCAACCAACTCACTGACAGATGAGGGAGCACGTGTGACTTTAGACCCTACAGGCGGGCAAATACACCTGGCAAATGGTATGCTATTGAAAATAGCGAAAGATCGCGAGCATGGACTACTAGAGTTCTGAGGCGACACATGGCGACAAAGCACGATGACTACATCAACACCGCTGTTTGAAGGGGTTGATGAAGAGTTCGAGCTGGCCGATCGGAGACCAAAGATCTCCACAAGACAGCTCTGGCATGAACGTTTAGGACATCCAGGTCAAGACAAGTCCAGAGCGATTGTTGATAAATTGAAAGGCGAACCTGTAGCAGCATTGGACCCAGATACAGCTCTGATATGTGAGCAGTGTATACGGTCCAAAAGTACAGCTGCCCGGATGGGGCGAGGCAGCGGCGAAACAGCCACAGGGCCCCTAGATCTCATCCACATCGATCTGATCATAGACTCATCCCGCGTGACAGAATACACATGCACATTGGTGCTGGTCGACGACCATAGCAAGTATGTGCACGCACAACCACTCTTACAAAAGAGCCATGCATTCACACAACTCAAAAGAACAGTTTCGTTCCTAGAGACACAGATGGGCAGAAAGCTGAAAGCAATCCGATCTGATCAAGGAACTGAATGGAAGACCAATGAAGCATTGGAATGGTCACTAGAAAAGGGCATAGAATGGCAAACTACTGTCGGTTACAACAGCAGGCAAAACAGACAAGTAGAACGGATGAACAGGAGCCTGGGTGAAAAAATGCGAACACTGTTGATGCAAAGGAGTTTACCAAAGAGATTTTGGCCGCATGCCATACGAGCGGCGGCATTCAAGATCAACCTTACTCCCAACGTTGATGGAGAGTTTCCATATCAGCTCATGTTCAAGAGATCACCAAAACGATTCATCCGCCTCATGTGTGTATTTGGATGCCTAGCTTGGGTAAACATTCCAAAAGCTAAGCGAAACAACAAGAAGCTGGACCAGTGAGCGGTTGCAGCCATATTCATAGGGTACAGCTTGGAAAGAAAGGGATGGCTATTCTATAGCCCTGATTACTCTCCGAACATTTTCTGGAGCAACTCGGCAAGGTTCATGGAGACACAGTGTTGGTCAGACCGATCAGAATGGCGACCAATAAGTATCCAACCTCCACCAGTCCCAACTATTGAAGAGGACCTCGATGATCTGGGATACACAGAAGAGAACCTATTTGATGAGAGAGAGCGAGAGCCTTTGGAAGAGCACGTGGACATGGAACTAACCCTCGAAGAGGAGGGACTCGGAGGGCCACACTGTGATGATGAGAACCCTAACGGGATACCAGAGGAAAGGAGAACAATGAAGGAGAGGGAAGAGTATGTACCGGTGCCACCCGAGAAGAGAGGCCCATGGCCAAACTGGAGGCCAGCTAGAAACATGCGCAACCCAGAGACCTGGGTAAAGAAGAGTCACTTCGGGTTGACAGCAGCCAAGGTCAAGGAAGGAAAGGACAACCTGAACCAGACGAGCGATTACCGCTTAAATTTAGGAGGAGCGCACAGGAGTCACGCAGACCAACCGGTGGTTACGTATACTGATGCAAATTGGGCTTCTGACCCTACAAATGGGCATAGGAGTACGTCTGGAGCAATCACATATGTGTATGGATGTCCGGTTAGTTGGAAATCACATGTACAGAAGTGCGTGGCACTATCGGCAGTGGAAGCAGAACTGGTCGCAGCCTCCGAAGCAGCAAGAGAAGCACTCTTCTTCTCACATTTACTCAGGGATCTAGGAGTATTCGGAGTCAAGCCAATGCTGTGCACTGATAGCCAGGGGTGCATACAAGTCAGTAAAGATCCGGCCAAACACTGGAAACTCAAACACATCGATACCAGATACTACTTTGTTAGGGATCATGTGCAAGATGGTGACATATCAATTGAGTTCGTCAGAACGGCCAACAATGTGGCTGACATACTCACGAAACCTCTCAAGGGACTCAACACGACAAGGATATCAAGAATGATAGGATTGGATATGCCGTTGAGGGGGGGAGTTGAAGATGCACCAACATCGCCAATGCGTGATGTATTAAATAGGAGCTCACAGGATCGGGGAATCGGGAAGGCATCAGGCGATGAGGAGGACAAGCAGAATGCGAAGCTAGTGGGAGCTAACGCAGCCTATGCATGAGGATTGACACCATGGTATGCAGGGAATATGTTGATATGACAACACTTATGAAAGAAGATACGTGGCACATGGGCATGACTCGACATAGGGAGCACAGTCAGGTGCCAAGAATATGTATATATGCCCTTAGCTTAGTCATTACCTCCTTACAAAATTCAAGCCTTTCACATAGTAGCATCAGACTAAAGGAGTGCCTGACCGTGGCCTCCTGAGTGGTGTATCTAATTCCAACTATAGCACACCCAACTGCTACTCGCGTTATTCGCACTTTTGTTAGGCCGTCTTAGCTCACAAAGAGAGGAGTTTTCCGACATCGCGTCACAGTGCAGCTTTCAGGGGTTCACGAGACCAACACACCAACACCTCCCGCAAGTCAATCCCGCTTCTACATCTGCAATCCTTTTCACGAGATCCTGTTGTCTCCCCCGACCCACTCCGTGCTTCAACGACATGACGCAACCTCTTCATCAATCTTGAAAGTCTTTTATGAGGTCCATCTGGCTGCTCGGGTGAAGCCCACCTTCTCTACGATCAACACTCTACAAGATGAGCTTGCTCAACGATCTTGCCAGCAGCACATCGGCACTGATCTGGGGCCCGCCAGGTAAGCTCATCCACGCTGAGTTGGCTTGCGTATAACAAGAGCAGGCCTGTAACTGATCGATCTCTTCTACCTCTCTTGAAGCAGCCCCTGCCGCCAAAGACCCTCCGCCTCAGCCAGCCAGGCGCGCTTCCATCTCGAAGCCCCTCTCACCGCCTCCGACACCATCGAGAAAGGCAATACTCCTCAAGTCGAATCTGGGCCTCGGCAACCCTAAGAAAGAGACAATGGCAACCGGCGAGCAAATCACCAAGTCGAAGCTGGAGGAGCTGCCTCTGCCTCCGCCACCAGAAGAGGAGACCAGCAAAACGGCTTCGTCCGTGTTGCTCGACACAGGAACTTCAGCTTTGAGCTTGCTGGGAAGCGCTGTGATGGGTATCGGCTCAGCCGCTGTCTCTGCCTTGAGCTCTGCTCCAAGTGACACCACTGGCTCGGCTGCAAAGCCAGAGACACCTTCAAAGGACGCCTCTAAGGACGAGCAAGTGAAGGAAGCACCGCCAGAGACCTTCCTAGGTTCGATCTCAAATGCAGTCCTCGGCCGTGCTGCTTCGGTGCGAGATGCAGCCATTGATTCGGTAACTGGTGCTTCCTCTTCCCTCGCTAGCTCAGCCGCTCATGCCATCGCCGATACAGCTACTTCAATCACTGGAGCCTCTCCTTCTCCACCGTCTCCTGCCAATGATGCTGACCCAAAGCAACTGCGCCGAGCATCCACCCTCCCAATCCAATACACAGCTACCGGCGAGCCCTTCTCCCCAAACCCTAGCATCTCTGCCATGCAACGCATCCCAGACCATCCTTGCGGGAATGTCCACAACCATCGTACACCTCTAGCACACTGTTGTTCAGCACCAGACGTCTTGACCACGGTAGAGGAGGATGAGTGCACTTGCAAGTGTCACGCCCTCGCCCCCGAGAGCGCGAAAGACGAAAACGGAAAGTCGAAAGAGGAGGAGTGCAAATGCGTCTGTCACTCAAGGACAGCGTATAACAAGGGTGAATCGGGACACTTCCATCGAGTAGAGCAGCTCGTTAAAGGTACAAAGAGGGTCGTTCGGGATATTAAGAACGTTCTCTGACCTCTCACGACAATCGCACCACTTGCACGTAGACATCTGATGATGCGTTTACGATCTAGATTGAATGATAATCATACAATTACACGGCCCTGCTCCGGAATGCCATACCAGCGCGGGCCAACAAGGGAGACTGACTGTGTGGACCTCGTCTATATGTAAACCAATTGTCCTTTCAGACGAGCTGTTACAAAGATAAGGACCGGTAGTGCAACCTACTAGGGTTAGAGTTAGGGCCATATGATTAGAACCGACCAGCATCCATCATCTGAGCTTCGATTTCAAAAGCAGTGCTTGCAAAGTTACCTCGCTCACCATTGCTCTGCTGCTGTTGCGAGCTAAGCCCACTCTGTCCACTCATCGACTGCTGATTGTTCCCGCTTCCATCGCCAGATCCCTGATTCATGTCACTGAAATATGCATCCCAGTTAGCAAAATCCAACGGAGCCCCAGGGATGCCATCTAACATACTCGCGTCCATCCTAGACCCGAACAACCCGGCTGCATCATTTGCAGCTGAAGCATTGCCGTTCGAGCCTGCAGTCCCGCCAGCTCCCCCAGCACTATCTGAGTTGAGATTGCTGCTTGGGTCGAAGACGTCTGCTGGAGCCCAATAAGCGTTGTTGAGATGAGGGTTGAAGTTGAAGTTGGGACTGGCGGGGGAGATGGCGTTCTTGGCCACGGAAAGCTGCGTGCCTGATGAACTGAAACCGAGGTTGGTCATGTTGCTGAAGTAGTTGGTGTTCTTGCCAGAGCCGGTTGCTGAGATGTCGGACTTGGATCCAGACTGGGAGATGGCTCCGAAGAGGTTGGGGTCGAGGAAAGAGTTGCTCGCGCCCATGGCGTCCAGTACGATTGGGACCATTGTCAAGAGTCGTGTGCCCGAGCGTGTGACAGGTCGACCTTCGGCGTCTTGATAGACGTCGCCACCAAGATGCGTGAGGTTGAGCAATGCGTCGGCGCCAGGACCATCGCTAGATGTCATGTCACTAGTGTCAGTAGGAGCAGACTTGGCATAGGGTGGAACAGCGCTCGTCAGCGTCGACGAGCCAGTTGGCTGAGAAACTGCTGCAGTCGATGCGGATGCATCCGCGCCAGAATGCGATGGCACTGCGGATGTGCTGACCGAGTTGAGCATTGCAAAGCCGCCATTTGCAAAAGTTGCTGCAAAGCCATCTGGAGCGTCCTTGTTGATGGACAAGCCCAAAGCGGCTCGATACTGGTCGTAAGTCTGCCAGCCTCCGTTCTGGTCGTTTCCAGTCCGCACCAACGCTGGAATGCGACGGCCATCCTGGTTCTCCTGCATGATAATCGTACCCTTTGGCAAGTCACGCAAGACCAACCTTTGCTCGGCAGCAACGTAGACACCGCCACCCGGTCTCGAGGCATCCGACTTGAAGACTATCCCGCGTACATTCTCTCGAGACTTGCGGTTGGTAACACCAGCAGTCGGGTTGAGTGTTCCACTCGAAGGTGTGTTGGCATAGACACCAACAGCGCTATCGCAAAGTAACGAGATGACACTCGCAGCCTTGCCGCGCATGCCGACGTCATCTGCATCGTGGTTCTCGCGGCGGTAGCGACCGAAGATGTTGTTGAGCTTCTTGAGCTGATCCTGTGCGTTCTGGTCTCCACGACGAATGAAAGCGTGATACTGAACAGTCGCGCACGAGACGAGGCAATAGGAGACGATCTGCATCGTGTCGAGGTAGAAGTCATTCTTGTCGACCCATGAGATGGCTTCGGTCGAGTACTGGATGAGAGAGCTCATCCTCTCGATTGTCAGACTGAACTTGAGATGCATCGGGCAAATGTACGAGATACGCATGAATACGCGGAAGAAGAGCATCATCAAGCACGCATAGCCGACGTGCAAGATACCTGCTGGTGCATTCGAGTCGGCGCCTTTGAAGATGAGTTCTTCGGGCAGCGCTGCTTTCCAAGCATCGATGTCTCGAAGCAAGCTCAAGATCTCCTCGTCCGTGGCGTTCATGAGACCGGTCGGGCTGTAGATGGTTTTCATGACTCGACCGAAGAGAATAGTGAGCTTGAGCATTTCGGTGTTGTATGCGAAAGGTCGTTTGGTGGCAGGATCAGAGGGTAAGTCATGGGACGATCGAAGGATCTCGTAAGGCGAGGGCAGGCGTACGTCGCAGTCGGTCAAATCAATCATCATGGGATGACCGAGCGAGATACTCTGAAGTCGATCGGCTGTCACACAGCATCCCCAGATACGGCGCTTCTGCTCGAGAAAGAATGCATCTTGGGAGAAGTCGTCCTTGCCGCTGGCATCACGATGCAGACCAAGATCCTGCGCCATGCGGATGGCAGCACCAGTACGGTTCCAGCATCGTGTACCGCTTTGCAAAGCAGCAGGTCCGTGCAGATCAGCGTGCAATGACATGACCAGCAAAGCGCGAACAGTAACAGAGTTGGACGAGGAGAGGAAATCGTTCTCGCGGAAGAGCGCGGTGATCGTCATCTTTACGGCGCCAAGGACCTCCTTCGGCACATCTCGGCTCAGTGCCGATACACCGCATATGGCATAGAGCAACAAAGGTGGTGTTGGCGAGAGATGAAGAAACTCGGACTTTGTGACGACAGGGAAGAGTGTTGCAATCTTCTCGAAGTAGGTGTTGGCCAGCTTTTCTGCTACATCTCCTGCGAGACGACCCTTGATAGATCCAGGGATGCGCGTCACTTCTTTTTCGTCGGGATCAGCGAGACCGACACCGTCTTTGCCAGCTTCAGAGGCGCCAGCGTCTCTGCGTGCTCGGTGAAAGCGGATGATACCATCGCCACTTGCACCGACTTCGAAGGTCTGGTTGTGCTTGATGTCGTGAGCTTCAATGGCGGCGCCTGGGATGAAAGCGGTAGAGTGAACAATGTAGGCGATCGAAGTGGGTCCTAGCACACGAGTGTCAGGAGGCGGTGTGCGCGATGGACTCCTTCGCTGCGATTGTTGCAACTGAGTGCCAGCTTGGGACTGAGCGCCTCTTTGGGAGCTCTGTACATGATGCGGCAAGCCAGGGATAGGCCATGCTTGCTGATTGGGTGCGAATTGTTGCATAGCATGGAAACCAGCCGGGTTATGAAGAGCACCCATGTACGGCTGTGTGACCATTCCGCCCGGATAAGCGGGATGTCCGACAGCGTATCCGCCAGCATGCATCGGTACTACACCGGGCATCATGCTACTGACGCCAGAAGCGGCTGCAACGGCTGCCTCTTCGGCCTCCCTCTGGTACTTCTTCTTGAAGCGTGTCTCTGTGATGGGAAGGAAGAAGGTGCACTCGAAGCCATACTGGCGACAGTGGGCGCAAACCAAACCGCCGTTTCCATTGTTGATGGAACCAGCGGGTGGACCGCCATCATCGATAACATCACAGCGGATCTTCTTGCGACGACACGAATCGCAGGCACGCGCTGTCTTGATGCGCTTTCCCGAAGGCTTTTCAGCGGAGTTGGGTGTAGACTTGCCAGTAGCAGAAGCGTCTTTACCATTGGGTGCATCGCTAGCATAGTTGAGCGGGCTATCATGGGTAATATGAGATGTCAGATGCGGGCTGGAATCGTTCTTCATGGCAGGTTCCATGTCGGAATCTTTGCGCTTGGTGCCTCGGCTGTTAGGTGTACCTGCTGAGCTCGAAGGTGTTTGACCCGATGTGTCGATCGGTGGGTGGTAGCCGAAAGAGTCGCTCATCTTGAAGAGTTCGGGGTAGAGGAGGACAGGATGCTGTTGACGGGGACGGAAGCGGTCAGCGGGAGAACGTTGGTATTAGCAAGACTTAGCCAAGCCTGTTGGCTGAAGGATCTGGTTTGGGTATAGAGCCTAGCGGGCCAGCAGAGCGATGCTTCCGGCTTGCGCAGCCTTTGGGCTCTAAGCAAAGGTGTTGGGTATAGCGCGGCACCAAAGAGCAGCCCCGTTGACGTTTAGCAAGATCGCAGGTTTGGCATTCCCAACGGTAGTGTTGAAAGAAATGCTTTCTCTTCAAGAGGTGAACCCTGCAGCCCGTCCAGCAGTGTCAGCGCGATGTTTCTGTAAGCCTTGAGCTGCGTTGACTCGATAGGCTACCGTCTATTTTGTGATGGCGGTTCCAAGGCAAGTTTGGCGAATTGTCGGTCTTGACTTGCGATTGATAGTGGATGTCGACAATAAGGATCGTGGATGCAACTTGCACGAAAGATACTCCAGGTCTGACAAAGATAGCGACTCTTGTGTTAGGATGATCGTTAAGCGTTTACTTGGGCTCGAGCTGAGTGGAATAGGACTGGTGGGGAAGGTCTGGTAATATAGAATGCAACAACGTGGTGAGGTCGGAAGGGGCAAGATGGGAGCTGATGATGGTGAGGAGTGTCCGTGAGACAAAGAAGGTCGGGAGCAGGTGCGAGTGAGTGTGGGTCCAAGGAAGGCCAAGGTTTGAGACACAGAGGACAGGCACGTCAGGTCAGGGTGCAGCCAACAGATAAAGAAACTCAAAGAGGGCGTCAGTGCGTCTCACAGTCTCGTCTGCTGCTGGCTGTGTCTGAGAGACAAGTGTGGAGAGGGTGCAGCATCGGATGGCCCGGTGATTGGATGCCCTTACCGCCAGAGAGCTATTCACAGAGTCTGGCACAGTCGCCCTCAATTCTCTCACACAATAGAAGCTCATGCTCGTGCTCGTGCTCATGCTCATGCTCATGCTCATGCTCAAGCTCAAGCTCAAGCTCCAAGGGCAAAGGCAAGGGCAAGGGCAGTAGTCGCATTCAAAGTAAGTGTCTTGATGAAATTAAATTCGAAATAGAAATCACAGAATTGTTTGATGATGTGCGTTCCTTGTTTCGGTCAATCCGACATTCGGGTTGAGCAAAGAGGCAGTTCAGCTGTGTGTCTCTTCTGTGCCTTGTTCGTATTTCGGCTATAATGTGCAGCAAGATCGATGTGCCTGCCCTCATTTGCACAGAGGGTAAGTGAGCAAGGACTAGGAACAAAGCGAAATCACTTGTTTCACAGCAAATACTGTATCTTCACCGTCTCGCTGCGTTGCTCTTTCTGTCCTTCTCTTCAACCAGATCCTTCGAGATAAATCAGCAACCGACCACACTTTGGCATACAGGCAGACTTGGATCGACGCCAGCTTTAGCGTCTTCTCCAGCTGCTGCCATGAGACCTCAGAGCCTCATGCTCAGGTTAACCAGGCGGCCTTGACACTATCTCTGAGAACGTTGGACTGAGATGAGTCGAGTGTCTCCTGCAGAGCTCCTGAGTCGTTGCCATGTCAATCTTGAGGCATTTCACATGCCTGATTCAGCTCGTGAATAAGCAGCGTTCGCTTTTCATGAGCTTCGCCCCACGTTGGATAAACCCTGGAAAATTTCCAGCGTATCTTGAACCCAAAAAAATCTGCTCTTAGATCGGATCATCATCTTCTCAAGAGACCAAATCGGGGGATTCCAGCCACATCACTATACGTCTCGCTAGTAGTAGTCGTATCGAATGTCCGTATTGCTCGTCGTTGCGCTCAAATATAATCGTCTGGGGTCGGATTTATTGTGTCACTGAGATTCGTCCAAGGTTGCCGTCAACAGCTCTTTTCCCCTCGGCCTGCTGCTGCAGATTGCCTCCAGCCAGCGCTTCCATTTCAGTCAAACTGACCGATGCTTTCCACCTTACCTCCCTAACCCTCTCATCCCCTTCCTTCCCATTCCTCTTGCCCCCACTGCCCCCCGCTTCGAGCGTCCGTAACTCAATCGCCCTTAAGCTAGGCTCTGCTTTCCTCTCCCTATGCAACTGCAAGAAGACCTCTTGACGTCTGAATATCCTACATGCAAAGATCGTACTTGCCACATTTGCTACCCTCACTGGCAAATACGGTATTGCACTATTCGCCGCGAACGCAACCGTACATCCTATCGCTCCGAGCTTTACAGCGATTGAAAAGATGCCGAAAAATGTTGCATCGGATAGCAACATGTGTATCACATCTCCCTTCTTTGGTGTTTCCCCCTGGCGCAAGATCGGTATGACAACGATTAGGGTGAGGATCACATCGATCACAACAGCAATTACTAGAGGAGCGCAAATCCATGCTGGTGAGACATAGACATTGCTAGGGCTTAGTTTTGGGTGTGATTCGATAGCGTTGGGATCAATGTCAGCGAGGAGCGTGATGAGGATTCCGCCTATCAGTTCGGCTGCAAGGAGTAGATGAATGGTGAGAGAGATAGGTCGCAGTCGCTCAAAGTGAATCACGAGTGCTCGGTAACCGAGGACAGCGGAAGTGGCGATCAAGTTGAGAGGCATAAAGATCGGACGTGACCAGTGGACGGCGTAGTGGTCCAGCGCGTGACCGTTGAAGAGAGGCAGAGTGAATAGGCAGAGGAAGAATAGGCCGATCAGGAGGCTATAGCGTGCGGTGAGGTAGGCGATGGGCATTGGTCGGAGCATGCGTTTGTGGATCATGGTCTGGATCAGACGGATGTCGAAGGATATGAACGACAGTATCTCTATGAAAAGAAAGGAGAAGAAGCACGACGAGTTCTGTCAGCGTCGAGATACCTGCCATCGCACAATGCTGTCGGGCAGAACCTACCTCCTGTAAAAACTCCAGTGAGAAGAGCAGTGACGTGCGTGTCAATTTGAAGGATGCTGACAGCGTCTTGCGACATCACTATGATAATCGCTGAAGCGCTTTGACTGAATCTGTTGCCAACTTGTTGCTGTAAAACAATCTTCAACGTTGAGCTGAGTATTCCCTGGTGTGTGCCAATAAGCGAAGCTGTTGATTCCACCGATCTTCCTGTGACGGCGAGGAAGAGGTCGAGACGACGTCGTCAGCCACCATTCCTTTTCCCCGACTAAGCTTTATAATGCAACCAGACCTGATTGCTGGCGGTGACCTGGCAGATAGGATTGTCGAGATCGTTCCGGCACATTTTTCCCGGTTGAACCTTGCTCTTGCCTGGTCGTCAAGCTCGGCGCAATAAACCATCGCTTCATGCCTGTTGTGTGGGCTGAATCAAAAGCTTAACGAACGCCACAAGTCGGCACAATCTGGAAGGCCGAGCGTCAAAGAGGGTGCGCTTTTTCATTTCTCACACAGACAAAGAACAAAGGAAGACGGAAAGATCTATACATGCTGAGATGAGAAAGATGACGATGCGGTTCTGCGGGAAAGGCTTGGTATTAGTCAATTTGTTCGACTGTCGGGCATTTCATGTGCTAAAGAAGCGGCGATTTGTTGTGCTGTGCTGAGTTACTCGGCCTGGTAATTGCATCAGAAGTAATGGAGTCGTACGGATAGTGGACAGCCTGGCAAGCCGGCGATTGGTGTAAAGCGCTTGTAATGAGAGAACGTGCTAGGCTGACTCCGATGGAGATATGACCAACCCACCTATCTCCTGTTGGTGTGGGCAATTGCAATCACTCCACATCTCGGAGTCACTGTATGCAATCTGACGCTCAGATCCACACACAGGCACAGACTGGTTGTACATTCGCCATGGCTTGAATGATCGGAAGAGGTAATCGCAGCGATCTCTGCCCCAAAATTGAGTCTTTGTTTATATGATGATACAACTACAATGATAAGAATGGTAAGAGCGATAGAGCTGATCGTTCCCATGCAGCGAGGGCTGCCTTCGTTCGTTGCCAACGCCTTCGTTTCGTTTTGAGTAGCGGGTCAGCTCTACAAGCTTGAAGCGATGGCACCCTAAGCACCACGGGCCTTAATAGCCATCACCAACTGAACCTTCTTCCTGACCATATCCGCAAACCTTCTCCGGTGCCTTTCCGACTTCTTCCTCCTCCTTTCTGCATTTGGCTTTTCGTATCTCTGCTGCAACCTCAACTCCTGTCTAACGTTGTTCCTCTTGAGCAGCACAGCGAGTTGGGCGTAAGCACGCGAAGGGTCAGCTTGTGGGGTGACGCGAATGCTGCGTCCACTGAAAGGTGTTGCCGGCCAAGAGGGCTCGCCGTGGACTGCACGAGCTGCCCAGTCTGCTTCGAGGTCTTCGACATAGCCGCGGCGACCATCGGATGGGCGAGAGTGACGACCAGTACCTTGGATGGTCTTCTCGTAGGAATCGGTGAGAGAGTCCAATATGGCTGTGTACGCTGATACGGCGGCTGTGGTTGGTTTTGAGGACAATGGCTTGTCTGCAGATTGGAGTGAGGTGGAAGCGAAGGTGCGGCAGAGCATGCTGATGTCGCTAGAGGTTTTAGAGGGACCAGCGAGGGCGACTCGTTGAGAAGGAACGACCAATACGACAGCCCGTATAGGCCGTGCCACTGCGTTACGCAGCTGAGACATGATATTGTATGCGATGTGGTGATTGGCCGTTCCGAATGATGGTCTAATGGAATCAAGGTTGTGAGGTAGTGAGTGTACTAGATGAAGGTGTGGTTGTTCTGATGGTGTTGGAAGAAAGCTCGAATCCAAATTTTTGGCTTGACAGAGCTTCTCAGCTTTCGGATCCGAGACAAATTTTTCTGGGCCAGGGTTTCCGTTGTTAGACTTTGGGCTTTCACAACCTCGACAAATTCGGCCACTTAGATCCACCACGCAAGCCCTGGAGCATTTATTCTGTCATTAACCACACATTTGGCGGACGACATCACTGATGCAGTACGATGGAATGACAAGGTGTACAGTACAAATACATAGAATCAATCCCTGAGCCTGTAGTCGTCAAACGAGTCCAAATCCGACTCGCGGTTCCATCCAGATTGACGTAGTTGTTTCACTTCGATCAACCACTCGCGAGCCGAATCGCTAATGTCAGATTTGTTGACAAGGTAGTCAATCCTGTTCATTGCCGCCTCTAAGCTCTTGTAACCTTGATTCTCTTGCAGGTTTACATCGACGTTTCCGGCCTTCATTTGGTTTTTTGAAGACGACGCAGTCGGACTCGATCCCGCCTGACTCATGGCCGGTTCTGCGGGGGAAAGAGAGACATGCTTCGATTCTGTCTTCCGATCTAGCATCTCGCCCACCGTAATGAGAAGGGCACAGGCGCATTCGATCTCCCATGCGGAAGGGATGTCGAGATGTACAGTGCCTGTCAAGAAGCGGTCGAGCCAACTGGTCAACACTGAGGGACCAACGACCTTGTGAAGGGCCAACTCTCCAATGTACCTGACCACGTCGATGCCGACAAATTGATCGCGCCGGTTGCCTTCCTGTGCTTGCTTCTTGACCCATCGTGCTCGTCTTTCCCATGCGCTCGGCCCTGCAGAGGAGGAGGGATCATCATCGCTGTTCCTGACATCACCAGTGAAGTCTGGAAAGCTGGGAGGACCTCTGCCAGGGAGAGCAAGCTTATTGTACATGTCGGTCAGAGCAAGGCCGCGATCAAGTATCTTGTCGAGCTCCTCGTTGAGCACACGTAAGAAGGTTTGACCGTGTTTAATTCGCTGGTGGGTATCGCTGGGAACATTGGCGAGGCGGCAACAATAGTTCATAGCCTTGTCAAAGTCCTCGAGGATCCTGGCCGAGACGAGAGCAAGACTTGAGGCGGTAGCGTAAGGAGCCAGTGTATCGTCGAGCAAGTGGAAGAAACCAGTGATGGTATGTCTGAAAAGCTGGCTACTGATGGCGCGGAAAGTTGGCAGTCCGAGTTCGGAATCAGGGTCCTCGACAAAGGAACACAGCCTGCAGATGGAGGTAGTGAGATATCGAAGCAGCTCGACGTTGAGAGGACGTGCGCATTTGCGGACATCCAGGTACTTGGCGAGAATCTCGTCGATACCGTCCTCTACATTGGAGAGATCTGCGATGAGGCCGCGAAGTAGTGAGTTGCTGTACAGCGGTGCATTCGAGTCTTGGGCATCGACGCTACCGTTGGCTTTTCTTCTGAGCAGGCGGTCGAGATGCGGCTCGGGCTCAGGAGTAGGCGGGCGGATGGTGATTCTCGGCACTTGCATAACCGGCTTCCTTGGAGCAGGATGGCGTACTGGCGTTGGTGATAGTGGCGAGGAGGAGAGAGCGGGAGACTCAGACCTCCTGCGGACTTCGGAGTGTGACCTCTTCACCACCTTTGTGTTCTGCTGAACGGCTTCGAGCGCGTTCCGCTGTCGCTTCTCAGCAGCTGCCGAAGCCAACTTGGGAGAGCTTAAGCGCTTTGCAGCAGCTACTTCTGCGCTAAGGGCCATTGCTTTGACTGGCCTTGGCTTGGGTTTAACCATGGTGAGCAAAGGGCAGCGCTTTTCAGGGGTGAGTTGCGGCTTGGAGGAGCATCTTGGCGAGCGAGTCGCAACTTCGAGCGAGCTGTAGAGACTTTCGATGGTGCGAGATTGGTTGGCGGATGAACGTGTGAAGGAAGGTGTGCTGAGTTGCGGATCAAAGGAAGAGAGCTGAGCGGTTGTGCGCAGCGAAGTGTAGAACGTGTTTTGAGACTTGACAGTATAAGGGTTGGGACGTGTGGCGACGTTGGGACGTGTCACCAACCTCTCCGGACTACTGGAGAAGTGGAAAGGATCGTGATGATGATGCATCGAGCGAGGAGGATGGTGCAACATGATTAATATCGGAACAGAAGACTGCGGAGTTGAGAGCGAACAAGAAGTGGAAGATCGTCCCCTCCTCGACAAAGATTGTGAACTCGAACGCAAGTAAGCGCGTTGGTGGGTGCAAAAAGAAGCGAGATTGACTGCAGAGCGCAGCGTGGCGGCAGAGCGAGATGAAGTCGCAGCGGATTAGACAATATGGATGCGGAAAGGAAGCCTTTCACTCGTCTGGTGGCTGCTTCAACTTAAGCTTATGGCCTATGCGCTCTGAATATATGCTGGGCAAATGAGTGTTGTGGAAAGGATAGCTTTTGAGAAAAGTTGAGATGAGATGAACCGGTCGAGCACTTCCGAACGCGGGGGGAGAGGTGAAGAGAGGAACAGGACGGTAAAGGCTGAGCTCAGAGAGAGAGAGAGAGAGAGAGAGAGAGAGAGAGAGAGAGAGAGAAAGAAAAGGGAAGAAAGGAGAAGGGTGGGAACGGCATCGACAAGAGCATTGACAGCATCTTTATAGACAGAGAACAAGGTTGAGCTCGAGGCTGGTGAAGCAGTAGAGTTAAGCTTAGGTTCGACATGCATGATCCCACCGAGGCAAAGCTAAGATCGAGCATAGAATATTCAGGCATGTGACTGGAAGAGGGCTATTGCAAGTGAATGTGAATGAATGTGAATGAATGCGCTCCGCCGTTTATCTTTGCTCTAAGATGGTTTTGCGGGGCCTGTGCGTTCCTTTGGCTTAAGCGGCCATGTTGATGAGCAAGGACGCCAGTTCTTCATCAGGAACGGCGGGCTGCAGATGCGATGACGGGACGAGCGCACCACCGCTTTTACTCGATCATCCAAACAGATGGACCTTGCATCTATCGGCTAAGCAAGCAAGTGGGATGTATGCGAATCAGAGAGGGGCTCGGATCGCATTCTCATCGATTCTCTAGGCTCGTGAATGGGTTCGTTGATGATGAAGCATGAGACTTTATCCAGCGCACACGCCTCTATTGTCTCGTCGGCGCTTGTCTTGCATGTAAAGGGCGAGGAAGCAAGGAAGTGCTCGTGGTCAGATCCAGCATGCAGAGGCTAAAAAAGAAAGCTTGGACCTCTTCCACTACGCCAAGGCGATCTGAAGGCGATCTGTCAAGGCTGTCGGAACGCATTCGACAGTGATGAAGCGCAAGGACCTTCTCTTCTTCCTTTCCTTTCCTTTCCTTTCCTGCACCCGTGGTACGAAAGGCATAGGAATCTTTTCTCGGCTTGCTTGCAACTTGCTCTCTGCCAACACAAAATACAGATGAGACAGTGTGGACGAAGCCTGCCAACCATGCTATTGGTTTAACCTCCTCTTGGCATCTCCGGGCTGCCCAAAGAGCTGTCGCAGACACTGAGCAGCCTTGGGAACGATTATTGAAGAGCGTGTCTTCTACACTACGTTGGATGTATGCGGTTCGTGTATGTGGAAATTGGATTTGTTTGCGGAGGATGAACCCTTCTTTTCTGCCAATGTTAGTGTTATATAAGCAACATCGAGACTCTTTTTTCTTTCTTTTTTTCTCCTTTTTTTTTTTTTTTCTTTTTTTTTTCTTGAGTACAGGACGAAAGACGCGCTGGACGCGTGCCTTGCGCAACAGCAGGAGAACGACACTTTCTCAGATTCGAAGAAGCAACAACAACAACACAAGCAAACAGAGCGAGCAGAGTCTCGCCCAAGTCGAGAGACCAACACCTGCATTTATTCGCTGAAAGCTTGTTTGTACGACTTGTTCTGCATCCTTGTCTTCCATCATCTCGATTCATCTACCTTCACCCCGTTTGTTGAACACCACAGAAAAACATGACTTCTTTCGTCCCCAATCCCAACTTTGACAAGGAAAACTCCAACCCAAAGGACTGGGCCTACCACCTCGGTAAGTTTCGAGGCCGTAGCCACTTTTAGCACAAGTGACAGGCCTTGCTCAACATAAGTCTCCATCTTGCTTTATTTGTCTAACAGGCTGTCTCCCTCAAGAACACCACATCGTCTTCACCAAACAAGACTTTGTTGTCTTTCTCAAGCAGCACAATGTTCACGTTGGTCCGAACTTCACCGAGCTCTCCAAGCTGCCAAAGTACGCCACCATCGGCAAATTGACCGTCTCGGACGGGGCTGGTCCTTCTTCCGCCGCCTCCGCACCGCCTGTTGCTCAGCAGCAACCTTCTCGGACACAACAGTCCCTCGAAAACACACCAGCACAGACTGAAGAGGACGCCAACGTTGTCTACACAAGCTCAGGCGAGGTCTTCCGACCCAGCCGCAAGGTCCGCCAGCTTCCCGGTGGTGGCTCCGCACAAGTGACAGCACTCTTTGGTAGCGGCGCTGAGGAAGAGGAGCAAGCCCCTACACCCGCCCGCCGTGCACTCACACCCGCACCTGCTGCCGCCCCAGCAGCACCAGCAGACGATGGTTTCGAACCCCTTGGTGCTGCTCCAGCTAGGCGTGTTGCCAGTGGCAATATTGCCAACGAGTCGCATTTACACGACCATGTTAGCGGAGAGAAGCCTGGTGTGTACGGGGGCGTGCGAAATGACGCTGTGATGAACAACGGCTTCCGACCTACCCGTCGTGTTCGTGTCCCTGGCGGTACCGGTGGTGTCTCGAGCATCTCTTTCACCTAGATGCATCTTCACTCTTGAACGCGACGGGAAAGGAGTCACCTCTTCCAGTTCCACACACCTAGACATGTCGCATATACCCTCCAACCACATGCTATTGCCCTCTCTTCCTGCATCTGTGAGTCCAGCTCAAAGGCGTGCTACGCTCGAAGGGCAACTTTATTTGATCTTCTTGAAGTAGTGAGACAGAAAGCGAGAAAGCAATAGATGAGCTTCAGGGTTGCTTGTACACCAAGCCAAAGTCCTTGCTGTAGGCAAGGCCGACGAGCGCAGCCTTGTGCAACGTCCGCGACGATTGCTTCACCTGCACCACGAATCTTTACTGTCTTAAAGCGGCACGAGATGTTGTGCCTTGGCGGAATTCGGAATTGGCCTGCCGAGTGACTGGAGCAGGAGAAGGTGCAGCAGTGCCAAGTGAAAAAGGCGGGCAATCCACAAAAAGCGGTCGACAGAGATCCGTATGCAATCTTGCCTCATACGACCCCTCAGCATGATACATGGTCGTCACCTCTTCGGCTCGCTATTATGCTCAACGACCTCCAATCGATGGTGTCATATGCGCCTGTCACCAACTTGCCACTTGATCTTTAAATTTGGCGCGTCAGCGTTGAGATTCCACCAAACTCGCGTTGCAACTTCGGTGTCTCTTCTTTCCCCGCATCCTCGCTTCTGACTCTTCCACAAGACTCAGAGGCGAGGATGACTGGGCTCGCCACATGTTCACTCTGTCGTCTATCCCTGATCTATTCGGATGGGTTCAAATGGGTCCGGTACCAGCAATGACCGGTTGGTCCACTCCTCTTTCCGCCTAGCAAAGCAATGGACCGATGAAGAGGCTCTCAGTTTGGTGCAGTACTCTCTTAGTGCTGTGGTGCAAAGTGCGAAAGCTACCGACAAAGAGAGTAAAGATATGATGCAAAGATCTCATCAAGAGGACGCAAAATGTTGCGTTGCTGCTTTACACGGCACAAGCAGTGAGAGGGCCTGTCCGTCCTCATTGCGCTCGAGCCTTGCCTCGTGCTATTGTGATTGCCTTTCCTTCATCTGCATTTCAGTCGATGTCTTGCAACACTGCCTTGTCTCGATCCTTTCCCACGTTCACGTACCATGCAGTCATATGAAGCTACGCCAATCACTAATAACAGATGATGTGAAGACGGTCAATTAGACCATTGTCGCTCCTGCATTGTCTCACCATGCCGTGTTTGATTCTCCTTTAGCCCGGATTGGCTCCGTTACTTGACAAGCTTGCACTCCGCACACAGTCTCTCTCTCCCACTCAGCTGCTGCAACATCACTTCGCTTGTAGCAGAAGCGACACGGACCCTTCCGTTTTTTCTCCTCGGCTTTCGCACTCTTCGTACTCCTATCTCCTGTCAATGAAACAGATGTGTTTGCTCTCGTTTGCTTGCTCCGCGCTCTTGTGTTGCAACCAAAAGGAAAGTCATGCTCCGCTCCCTCGTATTCTTGCACCTTCGCTTGCCAAGATCTTCTGCTCCGGCCTTCCAAGTTCCGCCGCCCCCGCAAAGTCAAACTATGCATTTTTTGTCCCACTCTCTCAATGGGGACTGCACCATGACCACGCTTCATTTGCCTTAACGACAATACGTACATGGTATAATGGTGGTACTCTTGTGCCTGCATCCCCCTGTCAAAACTCAATCAATGCAGCCCGCCTTGCTACTCGTTGAATATCCGCCACCTTCTTAGCTTTCCAGGCCACCTTCACATCTTTGTCTTTTCCTCCTCCCCTCTCCTTCCCCCTTCCCCCTTCCCCCTTCCCCCTTCCCCCTTTCCCCTTTCTTCTTCTTCTTCTTCGTTACTTCTGCAGCACCCCCCAAGTGGCTGGCTGTAACGATTCTTCTGTCTCATCTGCCATCTTGCTTAAGCAGCCACCTAGACACCCAACCTCAGCATCGGCCTGAGCAAAAGTGGTATCAGTTCTGAATCGTATCGTTCGCATCTGCAATCACTTGAACTCATTCTGGTCCTCATCACTGGGTAATTTCTCTAACCACGGCCTTCGCTGACTTTACCTAGATCCTTGTCACTTGGATCTGTAATGATCATAACCGCCGCAATGAAGTCTTTCTCCTCCGCTGTTGATGGACTCGTCGGCGCCCTCGCCTTGGGCACTCTGATCGTTGGTGCTGTCCCCTTCCTTGCCGAGCGAGACAAGATTTTCAGTGCTAACGGTCCCGCTGTAAAGCAATCCGAACTCGGTCCTATTCACATCCTCTTCCAGAACGATCTCAGCAACAACGCCTCCACCGGTGCTCTTCTTCTACCCAACTCCGTTAACTCCGACAGCGCTGCACAAGTCTGCCAGAAGATCGGTGAGAAGCTCTTTCCCTTCGACCGCTCTCTTCAGGGTGGCGTTGGATCTGACCTGATCGACCAGTTCAACTACCTTCGCTACGCTGGCACCATCGGCTGGGGGGACACTTTCTGGCTCCATGACAGCTCCAATAACGTCGTTGCGTACAAGGCTAGTCGAAACGACATTCGTCCCTACGGTCGGGGCGAGAAGCTCGGAGTCCTTTGCACCCACTCTGCACCACCTGCCACCGTCCCTCGTGCCGACCCTTACGCCAATGTCGAGGAGAGCACTTCTGGCGTTGACAAGCTCATCACTGTTCAGGCTGGCGACTACACGCTCACTGGCTACCGTGACCGACGATCCTTCCGCTTCCTTGGTGTTCCCTTCGGCGACGCTCCTGTTGGCAATAAGCGTTTCATCTATGCCACGCCGTACACTGGCAACAAGATGCTCGATGCTACCAGCTACCGCAATGCTTGTGTTCAGTCTACCACTCCGCTCGGTCCCATGCCTGTCGGTGAGGATTGCCTCAATCTTAACATCTACACTCCTTCGCTTGGTTCGTACAGCAAGAAGGCGCTCAAGCCCGTCCTCGTAGCCATCTACGGCGGTGCTTTCACTTCTGGTCGCAACTCGCTCCACTCTTATGACGGCGGCAACCTTGCTTCGCGTTCCGACATTGTCGTTGTCACCATCAATTACCGTCTTGGCGCTCTTGGCTGGCTCGCTTCCGGCAAGGAACTTGAGGGTAACGCCGGTTTGAGTGATCAGATTCTTGCACTCAAATGGGTCAAGAAGCATATTGCTGCGTTTGGTGGTGACCCCGATCGCATCACGATCGGTGGTGAATCTGCTGGTGCACAGAGTGTTTCGGCACTCATTGCCAGTTCTGCAGCCAAGGGATTGTTCCGTGCCGGTTTCATGTTGTCCAACCCCTGGGTCCCTTGGATCAACCGCTCTGTTCAGACCAAGTACATTGCTCCCTCCGTCGCTACCAGTCTGGGCTGCCCTACCAGTGGACACGCTATGGTCGAATGTCTGCAGAAGGTGGAGGATCCCAAGCTCTTTGTTCAGGGCGCTGCCTTCACCAACGCGACCAACAACATCACCGTTACGCTCGCTAAAGTTTCTGGCTCATCGCTCTTCTCTGCCTCCATCGAGCCATTCCTTCCCACACCCGATGGTCTGATCGATGACCAATTCTTCTACCTCGCCGGCAACGGCACCATTCCCAACAACGTGCCCATCCTCCTCGGCACCACCTCAGGCGAAGGCACCCTTTTTGTCTACCCACTTCTCAACCAGACCCTACCCAACGCGCAACCAGCACTCGACAAAGCCTTCTCTTCCCTTTACAAACCCGACTTCATCTCCAAAGTCGAACAATCCGGATTATTTAACCTCGATCCAGCCAACAACGATTCAGTCCGAGAAACTGTCTCCAACGCTTTCACTTACAACTTCTTCACCTGCTCTACGCAACGCATCGTTGATATGGCACAGAAGACTAAACAGTTCCCCAAAATCTATCTTTACGAGACCCAATCTGGATACCCTGACTCTGTCGGTATGCCGCCCAAGTGCACTCCGGAGGGAAGAGGGGTGGAGGTGTGCCACGGTGATGATATTAAGTCGGTCTTTGGTAGTTTGAACTATGAAGGTATTGAAGTCAGCAGGCAGTATTTGGACTTTGTGGCGTACAATGCGGATGCGTTTAGTGCTTTTGTCAGGTCCGAGACTCCTAACCCGGATGAGGCGTATCTGAAGGCTAGGGGAAGGAGCTATACCTATACGAACAAGGTGCAAAACTACCACCCATGGCAGGCTTTCACTCAGGCAAAGGAGCAGAAGACGCAGTATCTGTCCGCTCCCGAGGGTATCACTTATGGTGGCGTGCCGCATAGGGAGGTATGCGATTTCTTCTACGATAACGGCAAGTTGACGTATCAGTTGCTCGACAACTCGTTCTAAGTTACCGAATCTCCATCATCTTGTTGTCATTGAAACGAATGCTGCCCCTCTCTTGAGCCTTTCCCCTCAATGATCAAACTGTAACTCATGCAATATCGCATTCAGCACAAAATGGTCTCACGTGTGTCGTCTGAGCAGCTTGCACAACTTTCTGACCAAACATCGCTTTTTTGAAGGTTATCCAAAATTGGAGAGACAGCAAAGAAGCACAAATCGAAGTACGAACAAGTGATATGATAGCAGGGAGGGGAGGTAACGAGCTCAAGTGGAGATCCGACGAGCATCGTGATGTTGAAAACTTAAGTCGTTTCGGTCCCGATACTGGTGATCGGGGAGAGTCTAAGTACGATGTCGCTGCTAGTTTATAGACAGAACAAATATACTCAATTGACTAAGTGAATGTGGCGAGAGCCTAGTGCTCCCTGTGAGATATATACAGTACATGTGTAAACTGTCCCAAGATTTTACATGTCACCATACATCACTCTAATGCTCAATAGCTATAAGTTGTATTGCCACACTGTCTGATATCATCTGAAAGTGCTGCTTCTTCTCTCCAAGACTGTGGAATTGATATTGACATTGACTAAAAAAATTGTGCTATGAAGAAGAGCCAAATTTTTTTTTATTGTGGGACAGTTTATGGAGCATGCTCCCAAATAGCAACACCACTCCATTCCTGACCTTGTGGGCTTTTGACTACAATGAAACTTGTAATGTAACTTGGTGGGCACCTTCATACACATTGAAAGTAGTGACATGGAAAGTTTCAGCTCAATCAGATGACTGTGAGCAATCCAGCAGCACTTCCAGTCTGACACCATCATATCTATACCATCATGATGAAAACCACTCCTGAGAAGCACTGATTGGCACTCTTTCACCTCCAAAATGGAGAATCTACCCATTCAGTTGCTGAGAAACTCAGTCTGAGCAAGTCTATGGTGTCTCACATCAGCAAAAGTGCCTCTGCTGATGCTCCAAAGTCAAAGGGGGGCCAGCCAAGAAAACTCCAGCCTCATCATGTTTGCTTCCTGGACCACTATTTCGAGCTCAATTAGACCTCCACAGTCAGGAAAGCATGTCATGCACTGCAGGAGACATTTCACATCAAAGCATGCCCAACAACAGTAAGAAAAGCACTTCATTACTGTTGTTACAAAGCACAAAGGTTAGTGAATAAGCTGAAGCTACTCAAGAGGCATTACAAAGTGTGTCTCAAATTTGTGAATGAGCACAAGGACATGACTGTTGAGGATTGGAAGAATGTGGTATGGTCTGACAAGACAAAGATCAACTTCTTTGGACCAGATGGGAAGCAGTTCTGTTGGATTAAGAATGCTGGTGTCAGAGGTCACGCACCTGAAATCTGAGATCGGTAGTTGTATCAATACTATTACCGATTCTGTCGAGTTATGCAACAGCACTTGTGGTATTGCAATTCTTCACGAGATATGTAGTAGAGCTGTCTCTATTACTGTTCTCGCTCAAATCTGTAGTTGTGATGATGCTATTGCAGATTTCGACTGACCACTGTCAGACACTCCATTCAGAGGTAGCTCAGCACGATCAATAACTTATGCGAACTTGCTGATGACACCAAAGGTCTGGTGTGAATATGGATTGGTGGCATCGACACAAGTGTCCAGTGCATTGACTATGCTTGAGGTGATCCCTGGACTGCAGTGGACGACTGCCTTCAGTTCTATTGTTATCCAGACTGCTGGTTGCTTCGAACCACCTTCGGACATCAGGAAATGGTGATACAACACATGTGCTTTGATGAGGAGCAATCTATTGATTGCAACTTATGCTGACTTGAAAACTAATGAGTACTTATGTTTCTAAAGTATTGACTAGTTGTATGGTGAGTAGAGTGGATGTCCCTCCACTCAACCATTTGTGATGAGAAGGTATGGTTATATACCTCTTCACAGCGTTGCCAGTGACACTGCTCCAACTCTCTCTCCAGAGAGTACCTTTGCCACTGAGTACTGTGCAGGAGTCTCCACTGAAACTCCTCCCTCACAACACCTCATTGCTCCTGTCTTTTCTGAGCTGTATCAACTCCATTGACACTGCTCCTCCTCCTCATGATTGGTTTGCCAGTGCCCACCACACAGCTCCTCTTCCCTCAACTGGCAATGGTTCTCTTGTCTGCATATCTCCTGAGCCCCTGAGCAGTAACTGTCTGCATGCTTCATGAGCTCGGTCCCTGTCTCGGCAGTGCTCGATCCTCCTCGCTTGCGAGCATAGTCCCTCTTGCATGTGAAATCGTCGTATGAACATTGTTGTCACTGATCTCAACGAAATCTGCCATACTATCATACTTACTGCAGATTCTGGTAAGATCTGTGATATCGAGTTTGTTTGTGCAGATCCCAATGAGATCTGTCATAGAACTGGGTCTACTACTGATTCTGCTGAATTCTTCTGTAAATCCACCGATCCACCTGATCCTTCGATTCCTGCACTACCTTCATATGAACTGTCGGGTCTTCCCGCTTCCTGCGCCGCCAAGCCCATGACAGCTGGCTTCAACAGCAAGCTTGTCAGGCTGACAGTCAAGTTTGGCAGTGGCTCCATCATGATCTGGGGCTGTATGATGTGGGAAGGGGTTGGAGGTATATGCTTGGTGCTGGGATCAATGAATTCAGACCAATACATTGATATCCTGAATGACAAGCTTTTGAAAACAATCTCAGATTTGTGGCTTCAGCATGCATACACTGACATCACATTTCAGCAAGACAATGACCTGAAACACATGTCGAAGAAGACAAAAACATGGTTGGAAGGCAATAACATTAAGGTTATGCAATGGCTGGGGCAGTCACCAGACTTGAACCCAATTGAACATCTCTGGCACCATCTCAAAATGTGACTTTCACAGTATAGTATGATTGCAAAGTCCAGGGATGAACTGCTCAAGAGATGTGAAGCTGAATGGAAAGCAATCACTCCAGAGACATGTAGGATACTAATAGAGAGCATGCCAGACCACATCAAGGCAGTTCTGAAGGCCAAAGGAGGGAATACAAAGTACTAAGGTGTTCTTGAGGAGCATGTCAGGGGTCTCGCGCCTGAAACCCAGGTCGGTCTGTCGAGATACTTGGTGACTATCAAACTGTGTGACAGCTATTGTCTCGGTATTGGTGACTATCAAGTTGTGCAGTGACAGCAGGTGGCATTCGTTGTATATACTATCGTAGGTTCCGGCTGACCTCTGTGGACACTCCGTTCAGGGGTAGCTCGGCACGATCAATATCAATGTTATGATGACACCAAGGTCTGGTGTGAGTGTTGATGATGATGAGGTTGATGGTGTTGGTGATGAGATTGGTGATGTCGATGATAATGAGGTTGATGGTGTTGGTGATAAGGTTGGTGGCGTCAACACGAGTGTCCAGTGTGTTGACTTGATGCTTGAAGTGATCCCCGGACTGCAGTGGACTACTGCCTTCGGTTCTATCTATATCCGGACCGCTAACCTGCTATGGGCGCCTTCGGATGTCAGGTAGTGGTGATACAACACACACACTACGATGAGGAGCAACCTTGATAGATTGCTGCTATGCTGACTGTAACTAATGAGTACTTGTGTTTCTAAAGTATTAACTAGTTGTATGGTGAGTAGAGTGGATGAGGATCCACTCGACCTATGATGATGAGAAAGCATGGTTATATACCTTTACTCAGCATTGCCAGTGATGCTGCTCCTGCTCTCTCTCTCCAGAGAGTACCTTCTTCATCGAGTACTGCTCAGGGGCCTCTCCTGCTTGGCACCCCTGTGCCTCTTGAGCTGTGTCGACTCCTTCGACACTGCTCCTCCTCCTCATGACCTGATGTCAACCCTTCGACACTGCTCCTCCTCCTCATGACCTGGTGTCGACTCCTTCGACACTGCTCCTCCTCCTCATGACCTGGTGTCAGCTCCTTCGACACTGCTCCTCCTCCTCATGACCTGGTGTCGACTCCTTCGACACTGCTCCTCCTCCTTTGATCGGTGACAGTTCCTTTGGCTCTTGTCTCTCGAGCCCCTGAGTGGTAACCATCTGCATGCTCCTTGAGCTTGGTCCTCTTCGTGGCTGTGCCTGCTCCTTGAGCTTGGTCCTCCTTTGCATGTGAGTCCATAGGAGTCCATGGTCTCCATGGAGACTGCACTACGCTCTCTACTGATCTCGACTAGATCTTCGATACCTGTGCTCCTTCCATATGAACCCGTGACCCTCCTGCTTCTTGAGCATCCAGGCCCATGACAGAGCACTCCATAAACTGTCCCACAATAATTATTTTTTTTGGCTCTTCTTCATAGCACAATTTTTTTAGTCAATGTCAATATCAATTCCACAGTCTTGGAGAGAAGAAGCAGCACTTTCAGATGATATCAGACAGTGTGGCAATACAACTTATAGCTATTGAGCATTAGAGTGATGTATGGTGACATGTAAAATCTTGGGACAGTTTATGTGTGTACTGTATATACATCTAGATGGTACATGCCAGGTGTGGGTGTTTCCTCCTTCATGACGATCCCTAACAACAAGCGGGACCGTGTTGTATCCGATCTCTGATGAGATCGGCCCCAACCTATCTTCGACCGGATCGGCTTCGCCCGATCCCCCCTTTATCGCCTCATGTTGTCTCGCATCATCATGTTGGATTGCTAATTTTCAGCACGTGATACCGGATCAAGCAGTGGTGGTACCTTCGACAGTCTTAGCAGTCTTGGACTTGTGCTTGTGAGCGGGCTTCTTGTGCTTGTGAGCGGGCTTCTTGTGTTCCTTCTTAGTAGGCTTGACGGGGCGGGCAGTGTGAGTATGCTTCTTCTTGTCACCTTGTTTGCCCTTGTTCATCTCGTCGCCATGAGTCTTCGGCTTGGTAGGGTGGGCATGGTGCTCTGGGTGAGCAGGGGGAGCCTTCTTACCCTGCTTGTTGTGGCCCAACGCCTTTTTCTTCTTAGTACCCTCCTTCTTAGGCTTGACCTCATCTTCCTGCTCGTCACGCTTGGTCTTCTCACTGCCCTTCTTGAGGTGCTCAGGGTGGGCGGCGTGAGCAGGCTTGTGTGCGGTGGACTGCTTCTGACCCTGTTTACCCTTGTTTACGCCGTCGCCGTGTGTCTTGGGGTGTTCAGGCTTAGCAGCATGGGTAGATTTGTGAGCAGAAGACTGTTTCTGACCCTGCTTGTGCTTGTTCACAGCATCACCCTTTGTCGTCTTCTTGGAGTCCTTGGTCGTCTTCGGGTGAGCAGGGTGAGCTGGGTGCTCAGGATGGACAGGCTTACTATTCTTAGTCCCCTTCTTGTGAGCCGCACTCTTCCCGTTGTTCTCCTTAGCCTTCTTCTCCTTTTTAGGCTTAACCTCACGCTTTTCGGCAGCCTTTGCAGTTACGAGCCCCAAAAGCTTCTGAGCAGCAGCGTCATCACCGTAAAGCTTTCTGACAGAGTGCTCGCTGGACTGGGCAGCCACTTCGTGGTGAAGCTTGGCGAGTTCGGGGATCTCAGAGCCGTAGTTCGCAAGGAAAGCAGAGCTGGTAGGGTTGGCGTTTTCGAGCTTGTTGATGAGTTCGATGAGTTGAGGGACTTTGCCTTGCTCTGCGACTGGAGAGTCAGCTCGAACGATGGCGAGAGAAAGGAGAACGGCGGACAGGAGAGGGAGGAACTTCATTGTTGTTAGTTGTTGGGTGGTTGCTGTAGAGACTGTGTGTGGTGTAAAGAGAGTATTGGATCAGGAGGGGTTTCTTGAGGGGAGCAGAAATGGAGAGGGAGAATTAGTGGATGGAGATCAATCCAAGGTACGAGGAAGGAGGGATATATATGGCTCAACGGCGGCATGAAAAGATCGTCAAGCACAGAACAGGGTAACACAGCGTGGCAAAGAGCACTCAATCCTAAAGTAACTTAGTGCGAACAGCGCACAACGGCGGAGATCCATGTTCAGCAACAAAGCGGAACCAAGCCCAGCAGACAAAAGAGGCTGGGACGGGAATATACAGAAAAGGTAGGAGGAGGTGTTAAGAAGCTGTGGCTCGGCGTTGCAACGTCGATCAAGTTGTAAGGCACGGCTAAGGTGTTCAACTCCGCTCATACCTCCAGACAGGCAGTAGGGCGCACAAATGGAATTTGGGACTACCTTACCCGCCGGTTCGCTTCAGTACGACACCAACACCAACATCAACAAGACTCGGCTCTGTGCGAAAATCAAATTAGGCAAGACATCGATGGCCGCTACTTGCTAGGTTAGGCTGCTTCTCTTCCGTTGCCGGGGCCCCTGTGCTGAAGCTGAATCTTGTCTTGGTGGCCCATGCAGAGCGATGCACACTGTCGGTCTGAGCAGCTGTGCAGGTGTCTTTCACAGCTGAATGTCATATTATGCTCGTATGAGGCCTCTTTGCTTAGAAAGGATCCGCCCAGTTGTCGCTGCTGTTTCAGAGGCTACCAACAGGGAGCAAGATTGGCTGCATGTTGACATCGCCTGTTCTTGGCAATGAGCTGCTAGCATTTGCCGTCACGGGATGTCAGGCGTACCACGTCTGAGAATCACTCAAGCCCTTGATACGGATGAAAGCAAATAGGCGGGAAGAAAAGACGAGATGTCGCAGCAAGAAACCTCTGAAGGGGAAGTCTCACATAAGTTAGAGCTAATGTTCTCAGGGTACTCAGGGTAGCTCGGTGTCGGAGAGGTCTAGGCACAGCATTCATGCCACTGTCGTCGTAGGAGCTCCGTCTCTGCATTCACATCACCGAGACTCAATATGTTCTGGGTCCTCCTTCTGGGATACCTCGCTACGCGATGTTTTTGTGGGTTTGGCAAGTTAAACTAGTCTGTATAAACCTCAACACGACTGCAACAGGACTATGAATGCGCGGTCGAAAACAGGTGATGGGCACGAAAAACAAAGGAAGCCGAAGTGTTGGTCTCAGTCCTGCATCTCGCTGGACGCGGTCTCATACATCGCGACGTAGAAGGATTTCGCAGTTGCCGAGCCAGTCGAATGTCCGCAACGTTCCGCTGGCATGATGCCATGAAACGCTAAGAGAAGAAGGAAGAGATCATCGACACGGGAGCCAGGGGTCGGACGTCAAATGCCGCCGGACGAGAAAGGCAACTGAATAATGTGTTTTCATGCCAGCCTGGAGTTTCACCGAGCGCGGCTTCTCGCGCGGCATTGATTTCCAAATTACAAGACACTGTTGGATCCTGTTCAGCGCACAAATCAGAACTCAAAAAAAAATTGATGCCGAAGCTTCACCACGCTTTGGCCAAGCGAACAAAGGGGCAACTTTGCTCCACAGAACGGCGCTGCGGGCCGAGCAAGTCGACAGCCTGTCCTTCTTCCAACTCACTCGCGACCCTTTCATCTGTTGGCCACCCAACCATCTCGACCGCTGCTTCCCTTTGTTCGCTTTCTCTTAGTCTCAGTGAAACAAATTCAAGCTTGCTTGTTCACTTTTAACTTGCATTACCTTCGGCTCCGTCCTCTTCCTGCAACGATTCCTCGTCCGGGTAGTCAAGGAGACATTCTTGGCGATCGCACGCTTCTCTACACGAACACTACCTGCGACTGGCTGTCAGCCGCCACTGCGCAAGATCGTCATCTCAGTCCATAGCAGTACCGCTGCCCAAGGCCTCGTGCTTCACCATTGCCCATCATGGCCGAATCCGGCAAGGATGCCAAGTTCTTTCAGCGCGGCAAGGTCGACGAGCTCCGCGCTGAGCTCAATACCGACAAGAAGGACAAAGGATGGGTCCGCAAGAAGACTGTCCTCAAGAAGATCATTGCCAATGCTACCATGGGCAATGACATGTCTGCACTCTTCCCCGACGTCGTCCAATGCATCAACATCCAGGTTCTCGAGATCAAGAAGATGGTCTACCTCTACCTCATCAACTACGCCCGAGCAAAACCAGATCTCGTCCCAAATGCGGTACCCGGCTTCTTGTCCGACTGCAACGACCGCAACCCGCTCATCAGGGCGCTTGCTATCCGAACAATGTCGTACATCTACGTTCCCACGGTGCTAACTGCATTGATCGATCCTTTGCGACACTCGCTGAAGGACGCAGATCCGTACGTTCGCAAGACAGCAGCTATCTGTGTCGCGAAGCTGTATATGCATGACAAGCGGTTGATCGAGAAGCACTCATTCATCGGTATGCTGAGAGACTTGCTAGCTGATGCGAACCCCACAGTGGTTGCCAACGCAGTAGCAGCACTGGTCGAGATCTCGGAACGATCGGACAACATTCAACTCAAGCTCAACCTCACCATCGCCTCGAAGCTCGTGTCCGCCCTCGCAGAATGCTCCGAATGGGGTCAGACATACATTCTGGAAGCGCTCATGTTCTTCGTACCCAACGACTTTGCCGATGCCGAGATCCTCGCTGAACGCATCGCCGTTCGACTTCAACACGCCAACTCAGCCGTCGTCCTCACCTCCACCAAAGTCATCCTCTACTTGATGAACTACATCGCCAGCGCCGAGTTCAAGGAATCTCTCTGTCGCAAACTCTCCCCACCTCTCGTCACACTTCTCTCCTCGGGACCCGAAGTCCAATACGTCGCACTTCGAAACATCCTCCTCGTCATTCAACGACGTCCTTTGGTGCTGCAAAACGAAGTCAAAGTCTTCTTTTGCAAATATAACGATCCGATCTACGTCAAAATGGCTAAACTCGAAATCATCTATCGACTCGCCAACGAGAGGAATGTCGAGCAAGTACTTGCCGAACTTCGCGAGTATGCGTCTGAAGTTGATGTTGATTTTGCTAGGAAAGCGGTGCGTAGTATTGGCAGGTTGGCGATCAAAATCGAATCTTCGGCAGATAGGTGTATCCAAGCATTGCTAAGTTTGATTCAGACCAAGGTGAATTATGTTGTACAGGAGGCGATTGTGGTGATTAAAGATATCTTTAGGAAGTACCCGAATAGGTATGAAAGTGTTATTTCGACACTTTGCGAGAATCTGGATAATTTGGATGAGAGTGAAGCGAAGGCGGCGATGATTTGGATCATTGGACAGTATGCTGATCGGATTGAGAACTCGGATGAGCTGCTGGAAGATTTCCTGTATACTTTCCTAGAGGAGCCTGTTGAGGTGCAGCTTGCACTTCTCACCGCTACTGTAAAGCTCTTCCTCAAGCGTCCGACTGCGGGAGGAGAGTTGGTACCAAAGGTGTTGAAATGGGCAACGGAAGAAGTGGAGAATCCTGATTTGAGGGACAGAGGTTTCATGTATTGGCGTCTGCTTTCCACCGATCCGGAAGCAGCAAGGGAGGTGGTGTTGGGTGGCAAACCGGCGATTTCAACAGAGACGGATCGAATGGATAGGCAGCTACTCGATCAGTTGTTGTTGCATGGCGCAAGTTTGGCAAGTATCTTCCATAGACAGCCCCAGACGTTTATCAGGGATGCCAAAGCGAGATATGTTCCGGATTCGCCAGCATTAGACGAAAGTGCGAGGAGGTATGCTTCGGCTCATTTGTACAGTAAACCTGTTGCTAGGGGGCCGGTGATGAATGCTGCTTCGCTCAATAACGGCAGCACTAGCAGCAGTAATGAGAAGCAGGCTGCGAGGGAGGAGGTGGCAGATAAGTTGCCGGAGTACTCTCAGGGGTCAGCTGCGGCGCCGGTTGGTGATGCCAAGTCGAAGGGAGTTCAGAGAGCGGATGAGGAGGAAGAGGATGATGAGGATAGGAGGAGAGGTGGAGCATATGGTAGTCTCTTGAACGGCGGTGGAGAGGATGGAGAGGCGGATCCATATGCGATGCTCGAGGATGTATTTGGGGCTTCTTCGAGCTCCAACTATCAAGCTGATAGGCCGACGCCCAAGTCTTCTTATCTAGACAATTGAGCGTCCATCACTTGACACTCTGACACGAGTCTCGAAAAGGAATGCAACACATTCGCACCATCACAGGCAGAACAGAACTCTACAATGCAGCAAAAGTGCATGGTTTATCATTGTGCTGTCATAGCTGAAGCATCCATAGTCATGAGGATAAGGTCAAGTCAAAGCAGAGGCCCTCAAGCTCCATTTGGAGCATTCGAAGTCGGCAACAGCGGCCCTGAGCTTGGAGTGGTGGCGTTCCTAAGATTGCTCCACATACTCCACCTTCTCTTACCCGGTTGCCCTCCCACTGCCTCCTCCCCATCTTCCTCCTCCTCTCCCTCCTCCTCACCACTCCTCAATAGCGAGTAGTCACCGCCGCCCGCACCTGCTCTAGCATACCTCGCTCCCCTCGCTCCCGTCACAGTATCGATCAGGAATGGCATCACCTGACAATGACCTGGACTCATCTCCGCTGGCAAATCATACAGTGTAGTGTAGTCTATCGCAACATCCTGGCCTTTCGACCAAAAGTCTTTGCAATTTGCAACCATGCCATGGTCGAAAGGGTTGGCTGCTGCACTGGCGCGTTTTAATCCTTCACCTGCTTTTCCACGGGTGTAGAGATCCAGGCCGACGATGGACAACAGCCAGCCACCGGATGCGGAACAGATGCGTTTCAACGTACCCAAGCCCGAGTGTGAGTGACCATGTGGGTGGGCATGCCCAGCAGACGTAGTAGTGGTGAAGGAAGAAGCAGCATCTTCCTCGGTAGGGATGTTGACATCAATTTGTCCATTCTCCCCACCCACCTGTTTCTGTATACCTTGCAACCTATCACTTGCTCCACCACCCCGTGCTTGTGCCGAGTGTTGGGCAATAAAGTTTGTCTGACCAGCATAACTCTGTCCTCCCTTGCCACCCATGAATCCAAATCTGCCCAGATTTGATACCTCTAGAGTCGTCATCTGGCGCATTATCTGCCATCCCTGCGCCAACAACAGTATTATCGTCCATGTCAACTGCAGTCCCGCCCAGACCGCTACTCCCAGCAAGAACGGATCGAAAGTGGTCGCGGTACACAAGAACGCAAATGGCAAGTGACACGTTTCGTATGCACTATCCGGTAGAGGATCGTATGGCGGTGCGTTGATCGCATAATACACGACCGTAAGGTAAGTGAATTGGAGAATCCCAATGACAAGCGCACCAACAAAGAGCAGGAACTGACGATGGTTTTCGATGCCAATACAGTTAGAGACCCAGGGACAGTGGTGGTCGTGCCTAGCGACGCAACGGTTGCAGAGTTTGCAGTGTTTGGAACGGATGGGTTTGCGAGCCATACAGCTTACGCAGAACGTTTGGCTGTTGAGTCGACCTTGCTGAGCCAATTGTGTTACTGTTTCGCGACGGTGTAGTGCTGAGGGGGCAAGAGGTGCGTACCCAGGAGAGATGGTGGATGCGCGGAAGAGGTTCCAACAGCAAACAATGAGGGAGAGAGCAAAGAAGAGATTGTTCGGAGCATAGCCTGGTGTATGTGTCGCCAGTTTCCCTGCCCACTCCCATCCCACCCAAGCAATACTCGCCGATACGATGGCCAAAAAGTAATTGCTCCGCTGCAAGAAATCATGCTCCTGCGGATCCAATATCACCCTAGTCACGATATGATGCATCCCAAAGAGCTCTGCTGCTGCAAACGGCGCTGCTGTGTACCAAGGCAAGGAAGCAAATGTCGCAAAGATAAAGGCAAGCGCTGCAAAAGGTACAAACATAACCGCCAACTTCGCTGTCCGGTCAGAGCTAGATCCGAAAGTACGCTGTTTCCGACGGCCGTCTTCTTCGATGCCAATATCGGCAAGAGCTTTTCGATATGCACCGATGGATTTGAGTTCGATGGCCATATCCCGAGGAGTCTTACCGGAATCTTCTTTGGCCAGAAGATCAGCTTTTGCGTCAGCAAGAAGACGAATGCAGAGACGATTGCCTTTGACTACAGCCCAGTGCATAGCGGTAAGGCCGGCACTATCGCGTTTGTGAACATCTGAACCGTGTTTTAGAAGGATATCGACTGAAATGGCATCGCCTTGGTATGCTGCCCACATGAGGGCGGTATGGCCTTGTGAGTCGGTTGAGTCGAGGCCTTCAGGTGAGCTGAGGGAGGTTTGTTGGAGCATGAGGACGAGAGGCATGACAGCACTGGAATGAACGGTGAGATGGAGTGCGTTGAAGCCTTGTGAGTCGGTAATGGTTGGGTCTGCACCTCGTGAGCAGAGGAGCTCGAGCACGTATACGTGGCCGTTTCTTGCTGCCCATTGCAAAGGGCTAGCTACAAGGTCGCCTCCCAGGGCATCAACTTCTGTGCCATGATCTAAGAGGTATCGACATGTGGCGAGTTGGGCGTTGATAGCAGCCCAGTGGAGTGGGGTGATGTTGTCATCATCGCGGTCGTGGACGGTGGCCCTGCCTGAGTCGACTAATCGCATGATGGCAGGGAGGTCACCACGCTGTGCTGCTGTGTGGATTGTGAGAGGCATCTGGTCTGGGCCAGGTGTATGCGCTCGACTTGGTGCCCGGTTAGGGAAGCCGGTGGTGCTGCTTGGTCGTGCGTCATGGCGTGGTGGAGTGGATGACCTTGCTGTAGCGAAGAGAGGGTCCGATTGGCCGCCAGCGTTCGAGACAGCAACGGCCTGCGTCGCTGCGGCGCCTAGAGGTGTGCCTGGTGCGGCCATGGTGGATGAGCGAGGTGCTTCCTCTAGCCTGATCTGAGTTTGGGTCCCCGAGTGATCAGAAGTGCATGATCTACTCCGTGGTCCGTCGGACGATGTGATGTGCATGAGCTCTTGAAGGTGGGTATTGCTGCTTCGCCAATGTCGATGGACCGAGCAGCTTGAGCTCAGGTGTTTGTGTGGTTGGTCAGAACGATGAAGCGAGGCTCACCTTGAACCCTGTCTATCATTCGCGACGAACAGCTCCACACTAACATCGAATCCAATTTTCCTCTCCCGAGCAAGCAAGCATGCCTGTTCTGCCGCAGAGTCACCTTCTTCCGGCTGTGCTTTCCGGTCAAATAGTTTGACGCGATTCGTCTTTTTTTTTTTTTTTTTTTCTTTTTTTTTTCGCCGATCTGCACTGGGCATCAGCTGCGTTTGAGTTAAAGATGCGTCGGCATCCCAACGGGGTTCACAGAATAATACGGAGTCCATGGAACACGAGCAAGTTCTCAATTAAGAGAAGATGTGCATAAGTGGCAACACATGTGGGATGCACATACATTGTCATAGTGACACACAGGAAATCACAACTCAGGGGCAACAATAAGAGGTGACTCATCGTGGATTGATGAGCTTTGGAGGTGATCATCAGGTATATATATGTAACCATATACATAGTAGCATACAGTTTAAATTTCAAGACTTTTTACATGAAAACTATACACTTGTGTTAGGAGCTTGTCAGTAGCCCAACTTAGTGTACAGGACTTGTATATCTTCAACTGATTAAGAGTCTGAAGCTCTACCAATCGAGCCAGCTGGGACCCCCCTTACCATTATGGTAGACAATGCTGAGATGCAGGCTGGTGCAAGTAGAACTAAAGGAGGCAAGAAGGGTAAAGTTTCCCAGCTGCAAGCTGCCAATAATGAAGTCACCAATGAGACAGAAGTCGAAGTGATCGATGATGATGAGGAAACTGGTTCTGATTCTGACCAAGACAGTGGTGGCAAGCAATAAAACTTCTGCACCCTGGCAAAGCTACTCGAGCTGGTGCCCAAGCTCACATCACAGAACTACTATAGTTGGAATGTTCACATCAAGTCCTTCCTCTGATCTGTTCCTTATGCCATGAAACATCTTGAGGGAACATATGATAAGAAACACCCCAAGTGGAAACAGAGTTTTGATGATGCCTTGACAAATGCAGTATGTGGCACCATCGACACCACCAGGGAATATAACATAAACTACTTAATTCTCAACATCATCAGGGAACACCACATGTTCAGTCAGGTCTGGAAGAAAATCGAAAATGGCCTGACCAATGAAGCCACTGCAACCTCATGCCAGATTGCCCTCATTGCTCAGTTAGGCAAGCTCAGGATGTTCAACTCTGATGCTTGAAAACTCATTCAAGAAATCAGGACAATCCAGACAGAAAGCAGCCTATTGGGAAAACCTTTTGCCAATGATACTTTGTTCTCCAATTTGCAGAAGTGCACCATCTGCCATCCAATGTATAAGGAAACAGTCGCCACCATCAGCCAGCTCACCTTTAGCACCCTTGCCACTGCCCTAACCATTCAGCAATCTGCAATTGAGAATTACCCTGCTCAGAAGGTTGACCCCTGCCAAGCCAGTGCCAGAGTTGCTGGCAGCAATGATCAAGACAAACCAACCCTGAAGGATGGGGGGGACGAGAAAGATGGAGATAACACCAATGCCAAGGTTGCTGCTTGGCCTCGAAGGCTTCAGTGCTGGATTTGCAAATGACCAGGACATGGAATTAGCCAGTGTGACACTATGGTAACCATCCCTGAAAATTCCCCCCTTGCCAAGACCAAATAGGAACCATGGTGTTCCTTCACACCAAGTTGGAAAAGGCCCCTAGATCCAAAAGAAAGATCCTGTTGGATCCTGGACTCAGGGGCCAGTTACCATATGGTCAACATTCATAGCATGCTCATCAATCCCAAAACCTGTTGTAAACATGTGTTCACAGCTGGAAGTGAGGTTTTGGAAGCAACAGCTATTGGAGATGTCAACATATCAACAAGTAACAGAGATATACTACTCTGTAATGTACTATATGTTAGGCATCTCAATGTTAACCTCTTGTCAACAAACTCAATGACAGATGAAGGAGCACAAGTGATATTGGATTCTGCCAGCAGGCAAATACATTTGGCAAATGGCATGCTACTCAAAATGACCAAGGATCACAAGCAAGGACTTTTAGAGTTTCGAGGTGACACATGGCAAGAGAATGTGATGATCATGTCAACATCATTACTTGAGGATGTTGATGAAGATTTTGAGCAGACAGAGAGCAGAGCAGAAATATCCAAACAACAATTATGGCATGAATGTCTAGGGCATCCAGGCTGAGATAAGACAAGGGCCATCAACAATCTATTAAAAGGCGACAACATAGCTAAATTGAACCCAGATATGGCTCAAATGTGTGAGCAATGCATTTGATCTAAGAGCATGACAGCCCAAATGGGACAAGGTAGCAGAGAGAAATCCATTTCCCCACTTGATCTTGTTCACATTGACTTGATAGTTGATTTGTCGCACTCAGCCAAATACACATGCACACTAGTATTGGTTGATGACCATAGCAAGTATGTGTATGTACAGCCTCTACTACAGAAGAGCCATGCATTCCCAAAACTCAAGATGATAGTAACATATCTTGAAACCCAGATGGGAAGGAGTCTGAAAGCAATACAATCTGAGCAAGGCTTGGAGTGGCGAAGCAATGATGCAATTGAATGGGCATATGATAGAGGCATAGAATGGCAGATGACAGTTGGATATAACAGCAGACAGAACAGATGTGTAGAAAGGATGAATAGGAGTCTAGGGGAGAAAATGAGAACACTACTCATGCAAAGGAGACTACTGAAGAGCTTCTGGCCATATGCAATCTGGGCTGCAGCATTCAAAATGAACCTCACACCCAATGTCAACAGTGAATTCCCATATCAGGCCATGTTTGGAAAGTCACCAGAATGGCTCATAAAGCTCTTACAGGTCTTCAGATACTTGGCATGGGTAAACATCCCAAAGGTTAAGAGAGACAATAAGAAACTAGACCAATGAGTGGTGGCATCCATATTCCTGGGATACAGTCTGGAAAGAAGAGGATGGCTCTTCTACAGCCCAGATTATAACCTGAATATATTCTGGAGCAACTCCATGAGATTCATGGAAACTAAATGCTGGCTTGACAAAATGGAGTGGCACCCAGCAAATATTCAATCACCGCCAGTGCTAGCAGATGAAGAAGACCTCGACAATGTGGGGTACACAAATGAGAACCTTGTCAGGGGTCTCGCGCCTGAAACCCAGGTCGGTCTGTCGAGATACTCGGTGACTATTAAACTGTGTGACAGCTATTGTCTCGGTATCGGTGACTATCAAGTTGTGCAGTGACAGCAGGTGGCATTCGTTGTATATACTATCGTAGGTTTCGGCTGACCTCTGTGGACACTCCGTTCAGGGGTAGCTCGGCACGATCAATATCAATGTTATGATGACACCAAGGTCTGGTGTGAGTGTTGATGATGATGAGGTTGATGGTGTTGGTGATGAGATTGGTGATGTCGATGATAATGAGGTTGATGGTGTTGGTGATAAGGTTGGTGGCGTCAACACGAGTGTCCAGTGTGTTGACTTGATGCTTGAAGTGATCCCCGGACCGCAGTGGACTACTGCCTTCGGTTCTATCTATATCCGGACCGCTAACCTGCTATGGGCGCCTACGGACGTCAGGTAGTGGTGATACAACACACACACTACGATGAGGAGCAACCTTGATAGATTGCTGCTATGCTGACTGTAACTAATGAGTACTTGTGTTTCTAAAGTATTGACTAGTTGTATGGTGAGTAGAGTGGATGAGGATCCACTCGACCTATGATGATGAGAAAGCATGGTTATATACCTCTACTCAGCATCGCCAGCGATGCTGCTCCTGCTCTCTCTCTCCAGAGAGTACCTTCTTCATCGAGTACTGCTCAGGGGCCTCTCCTGCTTGGCACCCCTGTGCCTCTTGAGCTGTGTCGACTCCTTCGACACTGCTCCTCCTCCTCATGACCTGCTTGCCAGTGTCCTAGGACTCTTGTCTCTCGAGCCCCTGAGTGGTAACCATCTGAGCTTGGTCCTCTTCGTGGCTGTGCCTGCTCCTTGAGCTTGGTCCTCCTTGTGGCTGTGCTTGGCCCTCCTTTGCATGTGAGTCCATAGGAGTCCATGGTCTCCATGGAGACTGCACTACGACCATGCTCTCTACTGATCTCGACTAGATCTTCGATACCTGTGCTCCTTCCATATGAACCCATGACCCTCCTGCTTCTTGAGCATCCAGGCCCATGACAGGTTTCTATTGCATGCTGAGTGCACCTTGCTTATACTTGAGAGGAACTGAGGGTAGTCTAACTATAATTACAGCATATGTGGACAACATGCTCATAGTGTCCCCCAGTCATGAGGAGGTGGACCACACCAAGAAGGAAGTAATGGCAAAATGGGGTACAGAGGATAATGGACTGGTGAAGGAGTTTTTGGGTGTAAGAATCAAGTGTGATAGGACACAGAAGAAGATGTCACTTGATCTGTCAGCTTACATTAAGGCAATGGTGAGCAAATGGTTACAAGTGACTAATCAGAAGTCCTGGGTACCAATGCAAGGAATAGCTAATATTACAAGGGAAGACAAATGTAACCCAATGGAAGCCAAGCAATACCAAGAGCTAGTGGGACAACTATTATGGGTATCAAACACTGCACGACTGGACGTTTCATTCACAGTTGGGGTACTAGCAAGATATATGTCAAGCCCAACAAGTAGTGCATGGAAAGCAGTAATCCATCTGCTCAAGTACCTAAACCAAACCAGTGAGTACAAACTGATTTTTGGAGATAGATCAAGCAAGCACTCAGAATGCCCAGTCATCACATACACAGATGCGAACTGGGCATCAGACCCAATGAACAGACAAAGGAGTATGTCAGGAGCAGTAACATATGTATATGGGTGCCCCATTAGCTGGGAATCGCACATTCAAAAGTGTGTAGCATTATCAGCTGTGGAAGCAGAATTTGTCACTGCCTCAGAAGCAGCAAGAGAGGCACTTTTCTTCTCTTATCTCCTCAGGGACCTGGAGATGGGAACGATCCAACCAGTCCTTTGCACTGACAGTCAGGGATGCATTCAGGTGAGCAAGGATCTGGTGAAACATTGGAAATTGAAGCACATAGACACTCGATATCACTTTGTCAGGGACCATGTGCAGGATGGAGAGATAGTGATTGAATTTGTTGGAACAGCAAGCAATGTGGCAGACATACTAACAAAGCCACTGAAAGGTCTAGCAACATCTCAACTAGCTCAGTTGTTAGGGCTGGTAATGCTGTCAGAGGGGGGAGTTAAAGATGTGTTGGCATCCCAACAGGGTTCACAGAATAATACAGAGTCCACAGAACACGAGCAAGTTCTTGATTAAGAGAAGCCATGCATAAGTGGCAACACATGTGGGATGCACATACATTGTCATAGTGACACACAGGAAATCACAACTCAGGGGCAACAATAAGAGGTGACTCATCATGGATTGATGAGCTTTGGAGGTGATCATCAGGTATATATATGTAACCATATACATAGTAGCATACAGTTTAAATTTCAAGACTTTTTACATGAAAACTATACACTTGTGTTAGGAGCTTGTCAGTAGCCCAACTTAGTGTACAGGACTTGTATATCTTCAACTGTTTGCAATAGGCGATTGGTTATCGGGTCAGCCGGCACCCTTGCTGGGCTGTGAAAAATCAGCCTTTTTTCTTTTTTTTCCCCCCCCCCCCCCCCTCCACTTTTTTCTGTCGCTAAGTTGGAAAGATAGGCTTCCGGATCTTCCGATATCACATAAACTGCTGAGTCTTTCTTTCCCACGCCCATCACTCTTCCGCCTCCATCACACTGATCAAGACGGACGACAATGTTGCGCTCAGCATCTTCAGCAGTCAAGACTGCGGCTCAGACCCGCTCAGCATCGCATGCTCGACTTCTTTCTTCGTCCGCTGTTCGATTGCGCAGTGATGACTCCAAGGCCACACCGCCACCACGCAGCACCACCAGTGCTAGTCTTAGCCACCCCACAACTTCCTCCTCTTCAGTTTCGACAGCATCGACCACCAAACCAGTCCAAATCTCATACAACCCTCCCAACAAAGGCACAACAGGCGGTGGGTCCATCACTCTCAATCTCCCACCGCAACTAGTCCAAGCCATGTCACGCAAGAAAACAGGCGCTCCCACCAAGACCTCTTCCGCACGCGCCAAAGCTCAAGCTTCGAAAGCGCTTCGACAGACATTACCCGAACCCACCACGGGAGAAGTATATGCTTGGGCTACCGCTCATTCCTATTCCTTCTCAGAGTTGGTCATGTCAGGGAGATTGCCGCCGAACTATCAGATCTTTGAGGATAATGAAGTGATTCATATCCCGCAGTGGCCTGTTCCTTCAACGCCTGGCTCAACATCCAAAGTCAATGACCATGCGGCCGCAGGCTCGTCGTTGGGTAGGGGAGAGGTGTTTATTTTCAGATCGGGATCGTATGTTACTTGGGGTCTGGATGAGGAGCAGAGTCAACGGTTCTTGAGGAATGTCATTCAGGGTAGAGATCTTCAGTATCAGGTGGAAGTGGGAAGATACCCGCAGATTGGTGATGAGGCCATGGATTATCTCTATGCTTCATCACAGTTGACACGAGCCCAGGGTGATATTATTGTCATTGGTCAACCACCGAAGACTTTCGACGCTGAAGCCGAATCCTCTTCTGAAGAAGCGACTCCAGTAGAAGAGACCGAATCATGCGAAGGAACCCCTTCCACCACTACTTCCCAAAATCCCTCGCCTGATGCAACTTCCTCAACCCCCTCCTCTGGCGCCGCTCCATCAACCCCATACACATCATTCGGCACAGAATGGACCCCCACCCTAGCCCGTCTCGCCTTCTCCCAAGGTCTCGCTCGCTCCGCCCGTCTCTCAGTCCAAGAATCCGCCCTATCCCGCTTCCTTTCCACCATATCCACCATCCCTGCACAACTCGAAACCTCTGGCTCAGTCCCTCTCTCCCGCACCTCGACAATCAAACACATGGGCACACTCCTTCGTCTCCGCCAAACCGCCAACCTGGACCGCGACAATTTCTATGACGAACCAGAAGTATACTGGGAAAACTCCAAGATGGAAGATCACTATCGCTCCATTTGCGCCAATCTCGATATCGGTCAAAGGTTCGAAACATTGAATGGGAAATTGGATCATTGTGAGAATCTGCTAGGGGTAGTGAGGGCATTGTTGACGGAGAAAACGACACATAGGATGGAGTTGATTATCATCGGATTGATTGCCTTTGAGGCTGGGTTGGCGTTACTGGGGCATGGTTGGGTTCCAACGCCCGGCAATGTCAAGGGTTGGTGGCGGGATATTAAGGATTACTTTGCTCCAGCAGTGGAGGGGTTGGAGAAGGTAGAAGAAGGGTTGGAGACGACGTTGGATCCCGATCTGGTTCAGAGAACTTCGGACGCCACTCCTCATCTGGTCTAGACATTGGGTCTTGTACTGTACAGCACACATACACACACACACCTCTCATTCACAATCAGACACAGTCAAACCTTTCTCTTTCGATGCGTGGTGACTTTTCCATTTCCGCGTGCTTCTACATTGATGGCAAAACCACCACAGTTTGCAGGGGCGAAACATTTGACAAGCTCTCCCCATCTTCTCCTGGCACCGCTTCGTGGGCAATTACCAAAAACGCAAACTTGCCTGGCGAAAGGAAAGTCACCTGCCAATGCACCTCCCTTTCTTCGCCTCTTGCCAAGCTTGGGCCTCTACGGGGAGCAGTAAATGTTCCATCAGCAATAATTACCTGTTCTATCAACGCTGGATCCTGTGCTCCGCTGGGCGAAGTGGGAACTAGCCGGATGAGAGGCTTGATGGGTCTAGTGAGTTTGTTGCCCAGTCTCGCGGTAATCGTGATAAAGTCCTGAGCGTGAATCGGGTTGCTTTCGTTGAATGTGAGGGTAAGGTGCATTGCATCTTTCCGTAGGTACGGCAGGGAGGCGTCGTCTAGGATAATCCCTCCGCCTGAAACCAAACCACGTAGAGGGACTTTGCCGTATCGCACCACATCCTCCCCATCGCCACCTCCAAGTCCAGAGAGAGAAAAGAGGGCAGAAGAGGGAAGAGTACGCCAAAGGCCATCTAACCGCTCTAACAGCGCTTGTCGATACCAGAACTGCTTCCTCGCTTCTTTTTCTTCCTCCTTCGAAAGCTGGATTTTGCTTACGATGAATTGTCGATTGTTGGCTTCTTTGTTCGATGGGATCGGTGGGAACATTCCATCCCCTATGGTCGGGCTGGCGTTGGAGGAAGGGGCGAAGGGCCGGCCGGTCGCAGGATCAAGCTCGATCCTAGGTTGGGGAAGGGTCACTTTCGTTGTACTTCCAGCCTGCAGTATCCGGTAGAGGTGGAGAGGGACCACCCCACCAGTGTTGAGAGTGAGGTGGAGAAGGATATCCTCCCGATGAACATTGGAGAGGGATAGAGTGAGGAGCCTGTATTCCGACTCGTCTGCCTGAGCTTCTGGTGTCACGGATAGCGGGTTCTCGCTTTTACCACTATCCGCAGCTTCAGATCCAACCACCTTGAGCCCAGCTGGTACCCTATCAGCAGAAGCCAAACACTCCTGCGTCAACCGTGCTGCCTCAGCAGCTTTAAGTGGTGCAATACTAAACCCCCTACAGACCACAACAGGATGCACCGTCACTCCAAACCCAACTTCCAGCGTCCTAACATAAAAGTTTGCCCCACTGATACCAGCTCGCACCTTCTCCCACTCTACGTGCGCGTATTCCACTGTCACTTTTGCTTGCATACATCCGATCTTGCCCCTCACTCGGATCGGAATTGTTGTGCTGGCCCCTGGTTCGATCCGCATCGCAAGCTGCTGCGGCTGCCCACCAGCTTGCGCCATGCAAGGTTGATGGAGAAGATCCCATTCAATCTCGTGTACGTCTTGCGGCAACAACTCTCCTTCGATCAGCGCTTGTTTTGCTGCTTCGCTTGCATCGTCAGAGAACGAGAGTCGGACAAAGTTCACATCTAGCTCATTCGAAAGGTTGAGCAGCTCCAGGTGAATGGTTTGCGTTTCGCCTTCGAAGATATCCACTCCGCCTGTGGGGTCCAGCTCGTGACAGTACGCCGCCAGCATGGGTTGTGCAGTTACCACGTTCACCTCCAGATACTTGCCCGTTGCTGCTTTCACATCACCATCAGCAGAGGTGCCAGATTTCTGTTTGAGCACCGACCCTCTCGCATCAAGACCCATCACCTTCAACCTCGTCCTCCTATCGTCATTCTCCGCAGCCACTTTCCTTCTTTGCTTTGCATTCTCATCATCATACAGCGGCAAATGGAAAGTTTGCTCTTCAGTACATCCTCCAGCGAGAGTTAGGGTGATACCTTTGATCGTGACCTTTCCTACTTCTTTCGCCGTACCTGCCAGCCGAACTGTTTGGAATGAGTAAGGAGGGATGGACACTCTCTCGGCTTCCTCCGGTACAAAAACTGCTCCTTCGCCGACGAGTTTGATCGTATCGACGTGAAGATCGACCGCGAAGGGGTTTTGGAGTGTAGCCATGACGTGAATCGCCTCATTCTGCACAGTGATGACCTTGTTCTTGCTTGCTGCACCACCGGAAGGGTTCCAGAAGAAAGGATTGTTGAGACCCGCTACACCTTGCTCCCCTTTCCCTCCCGCAGTAGTATCGGAATGGAGCAACTTCGCATCCCTCTCCAGCGGCATCTTTTCCGGCGCCAAGGGTAGCAGCTCTAAACTGCACAGCGGTTCAGGCGGACCCCAGTATTTCACCGCTAGATCCTGCGCTCCAGCCCACCTCGCAGCCTGCACCGCCCGCTGTATTCCTATCATCAAATCCCGTTGTTCTTCCGCCTCCAGCAGCTGGTGGAAGTCTCGCAGTAGGATAGCACCAAAGAATGCCATCCCGACATAATCCGAAAGAAGTTCAGCGATGGAAATCGTTTCTTTCAGCAGCGAAATTTGTTGTTCCTTCCACCCGAAAGGCGGTTCGCTTGCGATTTCCAGAGGGGTCAACAGTGCCGGCCCCGGGGTTGGAGCAGGATTGTTGGCTGCAGGCTTCCAGTCCTCCGATCCACCGAGAGTAGGCGAGGCATAAGCGCTACGCAAGCCTTCCGATGCCTTACTAAGGATGTGATAGGGTGGAATATTGCCCAGGGGATCGACCTCGACGTGGATACCGTATGTTTCGCAAATCTGCATGGCCAACACGAGTACCGCTTCTGGACCCCTGCCGAGGGAATCGAATGATGTTTGAGCGACGATGTTTCCGACCAACTTTCCAGCTTCCTTTCCGAACTGCTCCTCCTGTTCGATGGGGAAGGAGGAAGTGTTGGGTGGTCGCGCGGTCACCTTTTTCGCCTTGAACAGCAGACCAACAATCATCGATTGCAGTTGCCGAAGCAGATGCGCTTCTCTTCTCGAAAACCCGATGCAGCCAAAGATGGCCGTCAAGGTACTAAGCAACGTAATCTGATCGGTCGCTTTGAGAGCAACAATCGAATGACTGAGAGCAGAACTTGCTGCTGCGGCAATATCGTGTCTCGCAATACCCGACACAGCGGTGAAGCTGAGATACATCGCATTTGGTGGTTTCTCCTCCGCCAGTGCCGGTGGAACTCCACCGTAGACTAGCTGATCAAAACATTCTCCGTTCCATCCGCCTGATGCCCACACGGCCAAGAGAAAACGAGCGTACTGGGTGCAAGCACTAGCATGGATCAGCGGATGCGTATAGTCCCTTGGCGAATCGTTCGTTACCGATCGCACCGGCTCAAGTAAAACGCTGGGTGGAGCCAGACACTTTGAGTAGATGATAACTGCGATGGTGTACGCTTCTGCGATCTCTCCCCATGCTTGCTTTGCGTAGGGTCGGGCGATTCCGTCTTTCTCCTTCTCCTTCTCCTTTTCTTTCCCGGTGAGATTGGACCAAGGGAGGTCGAAACATGGCGCTTTCTCCAACACCACCCCTCCCATTCTTGATACTAACACTCTAGCGACGGCGAAGCCTTCAAGTGCACTGGCAAACCATACTGCATCTTGACCTCCTGCTAGCGCTCGCTCCTTACCTAGCGCGGTCAGTGCTGTGGAATATCCTTCTAGCGCGTCCCAAAGATTCCCTGAGAGCAGGTGAAGATCGGCCTTGACTTTCGCATATCTTCCTGTTCCCGTTGGACCTGTACCGGCAGCGCTTGTAACTCGCTTCGCGCTCTTCTTATTTGCGTTGGCTAGCAAAATCTTACTCCTAGTCGTGTTCTCCGATGTTGGTGACGAAGTGCCAGACCCAGGAGAAGCGAGCTCGTACGGATGTGACCGACCACCAATCGCACTCGAAGGTTTTGACGAAGTCGGAGTTGTCGTCCCCATCCCTACATCACCTGTACTACTGCTACTAAAAGCACCGAACAGACTAGAAGCTCGACTAGCAGCTGCACCCATCCCTGCCGCTAGCGACCCTGTTGCTGCTGTATTCGTTTTGCTCGACCACGAGCTCGTTGAAGCCGAAGAAGTGGCAGAAGAAGAGTTCCTGTTCGGTGCCAAACCGTCCAATGTCTCTCTTGGCGTTTCTAACGGTGTCCCATCCAAGCCTGTCACTATATGATCTAGCCCATCTAAGATACTCGCTACGAGATCAGCAAGCAGCGTCTTGAGGTAAAACCTTATGTCCTTCCCATCTTTGCGGACAGCGGGGAAGATGATCAACCCTCCATCTTTGTGTGCTGAGAAACCGGATGTGTCGGGTGAAGTTGGCAGCTGGGGTGAAGGCAATGAATCTGCTTGACCGTTTAGGCCGTCATTCGTCAGGTCTTGTTCTGTTGCTGGTGTTGAGGCTAGAGGCGAGGACGGACGTTTCCCAGCATTAAGTCTCGCTGCAACGACGTCTTTTATCGAACTCAAATCTACCGTTTCTGGCCGTTTCGTACCCGAGTCGAATCCAAATACTCGATGTACGAGCGCACCAGGATGCAGCTCCCTTAGTGCAGATGGCGCTGTTTCTAACTCGTGCTTGTTGAGTGCGTTGCTGGAGTAAGTCGCAAGACCTAATGCACCTAGGACTTGTCGATGCATATTGAAGGGCGCAAGGAACGAGTGGTCGGGGTCGTAGCTGGTTACGAACGATAGGTGCACTTCTCCTTTGTGGAGGATTGGTGATGAAGATGAGCCTGAAGAGGAGGAGCTGCCGGATGAGGGGCCTGCATTGGCAGTTCTACGTCGAGCCGAGCAGCTGGAAGGAAGATCGGCCAGCCGGATGGTCTCGAATGATCGCACATAGTCGCACCATCTTGCAAAGTCGGACTCGGAGATGCCTGCAACAGGTGCGAGGAGGATGCGGAGCTTGGCATGGTCGATGAAGCTGCGTCCGCCGATGGGTGATGGTGTTGGTGCTGCGTGGTGTGGGGGGTTGGCCTCCATGGTGAAGATGTCAGCTGCCCGACCTTTGAAGAAGGGAAGAGCAGCTGTTTCGGCGAGTAGCTCGATCCTCCACCTATCGAGCGATGCGAAGAAGAGGTCGAGTTTGACAGGCACCGAAAAAGAGGACGTCAAAGGTGTATGGTAAAGGCCAAGAAGAGGAGCGTGACACATTCCAACGAATTTGTGGAGCCGTCCGAGTGAAAACATGTGAGCTCTAGTTCGATCTCACATAGTCGCCGCCTTCGCTCATTTGGATATGCACCCTGTTGGCCCGGACCGCACAATACCCGAGGAGGAGAAGATAGTTGCCCTGTCATGCTTCAGCCGTGTCCACAGGATAGCATACCTCTGTATCGTCTTGTACTTAGTTCTTACATTACATCGCAATCGCTACTTGTGATCAAAGCTATTTGCCGCACGTTCTACAACAGTTCGCCTTCCTGCAATTGAACCATGCGGCGCTTTTTTTCGCGTTGTCGAATCGACCTTTCACACAACACCAATTTTTTCCGCAAAGGTTCGGATTGCCAAACGAGACAGGTCTCACGTGGGGTTGACGTTCAAACCCCTGTCTTCGGTTCAGCCTTGTCTTCTTCCTCAAGCTGGGTTTTGTGTGATGTTGAGTGTATGCTACATCACAAATGCCAGCAGTGCTATCGCTAGCGCTACTGTCAGTAGCCGTCCTTGTAATGCCCATAGTCTGGAAGCTGGAGAGCTGCTCGCAGCAGCTCCACCCTCCAACCTCGTCACATTATTCAGTACATCTCCCGCCACTACGGGCCCATCAACCGCTGGCCCATCCGAAAAGTTCACCAGCATAAACGTCGGTCTCGTCCCTCCATGTTGCCTCGTACAGCTCTCAACACCACTGAACACACCCCAATCCCCCGCTGCCGCTAACACCTGACCCAAACGGTCCTTGTTCGGATACTAAATCCCCATGCCCACCACCTCATCATTCACAAAAAAAAAAAAAAAAAAAAAAAAAAAAAAAAAAAAAAAAAAAAAAAAAAAAAAAAAAAAAAAAAAAAAAAGATTAATCAACCCCAACCTATCTCTCGAATTAATTGACCATTACATAGAGAGAAAAAACATTAGCGAATCGTTGGGGAGCATCACTTGCGCTGTCGCTTCATCTCAATCTTAGCCGACGAAAGACCTGTGCTACCAGGTGACGAGACAGGTGGCGTGGGAGCTGGAGCGATGGGCACATTTCCGGTTCGAATTCCGGCTACTGAGCCATTGGTGTTGGTTCTACCTCTTCCACTTGGCGCTCCTGCTGAGCCTGTACCGGGACCACCGCTGCCTGGCTTTCCAGAACTGCTAGCATTGCCGACACTACCAGCTGGTGCAATATTAGCGTTGCCTCCACTGCCACCACCGATCGAGCCGCGACCCCTGGCGTCGTTCCGCTGTGCACCGCTGGCACGGTTCCTCTTCTTGATCACGTCTGTCTTGAGGGAAAGCGGACGCACGACACCGTGAAGCTTGAGGAACAGGCCACATGCATTGCATAGTGGTTGGCCTTCAGGGTCACGTCGCCAGAGCGGGGTTTTGGTGGTGTGACAGTTGGAGCAGACCGTAGGAGGGTCGGCGGTCGCCATGGAGCTTGCCGAGGGTAGATCCTTGAGGTTGACTCCAGAGCTGGTGGAGAATCCTGCACTTGTTCCAGATACCGATCGAACAGGAGTGCCGTTGGGTGTACCGCTGGACATAACTCCCACTGTATTGCCTCGAGATGCTTCGCTCATCGCAGCAGCCTTCTGGATGGCTTGCATGCTGGGCGAAGCGTTCGAGCGCGGCTCGGGTGCAATTGGAGGCTCGCGTCGGAAGCTGTTGTTGAGAGGCGAGCGCTGGTAGTGCGCTTGTTGCACTCTTGGTGGCGTGGCTGCATTCGAAGGGGCGCTGCTCGAAGGACTGTAGGTCCAGTTGGACGATGCCTCGTCGCCAGACGCAGTCAGATTGTCCAGTGAGCCCGTCATAGCGTCCATAGATCCACCATTAAAGACTTGATTCGGGTTGATATGCGTGAAAGATGGCTGCTGTCCACCAAGGCTGGCATCCGAGTTGTAGAACATGTTCATGATCGCCTCAAGATCAGATGAGTTCTGCGCACCAGCTTGCAAGTTGGTCGGGACCCGGTTGGCGGCTGCACCTGTGTGTGTAATCGGCGAAGCACCGGAGCCACTACCTAAAGCTGCTTGTGGCGAAGCACTGGCACCCGATACGAAGTTGTTAGGAGTGCCAGCCTGCGAGGCCAGGGACTCGAGCAAGCTGTCAAAGTCGGTCGCCGCCTCGTTGCCATGGCTCGAAGACCTCATAGGCATCTGTTGGTTGAGACCACTTGGCTGATGAACGGCAAAGTCGAAGGTGGTAGTAGGCACGTTAGACAGCATGGACGATCCAGCGCCGCGTGGACCGAGCGATGCAATGTTGCGCGAGAGACCAGCAGCGATACGCTGATCCATAGTGATGGGCATCTGGATGGCCGGTCGGGCAGGCGAAAGATCGTCACGGAAGGGACGCTTGCGGTTGTTCATTGCTTCAGCGGCAAGCTGATCGCGTCGAGGACCTCGCGAGATGCTCCTCTCCCTCACCTTGTGGTCGAAACTGGTCTTGCGCACAAGTCGAGGGAGGAAACCGTATTCGGGATGCTGGTTAGCAGCGATGCCGACGAAATCACCGATACCCGGAATACTGTCGAGGGTGGAGAAGGGAGCACCGAAGCTGTTTGCTGCGCCGATCGAGGCCATGTCCAAGCTTGCCTTCTTTGCTTCTGCGGCCTTGTTGGAAGCTTCAGCCATGGCGTACCATGCATCAAGGTCAGAGCCAAACAAGTCTGTGTTCGCTTCCTTTCGGAAGGCCGTCTGCATCTGAGCCTTGCGCATAGCGGCACCTCCAGAACCCATCTCAAAGCTCGTGCCAGGTGCAGGACCCATTGCACTTGGTATCTGCAATCCACTGCCCATCTGACCATTGGATTGAAGCAGATCGGCAAAATCATCGGTGTCGAGTGCACTATCGAATGCGCCAAAGGCATCGGTGCCATCAAAGGCCGCGAGATCTGCAAAGCTGAAGGGAGCTCCTGCGTTTGGGTTGGGTGCTGAGCGACTGAACATGCTGGATCCATCCAAATTGCCTTCGTCGTCGTCGATAGTGTCCAAGCGCATGGGTGCGCGAGATCGCGATCGGCTTGCTGCACGCCAGTCGACATCCATGGCGCTCACCGAGCGCGAACGAGAACGGCTCTTGCTCTTCATCCTCCAATCCACAATGTCTACTGCACCTGCCGGCGGTCCTGCAGCCTCTGGGGTCCTGGGACTACGACCACGACGCCCGCGCTCCTCCTCTTCTTGCTGCAGCACTTCAGCGAAACGCGTTTTGCCTTTGACACGAGAAGATGGGTCGGCGGGATCGGTGCCATCCGCGGAGATTGCGGTGAACCCACCAGCGAAAGCAGCCGCATCGCCGAGGAAAGAGCCACTGCTTCTGCGCGAGTTGGCAGCTGACTTTGATGAAAGGGTTGGAGAGTGACGTACGCTTGAAGCGTGGCTTCTGCTCGCGTTCGATAGTGCTTCCTGTGCCGCCTTGGCTTCCGCTGCTTCCTGTTCCTTCTTTTTGCGCAGTGTCATTGCCATCATCCTCCACGTAAGATTCTCCATACGGGCGCCGTTGGGAAGCTGTGACCGTTGCTTGGCATACATCTTCCATACTTGCGTAGCGAGTGGATCCTTCTTGGTCATCTCCTCTGGATCGAGGTTTTGATCTACATGATCGTCTTCTGCGCCGGCAGAACCTCGGCGGTTCATGTTGAGCTTGGCAGGTAGCGCTGCAGCTTCAATCTCATCCGCAAAGCCAATACTTTGACGAGAAGGCGTTTCAGCCGTCGAGTGACGGTTGCTGCCATTGCGCTCTTGGGTCGGTGCTGGAAAGAAGCCAGCAAAGTCGGATGAAGCTGTCTCAGGGGACAGGAGGATATCTGGACCAGCGCGATGGTTGCTGAATTGCGAAGGTTGATGCGGTAGCTGCAACGCGCCTTGCGGCAGTTGTTGCTGTTGAGGTGCCTGGTGATGTGATGGCTGAAAACCTGATGGAGGCATCATTGCGATCTGATGAGAAACATACGAGTTCTGCGGTTTCGGTGCGAATGCCATAGCCGGTTGGTTGGTCCAAGAGCCGGGTGTGGGTGCTGTGGCAGCGTGCGGTGGAGGGAGGAATCCTGTGTGGGTGCTTTGGCTTCCGAAGGTGGAGCCGTACTCTGCGCCGATCTGACCTGCAATCGTTTGCTGATTCTGATTGAAACTATGAGCAGCATGTGGCATGCCGATTGGATGCGATGACGGGTTGTAAGCGAACCCAGCTCGGGAGGGTGAAGAAGATCGGGAGGGCCCGGCACTTGGAGCAGTTGAATGTGGGTTGGTTGAGTATCCGCTTGGCCTGCGACTGTGGCCTTGACTCAGATAGGAACCAAAAGGCTGCATCTGCGCACCTGCAGCACCAAAGCTACCTTGATTTGGAAACGGCGGTCTCGATGCAGCATCTGGGCTGGAGGTACCGCCAAAGTTGAAGGGAGAGCCGGGGCCTGCGAATGCTGGTGAAGGTAATGCTGGTCCGCTAGGAGTATGAGCGCCGCTGCCTGTTGGATGATGTTCGTTGCCGGGCATGTTGTCCATCTGGTGGCGCGCCAGATGCTGCTGCATTGCCTGCGAAAGCAGTGACATCTGAGGTATGGATGGGCCTTGCGACATGTCGAAATGGCAAGCTATGCGGCTGTCACCGGAGCCGGTGCCGGAGAGATGGGTAAAAGTGTCAGCCTCAGGCGGAGTGGGTGGTTTGCTCTCGCCCGAGCCGTAGTAAGAGAGAGGTTGATCGCTGCGTACGCTGGCGGCGGAGTTGTTTCGGTGATGGCCTTCAGATGGGACTAGCGAATCAAATGAAGAAAGACGGTCGGATGCGAAGAATGTGGCAGCTTGGGAGCTCGAAGGGGAGACTGACGCTGCGTCTGACTGTTCTGCCTCGTTTCTCTGTCGATGATGCGGCGAAAGATGCGACTTGGACAGAAGTTTGGACGAGCGCGTATCTTCTGTGAGCGGTGTCGCCGAACCAGAGCAAGGTGGTGTACGGGGCAGCATATGAGGAAGGCGTGGTGTCAAGTGTCGATGAGTTGAGTGATGATCCACGTTCATTGTCGTGCTCGGCCAAAAAGGGACGTGTGCCGGATCGACAGCAGCGCAGAGTGAAATGGCAATTGGCCGGAATGACGAGACAAGATGGTGGTGAAGGGAATGATTGCAAAAGCAGATTGCAGAGAGAGGAAAGGAGACGGTGGAAGTGGATGAGTAGGACGAACTGGAAGGTAGGAAAAATGAGGTGTGGAAACAGATCGCCAACAGGTCGATTGGATGAGAGATGGGTCGTCCAGACGAATTGGACCTTCTGTCCACGAGAATGCAGCGCGTAAGACTCTCAAGGAGGCGGGTGATAGATGGACGGGGATGGCAAGGAAGGGATGGCAAGGAAGGGAGGACGATGAAAAGGCTTACCTTGTAGAACGAGTGGCTAATCGGCAGAATTTGTTCGCAGCCAACTTGGCGAAAGGCAGGATTGCAACTGTGCGTAGCGTGTGCAGGTGTGTAGTTTGTTGAGATGCCGGCGGCGATAAAGGGAAATGTCGCGAGTAGCGATGGTTACACCAGATGTGATGCGAAAGTGTTGAGCTGAGCGACAGACGGGTCGAGTCAGATGGACATGCGGGACAAGCAAGGAACGAGAGACGAAAGTTGATCTAACCGGATACAGGCGCAAGAGCAGAGCGGTCAATCCGAGCCGAGTGAAAGCGTGTTAAACGAGAAGGGATGGAGCGAGACGTCTGGAAAAAGAGAGTGTGTATAGAAGGCGACCATGCGTGAGTCGGGATGGAGGAGTTGAGGGGACGATGGGAGGCCAGTAAACGAGGGTCCTCTGGGCGTGATTCGGTGGTTCGAGCGATCAATCCAAACTATCGATTCACAGTTGATTTTCAGAGACAAAACACGGTGGGAGAAAAGCGAGGTGAGACTAAAAAATCGTCAGCCGGCATCCAAGCAGCAGAGAAGCGGTAGCAGCAGCAATAGCAGCAGCACACACAGCCCAACCGCCCAACCGCCTGACCGCCCAACCGCCTGACCGCCCAACCGCCTGAAGCTAAAAATTGAGCGTGAATTCTTGGAGAAATACAATATAAAGAAAAGGAAAAGGAAGAAAAGGGAACCGAGGCGTGGCGGCGGAAAGGCCGAAAGCGCAGTCATCACTTGACTGACTTGCGAAAGCTCTCTCGGGCTGTTTGGCCTGCCTGCCTACCAGGGAAAGGGAAGGAAGGTGCCCACCGTCCAAGTAACGACCAGCGTTCCTTGCCAAATTCGACAGCCGAGCACCAGAGCGGGATCCACGCCGGGTTCAGGCGAGGACGGTGACCGTTCACAAGCCAAGCCACAGTTTTGCGGGTGGTGGTAATGATGTTGGATTCACAAAGCAAACAAGGATTTGATCCAAGCGATCAAGGTGTTGAATAATGAGGAGACACACATCAGCCATCTCGTCCTTGGCAAATCCAAGTCGCCACCGACCGAACTTGGTCCGTGTGTAGCCTGCTACCATTCAGTTGATCATTGCACCCACTCATCCTCCTAGTACCGCTCAGTCGGTCTTGGCATTCCATCGAATGTCATCTAGCATTTGACTCTCAGCAACATCCATCTAGCCGGATTCCAAAGGACCGGCGAACATGGTCAGGATCGTCGACATCCCCCTCTTGGCCCAAGCATCGTCCGAGACTCAATCCCAGCGCCTTCCAACACCGACCGGGATATTCGACAATTCTGGGCCAAAGCCGCTCCCTCATCTTTTCACACAGTCTTCCTCGATGTCTCCTTCTACACTGTTCGCGGTTGGGACGTCTCTATTCGACACAGCTTTACAACAAAGCTACTCTCATACCAAGATCAGTTCTCAAGCTGCAAGACACTGCTTCCATCATGACTGTCACGGGTCAAGAGCAAGATTGTCGCTCAAAAGTCTCATCCCGACTGCAAAGCTCAAATAGCTTTCCCATCCTAGACTTGACTCTCCACGCCGGTCTCTGAAATTCGTGAATTTTGATTGGCTTGATAACAATTGTCTCCTGCCAAAGATAAGAAGCAAGTGACACAGGCACCCGCCTAACTTTCCCGCTGACAGTCAAGCAGAACATGCGGGTCAGAAGCGCCACACCAACCATAAATTTCGGCGAATCTCAATTTGCTTTCACCCTCACTGAGAGAGAGAGTCTCCACGCTCAGGCCATCGGAGCTGCCTTTCTACCCCATCTAACCTCGTCCGCCAGGTCGGAATCCACCGACAACCGCCAACATCGTCAGATCGGTCGCATTGCAGCTTCTCTTCGCGACTGCTTTTGAACTGAAAGCTCTCCTTCTTCCTTCAAATCTTAACCAATCTTTCACGCGATGAGAACAAGAGATACTATACTGTTCTTAATCTATATTGCTACCGAGAAATCTATTTGCATGATATCAATGTCAAACGCCTTTACTCGTCATCAGTGTCGGCTTCACGCTCACCACCGTATGTAAGCCATCGGCTGAGACGCAAACGACGACGTTCCTCCTGTGCCTTTTTGTCGTTACGCGTCATCTTCTTCTTGCCCTTCTTGGCCTTGAACTTGCTCATGTCCTGATCACCCTCATCGCCCGAACCTGCCGGTGTGGGGGCAGCCGACGAAACAGGTGTACCTGCCTTGGAGGCGAGACGTGAAGCTGCAGTGCTGCCTGGCATAGGTGTACCAGGAACAGAAGCACCAGGAGTGGAAGCGTTCTCCATCTCGTCCAAGAATGCACCTTCGGCAACCGAACCCTTGGTCCTGTTGGTGATGCGACCGTGGTCGACGTTCCAGATTTCGGGGCAGAGCGCACCGACGAACTCCATGTTGTGCGAGATGATCACCACTGCACCCGCCCAGTCGCGGATAGCAGTGGCCAAACCACCAAGGGCATCACGATCCAAGTAGTTGGTAGGCTCGTCGAGCACGAGAACTTGAGGGTTGTTCCACATGGCAGCAGCAAGCACCACCTTGACCTTCTGACCACCAGAGTATCCGCCAACAGCGTGGTGCTGAGCGATCTCACCCTGCAGACCAACCGCCTCGAGATGCTGTCGGATGAGCTTAACACTGATCTCTCGCGAACCAGCACCCTCTCGCGATGCCTCAAAGTCGTCAAACTGCTGGACGAGCTTGCTGAATCCGAGTTCGAGTAAACGCTCACGAGGGATCCACGAGTTGTGCTTGTGCTCATAACCAACCCACTTGATCTCGTACTGGTACGACTTTTTCAGCTTTTGACGACCGACAATGTACTCGACCTTGCGCGACTCGCCTGTGGTCGACTTGATCGGCGTCTCCATCTGCGCCTTCTCCTCGTCGGTCATCTTACGCGAAGCCTTCTCGGTCATCTCTCGGTCGTGACCATCCTGGTAACGCCAAGCAATGTACTCGACGGCCGACTTCTCCAGATGCTGCTCCAAGTGGTGGAAAGCGTGCTGAGCCATCATGGCAATACGCAAGTTGGGGTGCTTCTCCACCTTACCCTGCTGAGGTACGACTTCACCGGTCAACACCTTGATCAGGGTACTCTTACCAGCACCGTTCGGACCCAGCACACCGACACGGCTCGAAAGGCTGATAGCACACGAGGTCTCGTTGAGAGATGGCTTGCTCATGCCAGGGTAGGTGAAGGTACAGTTGGACATCTTGAGGATGGTACGTGTGCTGGAACGCACTCCCATCAGCGAACCGGGAGGAGGGAACGAGAACTTGACCGTGGTCGCGGCAAGCGAGTAGTAAGCCTTGGCTTCTGGTTTGGTCTTGACAAAGTCAGAGAGGTTACCCTTGTAGTAGCGCAACTTCTTCTTCTCATAGTGGATGATGTCGGTGCAGATGTTATCGAGGAAGCCTGAGTCGTGCGAGACGGTGACGACGGTGATCTGGTTGTTGGTGACGAGGAAGTTCTCAAGCCAAGCGATCGACTGGACGTCCAGATGGTTGGTGGGCTCGTCGAGAAGATAGACAACTGCGTCGGAAAGCATGGCACGAGCAAGCTCGAGCTTCATCTTCCATCCACCGGAAAGCGAAGAGACGGGGTTCTTTTGCTTCTCGTCATCGAAGCCGACTTCACGCAGCTTCTCGGCGATCTGCTCGCGAGTCTTGCTGACGAACTCCTTGCTGTTGGCAATGAAGTCGATGATGGGAGTAGAACCATCCTCGCCCTGCAAGCTGTGCTCAACCATGACGGTACGCACTTGATCCTGGGTGGGGTAGCCCTCAACCTTGCCGTCGCGCATCGCCTTGAGCAATGTCGACTTACCACTACCGTTGGCAGCGACTACACCGTAACGGTGACCGCGGTAGAGCTTGAGGGTAGTGTGGTTGAGCAAGAGAAGACCACCGTAAGCGAGCGAGAACTCGGTACGGCAAAGGCACTCGCCAGCCTCATCGTCATCCTCCTCTTCGGAGTTTCCGAAGCGAGCCTTGTCAAGTTCGACGTAGGTCTTGCGGAGATCAGCAGTGGAAGTCTGGGCAGCCTCGGCATCCTTGCAGATCCTGCGCAGGTAAGGCTGGACGTAGACATCCTCCCATGCACCAGCGTGAAGGACACGCTTGTTAGCAAGACGGACGATGCACTTGGCGAGGTATTCGAGACCAGTTAGGGCGAAGGTGTCGCTCTTGAGGTTGGCGTGCTCTTCGGACACGTAAGCCTGGACGGCAGCGATCACGGCATCGAGGGCAGCAGCTCGGTGCTGGTCAAAGACCTTCTTGGGGTCCTCAGTCACGGCGTTAGCGCCGACGGCAGCAGTAGCGGCAGTGAGAGTGTCGAGGGCACTCTTGGCGTGTTCACGGACCTCAGGGAAACTGGCACCCTTGTGGATACGCTCGACACCGGGAGTGAGCTCGGGCAAGAACTTGGCAGCCTCGTAGGGGTCGCGCACCAGCTTGCAGAGGTTGTCAACGACGACAACGGTCTGTCGCTGCACATTCTGGCTACGCTCGTTGAGGGCACGCGAAAGCAAAGGAACCATGACGGCAAGCGCAGGGCCAGTGACCTCAGCGACAAAAGTGGTACCGGAGAGCTTCTTGATGCATTCAGTGACCGCGTCGGGCTGAGCCATGCAACCAACGAGATCTGGAATGAAAGGTCGAATGTCCTTGTTATCGAGACACGCTTCGCAAACCTTGATAGCTGTCTTTCTTGCCTGCTTGGAGATTTCTGATTTAGTCTCGTGCATGGCCTTGGTAAGGTAGGGGATGAGTTCGACGAGCTCGTCACCGATCTGCTCGCTGGCGGAACCACTGAGACGGCCAAGCAACTTGAGTGCGCCCACCTTAGCCTGCCATTTTGCGCTACCGGAACCGAGAACCTCGTAGAGGACGGCAAGGAACTCGGGTGCAGCCTCGGGAGGAACAAGAGAGAGAAGGGAACCAGCAGCGGTCTCGGCAGCTTGACGCACGACCTCGCCCTTGTCGGCGTAGAGTTCGAGGATGGCGGGAAGGGTGTGGAGGAGCCATGGCTCAGCACCAAGAGGGCTGGGAGCATTCTTGCCGCCGACCTTGACAAAGATGGCGTCGAGGCCGATCGCAGCAGCTTCACGCTCGTATCCGCTCTTCTTGTTTTTGGATGCCTTGACGAGGCTGTCGAGGATGCCTTCGGATTGTAGGACGCGGAGACCGTTCTTGTTGATGTATTCTGCGAGCTGCTCTGCGGCGGCGTAGCACTCTTCAGCGGAGGGTGCTTTGTAGATGGCTTCGAGAGCCTGTGCTGCGCTGGACATGGTTGTGTCTGTTTGCGCTTTTGGGTGGGGAGATTGAGATGGAGTGTGTTATCAAAAGCGGAGAAAGGCCCGGGTTTAGAGAGTAGGAGTCTAGCTTGACGTCTCGAAGGGTATCAATGAGAGGATCAGGGGATGCTGTTAAGGTGCTTTCCGAATAAGACTGGCGAAGACGTTTTCGATATACAGCTGATTGCAAGCTGAACGCGTTTTGAGGAGACCGAAACCAAGAGTGGTGGTGTACGAGAAACAAGAAACAAGACCGAAATTCGAGCCGCCTGTAAAGAAAGAGGCGAAGCTATTGACTCAAGGGACTGTCGATAGACGGGGATGAGGGAAGAGAGGGAGGTTGGAAGGCTGCTATGATCTTCAGGGGTGTGTGACACTTTGGCCCTCCTGCAATCTGAGCCCTGAAATTTCCTGTCTGCTGTTGGTCTGAGTTCTGTAGCGGCGGACAGACAAGATTTTTTTTTGAAGGGCTCTCTCTCTCTCTCTTTCAGGAAATTTTGCGATTGCGACTGACTGATTTTCTTCTGAATCGACACTCAGGACGTGTGCGACACAAACACACGTTCCCTCTTGACCTTCTCGGATTTTGTCGCTTTGAAATCCCACACAGCAGAGCAGGAATGAACAAGAAAAAGGCTCCTAGGGTTCAATCCCTCAGGTTCAGGGTGAAGCTGAAAATCCAAAAATCGCCAAACACAAAAAGCCGACATCCGAGATCTGTCAAGAAAGGGTTCAAGATCGGGTTCAAGATCAGGTCAAAGATCGGACTAAAGATCGGGCTAAAGATCGGCACGCGACGCGACTCTCTGCCTTCGCTCAGCCGGAAGAAGGCCGACCAAAAAAAAAAGAAAAGTGTTGGTCTCTGTACGCAGTGTGAGAAGCTCGGCAACTCGGTCAGACCCTGGAACGCTCGAGCTGTGCGAATGCCAGCGTCCATAGGATCGCAAGCTCAAGCTCTCGTTGTCATTCATCCTACCTCCAACCAGGCTTGCTGCTCAACAGTCTCAAGCTTCGTCTCTTGACGTCCGATCGCAGGCGATCTGTTCCCACCATCCTCCGTGACAATCCGGAACGATACCGACGCACAGACTCAAAGTAGCTGGACGAACATCTCGACATCTCTCGCTCGACCAGAAGATGGATCGCACATCGTCAAGCACTAGTCCTCCAAGTCGGCGTTTGAAACCCATTCGCAGCGCCTTCTCCTTCCTCGCGTGATCATCTCTCCATCACCATCAGCTACTGTCCAAACGAGAAATTTTTAGCAAGCTTGCGCTCGGATCAAGTCGAACGCTCTCTCGATCACTCCTATCATTCGCAACCACAGCCTCGGCCTTAGGTATGGACCAACTTCGTCGCAACTTGCATGCTGCGCAGCTACGCGAATCGGTGCATCGGCCGCACTACCCTTCGCCACTCAGGCAATCGCCCTTGCAAGCATCCATATCATCGGCTTCTCACACCGCAGCTTCTGTGGCTAGCTCCTCTCGCACCACGGTCTCAACATCCACTACGCCGCCTTCTACATCGTCCCGCTTCTCGATCAATCAAGCCTTCAAGGATCTCACCGATAATGACATTGACTTCTTCGATCGACTCGTCAACCACTTGCCGCATCATGCTGCCGACTTCTCGCAACTCAAGACGGCGTATGCAGCGCATGTAGCCGAGGAGCTGAGTCGACGCAACCGTCATGGCACCACAAAGATCGACTGGGACGCCCACCTTTGGTCGATTCTGCTCAGTCTCGTCAAGGTTAGGGGAAAAAATTGGCGGGAACGTTGGGACTCGGTGCGTCTTGCCTTCGGTCTCGATCCAAACAGTGGTGACGAGACTGACCAGAGCGCGGTCACACAAAGCACTAACATCACCGCCACCAGCGACTCAACCCAGCATCTAGACGAGCGCTATCCTGACCGTGAAGTTGACGACTCTTACCGCCAGTACGTGCGCGCCGCGCGGCATATGTCAGGGCTGCCTGCAGATCGTACCCCTCGTCGTAGCGATCAAGGACGCCCCATTCTTCCTCCTCACGATAGGCTCTTGCTTCCACGCGCAAGCAGTCCGCCGCAAATGCCACACAGCTCCCACCGAGCGTCACCGAGATCCTATCCATTGGACGACCCAGGTGAAAGACCAGAAGCAACTCCACAGGCACGATCTCATGCCAAAGATCCGATCTCCGCAATCCAGGCTCGCCTCAGCCGTCTGCTCGATCCGGAGTCAAGTGCAGACGGAAGCAGCGACTCCGACTCGCCCGACCTCGCCGTTACTGCGAGGTCAGCCCTTCCAATTGACGTTGCCAGCCCTGGCCTCAGCTCAAGGCTCCCCACGGATGCCAAGCGACGCTTCGACGAGCTTGTCCGCTCCTCTCAATTAGAGCGGTCGATGCTTCGCCAGTCAAATATGCAGATGCAAGAGAGAGAAGAGCTCGAAAGATGGAGCGAGCAACTCGACATGGCCGATCAATGGCAAGCTCGTCGTCTGCTTCAAATGTGTCTCGCCTGGTGGATCACCTTAACCCGTCAACAGCTCGAAAAGACACAGAACGCTGCCGATGCAAGTGACCGAGTCACGATCGACAAAGCTTGGGAAAGGTGGCGAGCACAGACTCGACGCGAGAGCGATGTCAGGCATACAGGTGCAAAGACGGATCGGGTGCGATGCAGCCTTACAGCCTTCAGGCGGTGGAAGACTCGTATGCAGACTCTCGTCGAACGCAAGGAGGAGCTCAAGAAAGAGTCCATGCGGACAGCCTATTACGCCACGAGCAATGCAGTCAAGACTCGCCTTCTGGTGCACGCGTTCAGCAGATGGAAAATCAACTACCGGGAAAGGCTTGCAGACAGCGTCCGTCGCAGACACTTGCAAGCTGGTGCCTTCGCTCTATGGCAGATGCGCTCATCACACAACAAGCAGCTTCAAGCTCGGGAAAATATGATGACAGCCAAGCGAAAGTATGCAGTCCTATCGCAAGTGTGGGAAGCGTGGACGGACCGGTTTGACAAAACTAAAGCTTTGAATCAATTTCGTGTCCACCATGACAGTCTTTTGGCTTTAGAAGCACTTCACACGTGGCGAAAGATGGCCATGCTATCCCGACTCTCCCAAGCCTTTGCAGAGCGTCGTCTGAAGCTGGCAACGATTGATGGATGGCAACGTGCACTCGAGCAGCGGCAACAAGCTCGAAAGCAGGAAGTGCTTGCGGTTCGATGGCGCATGCGCAGACTCAAGCAGAATATCCTGACCGGATGGCAGCGTCACAGGCAACAGATCGCTCAGTTGGAGCACCTGGCGGTCAACATGCAGAAGAGCAACGAGCAAGCGAAGCTCCAATTCGCGTTCCATCGTTGGCAGCTGCTGTCGCGTGCTGCGCTCCTTGAGCGCGTCCACACTGCAGGCCGACTGGAAATTGCCTTCCATGAGTGGAAGCACCACCACCGCTCCTTGACCACGAGCTTGCAACAGCGAGAAACCGCTGTCGTCCAGCGCCGCAATGGAGCAACAAAGCTTGCATGCTTGCGACGATGGCGTCATCTCACCAATCAGATCCGCCATAGGGAGGCAGAGGTTGAAGCCCGCCGCAACGAGAGGCTTCGTAGCGACTCTTTCATCACATGGCGACAGAAGCAGCTGGAGCACCGGCTGCTCCATCAGAAGTCTGTCGCTGTTTCTGACTTCTTCGCGCTCCGTTCGGCTTTCCAGCGATGGCGCAGTCAGCTCAGGGAGCAACGTGCCTATAGCAAAGAAGCCACTCACAACCGGCGTCTTGTACAGCAGGTGTACGAGATCTGGCGCGCTCGTTCAGACAAACAGCGTCATCTGGCTAACCTCCTGCAGCTGTCACTTGCCAATAGCGACCAGGCGCTGGCTCGATCTTACCTCAACCGATGGGTGGCCAGGATCATCGAAGTGCGGAGCAGAGAACTGGAGGTCAAGGAGCAGAGAGAGAAGCGCCTCGTCAAGGCGGCATTCTACGCTTGGATTGAAGCCTGCTTGCGTCACGACGACCTGTTGGCTTTGATGAACAGCTACATTGACGTCAAGGAAGAAGATCGGAAGAAGCGCACCTTCTCACACTGGCTCGCCGTCGCCAGGGAACACAAGGAAAGGCGGGAGAAAGCTGAGATGCTGGCCGCTTCCACGCGGAAGAGAATGCTCGTTGCTACACTCACCGCTTGGCGAGACAAGCTGAGAGATCGGGCGCTGGCGACACAAGAGTACGACATGCTGATCCTTCGGCAACAGCTCTCTTTGAAGTGGGCAATCAACACTTGGAAATCACAGACTCTCTTGTTGCCGGCAATTCGGATGCGAAACACTTCTCTGAAAGGGCAGACCTTCCAGCAATGGCAACGCAACCTACCGAATGCTCAGCTGTCGAATCAAGCTACGAGAATCCTTCGTACACGACTTCTCGGACGGAGCTGGCAGGCTTGGCAAGAGCAGCTCAAGACAAGGCGTCAATTGCGAGCAGCAGCTCGCTTCGGCGCAGGCACGGTCAGTGTGCAACGCCTGCGAACGCTTTCGGCTGCAGCTGCCGCGAATCGATCAACAGGTTCCTCATCGCCATCCGCACAACACTCGTCCTCCCCTTTCCGCGCGTTGCCAGCCACCAGCACGTCTCCTTACAGAGCAACGCCTGTGCGTCGGCCAAAGACAAGTCTCGCTTTGGTGCCTCCGTCGCGCTCCAGCACCGTGGAGAGAGACATCGATACACGCGCGAACGATAATGATGAAGACAATGTCCGTCAAAGCCGGCAACGACGATCCCAAGCTGGGGTTCCAAGGCGCAGCTTGTCGGTGCCGAGGCAAATCAAAGCCGATCTAATCAGCGAGACCGATGATACCCCACATCATGCGATGGGCACGGGGTCCGATCGCTTCGTGATCCCTGAGTCGCCTTCCAAGGAGGCCGCATCTCGCCGAAGCCGAACCGTACCAAAAGAGACCACCCCCACCACAGCCAGCGTTAGTGAGCGGAGCCGCTTTTCCCTTGCTCTGCAGTCTTCCAGTTCATCGATTTCAGTCGCGCACGAGCCTCTTGGCGGGGCATCTGCCAAGACGCTTGCGGGATTGGGCCCCACTCTATTATCTGTTGCACAGAGAGCAACAATTAAACCACAAACTCAGAGCGGTTCCGAGTCGCAGTCCAGAACAAGGCGGTCAGCAAAGTACGACCAAGCGTTGTCATTGAGACCGAGGGTCAAGACAATGGAGCTCAACCCACCTCTGACCAAGGACAGCCACGAGTCTGGCGACTCGGTTGAATCTGCCCCTGTCTCAAATAATATCGCTGGCCAATCGAGACCCAAGGAGCGCTCCTTGGCGGTGGCAGAAGACATGATTCTGCAGTTGCGAGTGCGATCTCGTTCACGTCGAGGTCCAGAGGAATGACCGACCCGGGAGGAAACGTTGGGTGAATAAGTTACTACATCGATACCCTGTTGTGAACCCAGCAATTTAAGGTCAAGAGCTATTATAGATTGAGTCTACTTGTCTTGTAGAGTGACATGAAGGAGCCGCAACCACACGCTACCTTGTTTCCCATCAACAGCTGAACGATCAACACGTCACTCGCAAATTTGCTCGAGTTCGATTGCGCGAGACACATAGAATCAAGACTGTTGCTGTATGAGGCCTCACTAATCTCACATCGGCCCCATATTCCTGGCTAGAATGTCTTGTATTGTGGGACTAAGTGAGAGTCGGCGTCGGGTGGCGATAGCATGGTGACGAAAACGAATTGTTGCGGAACACTTGACTTTATTGCCCTGTCATATGAGCCGTACTCTGACAGACCAAGAAATCCCAAGCATCTGATGCCAGTCTCTGCAAAGGAACGGTACACAGCACTGCCTTCAAAGATGGTTAAGTAGTGTTTCTCCAGGGCAGTAGACCAACCCCCAGAGAGATGGGCGTCTCTCTTGCCCTCGTCGCCCATAGCTACCACATAACAGCCAGCCTGGTTGCTCCGAGTCAGTTCAACCCATCCCTCCTTTCCAGTGAACCATCCTCCGTCAGCTTTCTTGCAAGTGAGAGTTGCTAGATCAGCGCTCTGTGGGAGTACCACGGCCATTGTCGTTCGTAGCAAACGACAATCACAATGCAAGTTTCAAAGGCACTATGCATAAGAGCGTCTACCAACAGAATGCTTTTGCCTGGCTCATGAGACCTGATTCGACGGATGCCAGCGAAGGAAACAACATCTTCCCAAGTGTGAGCATGCTTCAGATCGAATACAACGGTTTACCCTTTCTTTCATTGTCTAAGCTTCCCCCTCAGGTCATTAGTGGCTTCTTAACAATAGAAGAGTGGAAGGTTGAGAAGAATCCAATGCTCCTGGACACAGCCCCAGGAGACGTCCGTCTGCAAGCATGGTTTCTTGTCCCCACCGAAATGTAGCAACGCTTGCTGATCCGGTTGTCATAGTGAAGAAATCTCATTTCACTCAAGCCAGTGCGCAGCTACTGTACATCCTTTTGTCGAGTCGATTGATGACAACGAGAAGGTCCGCCAAGGTTCTCCGCTCAAAAACGGAGGTCTTGCGAATCGGCACAAATTCGTCCTCTCTGGAGCGCACTTTCATCCTACTCAGTCTCATGCCTTCCTGCTCCAATCAGTCAAGTCATTGTCTCAAACAAGGTTTGACATTCACGACGTGAGATTAAACTACTCAGCATCGGCAACATCTTCAGCCGGAGGAGGATTGCCACGAGCAGTGGCAATAGACGAGGTGGAGATGCTTTCTGGCATGCCTCCTTGTGTTGTCGGCGAGGTAACGTCTGGTGTCCTGCTCGTAGGAGTGTTTGGCGTTCCGGAATCCACTCCCCCCACTGCGGCCGCAGCAGCAGCAGCAGCAGCAGCATCCTTATGCCTCTTCTCCCGCTCCAACCGCCTTGTAGACTTCGACCTAGTCGGACGCTTCCCTTCCTTAGTCTCCCTCGTTGAAGCCGAGATGCTCGAATCACCCTCATTCGCCGCTGTTGCTGTTGTTTCTCCCTCCACCTCCCCACCATCCCCTGCTCCACCAGCATTGCTAACATCATCTTCACTGCCCCCCGCACCCGCTCCACTCCCCGTAGGAGGTGTAGGAAAAGTCATCTGCGACCCCATAAACGCATGTTGCAATAATTCATCCGCACTGGGCCTATTATTATAATCCAGCTCAAAAGTTTTCTCCAAAAAGTCCCTGCACTCATTACTGATCTCATCCGGCAAACTCGGTTTCCTCCCCATCCCAATCTGGAACAACGCTTGCATCTGATTCAAATCTGCCCATGGATGCGTACCCGAGATCATCTCTACCACTAGACAACCCAACGACCAGATATCCGCTTTAATCGTGTAGCTCGTCTGCTTAACCACCTCTGGTGCCATCCAGAATACACTTCCTTGCAAACTAGGTCGGTGAGCTGCACCGCCTGCGCCTGCGCCTCCAGCACCGCCTTTGTTCGTGGCGAGAACAAGATCCGATTCGACCTTCTTAGAGATACCAAAATCAGAGATCTTAATACCTCCTTTGTTGTCAACGAGAATGTTGGCTCCTTTGATATCACGATGCATAATCCCACGGTTGTGGAGGAAGGAAAGACCTTTTAGGATCTGTCGGACAAAGTTGCGGACGAGAGGTTCTTCGAAAGCGCCGTAGTTGCGGAGAAGAGCAACGATCGATCCTCCGGGAACGTATTCTAGGAAAATATTGAGATGGGAGCCGTCGGCAAAAGAGTCGAGGTATTGGACGATGTTTTCGTGCTCGAGGGTCTTGAGGAGTTTGATCTCGGATTCGAGGGCGTCTAGCATGCCCTTTTTGCGTTGGTCGAGGTGTGAGTCACCGGAGGGGAGTTCGACTTGTTTGACGGCCATGAGAAGCCCGGTTTTGGCATTCATACCGAGAAAGACGTTACCAAAAGAACCGGCACCGATGAGAGCACCCTTGTGCCACTTGATAGGAGCCTTGTTGGCTGAGGGTACATAGACGTCGCTGCCCTGACCATCCTCATCGGTATCAGAGCCATCCGAGTCAACATCCGAATCAGTAAAGTCGGAACCGGATTCATCATCGCTATAGCCGCCATGGTCGTCAACAGAACGGCGAAGTTCCGAGACAGAGCTAGCACGGGATGTTGTGCTTCGTGCAACGGCCATGGGGTCACCAAGATGACGATCAGACTCATCCCCGGGAGCTTGCAGCACCGAGGAAGTGCGATCCGCAGCATTGCTGGCCATAGTACGGACAGAAGCAGCTTTTGATGCGATGGTGTGCGCCTTGGTCGTGCGTGGCGAACCCTCGAGGTCAGAGGACTGATTCGCCTGTTCATCATCTTCACTTTCGTGCCCAACATGACTGACATGAGCGTACGCTGATGAGATGCCGCTCAAAGGACGTATTGAAGCAGCAGCGGAGGAGGACCTGGCCGATGAAGCGCCGGGGATCGGGATCGGGATAGGAACACCGTCCTCGTCCATCACCCAACCTCCACCAGCACCAGCGAGCGAGATGCTCTCTCTCCTGTTCTCGACCTCCTGCGTAATCTCGTCGACGGTTAACAGACTGGCCACATCGGCATTGCGCTCGCGAGCAGCACTGAGACCGTGTCGCACCTGCGAAGCCAAGCTGCGTCGACTTCTTGCACTCTCACCCGATGCACGACGCGACGTGGAAGGTCGACTGGTGAAACCGCTGGTCTGCGATGAAGACTGCTGCATGGCAGCATGATGATTTTGCTGCGAGTGACCGGTGTGGCTATGCTTGCTAGGCTGGAAGGTAGAGCTGAATTCGGACACGGGCGAACCAACCGCCTTGAGATCGCGTGACCAATCGTCCAACGAGTCGCGACCCACCACCGGGGGCAGGGTCGGTGGCCCTGTAACCGGATGCTGTAGATGAGATGTGGACCCGGGAGACAGGCGATGATTGTCGTTCGAGTGGCCATCTTCCGAGCGCGAGTCGTATCCGATCTGAATGATTGGTGTTGTGCCGCGGTCTCTGATGGACGCCGATGATCTTTCGAGCGCCTGGCGACCATCCAGCGACTCCTTGTTGGGCAGAGGCGGCGCATCTTGGTCAGCAACGAAACTCCAAGTACTGTTGCGCTTCGAACGTGTACTGGCGGAAGCTCGACCGTAGATGGACCTTCTCGCAGTACGCTGTAGAGCTTTCGAGTCGGTGGAAGGGAAGAAGTCGGCAAGGTTGGTATTGATGAGTTCGGAAGGAGGACGTTGGCCGAAAAAGTTGCGGATCTTGCTTGGCTTGCTGGTGATACTTGTTGGAGAGATCTGCTTGGCCTCTTTCTTCGGTGCAAGTTTGCCGTCCGCTTTCGTAGAATCTCGGTGGTTGTTGCTATGGCCAGAGCCGCGATTATTATGACTGCTGCTGAAAGGACCGACACCAAGACCAGACATGATGCTGACGGTGGAGGCACGCTTCATCTTCTTGCCACTGATGGTGACACTGCCTGCATCTCCCTCATCTCCGTTCGGCGCTGATCCTGGACCAGCGGGCTGCATCTGCGCGACGGGCATGCGCTCTCCAAAGAAGGCCTCGAGCTTGTTCCTGCCCGATCGCAGCGGCACTCTGCGGGCGTCTTCTCCCGGGAGGTGGTTGGGAATCCTTCGCAGGGTCAGACCACGTTCTCTGAGTGGGTCATGCGGTTGTGGAGCGTGGCAGATAGCCAAGAGTTCGTTGTCCGAGAGCGCTTTGGTGTTCTGTCCGTCGGCACTTGTAGCGAAGATGCCCCAAGTCTCCGCTGCACCAAGCTCATCGCCTGTTGGACCTTGATCAGCTGTAGGTGTGTAGCTGTTACCACTAGGCGGCTTACCAAACTTCTTGAGCACACGAGCCATGACATCGTAGGCATCGCGACAGTCGCTGACGTTGACGATACGAGTAGTGTTGTCCTCCTCACTGATGAACTTGATCGTTCTGCGCTTAAGGTCTTCCAATGTGGGCGGATTAGGGTTCTGATAGCCTGCAAGTTGTGAGGCCATGAGGTTGTAGCCTTCGCCGCTGTCGATGCGCCTGATGGAGTGTCCGGAAGAAGACTGCTGTTGCGAAGAAGAAGATGGAGATGTGGTGTAACGTTGCGAAGCAGAAAATGGTCCTCTGCCCACTGAATAGCCGCCAGATTGTTGTTGCTGCTGCTGCTGCTGAATACCGGAAGGAGTGGTTGGAGTTGTACCGTGCGAGTTGGACTCGGAGATGGGTGTGAGCGGCGAGTAATTGTCTCTGCCAGAAGAGCCGCTTGCAGCCATACTGCTGGAGTAGGTGTTCTGTGTTCCACTTGCTGTAGATGGACGAGCCTGGTTGCTGCTGACGCCAGAGCCGAACGAGGCACCGGTAGGACTGCTCGAGGTGAGGCCGGCTCGTGAAGAATGCGAACCTTGCCCATTCGAATAGCCACTTGCACCTGTAGCAGTGCTAGGTCTGCCGTTCTGGGCACTCGTGTGGCCGCCGAGAGCATGCCGCGAGCTGGATAGAGTAGAAGCACCGGGTATCGCAGGTGCCACCATGCTGCCGATCGAGTTGACTTTGCGATGCATGCCACCATCAGCATTGCCAGACTTGGTCGAGTTCGAAGAGGAGGAGACAGTGTTCCACACGCTGCCACGTGCAGAGCCTGGAGTGAGACCGCGAGCAGCACTGAGACCGAAGCCTTGGCTGTTGTTGAGCGAGTTGGCGGGCGAAGCATAGCCGGGCATGCCGCGAGAGGTGGACTGTTTGAGTGTCAGGGGTGGTGGGCGCATCTGACCACGTCGCATTCCCATTGAGTTCATGCCAAAGTTGGAACCAGCATCCTCTGCCGATGGGTCGCTGTGATGGTCGTGCTGTAGGTACTCGATCTCGCCTTCGTTTGCGTAGAGTGCGTGGGATGCTAGCGGCGACAATGGTGGTAATGTCGCTAGACTAGGTCTTCGAGCGATGGCAGCGTCAGCACAACGCTTGTTGAGCAGCTTGATGGCAGCTTGAATACGAACGCGGTCCTTGACCATGGTGACGCCCATCTCTTTTAATGCTGACTGGTCGACATCGAGCAACACGGAACCTCGAATGTCGTTCTCCGCAAAGATGGAGGCATAGTGGGCTAGGCGTGCAGTGTTGAGCCATGCTGCGACGTCTGCATCCTCCCATCTCGCAAGATGATCGTATGTGGGTCCTGGTGGACTGAAGCCTGCTGAGAGTGGTGTTGTGGGTCGTGAGCGAGGACTGCCTGCTGTGGAAGATGGACCTGCGAAATGGGAGGTCATGGCGCCTGAGCCCATGGTGAGAGGGAAGCCCGGGCTGGTTGGCGTGGCTGCGCTCATATGGTAGATGTGGTGAGTCTCGAGCGAGCTGTTCAGTAGGTCAAAGTCGAAAGCAGGAATGTACGACGAGCTGGCGGTCTGCTTGTTATAACACTTTGCAGTGCTCCGCTCTACTTAGGGTTGCCGTGTCGAGACGAGCATCGACGACGGTGCTGAGCTGGAAGTCGGCGACGAGTGCTGATTCGATGCTACGGAAGTAGGCGGCGGGAGATGGTAGGGATCTGACGGTGACTGGTGATGTATAGGACTGTGGTGAAGGAGATGCAAGCAACTGACTGAGTCAGGTCTGATCCGAGATGCGGCCTGTTCGCTGGTTGGTGTGGTCGATGACAAAGACAACGATGCGGAGTCGAATGGTTTTGAGATAGTGAGGTCGAGGGTAGGATGCGAGAGGGAGAGCGAGACAATTGGTTGACGACGAGGAAGAGTGTTGAGCGATCAAGCAACACAGAAGGAGCCAATAGAGAGAGCTTTTGCAACAGCGCGCACGTAGCAGCTTAATTTCTAGAGCCCGCAACTCTGGCTCCAACACACGAATGAAGCTTCAGCCACAGTCAAAGGTGTGTGAGCTCTATTTCGATCTCACATACTTTTTAAACTTACTACACACACACACACTCTAACAAGTGCATTTCCGTGTCTAAATTATTTCGAATTCGGCCAAGCCCACCAACTCTCACTTGCCACGCTCCTGCTTCCTACCCTGTATATCGTGGTTTTATATCGTGGTGGCACATGCCGAGTGTGGGAGCATGCTACTTCATGACCTAGAGGGGGTATCAAAGTTTTTGCGTTTTTAAAAACCCGGGTTTTTTCAAGAGTGCATTTTTCAAAAAAAACGCAAAAGCTTACATAAGCTCCACAAAGGAAAAAAAAAAAAAAACCGCATTTTCAAAAACACAGCTCAGGAGGTGCATTTGCAAAAATGCGGTTTTTTTATCACTCCACATCTTCTCTCCTTTCCTCACTCTTGTCACACTTTTGCTCAGTCTCATCGCACTTTTGCTCACTCCCTCTTCCTTGCACTCATTCAACATGACCTCCTCCACTGATGATTCTGGTGACATCTCTGCAGAGTTGTTATGCCAGTCCTCTACACCTATGATCTCTGCAACTCACATTGAAAGTGTGCCTGCACTGTCTCAATCTGGTTCTACAAGCACTCCTGACATCTGCACTTCCTGTCCAACTCGAGCCTCTAGATCTGCCACAGGCAAGAAGAACTTCACATGGTTGGGTGCCAATGTTCTTCACCTTGTCACAATCCTCTACAACAATGACTCCTACCAGTGCACTCTGCTGCCATCTCAAGAATCGGCTGAGAGCAATCCAGCCCTCAAACTTTGCAAACATCCCATTTTTCAGGATATCTCCAAGATGATTTTCCCAGGTGCATCTGTTGATCCCAATTGCATCAAGTCCAAGCTGAGGTGGCTGCTAGAGACATACTACAGGGAGAAGAAGAAGCTTTCACTCACTGGAGCTGGTATGCTGCTGGAGGACATGGATGCATCCAACCTGGTAAGTTTTGGTGATCTTTGTTGCTTGCAATAGTATGCTTGGATGCTGATTCATACTTTCGATTTTAAACAGTCCTATGTATCTTGCATTGCCCTGTCAACAAAGTATGCTTGGTTTGAAAGGATGCACAAGATGATGAATGGCCAATTCAATGCTGATCCCACAGCACTTATCACAACTCCCAGTCTTGACTTCACCAGTGATGATGAGCCTGACATGCCTTCAAATGGCTCAGCTGACATACCCATGGATATTTGTGGCAGCAAGCTGTATGATCACAGTGCTCATGGCTGTGGTTTGTGTCATGGGCCTGGGTGTGCAGAACGAGGAAAGACCGAAGTTCATATGAAGGTAGTGCAGGAATCGTGGGATCGGGTAGATCGTAGGAGCTGTGACAGAGTTCACTGAGATCAGCAGTAGAATCAGCTCTATGGCAGATCGCAGCGAAATTGGCATGAGCATCATCGATATCACAAATCCCACCAGAATCTGCAGTAAGCGAGATCGTGTGGCAGATTCTGCAGAGATCGGTAGTAAGGAGGTCTGTATGATGATTCACATGTGAGAGGGACCGAGCTCAGTGACATGCAGTCAGTTACCACTCAGGGGCCCACAGGACAGGGGAAGAAGAGAACTGTCACTGGTCAAAGGAAGGAGAGCTGTGTAAAGGACACTGGCAAGAGGGACATGAAGAGGAGGAGCATGTCATGGGCCTGGATGCTCAAGAAGCAGGAGGGTCACGGGTTCATATGGAAGGAGCACAGGTATCGAAGATCTAGTCGATACCAGTAGAGAGCATGGTCGTAGTGCAGTCTCCATGGAGACCATTGACTCCTACAGACTCACATGCAAAGGAGGACACAAGCCACATGCGAGGAGGGCCAGGCACAGCCATGAGGAGGACCAAGCTCAAGGAGCAGGCACAGCCACAAAGAGGACCAAGCTCAGATGGTTACCACTCAGGGGCTCGAGAGACAAGAGTCAAAGGAACTGTCACCGGTCAAAGGAGAAGGAGCAGTGTATAGGACACTAGCAGGCAGGTCCTGAGGAAGAGGAGCAGTGTCGAAGGAGTCGACACCACTCAAGAGGCACAGGGGTGCCAAGCAGGAGAGGCCCCTGAGCAGTACTCGATGAAGAAGGTACTCTCTGGAGAGAGAGCAGGAGCAGCATCACTGGTGATGCTGTGAAGAGGTATATAACCATGCTTTCTCATCATCATAGGTCGAGTGGATCCTCATCCACTCTACTCACCATACAACTAGTCAATACTTTAGAAACACAAGTACTCATTAGTTACAGTCAGCATAGCAGCAATCTATCAAGGTTGCTCCTCATCATAGTGTGTGTGTTGTATCACCACTACCTGACATCTGTAGGCACCCCATAGCAGGTTAGTGGTCCGGATATAGATAGAACCGAAGGCAGTAGTCCACTGCAGTCCGGGGATCACTTCAAGCATCAAAGTCAACACACTGGACACTCATGTTGATGCCACCAACCTTATCACCAACACCATCAACCTCATTATCATCAACACTCACCAACCTTATCACCAATGTCATCAACCTCATCATCATCAACACTCACACCAGACCTTGGTGTCATCATAACCAAAGCATTGATATTGATCGTGCTGAGCTACCCCTGAACAGAGTGTCCACAGAGGTCAGCCAAAACCTATGATAGTATATACAACGAACACCACCTGCTGTCACTGCACAACTTGATAGTCACCGATACTGAGACAATAGCTGTCGCACAGTTTGATAGTCACCGAGTATCTCGACAGACCGACCTGGGTTTCAGGCGCGAGACCCCTGACAGAGCAGTGTCGATGAACTCGACACAGCTCAGGAAAGACAGGAGGGACAAGGCTCGATACAGAGGAGGAGCCTCCTTGGAGATCCCTGTACAGTACTCGATGAAGAGGGTACTCTCTGGAGAGAGAGAGCAGGAGCAGTGTTGCTGGTGACACTGCGAAGAGATATATAGTCATACCTTCTCATCACAAATGGTCGAGTGGAGCCCCATCCACTCTACACACCATAACAACTAGTATTACTTCAAGCAAATAAGTATCATTAGTTCACAGTCAGCATAGTAGTAATCAATAGATTGCTCCTCATCGAAGTGCATGTGTTGTATCACTGTTTCCTGACATCTGAAGGTGGTTCTTAGCAAACCAGCAGTCCAGATAAAGATAGAACCGAAGGCAGTCGTCCACTGCAGTCCAGGGATCACCTCAAGCATTAGTCGACACACTGGACACTTGTGTTGATGCCACCAAGTATCACATTCACACCAGACCTTTGGTGTCATCATCAAGTTCACCAACATCATATTGTTATTGATCATGCCGAGCTACCTCTGGATGGAGTGTCCAACAGTGGTCAGTCGAAATCTGCAATAGCATTATCACAATCACAGATTCGAGCAAGAAAAGTAATAGAGACAGCTCTACTGCATATCTCATTAAGAATCGCAATACCACAAGCGCTGTCGCATAATTCGACAGAATCGGTAATAGTATTGATACTGTCAGGGGTCTCGCGCCTGAAACCCAGGTCGGTCTGTCAAGATACTTGGTAACTATCAAACTGTGTGACAGCTATTGTCTTGGTATCGGTCTCAAAGAGCTAGTTGCTTGGTGACTATCAAGTTGCACAATGACAGTGGGTGGCGTTCATTGTATATACTGTCGTAGGTTTCAGCTGACCTCTGTGGACACTCTGTTCAGGGGTAGCTCGGCATGATCAATATCACTGTGTAGGTTATGATGACACCAAGGTCTGGTGTGAGTGTTGATGATGATGAGGTTGATGGTGTTGGTGATAAGGTTGGTGGCATCGACACAAGTGTCCAGTGTGTTGACTGATGCTTGAGGTGATCCCTGGACCGCAGTGGACTACTGCCTTCAGTTCTATCTTGATCTGGACTGCTAACCTGCTATGGGGCGCCTTCGGATGTCAGGTAGTGGTGATACAACACACACACTACGATGAGGAGCAACCTTGCTAGATTGCTGCTATGCTGACTGAAACTAATATATACTATGCTGAAGTGATAACTAGTTATGATGGTTGTGTAGAGTGGATGAGGATCCACTCGACCTTTGATGATGAGAAAGCATGGTTATATACCTCTTCACAGCATCACCAGCGATGCTGCTCCTGCTCTCTCTCCAGAGAGTACCTTCTTCATCGAGTACTGTTCAGGGGGCCTCTCCTGCTTGCTTGGCACCCCTGTGCCTCTTGAGCTGTGTCGACTCCTTCGACACTGCTCCTCCTCCTTGCTATCCTGCTTGTTTGGCACCCTTGTGCCTCCTGAGTGGTGTTGACTCCTTTGACACTGCTCCTCCTCCTCAGGACCTGCTTGCTGTCATGGGCCTGGATGCTCAAGAAGCAGGAGGGTCACTGGTTCATATGGATGGAGCACAGGTATCGAAGACCTAGTCGATACCAGTAGAGAGCATGGTCGTAGTGCAGTCTCCATGGAGACCATGGACTCCTATGGATTCACATGCAAAGGAGCACTGAGCCCATATGCGAGGAGGACCAGGCACAGCCACGAGGAGGACCAAGCTCAAAGAGCAGGCGCAGCCATGAGGAGGACCAAGCTCAGATGGTTACCACTCAGGGGCTCGAGAGACAGGAAGTCGACACAGGTCATGAGGAGGAGGAGCAGTGTCGAAGGAGTCGACACAGGTCATGAGGAGGAGGAGCAGTGTCGAAGGAGTCGACACAGGTCATGAGGAGGAGGAGCAGTGTCGAAGGAGTCGACACAGGTCATGAGGAGGAGGAGCAGTGTCGAAGGAGTCGACACCACTCAAGAGGCACAGGGGTGCCAAGCAGGAGAGGCCCCTGAGCAGTACTCGATGAAGAAAGTACTCTCTGGAGAGAGAGCAGGAGCAGCATCGCTGGCGATGCTGTGAAGAGGTATATAACCATGCTTTCTCATCATCATAGGTCGAGTGGATCCCCATCCACTCTACTCACCATACAACTAGTCAATACTTTAGAAACACAAGTACTCATTAGTTACAGTCAGCATAGCAGCAATCTATCAAGGTTGCTCCTCATCGTAGTGTGTGTGTTGTATCACCACTACCTGACGTCCGAAGGCGCCCATAGCAGGTTAGCGGTCCGGATATAGATAGAACCGAAGGCAGTAGTCCACTGCGGTCCGGGGATCACTTCAAGCATCAAGTCAACACACTGGACACTCGTGTTGACGCCACCAACCTTATCACCAACACCATCAACCTCATTATCACCGACATCACCAATCTCATCACTAACACCATCAACCTCATCATCATCAACACTCACACCAGACCTTGGTGTCATCATAACATTGATATTGATCGTGCCGAGCTACCCCTGAACGGAGTGTCCACAGAGGTCAGCCGAAACCTACGATAGTATATACAACAAACGCCACCTGCTGTCACTGCACAACTTGATAGTCACCGAGTATCTCGAGACAATAGCTGTCGCACAGTTTGATAGTCACCGAGTATCTCGACAGACCGACCTGGGTTTCAGGCGCAAGACCCCTGACATTAGAGTGGATCGTTCAAGCAGCTCCTCACGATCACCATGACGGACCCAGACCTCAACAATAAGCTCGATAGACTACTCACTCTATTGGAAGCTCAGCTAGAGCTTACTAGGCAGGGTCATCGAGAGGAACGACTACAACGAGCTCAGCTGGGTAGGGAGGAGACAATGGACCTCTCTCACTCAGAAGACCAAGCAGGAGGAGGAGATGAGTCTATGATAGGAGACCCACATACTCCTACTCCGGCTCCACGACCAAGACGATCAGTCTCATTCAACCTGGATGAGCAGGAGGACATCAACTATGAGAAGTATGCTTCACCTACTGGGCCAAGATATGTCAAGACTAAGCTGGACCCCTACAGCAGGACTAGGACGGACCCTTACCCCCTGGACCATGAGGAGGATACCAGCATCATGGCAGAGCTTAACCGGTCAAAGCCCATCGCCACCCCCTTTCCAAAGTTCAATCCCCGAGACATGGAGATCTTCATTCTAGAAGCCGAAGCATGGTTTAAGTTCAACCAGGTGTATGAGCAGTCTAGGATGATCAATCACATGGGTGCTCAACTGGAAGGGACAGCAAGAGAGTGGTGGACCTCCAAGCTCCGTATTGATAGAGCTAGAGAAGGAAGGTTGTTCAATGATTGGCACTACTTCACAGAGCGACTGTCAGAGCAGTTCAACCCACGCAATGCTAGGATGGAGGCATACAACAAGCTGTTGGCTCTCAGACTCACAAGTGATGCTCCTGGTGCTGCCACACGTCATGTAGAGCGGTTCAGAGACTTGGAAGGACAGGTCAACCTAGATGACAATGAGCTAGTGATTGATCTCTTCAGAGGTAGTCTCACTCGTAGCATACAGGAGAAGTTCGAGAGGAATCCACCTGGGAAGAGATGGGAGTGGTATCGAGAGGTTGAGGAGATCGATCGACAGAGGATGCTACTACAGCAGTCCTCGGCTAGACACTCACTCCCAAACGCCACATCACCTCCACTAAGAACTGGGTCTCGGCCAAATCAAAGTTCGATCCCCATCCGACAACCCACTCAAACTTATCCAGCCCGATCACCATCACAAGCAACTACACAAGCAACTATACAAAACCTAAACCGACCCCTTCCTCATCATCCCACCCAACCCTCGAAGCAAGGAAGCCCTGCTCCATCAGGTATCAACACCTGTCATGTATGCAAAGGTATTGGCCATTGGGCCAGAGACTGCCCCAGCAGGAGGGTAGACCCTCTTAGCTCTCGACCCATGGGACCAAAGGTTATGGTCACCACAGCAGACCCCTTCGAGGAGGCCACCGACTCAGGAGATGGCCACACAGGCAGCACTGAGATGGGTGACCCCGAGGCCATGGACCTCAGCTCATACCAGCAACCCATGGACCCCGATCACGAGGAGGAGCACGATGATGATGACGACGAGGGAAACGTCAGTGGGGTGATGCACTGATGGCATGCATTGCTCTACAAACCTCCTCGCCATCACTCTGTATATATCAAGATTGTCAAGTATGTTTCTCTACCAGTGGAGGCAAAGCAGTACTGGAGCTCTCTGGAATGGTTCAAGACCATCCTGCTCGGATACTAGCTGATACCGGTGCTGGTTTGTCCATAGTCTCAGATTCTTTCATTAGTAAGTACCAAATACCCACAAAACCCATAAAAACAAGATCGATCCATGGTGTCACCGGGCACCAACTCTCCATCAATAGTTCTGCGAGCATGCAGGTATCTATTGGTACACACAATCTGGGTGTGGTCGAAGCTTCAGTGGCCGACACTGCAGACTATGACCTCATCCTGGGGTTCACTGAGCTACGGAGGCTCAAACCCACCATACAATGGGATACGGGCCAGCTGGAGTTCAAGACTCAGGAGCAGGACCGACCCCCTAGGAGACCCCCTGAAGCAGCAAGAGCAGGGGACCTAACCATGAGGAGACCAACCCTCCATGGTAACGAGTTTGTCTCAGCAGAGCGCATACTACGAGCAGCTCTGGAAGATGGACCCATAGGGTTCATGCTGTTAGAGGAGCCACCATCATCACTTCCGGCCTTTGGTTTTGTACCTACAGGCGCAGACAAAGGAGTCGAGATGGAGGTGGAGGTAGATAAGGTGGTGACGGCTGCAGACATACCAAAGCCATACCAACACCTGCGAGATGTGTTCGATGAGGTGGAAGCAGACAAGCTGCCCCATCATACCGAGCATGATCTCCACCTCGAGTTGATAGAAGGAGGTAAGCCACCTCAAGGGCCCCTATACCTTAAGGGACCCAAGGAGATGTCCGAGCTGAGGAGGTACTTGGATGAGAACCTCGAGAAGGGGTTCATAAGACCATCGAAGAGCCCGGCACGATCACCGGTGCTCTTCGTACCAAAGAAGGATGGAGGTCTCAGACTCTGTGTGGACTACAGAGGTCTCAACGAGATCACTGTCAAGAACAGGGCACCATTGCCCCTCATCGAGGAGCAGCTGTTCTTACTCAGGAAGGCAAGGATCTATACCAAGCTAGACCTTAGAGCAGCATACAACCTCATCCGGATTGCTAAAGGAGATGAATGGAAGACAGCTTTTGGCACTCAGTTGGGACTCTATGAGTACCTAGTGATGCCCTTTGGCCTAGCCAATGCTCCGGCTCACTTCCAGTCATTCATCAATGACATCTTCCGAGACATCATTGGGATATATGTGGTAGTATACCTAGATGACTTCCTGATCTTCAGTGACACTGAAGAAGCACATGTGAAGCATGTCACTGAGGTCCTCACTCGCTTAAGGAGCAACAGGCTCTTTGCTAAGCTGTCAAAGTGTGAGTTCCACACCAAGACAGTTGAGTTCCTGGGGTACATCATCAAGCCAACGGGCATAGAGATGGACCCAGAAAAGGTGCGCACTGTCAAGGAGTGGCCAATGCCGGAGTCAATCCATGACATCCAGAGGTTCCTGGGTTTTGCCAACTTCTATCGAAGGTTCATAGCCCACTTTGCTCGCATAGCCAAGCCCTTGACAGCACTGGTAAAGCCTATAGAACGGTTCAAGAAGTTCGAGCTACCAGAGGAGGCCCAACAGGCCTTCCACAAGCTCATCCAGGCCTTCACATCAGCAGGAGTGCTTCAGCACTTCGACTACCACCTTCCAACAAGGTTGGAGACTGATGCAAGTGACTTTGCTATAGCAGGAGTGCTCAAGCAGGAGCATGAAGGACGATGGCATCCAGTGGCCTTCTACTCTAGGAAGATGTCTTCTGCCGAGAAGAACTATGAGATCCATGATAAGGAGCTCCTAGCTGTGGTCGCCTGCCTCACTCAGTGGCGACACATGCTAGCTGGACTACCGAACCAACTGGTCATCCTCACTGACCATGAAGCCCTCAAGTACTTCAAGTCACAGAGACGCATCACAGGTCGACAGGCTCGATGGGCCATACTACTAGCAGACTTCGACTTCATATTGCAGTATCGACCAGGAGACAAAGGTGGTGAACCCGATGCTCTCACCAGAAGGACAGACATGCAACCAGCTGGTGAAGAGCAGGATCACAATGTGAGGCAACTACTGCCTCCTCGAGTGTTCAAGGAGACAGCAGACCATGACTCGCTCCTAGTGGCCCCCATGATCTCGATGGAGTCCATAGCATCAAAAGGTCTCAAAGACCTGGTCAAGATCTTCCAGCCTTTAGACCAAGAGCTACAGGAGATACATAGGAAGAAGCCTTTCGAACTCAAGGATGACCTATGGTACAGTGGAGGAAGGTTGGTTATCCCCAAGGTGATCATGCCAGGGAGGACCAACAACCGACACTCAAGGAGTGCCAAAGAGGTAGATGGACAGTCTCTCTCTGTAGAGCATCTGCGATTCATGGTGATGACCCAATGTCATGATGGTATCACTGCTGGACACGTAGGAAGAGATGCTACCATCAAGGCAGCTCAACGACATTACTGGTGGCCAAACATGACAGCTTGGATTGCAGACTATGTAGCAAGTTGTCCTGTATGTGCTAGGTACAAAGCTCCTCGTCATCGTCCATATGGTTTGCTACAGCCACTAGCAACCCCAGACAGACCCTGGGGCTCCATATCCCTCGACTTCATTGAAGGACTACCACCATCAAAGAAGTATGACTCCAAGACCTATGACTCTATCCTAGTCATCGTCGACAGGTTAACCAAGTTTGCCATACTAGCTCCAACCCATAAGACAGTCACGGCCAAACAGACTGCAGTATTGCTATATGGACACATGGTTAGACTCTTTGGATATCCAGATCACATGGTCTCGGACCGAGGCAGGCAGTTCATATCAGGAGCATGGAAGGCATTTGCAGAGCAAATGGGTGTGAAGCACTCACTTAGCACGGCTTACCATCCTCAAACTGATGGTCAGACAGAGAGAGTCAATCAGGTCATAGAGCAATATCTCAGGATGTACTGCAACTATGAGCAGAATGACTGGGCCAACCTGCTGGACACTGCGGCCTTTGTATACAACAACACGGTCCACAACAGCATTGGTGTCTCACCATTCTTTGCATGCTATGGATGGAACCCCAAAGCTCATCCTGACATCCCTCAACGACTAGGAGTCAATGATCCAGGTCGCTTCGAGTACCTCATGGATGGAAAGGAGCGTTGCAAGTACCTCCAGGAGCAGATCAGAGAGGCACAACGTAGATCAGTAGACCAGTATAACAGGAAGCACAAGGACATTGAGTTTAAGGTGGGTGATATGGTCTATATCAACCGCCGAAACTGGAAGACACGGAGACCCACACCCAAGTTGGATACCCGGTTTGCAGGACCCTACCCAGTTCAGGAACGGGTAGGACGCCGAGCTTACCGAATCACATTGCCAGCAACCCTTAGGGTGCATGATGTGTTCCATGTCTCCATGCTCGAGCCAGCAAGAACAAGTTCTCTTCCTCAACGTGCTGAACAGCCCACCATGCCACCACTTCCAGATGAGGACCTCGACTTCGAAGTCGAAGCACTCATCGACAAGCGTTCACACAATGGGACTACAGAGTACAAGGTGTTGTGGAGAGGGTACTCAGAAGAAGCTGCTTCATGGGAACCAGTAGAGAACCTCAACTGTCCCGACCTCATCCAGGAGTATGAGGTGTCGGAGGGGGGACAAGTGAGTAGACAAAGTAGGGAAAGGAGGAGAGAACAGGAGGAGTAGAGAGAGGAAGAGAGAACAGGAGGAGTAGAGAGAGGAGGATGACGTTGAGAGAAGGAGGAAGGATGACGGGGGCGATGTTGTCAAGGAAGAGGAGGAGTCAGCATGAACCAGACCAGAGCATGCCTCGACGGAGCTCGGCTCTTAAGAGGGGGGTAGTGTCATGGGCCTGGATGCTCAAGAAGCAGGAGGGTCACTGGTTCATATGGATGGAGCACAGGTATCGAAGACCTAGTCGATACCAGTAGAGAGCATGGTCGTAGTGCAGTCTCCATGGAGACCATGGACTCCTATGGATTCACATGCAAAGGAGCACTGAGCCCATATGCGAGGAGGACCAGGCACAGCCACGAGGAGGACCAAGCTCAAAGAGCAGGCGCAGCCATGAGGAGGACCAAGCTCAGATGGTTACCACTCAGGGGCTCGAGAGACAGGAAGTCGACACAGGTCATGAGGAGGAGGAGCAGTGTCGAAGGAGTCGACACAGGTCATGAGGAGGAGGAGCAGTGTCGAAGGAGTCGACACAGGTCATGAGGAGGAGGAGCAGTGTCGAAGGAGTCGACACCACTCAAGAGGCACAGGGGTGCCAAGCAGGAGAGGCCCCTGAGCAGTACTCGATGAAGAAAGTACTCTCTGGAGAGAGAGCAGGAGCAGCATCGCTGGCGATGCTGTGAAGAGGTATATAACCATGCTTTCTCATCATCATAGGTCGAGTGGATCCCCATCCACTCTACTCACCATACAACTAGTCAATACTTTAGAAACACAAGTACTCATTAGTTACAGTCAGCATAGCAGCAATCTATCAAGGTTGCTCCTCATCGTAGTGTGTGTGTTGTATCACCACTACCTGATGTCCGAAGGCGCCCATAGCAGGTTAGCGGTCCGGATATAGATAGAACCGAAGGCAGTAGTCCACTGCGGTCCGGGGATCACTTCAAGCATCAAGTCAACACACTGGACACTCGTGTTGACGCCACCAACCTTATCACCAACACCATCAACCTCATTATCACCGACATCACCAATCTCATCACTAACACCATCAACCTCATCATCATCAACACTCACACCAGACCTTGGTGTCATCATAACATTGATATTGATCGTGCCGAGCTACCCCTGAACGGAGTGTCCACAGAGGTCAGCCGAAACCTACGATAGTATATACAACAAACGCCACCTGCTGTCACTGCACAACTTGATAGTCACCGAGTATCTCGAGACAATAGCTGTCGCACAGTTTGATAGTCACCGAGTATCTCGACAGACCGACCTGGGTTTCAGGCGCAAGACCCCTGACACTTGCCAGTTCCCTATACACTGCTCCTTCTCCTTTGACTGGTGATGGTTCCTTTGACTCTTGTCTCTCGAGCCCCTGAGTGGTAACCATCTGCATGCTCCTTGAGCTTGGTCCTCTTCGTGGCTGTGCCTGCTCCTTGAGCTTGGTCCTCCTCATGGCTGTGCCTGGCCCTCCTTGCATATGGGCCTGGTCCTCCTTTGTATGTGAGTCCATAGGAGTCCATGGTCTCCACGGAGACTGCACTACGACCATGCTCTCTAATGGTATCAACTAGATCTTCGATACTTGTGCTCCTTCCATATGAACCAGTGACCCTCCTGCTTCTTGAGCATTCAGGCCCATGACAGATACTACTACTGATCTCAGGTTTCAGGCGCACGACCCCTGACAGTTTGCCTCCTATTCTTGACTTGATCGAACCCACCAACCCCCCAGCTGCTGTTGCATCCACTTCTGGTGCATCCTTTGCTGGCACTGGTGATGATGACATCTTTAACACCCCTTTGCCTCCACCTTTGCAGGCTCGACCACCTTCCTCCACTGCTGGCAGTTTGGATGTCTTTGATTCCACCTCTTCTCAATCTTCAGCCCAGCTCTCTCCCAGCACCAAGTGCAAGCAAGGTGCCCTTGATCACAAGTGTGATGCACTTGCTGAAGCTTTCTATCATTCTTCCATTGATACCCTTCAGATCTGCCTGCAGCTTGAACAGGAATGCACCAGATGTGAGAAAATACTGGAGGCTGAGTGTACCAAGTGCGAGGAGATGCACCTGCATCATGAGAGGGAGGAGAAAGAGCATGATGAATGCATTCATGCATGTGATCATGAAATGGTGATGGAGATGGTGTGCCTCCTTGCTTCTCAGGCCAGCATCAAACAGGATGCTTGTCAGAACACCAGCAACAACAACAACATGGACTCTTCATTCAATCTTCCTGTCTTGTAGCATTACATGTACCATCATCTGGTCTCAATGCAAAGTCATTTCTGAGTGTTTTTCTGTAGAGTGCAAGTATGAGGTGAATAAAAATGATGCACAGCACAGTCAAGAAATGATGTGCAGCACAGTCACATAATGAGCTCAAAAGCATTTAAACAAAAATTTTCACTCTCACACCTCTTCTGTTACTACCACCACTCCACTCTGCAACCTTTCAGCATCGCTCTTGCTGCCATCCCCCCTCTCCATCCCCCCTCTTCATGCTCCCTCTCCAACTCCCTTCCTCCTTCCAGCCATGGTGTGCTACAGCAACAAGCAAGTAATTCTCAATGACATTTTCCACACTCTTGAGCTCTCTATACCTGTGGAGGTCATCCAAAACACTGACAGAGTGCAGCACTCCTGCAGCACTGACATCAACAACTTGGACAATGATGGCAACCCAATTCTGCTCTCATGACACCTTGTCTGCTTGTACACTTTCATATGCAAGCAAAGGTACACAATCACATGTTACACTCCTCTTGGCCATGCTGATAAGCTTATCCACCTTCTCAACAGGTACAAATCAAGCAATCATAGGATGTATCATGGACTTGTTCATATGTCACCTGAAGCATTCAACAATCTTGCCATCCGACTCCAGCAAACAGAGGCTTTCTGGTGGAACTACAGCAGCTCAGGTGTGATGTCTCTCAACAAAGTGCAAGAGATTCTTTTGGTGGCTCTGTACAGACTTGGCCATTCTGGAAATGGAGGTGGTGAATGTGATGCTGCTTTGCAATGTGGCTGCAGTGTTGGGAGCATTGTTGGATACACCAATCACACAGTTGCTGGCCTCCTCAAGCTAAACAATGAGGTCATGCAGTTTGCTTTGGAGGGAGAGAGACAACATGCTTCTGCCTGGGTGTGCGATACAACTGGGGTTGAAGAGTGGGGTAAGGGCTGGCTTGTGGTGGATGGCATGCACATCCCTCTTGCCTGGAAGCCAGGAGTGCTCAGTCAAGAGCACTTCTGCTACAAAGGCTTCCACAGCATCAATGTAGTGCTGGTGATCCTGCCACACTCACTGCAGATTGTCAAATCAGTTGTTGGACAGCCTGGCAGCATTCAGGATTCAAAGGTTTGGGCCTCAGGCAGCAACATCCTCAAGAAGCCTCACCTGTACCTTGATGAAGGTGAGTTCATCTGGGTTGATGGTGGATATGGCCATTCTGCCTTCACAGTTGGACCATTCTCTCACATTGCTGCCAACAAGAGTCAAGACCTTTGACACTTCAACTACATGCTCTCTCAAGTCCAAGTACAAGTCAAACATGCCATTGCATACCTGAAGAACTGCTTCCAGTGCCTTACAGGCTATTGTGGTAACATCTACCATTTCAAGGACCACATCACTGCTGCCAAGATGATCCAAGCCTGCATTGTTGCCCACACCTTTGCAAGTTGATATGACTGTCCTGCCAATATTGCTGACCTGCTGTTGCCCTCTTTCTCTGAGGATGAGGTGAATGAGGTTATTCAAAGCCTCCAACTTGATGCCAGGGATACACAAGAGCTCAGGAGGACAAGATGCACAAATCAGCATGGAAATGAACTGGACCTTGCCTCTGCAACACAAGGAATGTCACAGTATGCAGTGTCAAGACTTTGAAGTTCTTCTGCACATGATCTTTGAGAGGGTTTGTTCCAGGTGCTGTTCAGATCCACTGGGTGCAATGAGGAAGACACTACTGCATTGTCTCGACATCATGAGAGGACTACTGTGGACTACATTGCCATGACTCAAAGCACATCAGCTTGGAGACAGGAGCAAGTCTTGACACAACCATTCTCGATCTGACAGGCACTCTCTCTTCTTCTGTTCAATACAATTCTTCTCACCACCATATGAAACATTACATTGAGTGCATTGTGTGAAGAGGAAAGCAAGATATAAGCAAGCAATGGGTAATAGTGACAAGAGCAACAAGTAACATATGCCCACTGTTAGGTTATGTATTTTATCGGCCATATGATTTCATTGTGTTTTTGGAAACCTGCTTTTCCTTGGGGGGGGGGGGGTTCAAATCCCTCCAAAAACGCGCTCTCGAAAAAACCCGCGTTTTTAAAATCGCAAAAACCTTGATACCCCCTTAGCTTGACAACGAGCGGGACTGTGCTGTGTTGTACCCGATCTCTGGTGAGATCGGCTCAGCTCGATCTCTGATCAGATCGGTCATCTAACCGGATCGGCTCAGCCTGATCTCCGATCAGATCGGCTCTGCGTCCTCCTTCAGCGTCTCACTGGATCGTAATCTTCAGCAATCCGAACTCAGCTCGCAAATTCTCCCAGGCTCATGTCAACGGATGTACGGATTGTTCGGATGCTTTTCGACAGCCTTGCTCACTGCACAATCTTCAGTCGAGCTGAAAGGGAAAGTTCAAGACAAATGATTGTTCTTTGAGCCAATAAGAAGCACAGAGGGAGAAGCAGGTGATACAGGATTAGTGCAGACTCGACGCGGCCAGACTAAAGAAGAGTCGGCCACGAGAGGGGGGGAGGAGATATTAGGATGGTAGTAAGGTACTTTCAAGAAAAGAGGGTGGTCAGGCGGCGAAAGCGAATGGGAGAAAAGGGGAAAGCTACCAAGACAACAAAGAAAGGCAGAGCAGGCCAAGGAGATCAAAGGAAGCATAGGAGATTGCTATGCAGAGAGAAGCAAAGCAAGCGACGCGGAGAGTGTCGCTGCTAGGACAGCCAATGACGACAATGTCAAAGTCAATGATAGTGAAGAAGCGCCGCTCTTCGAGATAGCTGACTTAGAAAAAGGCACCGGTGTCCCCGATACAAGTGTCGAATGAGAACTGAATGCGATATCCGTTGAGCTGGGCCTTCGCCTTGCCGAAGGAGTAGGAGCGCTAGGATCGTAGTCGCTACCAACTGCATTCTCTGGAGGGGTTGCCGAAGAAGACTTGAGCACTGGCGAGCCCATCAACCATTCCACTGCACCCATAATGTGTTGCTGGAAAGCATCGTCGTTCCACATGGCATTCGTGTGTCCAAGAGCTGTGTAGAAGCTTCTTCCTGCACCACCTCTTCCTGCTGTGCCCGCCCGAATTTCTGCTTTGGTCGGATCAGTAGCACCGCCAACCTTGAGGTGAGGGTTGTAGGTAAGCTGGTTGCCTTCCTTCCACCATGCGATAGGATGAGGGGAGCCTTGTTCGGATGCTCGCTCAGCCTTGGTCTCGACAGGGTCTTTGTACGAGTCCTCGTCGGCAGTGATGAGGTACTGCTTCCCCCATTTGGAAGGGTTCGAGTTGTAGTTGTACATCTCGTCGAATACGTGCCATGTCTCGTTCAAGTGTGCTGTCGATGGATGTGTGTGGTTGATGACGTTGAGCGTGGCATGGGTGATCTGAGGATGGTAGTTGAAGTAGGCTCCCACCAAACGACCATACCAGTGGTGTTGGTACAATGCATCGCAAGCTTCGTGGACTCCAAGGTATCCTCCGCCTGCTTCGATGTATTTCCGCAGCGCTTCTGCTCCATTGTCAGAAAGCGCTTTGCCAGAGACTGAGATGAACATGAGCATGTCGAACTGTGAGAGCCAATCCTTCCTCTCAAAGTCGCTTGGATCTTCCGAGTGAACAGTGTCGATGGGTGGATATGCATCCTTTGCGAGCTGCTGAACGACTTTGGTGGCGGTTGGGATCGAGTAGTGGCGGAAGCCTTGTGTGTATGTGTAGATGAGCATCTTTTTGCGTGCATCGACTGATGATGGCAATACGCTAAGCAGTAATGCTAAAGTTGCCCATATCAAGAGCGACAACGCTCTGCGTGTCGAGTGCATGGTCCAAGATATGATGGTAGCTTCGATGAGCTACAGAGGTGATCAAGTGGCGCTATCAAGTACGGGGGTCGAAGCGCGCGGTGACAACTGGGGCGCAGGTCAGGACGATTCCTGTTGTCAAGGCGATGGCGAATGAACAGAGTAGAAGAGGTGGCCGATGTACGTAGCTGGTGTGAGAGCCAATATGCAGCGATTGATGTTGTCAGAAGGTGCACAGGTTGTAGAAGTCGAGCGCCAGAGAGAGAGAAAGAGCGTGGTTTCACCGAGTGTGATTAGGTCGGTAGCAATGTCGATGGAAAAGGTCCTTGTAGGGGTGGCGGGGGTTCGAACGGAGTGGAGAGAGATATGAGCGAAGAGGACGAGGTAAGGGAACAGGTTCGAGAAGGGGGATCGATGAAGAAGAGAGCGAAGAAAGAGGAGGAGCCAAGTACTCAGATGGAATCGTATGGTGAGCAAGGATCTACAAAGGGGAGGAGGAACAAAGAAGCAGCTGCTGCGGAGAAGGGCGAACCTGACAGGCAACAAACCAGCGGAGAGTGAAAAGGGGTTGAGAAACATGCTTCATACCAGGACAAGCGAAAGAGAGAGAGAGACAAGATGAAGAGGCGCTGTGGCATGCTTGGCTTTTGCTGGGCAAGAAAGGGGCACGAGGTGATAGATCATCGCGAGCCGAAGGCTTGGTGTCTGCAACTTTGCAATGCTCTGTTGCATGCGCGGAGCATGATCTGAAATCAGCAGCAGCAGCAGCAGCAGCAGCAACGGCAGCAGTAAGGGGGTTGTGCTGTCGTTTGCCTTCATCTGTGTGTTGGTCTCAAGAACAAGAGAGCAAGGCAGAGCACGGCAGAGCACAGAGCACAGCGCACAGAGCAATGAGAGAGAGAGAGAGAGAGAGAGAGAGAGTGTGTGTGTGTGTGTGTGTGTGTGTAAGGGGACCCGGCGAGGTCGGTTGTTTGACGTTCCGATTTTTACCTGCAGAGTGCAGATCGCGCGAGATTGACTGGCAAAGTGCATGGAGTCGAGCATCTTTGAGGAACGGAACGCCAAGATTTGCACGAGAGGCCGCTTTGTCACTTGGCTTGTACAGATACCTGTACGAGCACAGAATAGTTCTGTTCCTATAGCTGGGCAGGCGACGAGCAAGGAACCAATCCTTCACTTCAAAGTGCATCGAGTATGCAGCTCGCACGTCTCGCCCTTGTCAAATCATGAGACGAGGGCGCACCGCCCACATTGCGAAATAAAGTCTCATCTCTGGACTGCGACAGTGTTTGGTCTAGCAACATCGACCTCCTGGACCTTGTTTGCTTGTGTTCTTTGGCTCGCTTTGGTGTTGGTTCCCCATTTAGCTCGTGGTGCATTCCCTGCCCTTTCTCCTCCTTCATATATCATCAAGATCAAGAGGCTCGATAAAGCTGCTCCGCTCTAACTATCTCTTGGCAGCGTGGTGGCCTCTCCGTCATCACAATGCCAAGCCCCTCATCGAGACCGCCTTGTGTCGACAAAGGATGTCGCCGAATCTTCCAAATAGAACATGTCTCTCTGTCGTCAGGATCATTCTTTCTCCATCTGGATGAGAAGAACATATCTTGTGGCGCTGAAGAGTGGCAAGAGCATGCACCGGCCTATGCTGGGTGCGTATGTTACGCCAACACTCGAAGCTTGTTGTTGTGCGCGTGGTGTATGTGTAATGTTAGAGAGCCCAACTAACATTCACCTTTTGAAAGCCCGAGCACGTGACGCGTTCAGGGTCTGCTTTTGGAAAAATTTCTCGCACCAAAGACTCCACATTTCTTCTGAGCTTCGCAAATTTGCAGCAATGCACCATACTGAACCTTTCTTCTTTCCTTCACTTCACCGCCATCGTCTTCACCAAGCATTACGACATAATTGGCCTCAATGGAATAGATCGGCAACGCTACCCCACGACAATACCAGAGGGAGCTACTACGCTACACTTCGCTTGCCAAGTCGTTCTATTACAATCAATCCACGACATTGTACCCATTCGCAAGTTTCGATATCAGCACTTTGAAGGATATCACCACCAGCTTGATAACCATCTCAGAAGGCACTTGCAAAGATGGACTACGCATCACTCCGCCCAGTAGCGGAGCGTTCAACTCGACCCTCCTCCTCCCGCTCGCCCGAATCTCACTACTGGCGCAAATTCCGAGCACCAGTATTCGTCAAGGAACTCGCCCCTATCACCTCCATCCACTTTGTCCCACCCGTCTCAGTCTACTCTACATCTACCTCTCTCGTCGATGACACCGCCACCCCTTCCACCACTATCGGCTCGACCAGCACCCAACCCACCTCCGTTTCTGCGCGGCAGAAGTTCGCCGTAACCACCGGTGCCCGCGTTCAAATCTACTCGATGCGCAACAGCCGTGTCTCGAAAACCATTTCTCGCTTCAAAGACGTCGCTCGATCCGCCAACTTTCGTTCTGACGGTCGACTCATGGTCGCTGGTGACGATAGCGGCTTGATCCAGCTGTTTGATACGACGTCGAGGGCGATTTTGAGAAGTCTAAGGGGACATAGTAATCCGGTGCATGTGACAAGGTTTAGTCCGAACGGAACGGAAATTATGTCTGCCAGTGATGATAGGACTGTTAGATTGTGGGATCTTCCCGAGCAAAAGGCGGTACATGTGTTTGAGGGGCACGAGGATTATGTAAGGTCAGCGGTTTTTAGTATGGATAATCCAGCGCTGATGATGTCAGGCAGTTATGATAGTACGGTAAAGTTGTGGGATTCCAGGATGGCTGAACAGGGGGGATGTGCGATGACCATGGCTCACGGTGTGCCGGTGGAGGATGTGTTGGTGTATCCGACGGGTGGCGGTGGTGTTGCCTTGTCGGTGGGAGGTCCGGTGATGAAGGTTTGGGATTTGATGATGGGTGGAAGATGTATGGCGTCTATTTCGAATCATCAGAAGACGATTACTTCCTTAGCTCTCTCGGTCAATTCGGGCGCGGACTACTCCGCTTCCAATACCGATTCGATCGGCGGTATGCGTATCCTGACAGGTGGTCTGGACCATCTGGTCAAGGTCTACGACCCGGCACAAGAATTCAAAGTAACGCATACCATGCGATACCCCTCTCCCATCCTTTCCATGGCCATCTCACCCGACGAATCCCACATCGCCGTCGGAATGGCCGACGGAACGCTCTGCGTTCGAAAACGAGACGTCAAAGCATCCGAACTCGAACGTCGAGAAGCCGAACGAGCAGCAATGAACGCAGGCGCTTACGAGTTCTTCTCGCAAGGAACCGCCGCTGCGTCTAACCAACCTGGAAAAGTCAACGCTCGTCGTGCCACAGATGACATCAGGGTGGACAGCATCCGTAAGCGCAAACTGCAGGATTACGACCGTTTCCTTAAGGCTTTCCGCTACGGTGATGCACTCGATGCTGCACTGCGCAAGCGTGTTGCACCGAGCGTTACCTTTGGCTTGATTCTGGAGCTTATCCATCGCAGTCCGAGAGCAAGTGCGGATGGGTTGAGAAGAGCGGTTGCTGGAAGGGATGATGTCACATTGGAACCGGTGCTCAGGTTTTTGCTTCGACACGCAGCGAATGCGAACTATGTGGATCTGGTTTGCGATACTCTCAACGTAATTGTTGACACGTATGCCAGTGTCATCGGTCAGAGTCCGCTGATCGATGATCTGTTCGGAAGGATCTGGGCCAAGGTCGCGGACGAGTTGAGATTGCAGAGAGATCTGATGCAGGTTCGGGGTAGTTTGGAGATGATTTTGGCGGGTACGGCTTTGGGTGCTAGTAGTATTGCTAGAACTGTATAGGGTAGCATGGAAGCATTGATTTACGTTGCAATTGCATTCATTCATCCTTCTAAGCTGGACGAGGGACATGTTTGTCACCTTGAAAGATCTGCGAATGAGAAGCTGAAGCGTTTAAAGGCTCGCTTGTTGAGGGGAAAAGTCGAGCCAAAATTCACGCAAGAAAATGAGGTCACAAAATTCAGGATATCTAAAGGTTGGTCATGCGAGCATAAGTGATAGAGTAGAATGACATTGTCCACAAAGCGAAACAGAGGAATGCGGGCCACGCTCAATCAGAGCTGGCAAAGCATTGGTACAGATAGTGCGAGAACAAACGAAGGGTGGTTAATCATGAAAGTCGTAATAATCGTCAAAGGCGAAAACACAAGAAGAGCTTTGGTGTTGCTAGAAGCGTCTCTCCGGTCGTAGCGGTCAAGACTGGACCGGAAATGATGTCAGAAGCTGCCGAAAGCAACCCCGCCGAGCCTCTCATCATCTTGGCGCTCTCTACTTGTGCATGCCAGCCTTCACATTATCCCACTTACTAAACGGATAGGAAATATGGTTCAACGTCGCCTCCAACGTACCCATATTCTTTGCCGTCAATGCCACCAAACTCCTCTCGGCACCCCCCTGAGACTTTGTCGCATCACCACTGATCTCCCAAAACATAGCACCTCTCAATCTCTTTTGCTTAATGTAGTTGCACTTGATCAACACGTTCTCCGGTGTGTCATAACTAATGAACTCTCTCTTCGCTGAATCGTAACTCCAACTAGCACCGATCTTTGTATTGATCATCTCCTTTGCGCCCTTGACAGGGAGGAATTTGTAATCCCAATTTCCGGCTTCCCAAGTACCTTGACCAGTACCGTTGTAAGGTTGTTGAGGACCATTGGTGTTTTCGAATCCACGACCGTAAAGGGGGATTCCGAGAACGATTTTGTGCGACACGACACCGTTGGAGATGTAGAAGTTAACAGCGTTGTCTGCGGAGGGAACTTTGCCTTTGATGTTCCAAAGGTTGGCTTGGTGACCGGTGACGGCGGACCAGGATCCGGCGAAATCGTAGGCCATAAGGTTCCAGAAGTCGAGGTAGGGATCCATTTTGGCAACCTCGAGCGTTTTCATCTGTTCTCCACAGGGAGCGGCGATGGAGAGAAGGTAGGGAACCATGTCCCTTTTCTTTGCTGCATGGGCGGTTAGGCCGGCACGAAGCTCTTTGAGGAGAGTGGTAAAGTTAGATGCCTGTGCAGCGTTGGCAGGATATTCCCAATCGATATCGAGACCGTCGAGACCGTCATTCTCAAGAATGGCAATGGCGGTGGTGACGAATCGAGCGCGTTTCTTGGGGTCAGCTGCCATAGGAGCAAAGTGGGGACCAAAAGTCCATCCTCCAATGGAAAGCATGAGCTTGAGTGCACGGTTCTTCTTCTTCATCAGCAAGAACTGTTTGAAGTTTCCGTAGAGGTTGTTGCCTCTGTCGTTCCAAGAGTCACCAGCGTAGTGGATCTGTTCATCGGCCCACAGATCGGTGAGGAAACAGTCACCAGTTTCGGGATTGACATCGGCGAAAGCGTAAAGGATGTGGGTGAGGCTGCAGTGGGGGACGTCGTTGGGGCCGTACTTGCGTCCGTAGATACCCCAGTTGGTGAAGTAGGCGAGGTTGACGCGAGGAACGACAGCACCGTTGGTGGTGAAATCGTGACCTTCGCTATCGGCGACGTAGTTTTCGGGATCTTGGTTGACGTCGGTTGCAGGAGCAGCGGTGGCGGGGGGTGTAGTGGGAGCAGTGCTAGGAGCAGTGGGGTTGCTCGCTTCGGTTCCAGGAGTCACTACGGGAGTAGCAGCGTTGCTAGAGGAAGAAGGTGCGACTGCGGCGGGCGCGGAACCAGCAGCAGTGCCGTCAGTGGCTGCAGCCGTCGAGTATGCGGATGGCTTGGTGGGCGAAGGAGGAAGAGACGAGGCAAGCGACGAAGACTTTTTGTCCTCGTCAAAGCGCCTAGAGAGCTTGTGTTTGAGGCCTGCAAAGATCATGATGGAGAGAGCAAAGCGATGATTGTTGTCAGCAATCGCATAGTTGACTGTTTGCGGTTCACTGTATGCGTGATACTTACGAGCAAGGATAGGCATGGTTGGCAGTGAGCTTTACGTCGCTGTTGACGATGTGATGGGTGTGCGGGTTCTGTTCGATAGACTCGATGGTATCCGAGCCAGATGAATGCGAACGAAAGTTGTGATGGTGGTAGTGGTGCAAGGCGATGAAGAGTGAAAGTGCGGATAGAGAATGGAGAGCGGAAAGGATGCAGGAATCGCGGACTGTGTAAATAGGAGACGAGCGGAGGTCAAAGTAAGGACGACGATCTCTCAGCATCATACGGTAACTTGGCAGGCCACACGAAGGGAGCGGGCTCAGCTCTCTACAGGACCACACTCGGTTCACGGCAGGCTCGCCGTTGAGAAGCGGAGGATTGGAGGTGTCCATGTGTTGCAGCTCGAGCGAGAATCTACATCATTGCCTCCTGTTGCTGCTCGACGTTGAACCTTCTTCTTGGCTTGACATCTACAACGCTTCTCTTGCTGCGGCGGAAATGGACAGCCACGAAGCCGGTCCAAGTATATCCTCCCTTTGCAGCTTCTGGAGGCTTTCCTGCGGAAAACATCAACACCACCTTCCTCATCGGGCAGCAGGCGGCAGAATTTGAATCTAGATTTTAAACCCCCCAAACCCCTGTCTCGAGCCTGTGTAACTTCTCCTGTCAAAACGCGCATCGGGAAGAGACACAGACAGAACCTTGCTAACTCGGTACCAGCCTCAGCCTCTGCCTCTTTCCTCGCTACACCATCTTCACTGTCAACGCTTTCATGCAGAAAGCATTGTTCGAGTACCACCACCACACTAGTGTCCAGGCGTGAAAGAATGATCTTGAGCATGATTAGCTACCACTGAAGCTCAAGCTCGAGTCGAAATTATTCTTGAAGCTCCTATGAGGCAAGCTTGGCGTTGAAAGGGTTAGTTTTGAGCTTGTAGACGTAAGAGTGAACAACAGCGTTGCTCGGTCCTCCATTCAGAAATCTTGGCATCAGGCTGCACAGTAATGCAAGAAAGCTACGGCAGAGAGAGGGGCACAACCATCAATAGTTGCAGCTCCGACCTGCTTGGCCAACTCTACATTGCACCCAGCATGCTGGTTGGATGCTGCGTCGTCGATCTTGTGTTGGTCATGCCAAGTTGGAAATTTCCAAATTGGCTCCTCTGTAACTCTGTAAGATTGTGGAAAAGTTGTTCCGGCCGGGAAAAAAAAAAAAAAAAAAGCATGTCTTCGGCAACCACCAGATAAGTGTATTAGCAGACCCTTGCTTGGATCGTGCACGAAGCTTCGCCTTGTCCTGCATTTCCTCCGCGGCCTCCACTTCAAGAGCTTGGTTACTATCAACTCGATTGACTCAAGTTTTCGTTCAGCCACCACAACTATCATCATTCGACCCTCGATCGCGCTCTCGATCGCGCCCTCGCCCTTGATCACCTGAGATCCACCGACAAGATGTCAACCTTAAAACAACCCCAGGGCCACGCATACGGACACCTCCTCCCCCCATCCTGGAAAGTTAAAATCTCCGAATGGCTCAAAGAAGATTGCCCATCCTTCGACTGGGGAGGATACGTCGTCGGCGAGGATAACAAGCGTGCCACTCTCTGGTGCAAGTCCGAAGGGTGCCTCGCCGGCGTGCCCTTTTTCGATGAAGTGTTTAAGCAGCTCGATTGCAAGGTCGAATGGCACTACAATGAGGGTGATTGGCTTTCCTCTCCCAATGGTGGAGGCAAGGTTAAGATTGCGGTTGCAACCCTCACTGGTCCTTCACGCAAGATTTTGCTGGGTGAGAGGGTAGCGCTGAACACCCTGGCCAGATGTTCAGGAATTGCAACTGCGTCGACTAATTTCCTCCAACGAGCACGGGAGGGTGGGTATAAGGGAATTGTCGCAGGTACAAGAAAGACTACGCCTGGATTCAGGGATGTGGAGAAATATGGAATGTTAGTTGGAGGTGTAGACATGCATAGGTACGATTTGAGCAGTATGGTTATGCTCAAAGACAATCATATATGGTCGACTGGGTCGGTGACGAATGCTGTCCACGCTGCGAGGTCTGTTTGCGGGTTTTCGCTACGCATTGACGTAGAGGTGCAGAGCTATGATGAGGCGGTAGAGGCGATCAAAGCGGGTGCGGATGTGATTATGTTGGATAACATGCAAGGCGAGACGCTGATTAGTAATGCAAAGAGATTGAAGGACGAGTTTAGTGGACAGCACAAGTTTTTGTTGGAATCGAGCGGCGGTATTGATATTGATAATGTGAGGGATGGAGGGCACGTTGATAACTGTAAGTCCGACTTGCCAAACATGAGAGGGGGGAAGTAAAGATGGCGCACTGACATCGCTTGCTTTGACTTGGCCTTGGACTTGGCCTTGGACTTGGCCTTGGACTTGGCCTTGGACTTGGCCTTGGACTGAACAGCAATCGACATCATCTCAACGTCAAGCATTCACCAATCGACAAAGCACGTCGACTTTTCGCTCAAGATCGATCCTTCTTCCTAGTCATCCTTTGCATTGCCAATATAGAGCCTTTACTCTCGCACTGTCTTTGCCTCGGCTTGTCCGAAACCAGCTTCGGCGCACTTCCGAAGACCGTGGGAACCTGACATCAGCTTTCGGAGAGCTTCCGACGCCAGACAACGCGCATATATATAGCGCAGACCTGAACCCTACCTCCTCCCTTCTCCCTCCTCCCTTCTCCCTCCTCCCTTCTCCCTCCTCCCTTCGCTCAAGATCGATCCTTCTTCCTAGTCATCCTTTGCATTGCCAATATAGAGCCTTTACTCTCGCACTGTCTTTGCCTCGGCTTGTCCGAAACCAGCTTCGGCGCACTTCCGAAGACCGTGGGAACCTGACATCAGCTTTCGGAGAGCTTCCGACGCCAGACAACGCGCATATATATAGCGCAGACCTGAACCCTACCTCCTCCCTTCTCCCTCCTCCCTTCTCCCTCCTCCCTTCTCCCTCCTCCCTTCTCCCTCCTCCCTTCTCCCTCCTCCCTTCTCCCTCCTCCCTTCTCCCTCACCCCATTGTCCAACACCAAAATGTCCATCAGCCCTATCCTAACCCGCATCGACACCCTCATCCACAATCTTCTCCAACAGCTCGTCGAGCAAACTCGATTGCTCTCTTCCTCCCCTTCTCCCTCCTCCTCCACCTCATCCTCCTCGCAGTCCACGCAGAGTAGCAGTGACGATTCCCCGCCTCGACCAGCGAAGCGTAGACGAGAGTCAAGTCTCAAACCGCAGCCTGTGACTTTACTCACTTTCTCGCCTCCCGCTGGCGATGGGGGGGAAGTAAAGAAAAAGAACCCGGTCAACTTCCCGACGAAGAGCGCTGTTGGGGTGCGACGATTTGGTGAGCCTAGCTCCTGTCCGGAAGCGTGAAGCAGAGGACTTGAGCTGACGAGGTGTTGCTGTGAGAGCGGCGTGAGCAGCGCAGTATTTGAAGATTCTAGAATTGGTACAGATCAATCTGAAACGGGGGACGATTGTTACTAAACGGTAAGCTCCTCCCTCTTCCCTTACGCAGCTCAGTCAGGTTCATTGTGCTGATGAGTCGATTGTGGGAGGACAGGGATATCTACTACACAACTCTCAGCAGCCGTCTCTTTCCATCGCAGCAATCATCTGATCGAATCATAGATCAAGTTTGCGCCCTGCTAGGCTGTGCTGATCGAAGCGAGCTTGCAATCGTTGCTAGTCCGCGCGGACTTTTCTCCGGGTCCCTCACCCTATCTCCCCCTTCCGGTCAGGGTATAGTACAATGCTTTTCGGGTCTCCCAACTTTGATTCCCACCGAGATCAACGCGGAAACCTGGCGCGCAACCATACCCTGCACTCACGAAACCGAATTTTGCATTGGGCATGTAGTGGTGGTGGTGGAGAAAGAAGCAGTGTTCAAGCACCTAATTCAGCACCCCACAGTGGCGAGACAGTGGGTGGTGGTTACTGGTAAAGGTTATCCCGACCACGCGACAAGAGCGTTGATTCAGATTCTGGGAGCAGAGTTGGAATGTGAAAAGGGTGGGGGAGTGAGGATGGTGGGAGTGTTTGATTGTGATCCGTATGGGATTGATATTCATCGTCAGTATGTGCAGGTTTGTGGTGGAGTTGAGTGGGTTGGGGTTGAGTTGGACGACTTTTTGGCGCAAAATGACAGCGAGCAGGCTAGCCAGCTGGTTCAACTGAGAGCGGATGAAAGGGCAAAGGCGGTTCGAATGCTTCGCACTCTCATGGGAACAAGTGCTGATGAAGAATTATGGAGGTAAGTACAATATCAAACCTTCCCTGACAAGCCAGCTGAGATTGTACGCTGACACACTGGCTTTTCGGGGATTATAGAACAAAGTTGACGAACATGCTTTTGACGGGGTACAAGGTCGAAATTGAAGCAGCCTACACTTTCGCCGTTGGAGGGCTGGTCGGGTATCTTCAGCACAAGCTTTCCACACGACAGACCATGATGTAAATGTGATCAGATTGCTATCCTCCCTCTATCTTTCGAAGCATATAGTGTGCGTGTTAGATACGAGGAACCGTCTCTCGTTCAGGATAATCCAAACTAGCATCCAATCCATGTCCTGTCCCTGTCCCACCCGAAACTGTTTTCCCGAACCCTGCTCTCTCTTCCTCGGTTGCCACGACATCCCCGTGCGCGTTCGTGTTGGAAATGTTGAACCTCCTAAATCCTCTCGTTCCACCACCTTCAACTTCGTCCTCTTCATCCTGATACCTCTCTTCGCCAGCCCCCGTAAGCTGTTCTGATGGAATCCTAGGAGAGTAGGGTTTATGACTCTGCGCATGCCCCAAAGGCGGGTAGTACAACTTATAACTCCAATAAGCGACCGTCAAACCTAACAATCCTCCTGCAATGACATCTGTTGCGTGGTGTCGATAATCCATTGTCCTGCTGACTGCGACGAGGGTTGCTGCCATTAGTGGCGTTCCGCATAGCCAGGCAGTCACCGCATGACCCCTTTTATCAAACAAGTGGAGTTTGCCGGCTAGGTATAAAGAGAGGTATGTCAATCCGGCGAAAGAGGTTGAGGCGTGACCAGAGGGGAATGATCTAAATCCATCGCGAAGAGTGTGATTGTCTGCAGCGACGGTACAGATTGCGTCGGTTACCAGGCCGTATGGTGTGCGGTTTACGCTTTCCGGAATCGGCTGACATCGATCAATCAGATCTGGACGGGGACGACCAACGGTAACTTTGATGATGGTTGTAATGGTCACAGTGAGAGCATTGGCTAGAACGAAACCCAAAAGGCCATTATGCAGGTCCCAAACGCTGCGACTGATGCCAAGGCTGAACCCAGCAACAATTAACGCGGGGATGATGACAGCTAGAACCACAAGGAGCCATGTGGGGATGCGTGCCGATGTGGCATACGTATGCTGAATTGAGGTATCTGTGAGAGAGAATTCGCGACGGAAACCGTGGACGTTGTTGATGATAGCCAGTAAACCAGCGAGGAGGACTGTGATGATCCAGTCTGGAAGGTAGGAACGGAGTAGCTCCAGTCGCCGACGTCGATTGATGGGTGAATGGGTGGACGACCAGCGTAGTTGAGAGTATAGTGAGTCTCGGTTTGCTTGGTGCTGGGGGTCACCGGAAGAAGAGGTGGATGCTTGGGGTTGGTGCTGGCCCGCCATCTTCTACTCTAGTTGGGGTTTATACTGATGGTATAGTCGTCGTGGGACAGAGAGAAAGATAAACGCTTCCAACCTCTTTGAAGAGATGCGAAGAAATCGCAAGCTAGATCCCAGCTCAGGGGTTAGCACAGACACAACAGAGTCGAGTTGTTGGTCTCGGAGCGAAGAACCGGCATACAGCTGCTCAGCTGTCCAACTTTATTCGCACCGCCCCTCCACCGCGTGATGCCGCCGAAGCAGCTGAACTGCCAAAAATCTAAATTTACTCTTCGGTGTGGATCCTGTGGGATTCGTCGTTGTATATGCGACTCTTGGCACTGCCAAGACACAGCCTCACACGACCATGACATTTCTTCTCATTGTTGTTCGGCCCGATTGCCAACCCAGCTGCTTTGATCTTGATAGATAGAACCACTCTATCAATCTTGCGTTTGTGTCATACCATGATCAGTGCTGCCGCCTCAGAAGTATCAAGATCTCTATTTGGTCCACATGAGGCCATCACTCGAGTAGCGCCCAACATTGTACCATCATCTCACATACAAAAGCGATGTTGATGTAATGAGGTATCACATTGCTTTCACGCTTGACAGTCTCAAGCAGCTACATGGCTCCCATTAATCACCACCCTGCCACCCCCATTCGCATCCCCGGCTCCCCTTCCGCCCCCGCCCTTCTCCCGATCCACAACCCACATCAGCACCCTATTCGCATTCACCAACACATGTCTCAATGCCCTGGTCCAAGTCTCGTCACTTCCAAACTGCAGCCTAATACTCGCCTCCCCAATCTTATCCTTATTAATCACATGCGGAGCTCTGAATTCTCCATCTACTCCCTCCACGAACTCCAGTACTTGCTTCAAACAAGCCAAAAACCCCGTCTGTGCATGATCAAATCTTCTACTCTGCAATAAGCGGCCGATTTGCCAATCTGATGAACCGTATAGCTCGTAGACCTCCTTCCTACCTCCTTCTTCTACCTCTGTAGTTTCAGAAGTGGGATCGTGGGAGGAAGCGGGATGAGGGGAGGAGGTTGAGGCGGAAGAATGGTGCTGTGACCTTGCATCTTCGTAGCGATAAACAACGCTGAAAGAACCTTTTGGGATAAGTTTGTACCCGCGGAAAGCAAGCTTGACTTTTCGAGCGATAACGTCGAGAAGGAGGGCGGTTTGACCCCAAGCTGCGTTGATTTCGTTCCATTCCACTGGTCGACCTGGTAATCTTCCAAGGCGGAGACCGTTGATGGTGGCTATTCCTCCTGAGTGGCCGATGCAGAATGCGTCCGCGTAGACGTTTGTGGCTTGTAGCCGGGCTAGCAGTTCGTGATCGTGGGCAATGGCCATGGCGAGCGACGCTTTTTCTTCTTCCAGTTTGGAGAGTGTCAGTGAGTGGGCGGAATATTGTGACCAGAATCGCTCTTCTTCCTGTTCGAGCGCTGACTCCTCTTCGATGATGGCGGCGAGTTGAGCCTCGATGTCTAGACGTGCGGATTCCGCTTCGCGTAGTTCAGTGAGAGCTGCGGATTCGTCAGATAGGAGTTGGTCGATCTCGCGTTGAAGCAATTCGCATTCTTCCCGATGCTGCTGTTGGAGTGCTGCTATGTCTTCTGCTCCTTCGCCTGCAGTTGCCGAGGAGGTTGTCGAAGAGGAAGACGATGAAGCACGAGGTGGAAGCTCGCCTGCCGGATGCCTTGGGAGCACCTTGTATCGACGCAGTTCAGCCTCGAATGCGAGATAAGAATCGCGCTGAGCCCGCACTTGAGACATCTGCGTGTCCATGATATCCAGTAGCGTATCTGTGCATGCCTTACATAATGGATGATCGACAATGGTGGCGGCTGCCGACCCATGCCCGCGAATGTTGAGGGACTTTTTGCTACTCCTCGGGCTCTTATTCGTTTTGACTGGTGGAGGATGCGATAGCAGATCGAAGAGTGCAGAAGAAGCTGCTAGACGAGCAGAGAGAGAGTTTGCATCGCCGGTAGCCACACCAGTGTTATTCGATGAGGAGCCAGCAGCACCAGCACCTGTCGCTTTGGCTTCTGGTTGTGATGAGGACGCTTTCGATGTTGATGCGGCAGAAGACTTGCTCGGTCGTGGAGCAATGAACGAGTCCTGTACGAGGTCGTATGCTGACTGGTTGAGATCAAGATCGGATGATACGGAGGAATGCAGCAACAGAGGCTGCCGACATCGTTGACAACTCCACGACATCTTGTGCTGGTTTGTTTGCCTGGACGTCTTTACAGGTGTGTTGTTCGCATTCGCCGAGTTGGTGTTGCTACTCGTTCAGACTCTTGCCTGATGATAGAGAGGCCATCGATCGACTGCGAATGTCGAGTGAGGGGACGAATGTCAGCGTCAATGCTGCGGCGGCGACGTGGGGTGGCGTATCGATGTGATGGATGGTGATAAGAACGGTCAAAGACACGCATGCACAGGTGCAAATCAGGGTCCAAACTGCTCAGCTCTCCCTCACTCCACACGCGCTACACAACCGTGCACTTTTTCTCCACGTGCTGCACCATTAATATATTCCGTATTCCGAATCTCGGCTGTTCCTCAGTCTTCTTCACTCACACAGCCATATCGCTCCCGACCACACACAACACATCACTGACACACACAAGCAAAGGAAGGACACAAACACATGCTGTTCCTAAAGATACATGTTCAAAAAGGTCTCAAGCACTACTTGCGCTTATCTGCCTCAACCTGAGCCTGTAAACTCTGCATCAACACTGCCAGTCCACTCAACTGCGAGGGACTCAATCTGCTAAGCACCACTGAGATGTGCAAGATTTGCTGCTTTCCTTCGCCGTTTGCTGCTTCTGCTGCACCTTCGCTGATGCCGAGGAGCACAGCGGGCACGCTCTGAGCTGGGTCGATAGGGATGGGTAAGCCTTGCAGACCCTGTGGTTGGCCGTTGAGGCCAATGATCGGTCGAATGTGTGGGCTGGGGACCGGTGAAACGCCGAGTGCAGAGAGGCGAGGGAGTGATGCGACTGGAATGAGCAGCGGGATCGGATGATTGGGGATTGAGGGATTTGCTGCTGCCGGTGCCGCTGCTGGTGCGGGCGCTGGAGAAGGTGCAGGTGCAGGTGCAGGTGGGGCAGACGCGGTGCCGTTTGCAGTGGGCGTTGGTGACTTCGCTGGCGTCTCCTTTGTCGCTGCGGCAGCAGTAGACGGAGCAGGAGAGGGGGAAGCAGACGGCTTGGAAGGCGGCGGCGTAGCACACGGCATGTTTAAGCTGGTGGCACTGGTGAGCGTGGGATGCATCGTTGGAGGTCGCACATCCATTACTACCGGTGCACTGGCTGGTGGCGAGCCTGCAGGAGGCCGGACTGCCGTCGGTGTTGGAGGCAATGCCGATGCAAACATCTCGCCCGAGTAGCCAGGAGCAGGTCCTGGCATCGTCGGTGGTGCCGGTGATGCTGAAGGCGGTCGCATTGCCGTTGCCCCTGCACCTGCTGGCACAGAGGGCGGAGACATTGCGGTTCCACTCGGCGTTCCTAGAGTCGCAGGCTTTGATCCAGATGCACCAGGCTCACCAGGCTTCAGCTTTTTGTTGCGCGGTTTGGGGATAGGGGGACCGCCTGGCGTGCCTGGCAAAGGATGCTTGCGCGGCCTTCCTCGGCCTCGATGTGGTGTTGGGCCAGGTGTAACGCCTGGGTTACCGGGAGTGCCCGGTGCGCCGGGTGTACCTGAAGTGGCTGCGGCTTTGGCTTTGGCTTTGCTTTTGCTCGGGGGCTTTGACGGCGTCGCCGTGGGTGTTGCAGGTGTTCCTGGTATGCTAGGGCCAGCGGTTGCAAACGGTGCAGACGTGGGTGTACCCATCGCAGCCACGCCAGGGGGCATCGGCATGCCCTGAGATCCGAATCCATGAGCGCCGGGCATCATAGCAAATGGTGGCACAGCACCGGGAGTCAAAGGAGTGCCAGGCATCGAGCTGTACGCTGACCCTGGCCCGATTTGCGGCGATGGCATCGCGATGCCATTCGGTCCAGCCTGACTCATCTGATACTGCTGCGCGTAAGGGAGATTGGCACCTGGTGAGAAAGGATAGCCTCCAGGTGTACTGGCTGGTGTGCTGACCGCCGAGTAAGGGCTTGGCATTTGCATGGTTGCTGATGTCAGCAGACCTGACGTGGAAGGAACGACTCCGGCTGGTGCGGGAGTTACAGGCGCAGTCGAGGTAGGCGATGGGGCTGTTGTCGTCGTTGTGCTGGCTACAGGTGCTGGCGCTGCGGGAGGTTCTGGCGGTGGAGTGAAGATGCCAAGTCTGTGCCTGTTTTCTCGTTCCTTCTCAAGCTTGGCAGCTTTGGCAGCTGCTCTCTCCTGTTGACGTTTGATCCTCTCGATTTCCCGTTCCTTTTCGCGCTCTCGCTCGATCTCGTCTGTGATGGCGAAGCTGAGATTGACTTTGGCCGAGGACTTTTTCGGATCGATGCCTTTCTGCTCTTCTAATGTTTCGAGCTTGGCCTTGAGTGCTTTGAGCTCTTGAATCTGAGCAAGCACTTCTTCGCGGTCATCGTTGTAGGCGAGCCTTTCGAGATGCTCGAGGGATAACGAGGTGTTTGGTGCCCTCTTGTGTGCCGTATCCAAGGCGGTAAGTGTTCGTCGAAAGCGTGAGGCAAGAGCGTCTCGCCGTGCGAAGATGGACTCGGCAAAGTCGAGGGATGGGAAATCTGGCTGGGGGACTTCTGGTAGTGGTATTGGCAGTCCGAGCTGGTTCAGCGCTGCATCGTGGTCAGCTGCATTCAGCCGCTGACGATCTTCTGAGTGTTTTTCTTTCTTGGGTTCGGCTCCTGCTTCTTTGAGCTGTTGCTCGTCAGCTTTCATTGTCGATGGGCCGGGCTGAGCAGATGTTTGAGCTGAATCATCCTGCTGAGCTTGAGATGATGACGGCGCAGTCGCTGTATGCCTTGCCTCCGAACGCTTGCAGTCGGCCAGCCGTGCGATACGTCGATGCTTGCGTACCCTGACTTGACTCAGAACAGGGTCCTCACTCAGATCAAGAGCCTTGAGCAGGTCATGGTGTGGGATGTTCCAGACATGGTAAGGCAGCAATCGGCGAAGGGCATCGCGAGCGTCTGCAAAGGGCGATAAGTCGGGACGCAGGATGGCCTTATGGTCGCGCTGAAGAAGCTCGTCTACCAACGTGGCCGGCTCCTTCTCGGTCTTGATTTGAGTATCGACCAGGTGGATGACAGGAGACATGCCGTCATCCTGTTGGTTGCCAGCTCGAGGGGTTGCTGATATTGACCTCTGCTTACTTGCATCGACATCTGTTGCTTTGGGTCGATGCTCCCGTTCACGCTTTGCGTGGGTTGTGTGGTGCTCAAAGGTGGTTGATTGCCCATCATCTGGCTCCTGCTTGAGCGTCATTGGTGTGGCTGCTGAGTTGTTGCGACTGTTGGCTAATGTCGATGGCGCGGGTGTCGGTGTGGGCCCTCCACCAAGGAGGGCAGCTGGGTCGATGGTCAATGATGCATTGGTCGGAGGAAATGTGCCGCTGTTCTGGTGTTGGTGGTGTTGAGAAGACGAGGTCGATGAAGAGACCGAGTGGTAGGCTTGCATGCCTATCCAGCTGGGCAGCAAGGAGGGTCGAGGCGCAGTGACGAGGAGCTTGGCAGCCGAGATGAAGGCAGAATGCACTTGCTGCTCTCCCTTTTGATCAGGCTGAGTTTGAGCTGACCAGCTTGGATTCGGATGATCCGACTTGGATTGTGCTGCTGATGTGCCCGGATTCTTTTCGTCTTTCGCTTTGGCAGCTGTCGAGATTGCAGTTGGACGGATCTTCCGATCTCGATTCTTCTCGTCTTTCTCGCTCGGTGTTGAGAAAATGAGCGTATGTTGGTCGTGAGCTGAGCATTGGAGACGACTTTTTCGCTTTCCTCACCCTTTTCCCCTCTCTCCTTCACCCCTTTTCCCCCATTTTTCTTCTTTTTTTTTGTTTTTTTTTTTTTTTTTTCTCCTTTTTGGCTCAGCTCTCGTGACTTGCCGAGATTAAATCGCCGATTTTGATATATATTTTTATCCCGATCCCGTTTACTCTCCCACATTCGCTTTCACATCAATCTACACTGTCCGAGATGCAATCAAAACAGCCTCCATCCAAGGCTATATAGAGTCAGAACAAAGCAAGTACATCGCAAATTAGAAGACCAGAGCAATCAGAGAGCATGTGATCAAGCACATCTGAAGCTGTCCATCGTTGCTCATCGTCCCATGACATCACTCAACGGAACCAACATCCATACTTTCCGCTTGTACTCTTCGTGCTTCGTTCTCAGCTTGCTTGAGCTGAACTTTGCCTCTTCATCCCGAATAGCCTGGTAGAAGATACTGAATGCCACCACCAGCCCTGCAAAAGCAATACCACCGGCATGCGATACCAAGTAAGCGTGTCCGTGATCGGGATGATTCGAGGAGCTAGTCACAATGAAGCCTGCCACCAAGGATGCTAGGTATGCCGAATAGCAAGGATTCCTCACCAGTGCCCAGGGTCCATTGGTGATGAGAAAGTTGGGCTCATCATCTGAGAAGATAGCAGTGAGACCAGGAGTGGACTTCATTGTGTATTGTGCCCACCAGAAAAAGACTAAGCTGTATCCCAGCAGCAAGATTGCGATCCCAACTTGTGTCGATCCTGCAGATTTGGCAAGAGCGAAGAACATGGCGATATCTTGAGCGACATAGCACATGCCAACCATGGGAACCAGGACGATCGTACGTACGCTCATGTGGGATTTCTTGAAGAGAAGCGGTGGGATAGTTCCCTAAAACAAGTCCGTGGCAACTTTAAGCACAACCAGGATCTGTTTGAGATGGTCGAGGTCACGCCATACAGTGGGAGCGTCGGCGATGAGCGAGCGGCTAATGTCCATGTTGGCCAAGGAGGGTGCCGGTGGAGGGTGACGAGGCTAGGTCAAGTTAGTTCCGTTTAGGCGGTTCGTTCTTCCGGCCCTTATATAAGATTTCCCGGGTGCTTTGTGCTCCTGAAGGCTGTTCTGGGCCGCGGCAGCAGCAGATCAGCCAGAAGCAGCACCAAGTCCGCTTGCGAACGGCTGTGTACCACGCTCGCGAAATTATCGCTTGGCAAACAAGCTCCTTCTTTCTTCAGCTCTTTCCACCACCACATTCTGTCGATTCTAGCTTGTTCCCTTGCAGCAAGACTAACGCTACGCATGAACAAAACATAGTCACCAGGTGTCTTTCTCTATCATCTCTCCTTGGAGACGTATTCGCACGTCTAAGATGCATTCTTCATACCTTTGTCCAGCATCGATACGAACCTTTCTCATCGCAGCATTCCTCCTCATCCACTCCGTATTCGCCTTCACCGTCACCATCTCTGAAAAGGATGAACTGCGGCAAACCTGCTCCGGCATGATCGCCGGAGACGACAGTCACATCGACGCCATCTTCCACAAAGGCTCAGTGGGTACTGTCGCAACCATGTTCTACGAATTTGCTGATTTCGACAAGCTCGGCAAGGAGTCTAACGAGAGAGATGCGTTTGGCTATCAGCTCAAGACCTATATATGCACGGCCAAGGCGGTGCAGCAGAGCTTGTGTACTAAGGAGCAGCTGGGTAATTTCATTGTTGATGAGAGTAAGGGCAAGGCGAGTACGGTTCAGGTGCAAAGGGTGGACTTTGGTGCGACCGGGTCGGATAACGAGATTACGCTGGTGAGTGCAAGGGAGAGGTTGAACAACACTGAAGCGGCCGTGATACTGATACATTGTTTGCCTTCCTTTTTTTGCTTCCAACAACAGAGGTATAACGTGACAAAGACACCCAATTCTTCGTCCTACTACTGCTTTGGTGCGAGTGAGCTGCGCTTCTCTTCCCTGCTTCTTCTCCCGCCGTTGTCACGTTACTGACCATGACCTCTCTCCATTCACCTTTGCTTCTCGCGCTCAGCTGAGGTCCCACTCGCTTCACTAGAATCCGATGCAAGCGGCAATGACCTCGCCGTACATGCCGCTTTCACTGGTCGAGTCGAATTCTTCAACAACTTCAAAGGCAACCTTCCCGCAGCCGAGTACCCCAAGCTTAACTTCTACTTTGCCCTCACCATCGCATATATTGTCCTCGGAGGTTGGTGGCTATCCCTCTGCATCAAGCACAAAGACGAGCTTCTCACCGTCCAGTACTTCATCTCTGGTACCATCGCTTTCCTCGTTGTCGAAATGGCGGCTCAATGGGTGTACTACCACTACCTCAACAACCACCTCATCGACTTTTTCCATATTCGAGAGGTGAACGGGAACACTGGAGTCACAGCTGTCGCGCGGTTCCTCTTGGTGTTGACGAGCATTCTAGATGCGGGAAGGAACTCGGTTTCGTTCTTTCTGCTCTTGATCGTCGCTATGGGTTATGGTGTCATTAGGCCTTCAATCGGACCAATGATGACAAGGGTCAGGCTGTTGACTGCAGCACACTTTGTATTTGGTGTGCTCTACTCGATCGGGATAGTGTTGATTCAGTTGGACCAGGGTGGAGGATGGATTTTTGCTTTCATCTTCCCTTTGGCGTTGACATTGACGACGTTCTTGACTTGGATCATGAACTCGTTGCAACACAGTATTGAGTATTTGACGCAGAGAAAGCAGACTTTTAAGAAGGGAATGTTTGTCAAGTTGCATAGGATTTTGCTTGCGGCTGTGGTCATTATCGTAAGTCAATCCTCTCGTCCTACTCTTCTCTTTTCTTGCCCGAGGACTTTATGCTGACATCTGCACTCTTTTGTGGTTGTCCCGGTAGTTTGTGTTCTTTATCATCTCCTGCTACGCCTTTTCTCAATCCGGTGGAGAAGGCTTCGCTCCCAACACATGGCGCTATCGGTGGTTCCTTCTCGACGGCTGGCTTGCGTTGCTATATCTGACCGTCTTTACAGCCATCGCATGGGTTTGGAGACCTACAGGAAGCAATATGAGGTTGGCAATGTCGGACGAGTTGGCGACGGAAGATGATCCCACAGCGGAGGGTTACGAAGTGGATACATTTGCTGCAAGAGGTCCAGATGGACCAGATAGTGACGATGAAGATGATTTGGAGGCTAAGAAGACGAGTCAGGGCAATACAGGGGGTGTGGGAGGGTCGAGAGGAAGGGTAGGGCAGGATGAAGTCGTGTTCGAGATCGGTGATGAGGATGATGAGGCTGATCAAAGCACGAATAGGGGGATGGGAGGTAGTGGTGGGAGGGGGGAGAGACAAGGATTGATGAGAGCGAGTGCAAATAATTCGGAGGAGACGCTGGTGCCGCCTGGTAAGAGGGCTGATAAGAATGATTGATTGTCGACCGGGCCGAGCAGGGTCAAAGACAAAGCATCAGAATTTGGCGGTTGCTCGTCGCTGCCTTTTTATTCTGTGCATAGCTTCAAGCGTTGCAACTATACCCGCATAGACATTCTCGACCTTGTCCTCATTCGGACTTCCCAGCGATCTTCAACGCTGAAGGCAGACAAGCTTTGTGAGGATGGTTTGTTGCATGATGCGAGTCTATGTTGCCAAAGAGAGCCGTTTCCGGAAAGGCGTTGAGTATCATGTCGAAAGCAGTTTGGTGTTGCAAATTTTCGTACGATAAAAATTGATGGAAGAAAATGACTGCAAGTCGGGGTGAGCGTATTTTTTCGACAATCACCACATTTTCCACTTCTTCCCATCACCATCACTTCTCCACGACTACGCTCTCATCCTTGCGGATCCCAACGAACCTCTCCTACACCCTCCCAAACACAGCACATGGGGCTTATATCGCACGCCATGCTCCCGAAAACATCGACTAGGGCAGCGGCCACTCAACTCCATCTCACACTCCGACTCGGCTCCTTTGCCCTCCTCCGTTTCCGCTTACCCACCATCCTCACCCCTTCCAGCTTCTCCTCCTCATTAAGCGCACCAACACCGTCAACACTCACACCAGCATTAGCAACAGCATCACCCACCTCCTCCCCTTCTCCCTCTAGCTCAAGCTCAGGATGGGGACTGGGTTTGCTCTGGGATGGGATCTTGTTGGCCGTACCAAAGAAAAAGGTTTCACACTCAAGAAAGAGCATGCGTGCAGCAAATAAGGGTTTGAAAGATAGAGTGGATCTGGTACATTGCAGTGCTTGTGGGAAGCCGAAAATTCAGCATCATATCTGTGCTTATTGCTATGCAGAGTTGAACAGGGCGAGGAAGGTCGCACTTCGAGCAGAAGAAGGTGGAAGTGGTGGCGCAGTGGTGCAGGCGACCAAGGGGCAGCAGAAGAGTCTGAACCCTCATCAATAGACGCTCTTTCTTGAAGTTTCTGATCGATAGCAGATAGGGTACGATCGGAGACAAGGCTGGACGGCAGATGTACGTGTGACACGGAATGGCAATTTAATGAGGAAATGTACTGTTGGTACGGTTCAGGTGTCCAGACGATCATAGCAATCAAGATGCGGGACTGGCTTGAAGTGCTCTCGGTCAACACGATCCTTGCTGTACAGTCTGGCTGTTTGGTCTCGGTGAAGTTCAAACGAGCTTGTCACGCATTCAAAGCTTGTCACGCATTCAAATGCTTGGCTTTCGATCAAAGCAGGAGCCCGGCTGTCCGAGCCTCGTCTGACTTCTTTCCGCTTTCTACACGCTCGCACTGTCTACCGCTGCTCTGCATCATCCTTGTACTCTACACAGTCACTCGCAATTGACTCGACATTTTCACTCAGGACCTCCTTTCTCATCGAATTGTGCTTTCGCGGATTCAAGCATAAAGCCAACACAGCGCAAGTTTCACACGCACTGCAACCGGACTCTTTACTTGGTTTTGTGAGCTGCGACCAAGTTGTACATGAGAGACAAGTGTATTTTAGCTGGCGAGCTGATGAGTTAAGCACCCTGCTTCTCAGCCTCAGCAAGATGCTTCTTGAACAACTTCTCCGCTCTCTGCCAAACGGCACCCTTACCCTCCTCCAACTCGCCCATCTGAGTGGTATCCTTACCCAGCACTTGCCTCAACTGCAGCAGACTGGGCAACAAATCGTTGCTGAAACCTTCGGAGCTTTCCCTAGGCAGCAGCGTTGGCAGATGGTCGATGCTGATCACGGTCAATGCTGGGTTGCCTTTACCCGTCTCGACGTCCACAGTGGGTTTGTCAAAGGTAGTGTTGATGTCGTAGATGGGCAGAGGGTTGTTAGGATTGGTAGTATCGCAGGAGACGTCGACTACGACACCGAGACGACGTTGAAGACCAGCAGCTTGGATGGTGGGTTGATCAAGGAAAGGTGGGATCTTGGAAGTGAGGTAGATGCAGTTGACGAAGATGTCGACGTCGAGGAGTTGTTGGTATGGGCCATGTTTGGCGGACGTTTCCTGGATATCCCATCGGACAATGTCTTGGGAAGCTACGCCGGCTTTTTCGAAAAAGTCGATCGCTCCACGACCGCAGCGACCGAGAGCACCGACGACGAGAGCTTTGACTTTGCCGTCCGAGCGAGAATTCTTGATGTGTTCGATTTGCTCCTTTGCGTGCGAGATCAAAGCTTGCTCATTGGGGTAAGCTTTCTGAGGTCCCAATCGACGATCAGCACCCTGAACCTGCTCTGCAAGGGCAAGCAAACCCAACGCAGCACCAGCGAATCCAGCGTGCCAGCCAAAAGCAGCTACACGACGTCCATTCTTATCCTCCAAAAACTCCAAATCGTACAACTTTCCACCACCACGCTTGAAACGCGCCAAAACATCAACCCAACCAGCTTGCTTCTTGTAACAGTGAGCAAACTGGATGTGAGTGTGAGGAAGATCCGGGCCGGGCTCCTCGAGCTCCTTCAATCCGATGATAGGAATTTCTTTGGGGAGAGAGTGGAAGGTGTTGTGTGGTGCGATTTTGCATCCGACGTCCGAGTATTCTTTGTCGTCAAAGATACGTTGGGGGTCAGATTCGACGGTGATGTCGAAACCAGCGTCGATGAGCTTTTTGGCAGTGGAAGGGGTGAGCGCGGCACGGTGTTCGGCCGGCTTCATTTCGCAGCGTAGGTAGAGGGGTTGACGGGCTGACATCTTGCAATATCAGTATTCGAGGGAGACTATGTTGCTGTGGGGGAAAGAGAAGGACAAGTAGAGAAGAGCGGGTGAGCAAGATATAGTGGCGAGCTCTTGATCTTGGGCTGAGAAAGGTTCGGCTTTGTTCCGTGCACTTTTCTGACTGCGCCAAGTGGTGTGGAATGAGAAGAACTGCTTGCTTGCTCCGTGCTCGTCATACAGTTGCGTGGAAGCAAGTCGAGTCAGGTCCCAAAAAAAGAGGCACGCCGCTTTCATTTCGCAGTAACGCACGGTCGCGGTTTCTTCGCCTTGCTCTCGGTCTTTCGCCGAATCTCCGCTTCTGTAGAAGATGTGAGATCGACATGAAGAAACAGAGAAAAGCATGGGGAAAAAAAAAAGAAAAAAGAAAAAAGAAAAAGGAAAAAGGAAAAAGGAAAAAAAAAAAAAAAAAAAAGAGAGAAAAAAAAAGAAGAAAAAAAGAGGAAAAAAAAGGGGGAAAAAAAGCGCTCGGATCCGTGATCGGAGTGCATTTACGCTTTGTCGTGCAACCCGCGGCTGTCAAGGCTTCATTTCATTCTGCAGCTCAGAAGCAAATACGCTCTCAACCTTCGCGGTGATTAACAGGAGCTATCCTGCCTCTTTGCCATCATCACCTCGCTTTTGTAAGTAGTCAGTCGCATAATCCAACGCAGAAAGGAGGTTACAGCCTGTCAAGCGTATTGGAACAGGCTTTGAAAGCGTCTTGTTTGCATCTATACTGTAACACATTCCACTGACTCTCGTGTTACGCCAAACGCTCCTCTGTACTTACCTACGCTCTTCTGCTCCTTGCGACGACCCTGCTACAATAGCTGTACTTACATACACGCACCCAGCGCCTGCTTACCAAACGTATAGCATTTGGGACTCCTCCTGTTCTCTGCATCCATAAGACGGAAACAATACAAAAAGAGATAGCCAAGATGGATGACGATAAGTTCGATCTGTACAGCGTGAGTGTCTGTCCCTAGTCTCTTTCATGTAAATCGACTTTTGTACTCACCATCTCGGACACACTTTTTGCACCTTTGCTGCGACTGTAGGACGATCTCTACTCGGACGTCCTAGCAAAAGAAGATGAGCAGCCGGCCGTCAAGCAAGAGCCAACTTCGGATTCCATGAATGTGGACCAAAACGGCTCTTCAACCTCCAACACCACGTCCAACAACGCCAAACGTCATCGAGCGGACTCGATCGACGAAAAGCCTTCCACCTCCCAACACCAACAACCCCCCCAACCGCAAGCAGCACAATCATCCACATCATCCTATCAACAACATCGAGATGAACCCCTCCCCCCACCCTCCTCCCTCCCTCAACAGCCGCCTCAACCACTCCGCAGCACTATGTCAACCCTTGCTGGTCGACCTAAAGTCACCGATCCCAACATTCAGAACGCAGTCTATATCGGCGATCTCAACTGGTGGAGCACGGATGAGGAGATCCGACAGATTGCAGCTAATCTTGGTGTGACAGTCTCTCTCAACGATATCACTTTCTCAGAGCACAAAGTGAACGGCAAATCCAAAGGAGTAGCATACGTCGAAACTGATAGTGAACAAGATGCCAAGAAGATCAAACAGTGGTTTGAAGAGAACGACTTTCAATTCCGCAGAGCTAATGTGACGTTGACGACAAGTGCCAATGGCAATCCCTTCAGAACGTTACCAAAGGATCCCGTGCCGAAGAATGAGAGGAGTACAAGAGGTGGTGGTGCGGGTGGAGGTGGAATGGGTGGTGGAATGGGTGGTGGAATGGGTGGTGGAATGGGTGGTGGAAGAGGAGGTGGGAGGGGAGGAGCTCAAGCACCCATGGCTGGTGCACCGATAAGGATGGGCAATGCCGGTGCCGGACCAATGGGAGGGATGGGAATGGTGAACCCGATGATGATGATGATGGGTGTTGGTGGTGCTGGGCTGGGGACGGGGGTAAATGCGGGTGGTGGAGGAGGTGGGGGAGGAAGACCGTACGGTAGAGGAGGTGGAAGAGGTGGTGGGTGGGGAAACAGAGGTGGACGTGGTGGTGGACAACAGGGTGGACAACAGGGTGGACAACAGGGTGGACAGCAGGGAGGACACTTCAACCCGAACTTTTTTGGAATGCCTGGTGCGGGTGGGATGATGGGTATGCCAATGGGGATGGGTGGTATGCCACCGATGGGCGGGATGAGTATGCCACCGACTGGGCCAGGTGGACATCAAGGACCGCCTGGCGGAGGCGATGATCGTGAACGAAAACGACACAGAATGGAGGAGAACTAGAGAATGTTGTCCAACCGAAAAACGTCACTGATAGCTTATTCATTTGTACTATGCCATCCAAGCGAACTTGCCTTTATAAGACGTACACACATAAGCGATGGTCTCATGAGAAAGCGAAGCTGTCAACGAGTCTCGAAGCATACACATGCACAGAATCCGCATCACACACTTGAGCGCTCACAAGAAGTCGATGAAACGGTTATGAAAGGCTATTGACCGCTGCTGTCTATCTTCTACATAATTTGGGAGTTGGGCTGTTTAGGGGTCAAGGCGCTTAGGATCACGAGGGAACATGCTCGCCCTCCTAATGTTACCCAATCCCAAGTAGAACATCACCACTCTCTCCAGTCCAATACCACCACCAGCGTGAGGAGGGCATCCCAACCTGAACGCCTCCACATAGTGCTTCATGCTCTCCACGGGAATACCGAACTCTGCCATCCTTTTCTCCAAGAAGGCTGCATCGTGAACACGCTGAGCGCCGGACAAAATTTCCTGACCGCGCATGAAGAAGTCATACGAGTTCGAGTATTTGGGGTCCGCAGGGTCAGGCATGGTATAGAACGGTCGAATCTCGAGAGGGAACTTGTCGAGCATGTAGAAATCAGTCTTGTACTTTTCCCTTACCAAGCCACCCAAGAATCGCTCCATCTCGGTGGAGAGATCTTCAGTGTCGTCAATCTCTTTGCCCGCCTCGCGCAAGAGAGCGATGGCATCCTTGTATTGCAAACGAACGGTTTTTTCGGGAAGAAGGAACTCTTCGCAGGGGTACTGACGCTTGACTGCGTCGATCTCTTTGCGGTATCGCTTGGGCAGTTCGCGGAAGATGAAAGTGAAGAGACCGTCGAGAATGTCGACGACTTCGTGATAGTGCTCGTCGAAGGACATTTCCAGATCGAGACCGGTGAATTCGGTCATGTGACGGTGGGTGTTGGAGTCTTCCGCCCTGAAGACAGGCCCAATCTCGTAAACGCGACCAAAGTCGGCAGCAATAGCCATCTGCTTAGCCAACTGAGGAGATTGAGCAAGGAAAGCTTGACCCTTGAAATAAGAAACCTTAAAGACAGAAGAGCCGGACTCGGTAGCAGCACCCTGCAACTTGGGAGTGTGAATCTCAACAAAGTCGAGGTTGTCGAGGTATTCGCGGAAGAGTTTGCACACACCGTGGGTGAGACGGAAGATGGCCTGGTTGGTGGTGGTTCGCAAATCGAGAACACGGTTGTCGAGACGGGTGTCGAGTGCGATCGGTGGAAGAGGACGGTCGGTCTGCTGCGAAGCCTGGATCTCAACTTCAGATCGAGTAGCGTCATCGACACCGAAAGGAAGCTGCTCGAAGGCGATCTCGCTGGTAGAGTGGATCTTGGAGATCTTGATTTCAGCTTCCTTGACAGTGACAGTGTTGGACTCGACTGGCTTGGGAGTCTTGACGATGGTACCTTGGACGAGGACGATGGTCTCAGCAGCAAGACCAGCAGCCCACTTGGTCATTTGACGAGAGACCTTCTCAGGGGCCTGAGCCAAAGTAGCTTGCACACAGTCGACACCCTGTCGGAAGGTCAAGAAGACAAGCTTGGCGGAAGGAGCACGACTGGTCTGGACACGAGCAGTGAGGAGAATCTGCTCACCGTCACGTTCTGGGCTGATTTCGGAGATCTTGGTATACTTGCGACCGGAGCGCTCCTGGGACATGTTGAGAGGAAGCTTGCCGTAGTTCTGGGAGGCAAAGTCGAGATCGGCAGCCTCACGAGCGGCCTTTTCGGCGGCGAGCTTGGTAGCCTTCTCTGCCTTGATTCGCTCCTTCTCTGCCTTGGCAGCTCGCTTCTTCTTTTGGTTGTCCGAAAGAGGCGTTCCATCGGGGTTGAGCTCCTCAGCGCCGTCGGCGGCAGCTGGTGCGGGGGCAGCAGAAGGCTGCCGCTGCTCGTTCTGAATGGTAGCTTGGTCGGCCATGTTGGACAAGCTCAGGTGAAGGAGAAGGTGGGAGGAGGATGATGATGATGTAGAGTTGAGTCAAGATGATGTGGAATGAGCAGCGCTTAGAATTTCTGACTCGGATCGGTTTCTTGAGCGGTGGAAGATATTTGAGACAAGGTTGGTGCGCAGACACTGCAAATGTGCCTAGAAAAAGAAGCTCTTCTGCAGGCTTCTTCTGCCGCGTGACTTGTGACAGAATATCGGAAATCGGAAGTTGCTATTCGACAGGTGTTTGATCTGCTCGAGCCTTCATTCTCTTGCAGGGGTCTTGGCATACACCTCTAGACAAGCGCCCAATCGCCTCTCGCCTCGCTCGCCAACTCGAAAATCAGAAGGCAAACAGAGCCTTCAACTGGAACTCCAGCAACATGGCGGCATCACGTCGCGCTCAAATCCAGTCGCTGTGCGGCGTGCGAAGGGGTGCACTGATCGATCGAGTCGAATCGTATCTTGCTGCGGTCGGCATTTGGTCTCGTCGAGGCAACGCGAAAGCTGTAAAGAACGCTGGAACAGGTGTTGTCGCGATATGCTGCTATCTTGCAGCAGAGAGGTAAGTGGTGCTGCGTCTTCGAAGTTGATATGGAGGGAGGAAGGAGCAGTAGGAGCGGATCCTGACAAGTTTACTGATGATGAGACCTTAACACGCTCACCACTGATGACCACCACAGCCTCGAATCTCAGGTCCCTGATCGAGCAACGGCGATTCGCGCAAGCGGTCTGACTCCAGTGCAATTCGCTGCTGCGGAGCGCGACTTTCGCACAGCAGTCCAGTCTGTCTCCAACGCCCCAGCGCAAGCTCTGTCGGGACCGTCTGATGTGGTCAACAAGGCATTTGCAGCCAGCTTGACCTCGACACCTACACGTCGCAATGCTCGTGCTACACCCGTGGCAACACCGACCGCTGCGAGCAAGAGTAAAGAAGCGCTGCTCGCCAAAGCACAGGCGATTCAGGCTGGGAGCCTGTTCGATCAGACCCTGCGAGCTGCATCGGATAAAACACCTTCCAAGTCGAGACCGAAGGGAAAAGGATCAGCGAGACCTGCGACAGCTGTTACAGCATTATCCGAGAGTGCTGCTGATAATGTAGCGAACGCGGTCGCCTGCGCGAAAGGGCCGACTGCAGCTGCTGTTGACAATGTCTCGACCGAGATGCAGCGTCATCGGCGTAAGCGCAGACGAATGGGCAAAGTGGTGTTTGGTCTATCCATTCAATCGAGTCTACATCGTTTGAATGAGGAAGAAGAGGCGCGTGATGAAAGACAACGTCGGAAGAGGATCGATGTTATTCAGTCGACCATTGAGAGACTGCGCTCCTCCAATCCAACATGGCGCTACTTGGACTCGCCGAGAGACTTTCTCGTTAGCATCTCGCCTTCGGAGAGCAGCAGCACACAGTGATATGGGCATGCAATGTCAAACCTTTCTCTCAAGACACCTGGACGCGTTACAGAGACTAGCTTCGATGGCTGCGTTGATGTCGTGAGGCGCATGCTATATGGAGGATGATGTTGGCTTTGAGACCTGGCATCGGGACGAAATCTCTCTCTTGCCAACCTAAATGAGAGATGTGGTATAGACTTGTCATTGCTCTTCCCATGTGCATTGGGCAATCTTGCGCCAAAACAGGCTGACGGCTTGGCTCTTGGCAAGGTCGATGCCAGATGATTTTGACATGAGCGTTGTTAGTAATCGCAGACCGTCTCTTTGCCTACATGCCAATCCCATGAAGCCCCTTCTTGGCAGACGCCCATGAATGCTCTCGTTACTGTACAGTATGAATGGCAAGTCGATCGCTCTCGTGTATTGGCTGTGACGCTGATCGACCGGCTGTTGAACGAGGAAGATGGTTCGGCTTGTGAGCTGGATAAGCTGCAGCTTTCGTCTGTCAGCGTTCATGACTGCCGAAGAGAAGCAGCAATTTGCGGTTGAATTCAATTTGCCTCCACTTGGATTTGAAACGCGTCCTGAAGCAGCATTTCAAAAGCGCTCTGTCCGGCCGAAGAGCAGCAAGCTTGCCGCTTTCGAGATGACCATTCCTGGTGTCGCTGTTGTCGGCCGTATGGGCACGTTGATCCTTTGGCGGGGGGTTGAGAGCATTGAGACAGATCCGATTCATTGAAAGTCGATTTTCGGCAAGCAATGAAAGCACGTGGGTTTAGGGCACAGCGCTCCAGTCTGTTGTCCAGTGAGCCATGGTGGGCGAGGAGTGAAGGAGGCAACTCAGACTAGAGTGAGTTGCAAGTTTGTATGTGGGTGTGATTGCGCCGCGTTTACCTACAACCATGAGTCTGGAGCCTCTGTACTCAAAAGCAATGCTCTCGCCCGAATATGGACGATCCTGTCCTTTTCGGATGTCTCGCCCGATCTACGGCAGATGTCTCGTCGAAGGTTTGAGCGAGTCGATGTATCATTTGCGCCAAAAAAAAAAAAAAAAAAAAAAAAAAAAAAAAAAAAAAAAAAAAAAGTCTTGGCATTGGCCTTCCCCACTGAACAGACGGACGATGGAGTGCCAAGACCTGCGTTTCATTCCACCCAGGGGCGAGGCAGAAGAGTTGCCAATTTGCAAGCGCGCCAGTTTCCATGAGGACAAGTCTTGGCGATCTTTCAGCCAGGGCTCGGATTTTGTATTTTGTATTTATTTATTTTTTGGATTTTTTTTTTTCCCTGGAATTCAGGCCCGGCGATTGGTCAGTGTCTGGATGCTTGAAATTTCTATTGGCACAGCCTTTTGGATCTGACGCACGTTTTGCTTTGCTTTGCCAAGTTTCCGCTGCTGGGCTTTGGGCGCCAAAGAGCGAAGGCGAGCATCTTTTTGCTAGAAAGAGTTTTGGCATCTCACTCTGTCCTGTCACGCTCCTGCGTCACTCAGTTAATAGAATAATACTAATGAGAGGTCTGCCAAAACTTGCGATAAGCTATTGTGTGTTCACAAGTCTCTTCTTGGCAAGTCGCCTGCCGAGCAGACAGACGCTTGTCCCGAGGGTAAGCTCGACAGGCTACTCGATTAACTAGTTCAGTTTGAGAACGGCAGCTGCGCAGTCAACTTTTCTGGCTAGAGGAGCCAAGCCAAGCCTTTTCGCCCTTGAGAAGCGGCCCTATTCTGTTTGCCAAGAAGTGCAAAGGTTGGTCTCTTTGACTGCTGTTATGCCTCGTCTCCCCCTCTTCATTTACAGTGACAAGCATTTGCCCCTCATCGTTTCAGTGCTCCCTTATACAGCCTCGCCTCTCCTTGATCCAATTGCCAAGAACTTTCTCCCGCGTTTCTTCTTGCTTGACATCTTGCCCTCATCATCCATTCTCTCGATAGCCTATCCTAACCTCCTTCTACAGTCAAGCGCCAAGCTTTCTCAACTGCAACTTGCCCACCCTCTCTCCAACGTGGATCAACTTGCCAAAAACCCCCCTCCGACTATAGATTCTTGGCATTCCCTTTCACCCCTTCCTTGCCTTGCTCCTTCATATACTCGATCGACCGGCGTCTATCACCACCTTCACGATCCCCTCTTGTTTTTCATTCCATACCAGCTCCTCCTACAACGTCAGCTTGCCCCCACCATCTCGACGCAGTACCACCATCTCATCTCTAGCTCTGCACTTCTGACAATAGTATAAGACTACTTCCTCTTCCTCTTCCCCTTCGACCTCACCTCACACATCCTTATCGCTTTATACCTCGATACAATACTACAATGAGCAATCACCTTTCGCCGGCTTCTGCCAGCGAGCACTCTAGCTACACTACCTCCAGCAGTCACATCGGCGCCAGCCCAGCACCATCACATCACTCTTCAGCCACCTCTTTCTCTTCATCATCACCATCGCCATCCTCCAAGATGAACAGCTCTTCCTCATCAGACAACGCCGACTTTGAGCCTCCTGCCAAGCCCATCACATGTCGATGGGATGACTGTGGCAAGGTCTTTTATGATCCCGAGGTTGTCTACAAGCATCTTTGCGACGACCACGTCGGTCGCAAGTCTACCAACAACCTTTGCCTCACTTGCAAGTGGGAAGGCTGCGATGTCAGCTGTGCTAAGCGTGACCACATCACCTCCCACATTCGTGTCCACACTCCACTCAAGCCTCACAACTGCGATGTCTGCGGCAAGACCTTCAAGCGTCCACAGGATCTCAAGAAGCACGAGCGCATCCACACCGAGCAGCACCAACAGCAGCGTCAACACAAGGCAGCGCAGAATGCTGCAGCAAGAACCTACAGCATCTCTGAGCACGCTACTTCCTTCGGTGCCTACCCATACCCACCCATGCACTCTGCCAACGCCTACCTCGGCCACCCTCCCCTCCCCACCCAGCAGGCTCTTTACCCTACCGCTTCCGCATACCCCTCTGCCCCATACCCTCCTCTTCCCACCTCCGACTACTCTTGCGATCACTACGCTCACTCGACATCCAGCGCCTCGCTCTCGCCCATGTCTTCACGTATCGACACGCCACAGGGTAGCAGCCCTGCACCTCACCACCGACAGGACGGCGGCGGCGGCTCTTACATGCAACTCGCCTCCGGTTTCGACCCTCGCAGCAAGGTGACCACCGACCCCACCTCTTACACCTACCTCGCTCATGGTGCTACCACCAGTCAGCACCTCACCGGTAGCAAGCGTGGTCACGAACAGGTCGAGGACTTTTTCCAAGATCTTCGTCACAAGAAGATGGCTCCTGCCTACGACTCGCACATGGCTGAGCGCCTCAATCAGACCTTCGGTGTCGGTGGTCTTGACGATGCTTCGCTCAACACTATCCTTTCCACCTTCGACCCTTGCCCTGCTTACGGTCAAGCACCCATGAACACCGGTGCTATCAAGATGGAGAACAACAACCGCCCTCACGGTGTTAAGCAGGAGACTACCGACCTCGCTCAGCTCAACGCCTTCCTCCTCCAACTCGGTGCCAGTGCCGCCTCGACACTTGGTGGCCAGCACTCTCACAGCTTGTCGTCATCATCATCGGCTTCCTCCTCGTTCTCCTCTCAGGGCCACAACGCCATATTCGACCTCTCGTCGCTCTCGCAGTACGGCTTGACCAACATCCCTGGTTTCGACGAGTCGCTTCTTGCTCAACAGCAGCGCAACATTGCTCAGCTCCCTAGTCGTGCTCACCACCATTACCCCGACAACAACGGTTACGCTACCTCGGGTCATCAGATGCACCAGCCTTCCTTCGACAACGTTCGCGTCTCTCGGGGTCCCGCCATCGTTCCTCAGCTTGCACCTATGGAAGCTGGTGGACACAGCTATCGTCGTGTTGAGGCTCTAACTCGTGCTGCTCCTGATGCTAGCACTCAGTCTATCCGCGCTGACGCCTACCGCTCGCCCGTCAAGGTGGAGGAGGATGCTATGGAGGAGGATGAGCTTGATGACGATGCTTCGCAAGCCTCTCGCTTCAGGTCAGTCAGCCCTGCTGCTTCGTCCGAGAGTGGATGGTCTGAGGCCGCTGGTCGACGTGGTAGCTCTTCACCTTCGCACGGTCTCTACCCTCGTGTCTCGCCTACTGAGGCTTCGCGCAGGTTGCCACCTTTGCGATCCAACTCGACTGCTAGTACTTCGGCAAGCATCAGCTCGTTGCTCGACTCTGATCGACGTGTCTCCTCTGTCCGTCAGGACAGTGAGGGTGCTGCGCGACACTCTGCCCCTGCTGCTTCGCCCTCCCCCTCTGCCTCCAGCTCGTCGTCATCATCGCTCTACCCTTCGCTGGTCGACCGAGTCTCTCAGATGCAGGGTCTCGGCCGTCCCTTGCCCACCGATGACGAGTCCATGCGTCGTGAACACGTCCGTTTGATCCGTGACCTCCTCATCGCAATCAACTTCCCCGATAAGGCCCGCGCTAAGGTCTCGACTCAGATTCGCCTCCCACCCATCCGCATTGACTCTCTCTCATCGTCGAGGATAGAGGAAGGCGAGATTACTCCTTCTGCTTCTCAAGGGTTGAAAGTGGGTGATGTGGAGAGTGATCGGAACTCTACTCCTACCCCTCCTGGCAGGCCAACATTGCCAACCTTGAAGCAGTTGCTGAACGATATGCCCGAGTCTAGACCGATGCGGGAGAGGGAGATGGAGTGCGATGTCTGATTTCTCATTCTAGCTTGTTTTGTATTTGTATACTCAAAATCTTTCACTTTAGTCTTTTTCGCAATATTGATATCTGGTCTTCACTCTCGCCTTTGCATCCGTGTGTGTATTTGCGTGGGCGTTGCTTGCTCAACCTTCTCGCTCGTCGTCATCCATCTCTGTTTTTGTCATCAACTGTTCTGGTCGTCACTTCTCGTTCCCACTTCTCACTTTCACATGTCGTCGCTACAGTAGAATGCTACAGTAGAAATCTGCTCAAGCTGTCATCTTGCCTTTTCCCTGCGCCTCACTCTCATCTCTGGCATTCTCGACATACAACCCACGCTGCGGCTCACTGATCGCAAGTAGAGTTGCGAGGTGCAGAAAAAGACTTGAATTAGACAAGAGTCGAGCTTGCACTCCTGACAACCTCCAAACTCGCCTCGTCCAATTCATCAACCCGCGGCCGAAAGACTGACTTCAGCACCGCTCTTCTCTCCCTCCCCCGCTTGAGCTTGTAATGTTTGCGCTCCAGCTCAGCCGAAATTCGGCTTGCACTGTCAAGGATGACTCTCGGCAAATCAGCCAACCTGGCACAATGGATTCCAAAACTTTTACTAGCAATCCCTCTTCTCAACTTATACAGGAACTCGATCTGCCCTTTCCCTCCTCCTCCTCCTCCCACTCCCCCACTCTTGCCTGAGGCGGCTGGTTCGTCGTCACTTAGTCCATCAAAATCTTCGAAATCGGTGGTACTGGTTTCGAGGAAACCCATGTGCCAATTCCCCACCTTCCCTTTCCACTTGCCCTCGAGTTCTCCTAGCTGGAAGTAGTGACTGATGAACACAACGTTTGGCATCCTCTTGTCCAACCCGAGCAAGTACTCGAGAACTCCAGAAGCGATGCATAAGCCATCGTACGTGCTAGTTCCTCTCCCGAGTTCGTCCAGGATCACTAGGCTACGAGGAGTGATACTGCGCAGAATCTCGGCAGTTTCACTAACCTCGATCATAAACGTACTTTTCCCGCTAAACGGAGAATCTCTAGCTCCCATCCGAACGAACACCGAATCGTGAATAGAGAGCCTTGCTGAGGTCGCTGCGACGAAAGATCCGATTTGAGCTAGGATAACGAGAAGACCAAGGGTACGGACTATAGATGATTTTCCGCCCATATTACACCCCGTCAACAACATCGCCCTTGAATTTGGGTCCGCCGATGAAAGGGTGAGATCGTTCGGAATATACGGCAGAGGTGAAACCACCTCTAGAATTGGATGGCGCATGCCGCTGACCTCGATCTTCGGCTCCTCCTCTTCCTCCCCCTTGCTATCCTGACTAAACTTCGGCCTAGAATACCCAGAACTCGCCGCTAATTGCGCAAGCGAAACCAGCACATCCAACACAGAGAGCGAATTCACCACATTCCTTAACACCACATACTCCTGTCCACACATCCCCTTGATAAACCCCTTAAACGCCAAATCCGCCTCCGCATCCAAAGTTTCCTTCCACTGACCCCTCCTTTTCACCATCTGCAAAACCTGAGGCGTATGAAACCGAACCATACTCTTCGTTGCACTAACCCTTAACCATTCCGCCGGTACCTTTTTCGCATCTGCCACTCTCACTTCCACTAGATAATCTACCCCTGCTACAGTTACGAATTCCAAACTGGGTCGATGCAACACTTTTCGGATTTCGCGAAGGTGCTCCCGGAGTTCGCCTTCGATTATGGCGATGTTGTCTTTTGCTGCTTGGATGGCTGGGTAGAGATCCGGGTCAGGGAATAGGTCAGGTTTGTTGTTCGCCCGGGCTTCTTTTATGGATATCTGGTTGATATATTTTTCGACTGCTGCCTTGCCTTGAGTTAGCGAGAGGATATGATGGTGTAGGAGGGTGGATGAGAGGTTCCAGGCTTCGTCTTCTTCTGGTCGATATTCCTGCGTGACACGGTTCAACCCTAACAGTACGGTAGCTAGCTCAGTGGGCGTTGCTCGGCCGTACGTCATTCTCGCTAACCCTCTCTCCAAGTCAGGCAAGCCATGCAACAGGTTTGGGAGCGAGCGAAGAACGTAGCTTTTCCCCTCAACCAACGCTTGCACCGCATCCAGTCTCTCCTCTAGAGCACTAATATCTGTGAGAGGTCTGGACACCCACTTGCGCAACAACCGACGGCCCATCGCAGTTTTACACTTGTCGAGGAGCCAAATGAGGGATCCTTTTTCGCTTTGTTCGTCAGAAGTGCGGAAGATTTCGAGGTTGGCAAGTGTTGACGCATTGAGAAGCATCGTAGTCCGGGAAGAGAACGAGGCGAAATTGGTCGAGAGTGTGCAGATTGATTCCAGCTGAAAGGCTTGCAGGTGAGTGATGATTTGGGATAGAGCGATGAGCGATAAATGGGGAAGGGTGAGGATGAGGGACATGAATGGTGAAGCTTTTCCATTCCCATCACCAGCTCCATCTGCGGGACTTGCGGCGCTAGGAGTGTCATTCTCGCGAACCTCATCCTCGGTATCGATCCCTCTATCCCTATAAAACTGCGTAACGGCCTGAAACGCCATATTGTAATCCGGCTTCGATTCCATCCTCTCAATCCTCACCCCTCCCCCCTCTTCCGCACCACTCCCTAACAAAAACCCAATGATCTTCTCCGTAGGCTTACTCAACCCTTTCCCCACCAAAACCTCGGCTGGCGCCAAATGCGCAATTCTAGTCTCCAACTCACTCCTCGCATGACCATCCGAGAACTGATCATACGTTAGAAACCCCGTGTTCACTTCAACACTCACCAATCCGATCGAAACCCTATCCTCGGCACCATTACCCCCCTCACTCTGCTCCACAATCGCCATCAACGATTTCGGCTGGTTGGTGTATCCCTCCCCGATCCCCAAACCCGCTCCCATATCGTCCGAGCTTGCAAGATCGTCAATCCACGTACCAGCGGTATACAACGCAGTCAACTTGCGCACGAAGGGAGTGTAGGCATTCTTGGACGCGGCTTTGAGTGCGCGGGTTTCAATCTGTCGCACCACCCCAACTTTGTGCCCTGCTGAGATAAGTTTTTTGACATGAATATGCAAGCGATGGACGGGAATCATGGCGGTGAGAAGATTGCGTTCGGGAAAACACATGATGTTGAGTTCTTTGGATGCGATACGGGCGTCTTCGCCGTAAAACTTGAGTTTGTAGCCAACTTCGATGATGAGCAGCACTCCAGGATGAAGAGATTTGAGTTCGAGGATTTGCTTTTCGAGTGGAGTGTAGGTCAGGACGGCGTCGGTGTCGGCGGTGGCTTTACCCTTGCCCTTTAACTTACTTCCTCGCCAAGATGAGGAGGTGGTTGTGGTGGAGGCGAACTTGCCGAATCGGTTCGTAGTGGAGTTGCCTTCACTGTCGCCTGCTTCCTCTCCACCACCATCATCATCATCGATAACGATGGCTTCGTCGTCATCGTTTGCATCAGTCGTGGCCCTCTTACGTGGCGAGAAAGTATCGCGAGAAGCCATCTCCTCGATTTGCATCTGATTTCTAGCATGCCTGTCAATCGCAAAGTTGCTCCCTATCAGCTTCTTCCTGAACGCCTCCTTCCTCGCACCTTCCTTTTGCGATTGTCCGTTCTCACTTTGCGTCGCCTCTCCCTCTACAACTGCTTCTTGACTATCCGAGGGCTTGACGGGGGCGAATTTCCACTTTCCCATACGATCGATTGTTTCTCGTCTCGGTCGATCATCCTTATCGTTGAGGCGAAAACGCTTATGTGGAGGTTCGAAGCTGGAGGTGAAAGCAGCGTCAGGGAAGGTGGGTCCGCGGGATGAGTGGCCGTTTCTGGTGTTGATGGGATCTGGTTGTGATGCTTTGGCGATTCCAGTGGAGCTTGAAGGGGAGGATTGGCCGGGCTTGGGCTTGAAGAATGCGCTGATGGTTGCTTGACCAGGGGCTTTTTGGGAGGGTGGCGGCATCGTTGCTATGATTGCTGCTCACCATCCAGTGAGGAGGAGGGCCGTGGTGGATCCGGAAGCGTCACAAGCATATGTCGTTGGTCTTCAAGACCCTCGAAATAGAGACGGCATATGGTGGGGATAATGAAATGCGCAGCAATAAGAAGAGGTCCGTGATGAATCAGGGTCGTGTCACTTTGCGAAATGAGACTCGGTCACCTATTGCTCTTGCGCTTTGCCAGTCTCATTCAATTTTTCTTTTCAGGGTCCTCTCGAAAAGTGTTACTTGCGAGAAGGAACGCATCGATCATCCTCCACTCTCCTCATCACCATCTCTTCTACACCATCTCTTCTACACCATCCCATCCTTCGCCCATCTTCGGCCTTTCTAGCACCATGGCCACTTTCTCCTTATCTACACCAGACCCGCCAAAGGAACTCCTTATCCCACTTCATATCGCATTCATCGAAGCCCTGGACAAGAAACGTGACTCACTCGCCTATCACTTCACCACCCACCTTCGCATGAATGGCGTCTACTGGGGTCTAACCGCTCTCGAGATCCTAGGCAAACCCGAAGTGCTAGATCGACAAGCACTCATAGACTTTGTCTTTAGCTGCTGGAACGAGCAAACGGGTGGATTTGGATCGTTTCCGGGACACGATGCGCACGTACACAGCAGCCTCTCGGCAATACAAATTTTAGCGATGAAGGATGCTCTTACCGAGCTCGAGGAGAGGCGTCTACGGGACAGATTGATTGACTGTAAGTCTCAACGCTCGATGTTTAGCAATGGTGAAGAGGTTTGCTAACATAGCTCTTTCGGGTCTCTGCAGTTATTGTTGGACTCCAACTCCCAAATGGAGCAATCCAAGGCGATCAATGGGGCGAAACAGACACTCGCTTCCTATACTGTGCCATCTCCGCACTAACCCACCTCGGTGCTCTTGATCGCCTCCCCCGCGACCTTACCATCTCTTACATCCTCTCATGCCACAACCACGATGGTGGATTCGGTACGGGACCAGGGGCGGAAAGTCATGCAGCTCAAGCTTGGGTCTGTATCGGCTCTCTTTCCATCCTTCAGGCGCTAGATAGGATTGATGCGGAAAGGGTGGGCGGTTGGTTGAGTGAGAGACAGTTGCCAAATGGAGGTTTGAATGGTAGACCGCAGAAGTTGGAAGACGTATGTTATAGTTGGTGGGTTCTTTCGTCACTCAGTATTATACGGAGGTTGCATTGGATCAATGCGAAGAAGCTTGCGAGATTCATTTTGGCTGCTCAGGTAAGTGCCATTTTTCCTCCTCTCCCTTTTCTTTATCTGTGTTGATACTAAAGCACTAATGAATGCGGTTTGGCGTTGTGCGTTGCGTGGGGTACAGGATCCTGATGAGGGCGGAATTGCAGATCGTCCAGATAATGTGACGGATGTCTTTCATACTGTGTTCGGCTGTGCTGGTAAGTCTTATTCCATTCTTTCTTCCTCACTCCAAGCAGACTACAGATAGAGATGTGCTGACGAATCGTTTGGCCTTGGTTGATTGGTGATGGTGCAGGATTGTCGCTATTGGGTTGGGAGGGGTTGAAAGAAGTCGATCCGACCTATTGCATGCCTTTGAGAGTGACCAAGCAGTTGGGGATTGATAGACCATTTCAGCGGCCACCTGCTATCGACTGGAATGAAAGCTGAACAGAGGGACCATTACTCAACCTCCCCATGGACAGTACAAACAGCGAGACTCAAGGCTTCGTGATTGGTTGGGGCAGGCTGCTGCTCTGGAACTGTGATCGTCGGGTAGACGCGGTTGAATGTGCCTGGATTTCGGCTCGAAGATGACAGTATCCGTGAGAGTTGGTATTATGGCCTGTAAGCAGGCTCGAATATAGTATCTTCAGGATACACCATATGATCCCTTCCATTTTGTCTCACCGTCACTCCCTTCTCATCTCTGGGTAACGCTTTCCGCATGTCATACCCATCTTCATCCCTCCCCCCTCCCCCTCCTCCATAATAGTACTCTTTGACCTTCCTATACACTCCATAGCCCATCCCCTCGTACATTTTGACCGCAGTCGTGTTACTTGGTCGTACGAAAAGATCCACGAAATACGCCCTATATACACGATCCGAAACATCTTCGAGCAACTTCATCATCCCCTGTGCCAACCCGAGACGGCGGTACTCGGGGGCGACGGTTATGGCTGTTACGTGGCCGTGCAATGTTGGAGGCTCCTTCTTTCGTGTTGTGCTGGAGGGAAAAAGAGAAGTTGAAAGAGATACGTCCTTGCCTTCAGCTTTACCGATGACGTAACCCATCGTTCTTCCAGATGCAGGTGCGGTCTGGATGAACGATAGATCTGGCCATTGCGCGAGATAGGATAGGTAGAATGAGAGGGAGTAGGTTTCTGTCCAATGATCAAGGTTGACGTTGTTGAATTTGAAGAGATCTGTTGCTCGGAATGGTCTTAGCAATGACATCTTGGCAGCTGTCGGAAGGCGGCTGCGTGTTGGACGGACCGTTGAGGATGATGGGGAGCAGGAGAAAGTTAGAAGCGTTGAGATCAGGAGATCTTCTAGAAGTGGAGGATTGGGTGTCGGAAAATCCTGAGCCGAAGAGAACACGCGGCTTAACAAAACCAAAACCAAAAACCCCCGAAAATCCGCCTCAACGACTCACCGAAGCTGTTGAGGTACTCCACAATACAGAGAACTAGAGTGAGCAGTGTAAATTGTTAGCATTTTGCAAAGGCTAGATACAGCAATACTATGAACATATATATGCTTTGCTATGAGTGTGTGAGGGCAAGGTGCCACACATAATTGCATGATGTGCTAAAGTGAGAAGAGCTGGGATAGGGGCCATTGGTGGGCAATGGTGTACACTGGTGGGAGGTGATGGGTGGCAACAATGAACAAAGTTGGCAGGTGCATTAATGCATGAACATGACTGCATGGTCATGTGATTTTACTGTCCTCCTCACTGACTGAGTGATGAGAGGGTCAGAGGGTCACCATGCCAAGGTGTTGTTGGGTATGTGTAAGTAGGTGCTGGGACACTGGCTTGGTGAGGTAATCAGCATCATTGTGGGCAGTCCTCATGTGTTGTAGAGTGATGTCACCTTCCATAACATGGTTTCAAATGAGGTGGTACTTCATATCAATATGCTTAAGTCTGGAATGCAGGACCTGATCCTTCACAACTTGTATACATCCAGTGTTGTCCATGAGTATGAGCAGTGTATGGTCTCCAAAACCCAGCCCACAAAGCAGATGCCAGTGGAATAGGGCTTCATGTGTGGCAGTCAATCCCACAACATATTCTGCTTTGACTGCTGATTCTGAGATGCATTTCTGGACATGTGAATTCCAGGTAACTACACTGCCAAAAACCTTCATGACTGAGCTGGATGTGCTCCTTCTGTCTGTGTTCAGATTGGAGGCCCAATTTGAGTCTGTGTATGTGATGATAGCAGGTTTGGTCCCATCCCTGCCACCAAGTCTCAACACCTTATCCTGTGTCTGATTTAGGTACATGATGACCTGGAGGGCTGCTTGCATCATGGCTTCTGTGGGTCTGGACATGTGGCATGCCAGGGCATTGATGGTGAAAGATATATCTGGTTGGACCATATTTGCAATCCATAGGAGTTTTCCCACAAGTGTCAGATACTTGGTCTTCAACTTCTTGTCAATCATTAAATCTGGAGGTGCCTTAGGCAGGGTGCAAGTCATGGGAATCCATGTTTTGTCATGCAGTCAGATCCACTCTTTGATGATTTGCTGTATGTATGCCCATTGATCTAAGTCAATCATCCATCTAATGTGATCCTGTGTGAGCTTGATCTTGAGGAACTCTGTTGCCAGTCCATTATCAGTGATCTTCCACTTTTGGACAATTTCCCTTTTGACTTGGTCAACCTGGTCACAAGATGGTGACATGATGAGCATATTGTTGACATATACTGAAATGATCACCTGTGTTGCTCCAGTGCCTCTTGAATACATGCAGGGGATGTTGGCCAATGGGAACAGACCTATACATTGCTGGTGTGTGTCCAATTCCTTGTGCCACTCCCTGCTGGACTGCTTGAGTCCATATAGGCTTTTGACCAGCTTATACACTTTATTAGCTGGTACCTCTGTGCCCTCCAGCAGCTTGAGATAAACATGATGATGCAGCTCAGCATTCAGGTAAGCTTGCATGATGTCAATTGAATCAAGTTCCCAGTCAAACCTGGCAGCAATCACCAGTAGGGTCTGGATGGCATCCCTGGGTATGACTGGTGTGAAGATCTCATTGTAGTTGATACCCTCCTGTTGGGAGAAACCATGCACACAGAACTTGGCTTTAAACTTGTATGGTATGTTATTTGCATCTGTCTTCACTTGGAGTACCAATTTGGAGTCTACAAGGTTTGCCCCCTCTGGTCTGTCCACTGTTTCCCAGATGTTCATACTTTCTAATCCATCCATTTCTGCCCTGATAGCTTCATGCCAATGAATTTGGTCTGGTCTGGTCAGAGCCTCCTTCACCAATGGTTTGAGATTCATGGTGGAGATTGCATGGGCACTAGCATCATATGCTGGAAAGTTGCCAATATCCACCAATTTGCCATTGTGTTGGAGATTTTCTTGAAAATGGTGTATATCAGCCTTGGGTGGGAACATCCACAGGTATGTTTTGAGGAGTATTGCAAGCATCGTCAGGTGTAGCCAAGGGTACAGGTTGTGTGTCATGGCAAATTTGTTGTGATAATGCTGAACTGTTTGCATTGAGAGGTGTTCTGCAGCCACTCTGTTTTGGATGCTCTGGTTGAGTTCATTCAGCAGTGGTGGAGGTTCTGATGGCATTGTGAGCCAGTATGTCTTGTCTCTTGAGCTGTCAGATGCTCGATCTGATGGTGCATTTGATGAGTCAGATTCTGATGCATCATCAGTCCCTTCTGCCAGATACTCAAATACAGTCTCTGTAGGCCCAGGGTCTGGTGTATTGTCTTCAAAGGCCATGTCAGGTTCTGGCAGTGGTTGGTAGATGTTGTCAATAGGGTGCTGTGGTTCCTCATCATGTTCATTGACTTCATCATACCCCAGATCTTCAATATTGTCTGTGTCCTTGTAATGCAGGGCATCCATATCTTGGATTGGGGTCATGTCTGTGCAATTGTTCCATGACATACCTTGTAGGAAATGTGCTGAGTTGAACCAGAACACTGGCAGGTTATGGTTAGGTGCCAGGAACTTCCAACCCTTGTGTTCCTCATCATACCTGATAAAGATGGCTGGAATTGCCAGCTCATCCAGTTTCTTATGTTTTGCTTTTGGGACATTAACCCAGGTGAGGCATCCAAAAGTCCAGAGCAATGAGAATGGCTTCCTTGGGTCTCTATTGTAGAACACATGATATGATACCCAATTGTGAATGTTCAGCATTAAATTTTTCATGAACACAGCAGCTTCTGCTGCAAATGGCCAGAATGTTTGGGGCAGGCAGTGTGTCTGCATCATCACAATCATCATTTCTCAGATGGTATGCTCCACCTTGCCATTTTGCTCACTGGTATATGCTGATGTCTTTTGCCACCAGAAACTGGCATTGTTCTGCCAACCAGTGGCTGCTGCAGAAGTCCATTTGCTGCCATTGTCTGAGCAGAGGGTCTTAAGCTTATGACCCATTTGTATTTCAGCATAATGAATCCATTCTTTGAGTACTTGAAGGGCATCTGACTTTGCTTGGAGTGGTTTCACATAAGTGAAGCTAGAAGTGTCATCTATGGCAACCAGTAAACATGTGAACTCAGTCTTTGTTGATAAGTGGGTAGTCAGATCAACATGTATGAGCTCCAGTGGGTGCTTGGCATATACACCACTACTTTTGCTCATTCTGGCTTTTGTTGACTTTCCAACAATGCAATCTTGACATTCATCACTTGGGAGCTTGATGTGGTATAGTTTCTCAATGATCTTCACCTTGTTCCAACCCAGATGACCACACTGTTCATGCATAAACTGAGGAGTGAAGGGGCATCTTGTGGCTTTTGTTTCATTGTCAAACATCTCTGGCAATTCAGACAGCTGCTCATCTGTGCATGCTACCAATGTTTCATATTTGTGTTCAGGGAACTTGTAGTGTCTCATTTGAGGGTTGAGGTTGCTGATGACAGTTGTGCCACCTGGGAGTTCCAACATTGCATGTTTGCAGTTGAATATCACATGTGCACCATCACTTGTCAGTGCCTTCACTGAGATCAGGTTTGCATTTGTGTCCAGGACATAAAGTACATTGTTCAATGGTACTTCATGTCATGGGCCTGAATGCTCAAGAAGCAGGAGGGTCACTGATTCATATGGAAGGAGCACAGGTATCGGAGATCTAGTTGATACCAGTAGGGAGCATGGTCGTAGTGCAGTCTCCATGGAGACCATGGACTCCTATGGACTCACATGCAAAGGAGGACCAGGCCCATATGCAAGGAGGGCCAGGCACAGCCATGAAGAGGACCAAGCTCAAGGAGCATGCAGATGGTTACCACTCAGGGGCTCGAGAGACAAGAGTCAAAGGAACCGTCACTGGTCAAAGGAGAAGGAGCAGTGTATAAGGAACCGGCAAGCAGGTCCTGAGGAGGAGGAGCAGTGTCGAAGGAGTCGACACAGAGGCACAGGGGTGCCAAGCAAGCAGGATAGCTCAAGGAGGACAGGAGTGGTGCTAGAGGGGCCCCCTGTACAGTACTCAATGAAGAAGGTACTCTCTGGAGAGAGAGAGCAGGTGCAGCGCTGCTGGCAATGCTGTGAAGAGGTATATAACCATACCTTCTCATCATCAAAGGTCGAGTGGATCCTCATCCACTCTACACCCATCATAACTAGTTATCACTTCAGCATAAGTATACATTAGTTTCAGTCAGCATAGTAGTAATCTATCAAGATTGCTCCTCATCGTAGTGCATGTGTTGTATCACCACTACCTGACATCCGAAGGTGGCCCATAGCAGGTCAGCAGTCCAGATTAAGATAGAACCAAAGGCAGTAGTCCACTGTGGTCTGGGGATCACCTCAAGCATCAGTCAACACACTGGACACTTGTGTTGATGCCACCAACCTTATCACCAACACCATTGACCTCATCATCATCAACACTCACACCAGACCTTGTTGTCATCATAACCTATGTATTGATATTGATCATGCCGAGCTACCCCTGAATGGAGTGTCCACAGAGGTCAGCTGAAACCTACAATAGTATATACAATGAATGCCACCCACTGTCATCACACAACTTGATAGTTGCTGAATGACTAGCTCATCAAGACCGATACTGAGACAATAGCTGTCACACAGTTTGATAGTCACCAAGTATCTCGACAGACCGACCTGGGTTTCAGGCGCGAGACCCCTGACACTTCACAGCTGTTTACATTCAGCATAGCCTGACCAACTGCCACAATGCGAATTCTCATCCCACTAGCAGTCTTCACAAACCCAGTACATGGAGTGGAAGAAGTGAGATTAGATTCATCATTTGTGACATGATCAGTTGCTCCTGAATCCACAATCCAGGTGGTGGATCATAGGTCCAGGGAGGTATGGTAGGCAGAGGTGATGGTGCACCAGGTATCCTATGCAGACAGTTGACCTGGGTGAGGAGGTGTTGCCAGTGTTCCCTCCTGGGTCTTCTTTGGGCAGTACCTGGAGATGTGATTCTCCATGTTGCAGTGGTAGCAGCATCAGACTCTGTCAGGTCCAGGTTTACCATGGCAGTAAGCTTCCTCATTTTTGACTTGTCCTTCAGCTAAGTTTGCCTGGGCTGTCCTGGGGTTGCTGGCTCTGTGGTCCATCCAGGCAGTCATGCTATCTTGTCATTTGCACAATGCAGCACAAAGCACTTCATAACTGGATGCCATTCCAGTATCTTCAAGTGTGATGACACAGTGATGATATTGTGTGACATATCTAGCTTGGTCAATGAGGGTTTTCACTTTGAGTATTTTGGGAAGAGTGTGGCCCATGGACTTGGCCTTAGCCCAGTGCTCATTGATATCTGTGATGAGCTTTCAGATGTTGGCCTGAAACATGCGAATCTTCCTGACTTTGTTGAGCAGGGTCAATTTGGCAATCTTTTCCATCTTGGTGAGTGTCAGGGGTCTCGCGCCTGAAACCCAGGTCAGTCTGTCAAGATACTCAGTGACTATCAAACTGTGTGACAGCTATTGTCTCAGTATCTGTCTTGATGAGCTAGTCAATTGGTGACTATCAAGTTGCACAGTGACAGCAGGTGGCGTTCATTGTATATACTATCGTAGGTTTCGGCTGACCTCTGTGGACACTCCATTCAGGGGTAGCTCGGCATGATCAATATCAATGCTTCGATTATGATGACACCAAGGTCTGGTGTGAGTGTTGATGATGATGAGGTTGATGACATTGGGGATAAGGTTGGTGGGTGTTGATGATGATGAGGTTGATGGTGTTGGTGATAAGGTTGGTGGTGTCAACACGAGTGTCCAGTGTGTTGACTTGATGCTTGAAGTGACCCCTGGACTGCAGTGGACTACTGCCTTCGGTTCTATCTTGATCTGGACTGCTAACCTGCTATGGGCACCTTCAGATGTCAGGTAGTGGTGATACAACACATGCACTACAATGAGGAGCAACCTTGATAGATTGCTGCTATGCTGACTGAAACTAATATATACTTATGCTGAAGTGATAACTAGTTATATGGTGAGTGTAGAGTGGATGAGGATCCACTCGACCTTTGATGATGAGAAAGCATGGTTATATACCTCTTCACAGCATTGCCAGCGATGCTGCTCCTGCTCTCTCTCCAGAGAGTACCTTCTTCATCGAGTACTGCTCAGGGGCCTCTCCTGCTTGCTTGGCACCCCTGTGCCTCTTGAGCTGTGTCGACTCCTTCGACACTGCTCCTCCTCCTTGCTATCCTGCTGCTTGTTTGGCACCCTTGTGCCTCCTGAGTGGTGTCAACTCCTTCAACACTGCTCCTCCTCCTCATGACCTGGTGTCGACTCCTTCGACTCTTGTCTCTCGAGCCCCTGAGTGGTAACCATCTGCATGCTCCTTGGGCTTGGTCCTCTTCGTGGCTGTGCCTGCTCCTTGAGCTTGGTCCTCCTCGTGGCTGTGCCTGGCCCTCCTCGCATATGGCTCGGTCCTCCTTTGCATGTGAGTCCATAGGAGTCCATGGTCTCCATGGATACTGCACTACAACCATGCTCTCTACTGGTATTGACTAGGTCCCTTCAATACCTGTGCTCCTTCCATATGAATCAGTGACCCTCCTGCTTCTTGAGCATCTAGGCCCATGACAGTGAGGTCCTTCTTTAGCCTGCAGTAGAGGCTGTGAAGTTTCCAGGGTTCCAAGTTTGTGGGTTGTACATAGAGGTAGTTGATGTTGTCATTGCCAGCAAGCAGGGCACTGCTTTGGAGGATGGTGAATAGCTCACCATCAAGGGCACAATCATACTTTTTGTCCCCAGGGGCCATGATACCATCAAGGTGCTTCATGGCCACTGGCCAGTTAGACAGGATCCCTTGGAAACAGGGGTTCCAAGCATACCAATTCTTGGTTGTTAGCTTGGGTGCCTCTTTGAGTGCATCATGGGTGCACAAGAGCCTTTGATGGAAATCAGAACAGCAGGATGGTTTCTTATAGACATTGGAGTCTTTTGCTTTGTTGCATTTGGTGAGCTCAATGAGTATGCCTTTGAGCATTTCTGGGTTTAGGTTTGAGATGGTGTCAATGTTATAGTGTGTCTCATCTCCATTGTTATCATCATTGTCAGAGTCATATGGTGAAGGGGTCTCTGCACCAATCAGCATCTGCTTCTGTGGTGCAGTGGGGGCCCTTAATTCATTTGGTCCATCAGATAGGTCACTGTTTTCAGCATCAGAGTCACAAGTCCATGGGGGCATATTGGATCAGCAGTTTTGTCAAAGGCAGGCCCTTTCTTTGGGCAGCAGATGTGGGCAAGGATATGGGTCAGACAGTGTGGCAAGGCATGGCAAGGTTTAGCAGTGTTTGGTCAGTAGGGCTTTAGACTCTTAATCTGTTGAGGTACTCCACAATATGGAGAACTAGAGTGAGCAGTGTAAATTGTTAGCATTTTGCAAAGGCTAGATACAGCAATACTATGAACATATATATGCTTTGCTATGAGTGTGCGAGGGCAAGGTGCCACACATAATTGCATGATGTGCTAAAGTGAGAAGAGCTGGGATAGGGGCCATTGGTGGGCAATGGTGTACACTGGTGGGAGGTGATGGGTGGCAACAATGAACAAAGTTGGCAGGTGCATTAATGCATGAACATGACTGCATGGTCATGTGATTTTACTGAAGCTGATCTCCTATCGGAAGCTCTATTACAGACACATCAGCCATGGAAAGCTACAAGAACTGCTGTTGTAATGATTATATGTATGGTGGAGAGTCGAGATCGATCTCGACATCTAGCGCTATAGAAAAGCAAACAAGATCTAGAACGAAAGTATATGCTACCGCTACGACAAGACCTGCTTCCTTGCTACTCTTTCCACCTAATACCCAGAGCCGACACCAGCCAACCCCCCATCGATGCTCGCCACACTAGCCAGACTAGACATGATCTTTCCCTGAGGACTAAACAAATGCGGTTCCATCACTGGGAATGACTTACTCAACGGACTCGACGTCGCAGCCTTATAGCTCGGATGGAGCGAAGGCGAAGGCGGCAACTGTCCGAACCTCGATCTCGGTGATGTTAATGGCAGTCTTTGGACTGAAGAAGGTGGCGAGCGTGCCAGGCCGTCAATATCCAAGTTCAGACGAGCTGGTCTGCGTTTTCCTGCTTCACCGTTAGTACCACCGAGAATGGGCGAGGAGGCGTTGCTACCCGTGCCAGGACCAGTGGTGGAGGTGATGGAGGTGCGACTGCCGATCTGATTCCCAAGCGAGGAGTGGCTGGAGAGTGGAGAAATCGGCGAAATAAGACTTTTCGGCGAAAGAGGGGTGGATGCAGAGGTGGAAGCGGAGGGAAGGATGTTATGATGATGCGAGGTGGATTGGGAAAGAGCTTCGCGCACGGCTAGACGAGTGTCTTCGTTCATAGTGCGGATTTCTTCTTCGTCCAAGCTGTAGTCATGGGTCGTTCCTGCCAGAGGAGGGTTGACAGGGAAGCTATCGGCGTGGAGTGGGGATGAGGCGAAGCGGTAGGAAAGCACTGGGACGGAGGGTGACTTTGCGATCTGCTCGCCGTCGTGGCCTTCCGTATCATTCCATCGAGACTCGACCACAGGAGCTCCATTCTGGTGTCCCTGCATCGGCAAACACTGCGGTGATACCGGCTCAGCCGCCTCCTTGCTCGCTTGCCACAGGTCGCCTGCAGAAGGCCTTCGCAGCTCATGAGGCAATGGTCCACCCGAAGGACCCGAAAAGATAAAGAAGGTCTCATCGGATGGGGAGCTCGACATGTACGACTTGACTAGATCTCCATTTACCGAAAGACCTTCCCCATCTCCACTAGCACTACTCAGCTGTGTATCCATCGTAGTCGGTTCGGAGCTGAGGTGAGCATCGTAGGTGAAGCTTGGCGTGCGTACCTCATGATGCATGTCACGCTTCGGACTGTTCGAGTTGAGCGAGTATGCGGAAGGGTGATGCGACGAGATGTTGTTTGTAGCATACGAGACCTGACTCCAGCGCTCGTTCAATGCTATCTCTTCCTCCAGTTTCGCATTGGCTTCTGACTTTGCAATAATTTCCTCGAGCTGCTCCGTTGTCTGAGCTTGCTGGACGATCTTGTGCGCTTGTGCGTCGGGCGTGACTGATCGCAAGTCGCTGTCTTTGCTGAGCGACCTTTCAATGATAGTTCCATCGGCGCTAGAACCTGGCTGTTGCTCGGTCATCGAGGTCGATAGATCTTGCGGGATGGAAGCCTCAGAGTCAGCAGAGACGACTTTGCCGCGAAGGAAGCGCTGGATGGAGGCAATGTCGTTGTCGTGGTCGTCGCCTGTGAATGCTCCGAGCTCCCTTGCTTCGTCTCCGTTGAGTTCCAAAGTTGGTGCGCAGAGTGCAGCCGGCTCGAGTGTCGCAACTTGCTCGGACTGTTCTGACAATGCAAGCGCGTCGACTGATTTAATAGACTCGGTGGGGATCTCTGGCAAGGGCTTAGACTCGACAGGCTGCTCCGAGACGCGTTCAGCCTCGGCAACAGGACCAGCTGTGGTCGTGAGCTCTTTCACATCATCGAGCTTCCTCTCCTCGGCCTTGGGAGTAACAGCGGCAACCTCTTTCACAACAGGCGTTTCCACCATTCGCAACTCTGCATACTCGACCGAAGGCGACTTGCCATCTTCAGCCCCCTCTTCGTCTGCGAACGTCGGAATAGCCTCCTTAATATCGTCGCTGTTTGTATCTCTTGAGTGGATCGACTCGACATCGCCCACCTCGGTTCTGGCCATACGTTGCATCGCATCTGCCTTACTGAACTCGACCAACCTCGAAGCGCTGAACGGCGCCTGGAAGCCAAGTCTCGGAGATCGAATTCTCGAAGACGAGACAGCCGACGTGCTTGCGGGTCGGGGCGAAACATGACCTTTATCGAAAGGACTTCCACCTGCAGCAAACGTTCTTCGTGCATTGCGGCGGCTTTTGGCGGTAGCAGCCTTGGCACGTGCGATCCATTTAGGACTAGGTGTCACCGATGCAGAGATGCTACGTGCGTAGGCTAGGCTGTCGCGGCTGGACATCTTGCGACCACTGGGATCAGGACTGTGGGCACCAGGGTTGGGCGAGCATCCGGGGCTGAGCAACTCGAGAGCCTTTTGCATCTCTTCGAGCGAGTCACTGAGATCACCAGAGCTGCGGCGGCTGGCACTGCTGGGGCGGCGGTCTTGGGGTGGAGCCAGGGAGTCAGGCGAAGACGGCGAATGGTGCTGGAAGATGGGAGTCGACACAGATCGAGGCGATGGGGCTGCTCGAGGCGTGACGAAAGCGTCGCCGACTGCAGTCGGACTCAGTAGCTGAGGAGACAACGGGACCGTAAGATTGCCAAGCTGTGGCTTGACACCATCAAAGGCAGCAGCATCGAGGTGGATGGGACTGAGAAGCGAGATTCCTGGTGCTGCATGGGAAACAGCGCTCAGGCCAGCGCCGGCGTCAAGGCTGTCGCTGGAGTTGAGCTCCTGTTGGTTGGGTGTCAGGTCTCGAGGCTCTTCGGTTCGCTTATAGCCATGGATGCCATCGCTCGAAGCGACGCTGTGCTCCACGGGTGCTGTGGGAGTGTTAATGTGAGGTACGTTGTAGGGGTCCTGTGCGATTTTGCTAGCCCAAAGACCGACCACCTCGTCAATGTCGGGCTCGTTGGGCAACTGCATGCCATCGTCGTCGATGCTGTCATCGAAATTGGTGGCGAAGTTATCTTCGAATCCGCCCCGAGAGTTGGGTCGACCTGTGGGAGTCTTTCCGATCCAGCTCTGAATCCTGGCCATGTTGGAGCGCTGAGGGTTATAGTATGCTTCTTCAGTGTACTTGTCGGCGTGATTGTAGTGATGTTGGGATTGATCTTGCGCTGTCTGCATTACTGGAACGGAAGCAGAGGACCAAAGCAGCTGTTGCGCGTGATATGGCTGATGGGCTCGGTCGTCTTGGAAGTCGCCGCTCTGCATGAGCTGGAAGTCGTTGTCGAATGACTGAACATGCGCCGGCGCCGCTGTTTGTTGATGCTGCTGCTGCCACGACTGTCTTGACTCACTCTGTTGCGCGTGGTGCGGAGCTGCAGGAAAGTGGTTTTCACGAAGCTCGGAGATCATCTGGTCCATGCCGTGGTGTTGCAAATCGGGCCACATGGCCTCATCACCAGCATCGACGATGAAGCTGTGACGAAGGGGGAAGCTCTTCCCTTCTCCTTCTTCCTCCTGCTGAGCAGGCATAGCAGCGTGAGGGGGAAGCTGAGCCACTTCGGTGGTGGGCGAGTCCGGAAGCGCTGAATAATCGCCGTCGTGCGCCCGGGTGAGCGGCTCGCGATCATAGCTGGCATCACGATCGGTGAGGTCGTCATCGACATCCTGGGCTTCAAGAATCTCGGAGTATCCTGTGCTACTTTGGCTCTGGTCAGAGTTGGAGTTGTGGCTCAGAAGCGCCGCGCTGTTTTCGAGAGGTGGCTGTGGCGATACTGATCGTGGCTGAACATCCAAGTCGAGCGACGATGAGGAAGCAACTACAGGTGTTTCCGTGGGAAGCGGCGACACAGACGCTCGTGAAGTGGACGACGTTCGGTGAGAGCCTTGAGAGCTGGCAGAAACGATGCTGGCGCGTTGCGATCGGAGTGGTTCGTCCATGGACGATGAGCGACCGGCAGGTAGCTGTGCTACGGGTGCCTCCTCCTTACTCTCAGCCTCCTTCTTACTCTCAGCCTCCTTCTTACTCTCAGCCTCCTTCTTACTCTCAGCCTCCACCTCATCCTCCACTGTGGCAACCGTCACCTTGATAGGCTCTTGCACGACTGCTTTATCTTCTTGCTCAATCTGGTGTGATGACTGCACTGGGCTAGACGGTGCCAAGGAGCGAAGTGAATGTCTCTTCTCCTCTTCTGGAATTACCTCTGGAATCACAGCAAGGTCAGATTGTCTCTCTGATAGTATATTGTCGGTTGGCGACGAAGGCAGTGCAGCCGACGGTGCCGCTTCTTCCTGCTCGGAGAGGCCGATCGGCTGTGGCTGGTGGGCTGTTGACTCGACTTCGCGAGTAGTCGGTGCCAGGATGGGCTGTGCAATGTTGTCCTCCTTCTCCACCTCTTCTTGGTCCTCATCCGCATCGAGCTCATCTTGCTTACTCTGCGAGACATTGTTGGCGAGGTGCATGCTCTTCCTGGTCGGATGAGTTGGTCGATCGCGTACACATGTTCTAGATGCAATCCAGCTAGGCCACCATGGTGCCTTGTTCGAATCGACCTGCCATTCGATGCGCGCCAAGATGGGCAGACGAGGGAAGGGCGCAGGAGCAACATGACTTTGACCAGCAGAAGAAGAGGCTTGGCCCGACCAAGCTGCACTGCGTGCGGATGGACTCCATTCTGCCGAGGGGTCACGACGAGTAAAGCGCGGTGCTTCAACTCTCGGCGATGGACGCGCAGAAGAGAGGTATGGGATACTGGGTCGATTCGATGAGCCTTCACCCAACGTCGATCTTGACAAGTCAGCAGCATGTGCGCTAGATGGCGACAGAGGTTCGGCAAAAGGATCGCCAGCTATGATGGACGCACGACGACTGGGTGCAAAGGCCGGAGTAGCCTTGTAAGCCGAAGTGGATGGCTCTTCATCTTGGATAAAGTACCTCGACCAGAGCGCTTGCCAAGCGACATCACCAATGCGTGGACCTCGGTTGCCCTGACCATCATCCGAGAGATAGAGCATCAAGCCGCCCACTGATGGGAGGGCGAATTCACGCGAGATAGCCCAAAGCTGACCGCCAAGTGTCGGGTAGAGAGGCAAGAGCGATCCTCTTTGCAGACGGTCTCGTTCGTGCTGGCTGATCTCTGGAGAGGTGGGATAGTCATCTGGAGGCACTACGGTGATAAAGTAGCTTGGGCTGGGTGGATATGGCGATCGGAAAGCACTGATGAGGGGGCTGACACCGTGTTCGACGCCTCTCAAAGAAGCGTCGACGGGGGCAGGGATCGGTGCGGCAGTGGTGAAGGGTGCTGGATCCGCTTTGCTACCGGAGAAAGATGAGGCGATGCGTGACATTGGCGTGACTTGGTCGTCGGCGTTGTGGATGGATGATGCGCCTGTTGGTGTGGTATGCGGAGCAGACAGAGAGAAGGCAAGCTTGTCGTGCTCGCTCTGAATTTGCTGATCTCGATCGGACGGACTGGTGGTGGTGGAGTCGAAAGTGGTAAGCATGGTCGATTCGTGCACCTGTGTGCTGGGAAGCGACATGGAAGACGATGCTGAGCCGGAGAGCGTGCTGGTCTGATTTGGGGACGGAGAAGGAGGCGTTGGTCGAGGTGACGAGCTCGACGTTGGTGGTATTTCGACCGACATTGAGTCGTCGTTAGTGTTTGTGTTGAAATGGATATGCAGATGCAGTCGAATGCAGGTGCTGGTGGTGAAGTGAAGCTCCTCTTTAGATGAGAGAGGATGCTAAGGTATGCTTTGGCAAGAAGGCGGTTGCGATCAAAAGGTTATGCCTGGCAGATGAATGTTGGAATGCGGCCTCGGAAGAAATGAGCCCGGAAAAGCGTTTTGCTGTCCAGTCAGTCAAAGTTAATGGCCTGTTGTGAAGGATGCAGTAGGGCAGAGGCCAGGTTGGCGTAAGCTTTCACGAAGAGGCGCTGCACCTTGGTCTCGGCCAGGAAGATCGATAATGGAAGTGATGATCGGAGAGGCAGTTGAAAGGTTTGTCGAGAGGCGGTCCAAGCGTCTGCAGCGGCGTGTCGTGACAATAGAAGGTTGACGTGATACAGCGAAGAATGGCTGAGTATGCTGCAGCAAGGAGATCGTAAAAAAAAAAAAAAAAAAGACGAGCTGAAAGGTGGTCGTATCGATGATGAGATGGTCGCAGACCGATTAGAGAGCGTGAGAGTGAGAGTGAGAAGAGGTGTCGATGGCGTTAGTGACTAGGATATGATACAGAAGCGTGAAAGAGAGATGGAGAGAGAAAGAAAGAGAGAGTGTGACGAGTGAGAAGCCCAAAAGAAAGCTGAGTCGAAACACGTCGGCGATAAGAGAGAAGAGGTGTTGAATAAGGGAAGGGAACAGAGAGAGGCGCAGACGGGCGTGGATCGGGTGCTCAAGGGAAGTGTGATGGTGTAGAAACCGGCTTGAGCGAGCAAGAGAAGGAGATTAGCAGCACTAACAGACAGGCAATCTGCCAGCCAGACCCTTCTCTTGCCATAAAGTCACACCAAAAAGTGGAAAAAAAAAAAAAAAACAAAAAAAAAAAAAGGAAATAGAAAAAGAAATAAAGAAATAAAGAAAGAAAAAAACATAAACATAAAAGAAGAAGCGGCTTTGGAAAGCGCAACACTGAATCACCGCTGGAAGAATGAGAAAGCGTTCTGTTGAAAACACAAGCAGAGATACACTCTCCTCATCGAGAACAACACGCGATCATTCTTCTTGAATGACAGTGGTATTGTCGGCTCATGTCAGAAATGAAGAGGAAATGAAGAGCAGAGAAAGGAAATCTGGCAATGAAGCTGCACTTGGTCAACAACGTGCCCTATCCGACCAGGCCACCAAGCTTTCCCTTTCTTTTAGAAATCCTTTTCTTGCCTTTTCTTCTCATTCTCTTCATTCTGGTCGTTGGCTGCAGGCAGAGCTGAGTCACGACATTGCGTGGGAAAAGCAAGAGAAATTTCATTTATTGCCAGCCGGATCAGTCGGATCAGCCGCACCTGCCTGCCTTTGTGCCAGAAAATAATAGGCTTTTAGGGATCGCATACCTTTTCCACGCCAAGTATCAGCCATAACCCTAACCCTAATCCTAACCGCTTTCAGCTTTCGATATTCGGATGGCCGTCCAGACAGTGACTCTGTTGAGGTGGAGTGAGCTGTTGTCGCTATCGGAGCGAAACAGCATTGCTTAGAGAGAGAGAGAGAGAGAGATGCTGGCTGTGTTTATGTTGGGCTAGCATACATACATTTCTCGTTGCGACGCCATCGCTTGTGGTGCAAAAGCACAAGCCTGTTGCTTGATGGCATTGGTGGGCAGGTGCCAACCGTGCTTCGATCGCCTACATACATGAAAAGAGAAACCTTCCTTCTTGGGCTCCACCATGCTTGTTGATGAGGCTGTCTATTCTACATTCAGTCAAGAAGCTCCTGCCCGTCCTCACTCGTTGGTCCAATCGGTTGTCGAGCCTTGGAAAGAGCGCCTTCATAGCTGTCTACATTTGCGCAGCCGCCGTTGCAGTTCACATATGCGCAGCATCATGGCGACAATTCGCATGCTCCCTCAAACCACACATACGCTCTCCTCCACGCTCCCGAGGTGAACAAGGCCTCGCACTCTCAACCTCGCTCTCGCTCTCTCATGCTTCATGATGATCGACAGGGCTAGCTCGGGTAGAAAGTCTTGACAGAATACTCTGTAGCTCGCCAAGTGACCATATCAAGGTCGCTTGTCTTGTCGCCCATGCCCGGTTGTCACGTTTTTAAACCCTTTGCATGAGTTCTCTCCGACACTGCTGCTTTGCTGGACTAATCCGAACGGACCCTCGCTTGGTTTTTTTCGCTCTCTTTTTTTTCTTTTTTCTTTTTTCTTTTTTCTTTTTTCTTTTTTCTTTTTTCTTTTTCTCGCTCTTATCGTCCGAGTGTTAGGATAACGCGCAACGCGTCTCGCCAGCCGTTGGTGGGAGAACAACATCATCCCAAACAGCCCAGAGTTCGGTCATACATGATGACACAATCCTCCAGCCGAGCGAAGGCCCGAGGCAGTCGAAACCAGCAGTCTGGACCACAGCACTAGCGCCAAGCAGCAACATCCTCCATGCCTTCATTGTTCTCCTAACAGCCTCGGCGATCGTGACCACTAACAGTACGTCTGGTGTGCTGCAATGCTGAGTTAGACGAGCTCAAGTGCTTTCTGCGCAGAACAAGCCATCACTGAGCCCCGTAACTCTACACCCGAATCATAGTTCCGACCATAGGCTCTAGCATCAGCAGCATCAACATCATCTCAGCACACAACACAGTGGATAATCGTCGTCGGTCCAACTCGGAGCTCTACTGTTATTTTGCTTCTCCGCCTTTTGCGTTCCTTGCAGCTCGCTTTCTGTTGAAGGGCGTGCGTCAAATGTCAATGATCACAAGTGTCGATTGCTATAAGGCGTGCATGCTAAGTACAAGATGATTCGAGTGTTTATATATGTCTCAGTACCCTTCGTATGCATGTATGATACTAGGATGGTGAGGCCGAAACATGGTTGTCAAACTATGGAGAAAACACACCGACCATCTATTGACCGGCCTCCTGATGCCCGACAGTCGGCCCGGGTAATACGCCAAGCCCAAGTGAGTGAGGTTGGCGTCTAGATGTGAGCTCGGCGTAGAAGTTGCATACTCCGAGAGGTCACATGCTTTAACTCTTTCCGTCACTGTCTCCCGCTAGGCTCGTTCAAATGCCGGATTGCCATTGTCGTTGGAGAGTGACAATCGTGTCCCGTCCGGAGAAGAGGCGACCATTGTACACGATAGAAACGCGACGCGCTGATTGTCCAAGTAAACTATGTTTCGGCTTCGTTCGAGAAGCGATCATCAGCATTACAAGCGCTATTTCTCTGTCGACGGTGACTGCGGTGCAAGCCAGCCGTTCGACATCAGTGTCTCTTCTTGCCATGTTCGGTGCGTGCCTCGTCTGCTAGACCATCTTTGGATCGCGCCTCGAGCATCAACATCAATGCTAACCTCCTCTTGTTCGAAGAAAGCGACGTACAACAAACGATCAAAAACAATGTGATTGCCTTACATACTCTCTCAGCTGACCATGAACGCCCTTCGAGTCTTCGATCGAGGGCAGCGAGGCGTGTGTTCTATTCACGCGTCCAAGCATTCCAATACCACACCACGTTGTTCTTAGCCGAACTTTGAACAACACATGATGGAGGAACTCCCCTTCCTCGCCTCTGTTTTCCACTCCGCAGGAAAAAGGACGCTACCTTCAGCTCGGCCAAACACTTCACGGCGCTGTGATGGCGAGTTGATGCAATGTAGATGCTGCGCATTAACTTACCCTTGGCCAACCTTTTAGCGCTTTTTGAACGACCGACCATGTGATTGCTCGCTACCGTTGCTTGCATCGACTCACAATAGTCAGATTTCTGCACGCTAGGGAAAGCTGTTTTGTTCTACTTGCGTTCGCATTCTCCGCTTCCAAAGGCAGGTCAGGCAGGTTTGCAAATTTCTTGACCATCATTTCACGAGTATATTTTGAACCAATATTTCTCCTGATCGTCAAATTCAACACAAGTTCCGACGCGTTCACAGCTCCTCTGAGACCCAAGGAGCGCAATGAAGCAAGTAAAAGCATGTGACCTAGCGCGAGTATGTATCTTCTACTTCGAGCTCACGTTAACGCCAACCTCACTCACTCACCACCACGTACTTAGTTCATTATTATCATCGCAATCGATACTTGTGATCAACGCTATTTGACGCACCTACTTTAACAAAGGACCAGGCTCAACACACTCGCGCAACCTCACGATTGCTAGACGCCAAATGGAGGTCGATTTGCTGTTCTGTGGACCAAGACACAACTACGGAAACGCAAGACTAAGATACAGGTTGACTTTTTCTGTGTGGCGATGAGAACGATGAGTATACACAGCTCCCTCGGAGTTGCTGCGACATAGATATGCTTTTTGCTTTTCTTTATGCTGCCAGGTATCCTTGCTGAGGAGGCCGCTAGTAAAGACGCAGAGCGACGTTAACACTCATCAACTCCTGCATCAACAGCTTAGCAGCGTACGGAATGTGAATCTGCGAGATGGCGGTACGGTTCCTACAGCTTCGGCACTCATATGTACCCTTCTTCAAGTTCGCCAGTGCCGTCAGACCGCACAGATCGCAAACATGAATACGGTAAGGATCCGAAGCATCAAACATACGCTCCTTCAAAAACCCTGCGATACCATGCGCGATCATGCAATCACGTTCCATCTCTCCGAAACGCAATCCGCCTCCACGAGATCGTCCTTCCACTGGCTGTCGTGTCAAGATCTGAACAGGACCTCGTGCACGAGAGTGGATCTTGTCGTCGACCATGTGCTTGAGTCGCTGGTAGTAGGTAGGGCCCAGATAGACTTGTGCTTGAAGCTTGCGACCCGTGTGACCGTGGTACATGACCTCCAAGCCACGCGACTGATAGCCGAGACCACGCAAGATCGAAGACACAGCTTCGACGGTGAGCTCTGTGAAAGGTGTAGCATCACCTTCCTGACCCGACAAAGCAGCCACCTTGGACAAGAGACACTCGACCAAATGTCCGATGGTCATACGCGAGGGGATGGCGTGTGGGTTGATGATGATGTCTGGTGTGACACCCTCTGTCGAGAACGGCATGTCCTCCTGGCGGTATGTGATACCGATCGTACCCTTCTGACCGTGACGAGAGGCAAACTTGTCACCCGTCTGAGGAACACGCGAGTTGCGGACTCGGACCTTGACAAACTTGTTACCGTGTGAGTTGGTGGTGAGTAGCACCTGGTCGATAATACCATTCTCGGTCGACTTGAGCGAGATACTGGCATCCTTCTTGGTGTGCAATTTCGAGCGCATACCCAACTCCTCCGAGTCTGGTGGCAGCGGTGCCGTCTTGCCAATGATGACGTCGTCGCCGGACACACGCGTGCCTGGTGCACAGAGACCATCGGCGTCGATCTTGTCGTAGGTACCGTGTTTCATGCGGATGGTAGTGTCGCGATGCGGCTTTTCGAACTCTTCGAGCTGCATGACGCCGACCTTCTTCTCCTCGGCCATGTATCCTCGGTAGTACAGCGAGCGGAAGAGTCCTCGGTCGATCGAGGATTGGTTCATAATGACCGAGTCTTCCTGGTTGTAACCCGAGTAACACATGATAGCTACAATGGCGTTTTGACCGGCGGGCAACTCTCGGAACCTCAAGTGCTCCATCGATCGAGTCGTTCCGAGAGGTTTTTGGGGATAATAGAGGATATGGTTCATCGAATCAGCTCGGGAGATAAAGTTCGAGATAGGAATACCGATTGCCTGCTTGCCCATCGCTGATTGGCTATTGAGCGAAAAGGAGGAAGAAGAAGAAGAACGGGAAGAACGAAAAAAAAAAAGGGAAAAGGAAGAAAAACGGTCAGTATGGTACTCATTAGATGGCGGGGAGGGCAAGGGGAACAGATGATAACATACTAAACGTTTCTCGGCGATTGGTTGTGGTCGGGGAAGGGAACGATACTAGCACAGATACCGAGGACCATGGCAGGATGAATCTCGCAATGGGTCCATGTATCGGGTGCAATCGTATGAACGGACTTGAGTCGAGCCGAGGGATCCGCCGAGTTGAGGTTGATCTGTCCGTTGCGGGCCTTGTACTCCCTTGACTGCTCCAAATCGGTGGTTGACATGCAAATTAGAACCGATTCCTCTTCTTCGGCGTCGAGGTACTCGATGACACCTTCCTGGATAAGGTGAGTCCATCGGAACTCTTCGCCGGTCTGTGGAATGGTCTGACCGATCATCTCTACGTGCCGCTTCTTGATCAACAAGGTCATGTCGTGAGGGTTGACGATGAAGACAGGACGCAAGACACGAGAGGCATCGGTGTAGATACGGAGCTCTCGCTCACGGATGTCACGAACGACGGAGACTTCGTGCGAGATATCATCCTTTCGACGAAGGTCGCGAAGAGTGTCGACCAACTGAGCAGGGTCGTCGTGCGTGCCCATCCAGACACCATTAACAAAGATCTTGGTCGCCTTGGCGTGGGCGAGCTGCATGTCGACCAAACTGTCGAGACCGAACTCCTCCAAGAACTCGACAATAGGTGCTGAGGGCGTACCGACAGTGACGGTAGCCATCAGACTGAGGTTCTTGACCAAACCACACGCTTGACCTTCTGGCGTCTCGGCTGGACACACCATACCCCAGTGGGTGTTGTGAAGTTGACGAGGCTTGGCAATCTTACCATCACGACCGATGGGGGTGTTGGTACGACGCAAGTGTGAAAGTGTAGAAGCGAAAGCGAATCGGTTGAGTACCTGCGAGACACCGGCCTTAGCCTGCATGGCCTTTTTCTGGTCTCCCCAGTTACCGGTAGCAAGCGAATATCGCAAACCGTTGGTGATGGTGCTCGACTTGACGGCAGCCTGGATGTGGAACTCGCGGTGCTCCTCGACACACTTTTGCAAGTGTCGGTAGACGTCACGAGTGACTTTGCGGAAGAGCATACGAAAGAGGTTGGCCATCAGAGGACCACCAAGATCGATACGCTTCTTACCGAAGTGGTCACGGTCGTCGATCTCGCGGCGGTCGAGAGCAGCAAGCAATAGACGGTGAATCATGTAGCCGAAGAAGTAGGCCTTCTTTGTGTTGGAGCCCTCTGAGGTCGAGATGTGTGGCAACATCTCCTTCTGCAAGATCTCCTGCGCATAGACGGTACGCTTTGCACGCGAGAGACCGGTGGTGGTACCACGACGACCGATAAAGTCGAGGGCAACATCACGGTCCTGAATGACGAAGGCCTCCTCGATACATGGCTTGAGCATTTCGAGCATGGGTGTGTCGTTGAAGTCGTAGCAGATGTGTTGGAGCACCTCTCGGTCGGGGACGATACCGAGAGCACGGAAGACAATGACGATGGGGATGTCATTACGAATGTAAGGGAGGGTGGCGCGGATGGTGTTGTTGGCGGTCTTTTCCTTGTTACGAGAGAAGAGCTTGACCTGCATTGTAGAGATGGTCTTGCCTCCCTTCTCGACGGCACTGCGGATCTCGGCAAGGAAGGTGACGGGAGCGGGAGGAGCTTTGGAGAAGACGTAGACGTGGTTGGCAGCCATACGCTCTTGAGCGATGAGGACCTTTTCGGAACCATTGATGACAAAGTATCCTCCTGCATCGTATGGGCACTCGTTGAGCGAGTAGGACATCTCATCATCGAGACCCTTGAGCCAACAGAAGTCAGACTTGAGCATGATGGGAACCTTGCCGATGAAGATCTGTTCCTCTTCGACGTCCGTCTTGCCATACTCGGGAATCCAAGCAGGATCACCGTTGAGGTCGACTTCATCCTCGCTCTGCACGAGCACCTTTTGTGTCACATCCACGAAGAGGGAAGCCGAGTAAGTCAAGTTACGGAAACGAGCCTCTTGAGGGAAGAGCTGTGCCGAGCTACCGTCGGACTCAGTCATGGTTGGCTTGTTGAGGTAGATCTGACCGAACTCGATCTCGTATCGACGGGTCTTGTCCTCTGCATGACCGGAATGCTGATCGCTCTGCTCGAGGGTGAGGCTGCGCACCTCTTCGACGAGCTCCTGAATGGTGTTAGACATGAACTCGTTGAAACTGTCGAGCTGGTGACGCACGAGACCCTTTTCCTCGAAGAAGGCACGGATGACGTCCCAGCAATCCTCCTGGGTGATCTCTTCCGAGTATTCATCACCATCTTCGTAGTCAACGCCCTTACCAGCGCCGTATGTCTCGTTGTAGCTGTCAGTGCCGAGATCATCGACGTCGATTGCATCCTCATCGAGCGTATCCTTCATGTATTTGTCGTATGCAACCGAGTCCGCCATGATTGCAAGTAGTGACGCTTACCCAGCGTCGAGGGTTGGAGAAGGAAGAAGTCGAAAGGTCGGGACAACAAGACAAGCTAGCGAAGCAGCTGCGTTGATGCTGGCTTGTAGGTGATACGCAAACAGCAACAAGCGTGCTGAAAGGCCCACTGATGATGCAGTATGCTGAACTAGGCTAGCTATGCTGGGTTGTTTCGAAGTTGCCGACCGAAGGGCGAAGAGGGTAGAAGAAGAAGAGCGTGATCGGATGCAGTCGACAAGCACCGGCGGCTAGGTCGTAGATGTCGGTGACCAGGTGAATGAGCTGATCAGAGGCTCGGTTGCAGGAGCAACAGGTTCGGATGGGAGAAAGGTGAAAGGGGGAGATGACGACGGTGGAAGGAGGAGGCTGATCACGACCAAATGCGCTAAGTTGGCGACGACCAAGGCGTGGCTGCTGTGTTGTCTCCTGCCACTTTCGCCCAGCGCAGAACAGCAGTCACAGCGCGCAACTCTCTCTCCTCTTTTTCTTTCGGCTGCTGGAATTCTTATCGTGCGAATGAAGCCAAGTACGCGTCAATTTCGGAAGACGGGAAATTGACTGCTGTGGAGAACTCAGCTAAAACTATGTAGCTGTTTGGGCCCCTGCTTCATACCATCACCATCCCCAACGCTGTTCAACTCGACTTGGCTCGCAAACCAGCTCGCAGCAGCACCTATCACCCGAAAGCCCACCCAGGAATCTCTACCGGATAAGCCCCGAAGTCTTTCAAAATGGGTGGAGGCGATCTCAACATGAAAAAGTCGTGGCACCCTCTCCTGCAAGTCAATCAGGAAAGGGTGTGGAAGCGGGAGAAGGAAGCTCTAGAAGAACGCAAGAAGCTTGAGGAGCTGCGTCGCGAGCGGGAGCAAGAGCGAGAGATGCAAGAGCTGCAACGCTTGCAAGAGGAGGCTGGAGGCAAGAAGCGTATTGATAGAGTTGACTGGATGTATGCTACTCCTGCCACCACTGGCTCCAACTCGGCTGCCGAAATGGAGGAATACCTGCTGGGAAAGAAGCGGATCGACAAGCTTTTGCGAGGAAACGAAGCCGAGAAGGTGTCGAAGAACAATCAGCAGAACCTGATCTCGCTGCAGAACGCAAACTCGGCTCGCGACCTTGCGGCCAAAGTGCGAGAAGATCCGATGCTTGCGATCAAGCAGCAGGAGCAAGCAGCATACGAGGCACTACTACGGGATCCTGCACGACTACGACAGCTCAAGCTGCAGGCAGGTATTGATGTGAATAAGGGAAGCAAGGAAGAAAAAAGACGCCGAAAGGAGGAGAAGCGCCGCAGACACGATGATGATGATGGGCACAAGCGCAGACGATACGGTGATGATGACCGTGACAGCGACCGTCGACACAGGTCACGTCACAGCGACTCACGCGGCGACAGTCACTCACATCGTCATGGAGAGGACAGAGACGGCAAGTCAAGAGATCGAGACCGCAGTCCTCGTCGGGATGGCGAATCCTCGTCTCACCGTCGTCACCACGACGAACACCGATCCTCCAGGAGGCATCACGATAGCGAGCGGTGTCGCCGAGAACGAGCTCGTCCGCCATCCTCTCACAATGACAACGAAAAGCACCGCTCCTCTCGACACAGCAATGGCGAATACTCCGACAGGCGCTCACGAAGCCACAGCCGGAGTGTCTCTCCTGTCACAGACCGTCGTCGTCAGGATGACCTTCCGCCGCGCTTTGGAGATTCATACCGCCCACAGCCACGCAGTCGCGACCCCCGGTTCAGAAACGGAAGCTCCTCCGCTTCCACACGGAGCCGCGAAGAGGAGGACAAGCGGAAAGAGGAGATCCGACAACAGAAGCTTCGAGAGATGGAACAGAATGCCAAGTCCATGGAGGAGCAACGCATTTCCTTCGTCTCCAAGATCAATGCTGAAGAAGCAGAGCAGGACCGCAAAGAGGCTGAGCTGCGACAAAAGCTCATTGATGCAAAGGCAAAGGGCCACAACGATGGCAAGGGAGGCTTCTTGTTGGATCAGCAGAGGAAGACGTTTGGTGATAGTGTCGACTTGGCTGAGCGGATGAGGAGGGACAGGGGACGGTTGCAACGTATGGACTGATGACACCGCAATGGTCCAGCAGATCTTCCCTTCTAGCATGACCATCGCTTGTCGTATACAGGCACTTCAAGGAACAGCAATATACCCTTCTTCCATATATGATCTGAAGCCGCGTGCAATGGCGTGAAATTGGTCTCAACCGAATCACGTGTAGTTTTGACTTCTAGCATTGCTCCGTGTGTCGACGGAGGTCCTTTCTTGTCGGCCTGTACGCAATCGAACTACGTGCGAGAAGCGAGGTCAGACAATCCTCTGCATGACTGCTGTATCATGAGCCAGATCTGTGCGTTGTAGGCCATGCGCCGTCATGGAGTAGAGGCAAGAATCTCAGGGTTCAGGTCGTTCAGGCAGGGTCCATTCGGCTGTGCACGTGCATAAAGCTGTCCGTGCGTTGCAGGCCTAATTTCCCAGCTCAGCAGCCGAACATCAAGCCTCACTCCTTCCATGTTCAGCACCATCACCTCATGTAAGCTGCTAAAAAGCCGTCATCTGGGGCCCTCTCATCGCAGAAGCAGCTTTCCACCCGCTTGATCGCTCGATGTATCTTCGCACGACACCGTAACCGGCTCAGTCCTGCTTCAGCTAGCAGCCATGCCTTCGATACAAACCAGTACCTCAACCCCTGCGCTCTTATCTCGTCGATCCACAGTCCTAGCACCACCATCACTTTCCGCCGTCACCCATCTTTCCTCCTCCCCTGCTCCTGCACAGCCGTCTTCTACATCTTCTCGCCCGCATCCATCGCAATCACACCGTCGGAGAGACCTGAACCACTCTCTCTCGCAACCAACAGCAGCATCCCCCGTTTCCACACGAGAAAACATCTCCTCCTCTTACACCGCAACAACCTCCACAAGCGGAAGAACAGGTGCGAGCGGGGAGAAAGATGAAGGAGTAGTAGTGCATCCGACATTTAGAGCTGATGCAGGGGAAATGCGGGGCGATGTACTTGTGAGAGTGGAGGGGGTCGAATTTTTCGTGCATAAGGATGTGTTGATGTTCGCTTCTCCTTTCTTTCGTGGCGCTTTGGGTGGTGGATGGCGAGAGAACAGACTCAGTACTCTATTGCAAGCTCAGCAAAATGTCGCTGTGCAAAATCAAGAGGATACGAAGAACGTGGGAGATCAAGAGCAGCAAGAAGAGACGCCAGAAGCGGAAGGCTCGAGAAAGGAAAGAGAAGCAGAGGGGACGGAGCATGTAGTTGCGGTGCAGGAATGCTCAAATAAAGAGCAAGGAGATGGTGAAGGTGAGGATGTAGTTGGAAGCGGAATGGGATCCGAGTCCTTGGGTGATACCGGCGATGCGAGACCGAGGAGCTTGTTGAGGGCTTCCTATCATACCGGCCTTTGGAGTCAGGATGACGAACCACCGTCACGAAGCGAGTCGACTTTTACTGATGCTGCTGAAGCGCTCAGCCCCACAGAAGCGGAGGAAGAGAAAGAGGATGCGAGCGTCAATGACGATGAAGATGGTTTCGAAGACGACGAGACCGACTCACAGCCACAGCACCCTTCAGGGAAGCCTTCACAAAGTCCACGCAGAAACTCTCAATCTGCAAATGCAGCTGGTCTGAGGCAGGTCCGGAGTAAGTCGAAGCACCTCGCCACCCGTCTGCCACTACGAAAGCTCGAGTCTGCAAACCGAAAGCAATCGATCCCTGCTCGAAGCACAAGCAAAACCTTACCTCAGCAGGACCCAAAATCACCAGCTCGAGAAAGATTTGAATCGCTAGCAACCCCTCCAATCTCCCGTCGCTCCTCTGACCACGCCCCTTCGTCAACACAACCTCTTGGTCCCACAAATCCTGCTCAAACCACCGCTAGGTTACCATCACCCTACCGAAACATAACATCAGTCATCGACCTCGCCGAAGAATCAGCATCAACATTCCACGATTTCCTCTATCACACATACCCTCATCTCGACCTTTCCGTTACTTGGTTCAACTGTGGACCTCTTTTGAGGTTCTCTGACAAATTTCAAGTTCCGTTTCTCCGGCGATCCTGCTTAACTTTTCTTCGGGCTGCATTGGCCGGGAAGCCGATCGAAGCGATGCGATTGGCTGAATTACACGGTTTCGACGATCTATACAAAGAAGCTTCTCGTCATGTTCTTGACAACTTTTCCTCTTGGGATCCGCAAGACTTGGACAGACTTTCACCGGCTACACTCCTAAAGCTCGAACGAAAGAGGACTTGGTTTCTGGAGAGGCTACTCAAATTGGGATTGGCCAATCCAGCAAGAGACTATGAATGTCATCCGAACTGCCCCGATCCGAAGTCATGCGCAAAGTTATTAGGGGAAAAGTGGGGTCAAGCGTACGCAGGAGCAGTGAGGTACACACCTCCACAGCCCAGTGTTGTGTATAGACAGTTGAGGGAAGCAGGTTGGGAAGGGACAGGGTGGGGTCTGAGTGCCTGTCAGGGTGCGGCAAGAGTTTGGGTTCAAGGGCTTTTTGATAGGATGTTTGAGCTAGGTGCGCTTCATGGTAGCGGGAGGATGTTTTTGAGTGTCAAGCTCGATGCGGCTGCGGGTGGTGGGACTGGGGGGATTGGCAGGGGTCTCAGTAGAGAGGGTTGAGGGAGTGCGACATCGTCATACGTTGCCTGCAAGTAATGTGAATCATTCTAGCGAATTAGGTTAAAGTTGTGTTGTGATCTCGATGCTTAGATGTTTTGTGTCGTGTGTGTATGTGACGACGTTAATTGTTGACGGAGTGAAGCGTGATGAAGACAGATCTGCTGTTGGTCACATTTGAAAAGGGGTGCACGAAAGCTCAGAGGAGTGCAGGATGGTGTCGTCATCCGTGGAGAGAGAGCTCGGCGGTGGCCTCGCAGGAATCAGTCGTAGGTCTGGTCATATCAGGATGCATGAAATCTGCATCCATAGAATAATGTAACAAGCATTGACAGCAAGTAGGAGAAGCAGTCGTCGAGCTTTTGTGCGCGCTCACTTCGACAAAGAACCCTGCGACAACGAAGCCCTAGGCTGAACGTATCTAAACGGCGGTCTACCCAACCACCTCAACAACACGTATCCAATGATCAGGAAAACAAAAGTGATAGCTCCCAAGAATCCGGCATTCTCTGCATTCGTAAAAGTCTGCAATTCGTACTGATTGAGCACATCCTGTCCTGTCCTATAACATTGAGCTGAATCCGCCTCGCAACTGAATTGGATGTTCCTAAACTCGTTCTGTGCCAGCGCTGAGTATGTATAAGTAATAGGTGAAATCCAATGCAGCCAAATGAACCAAGGTGGAATACTCGAGAGCGGTAAAAGATTACCACCGAAGAGGAGGAAGATGACGTTGATGACCGGAGCAAAGACATTGGCCAGCTCGATGCTTTGTGCTCCGCAACCGATAACGAGACCCAAACCGATAGCAGTACCGACCTGGAGGACGTTGATAGCGAGCCAAATGAAAAAGGCGCCTGCTGTTTGACGCAGTCCTACCATCCAATAGACTACCGCATAGAGGAAGATTCGTTGGATGACCTGGTTGGGTACTTCGGTGATGATCTTGCTGAGATAGAAGGAAGAGATTCGGTAAGTGCTGGCGGATCGTTCGCGAAGCATGACGTCTCGTTGCAACGGGAAGATGGCAAGAATGGGAGAGAGAACGGCGATTGAAGCATTGACAGGAATGATGAAGAGAGCACCGATACGTGCGAGTGCACCGCCTTGATTCAGGTCTAGCCTGAAAAAGTCAAAGCCGACGATGATGAGCAGGACAATGTTCTGCGCGAACGAGGCAATCGCCACCGTTGGATCTTTGACGACGAGTATGACGTTGCGGTGACTAAGGAGCCAGAGTTCGTGGAACCAGGAATTAGGCCATGTTCCAGCAGTTTCGTTTGCGTCGCGGCTTTTGGGCACGATGCGCGATGTTTTGCAGTCCAGTTCGGGTCGTTGCGTTAGCGCCGTATCAGTGGAAGTGGATTCGGCAGCTTTGTTCTTCGCAGCGAGGTTAGCAAGGAAACTTTCGCCGTGGGTGCACCATGAAGTGAGAAGATTTCGAACACGCCTTTCAGCTTCGTTGGTCTTCTCGTAGTTCTCAGCAATGGTAATGTAGTAGTCCGCATGGATGATGGCCGAGCGAGTCAAACCATGCTGGAGCTCGGGCGGGTGGACCAGAGTAGTAGATTTGACCTCGAGTGAGCAAGATGACCTTGTCAAAGTGCTTGAAGATGTTCCACGACGGTTGGTGGATAGTCATGAGCGTGAATAACTCCCTTTCGCGTGTGATCCCCTTCAGGTTCTTGCTCAGGTTCAAAGCAGCAAAGGCATCCAAGCCTGAAGTAGGCTCATCAAGAAGCAGCACGCTGACGTCGGCGACAAGCTCGGTTCCAACGACATTCGAAGGCGCTGATTCAGGGGCCTATTTATGTGTGCTCGTCGAAATGTACCCTTCGTGTTGGATGGGAAAACCGAGTTGCAAGCGCAAACGAACATGTGTTTGGAAAGACAGCGGCACCTTAACATCGCCGCCGTAGGCAATCACATCCACATCTCTGGTCACAGATTCGATGCCATAGCACCACAACCTCTGATACCGTGACCGTGCCGAGTCAGAACAGCGAGACAGCCCAATGCAGTGCAGACTCGGGAAACGGAAGGTGGTCTTTGATGAGTGTCAGTTCTGCTTCGGACTTTCTCTTTTGGTGTGCTTCTTCCCTGTACATTGATGCACACAACGCTTCTCCACGTGGGGATCGTGTCAACTCCCTGCCATTCGACCCGGGGATGCATTTATAAGACACAAGGTGAGGACATACGATAGATAGATCACGATCTTAGCTGAGCATTCGCAGATGCCTCATACGCCAATAGCTGAAGCTGCCGCTTGCTGATCCTGAATGCAATCGGAGACCATTCACCAAGCGACAGGGACACTGCGACAAACCTGATTCAAGCATCTCTGGAGCTGCAACTCCTGACAGCTTTTTGCTTGCAAGTCTCCAGCGGAAGCAGGAATTCGGAAGGGCGACGAACTCTCGCCGACTTCCGAAACTCGGGCGCGGACATCTCTCTGGAGATCGCGCTAATTTGCGATTCATACCATCGTCGATTCGCTTCGCTTGATGCTAGAACGTTGGTCGTGTCTTTCTTCGAGCATCTTCAGCCAATCATCTCTCAAGCTCACAGAAGAGCCTAATGTGATCAAGCCAGTCGAAGTGTGTGCGTGCAAAAACAATTTCATATCCAGACGTGAGGGTTTAAGATAGTGTACAAAGGAAGAAGAGGAGCAAGCTTTTGATGTGTTGCCGTGGTCTTGGTCTTTTACTTGAATTGGGTCTCGGTAACACCCTTGCCCATGGCCGAAGTGGAAGCAGCCTTGAGAACAGTGTTCAAGCAAGCATCGACAAAGTTGGCGCCCGACCATTTCTGGTGTGTCAAGACATCACAGCCAATCTCGCGCTCCTTGCGCTGCACCAACTCGACGTAGGCCTTCATACCCTCCTTGGCGAATCCAGCAGCGAAGAGGTCCGAGATGTAGGCGTTCGAGTGGAGACCACCAAGAGTGATGAATTGCCAGACGAAGCCAAGCTTGCCGAGATCCCAGACGTAGCTCTTCATCTGCTCGGTGCTGAGCTTAGCGGCATCCCAATTGAACGATGGCGACAAGTTGTATGCGAGCCATTGGTGAGGACGAGCGTTCTTGACACCCTCAGCGAACTCCTTGGCCTGGGCAAGGATGGGCGACTTGGTCTCCATCCAGAGCAAGTCGGCGTAAGGACCGAAAGCGATGGCACGGTTGATGGCACAGTCGGTACCACCCTGGTATCGGTAGTATCCCTCGCGGGTTCGGCAGGCATCCCAGTCGAAGCCGATCTCGACACCAAGACTCTTGGCCTTGGCCTTAGCCTTGATGAGCGAGATGCCGATCACCTCCTTGCGGAACTTGTCGGCCTCGGCCTTCTTGCCCTTCTTCTCGAGCTCGGCGGCGACAGCATCACCGTAGCGGACGGGCTGAGCCTTGCTGAGCCACTCGTCCTCGAGGGCGATGAGCTTGGGACCATCGGCACCCTCCTGCTCGGCACGGTTGAGAATGTCGACAAGGGACTCGAGGTTGGTGTGGGTGGTACCGAGGATGAAGGCGTGGTCACGCTCGTCGACGTTGGTGGTGATCAGGGTAGCAGCTTCCGAGTCGGTACGGGCAACGACGAGGTTCTCGACACCCATAATGTCGTACTGGAGTCGGATAGCAACGAGACGGTTGATGTGCTCCTGGATAGGAACAAGCACCTTACCAGCCATGTGACCACACTTCTTGGTACCAGGAGCCTGGTCCTCAATGTGGATACCAGCTGCACCCTTCTCGACAAAGAGCTTGGTAAGTTTCATGACAGCGGTAAGACCACCGTGGCCAGTGTCGGCATCAGCAACAATGGGACGGAGGTAGTCGATGAGAGGAGTCTTGGCACGCTGCTCGGGCGACATGTTACTTCGCTCCTCGCGCTGCTTGCGATCGTGGAAAAGCTGGGCCATGAAGAGGTGCTCCACCTTGAGGGGGACAGTGTTGTAAGGGTAGTCGGCAAGATCGGGACCGGGCTCGTTGGTGGACGAGGCGGTCGACGAGCACTGCCAACCGGAGACGTAGACGGTTTCGAGGTGCTTTGCCATCTGGGTTACCTGAACAGGGTCAAGTGCACCGTAGGTGTGCGAAGTGGTGGCCTTGGAGGCATGGTTCTCGAGCGTCTTCCAGAGCTTCTTGGCTTGGGTGTCCGAGGGGTAAGTCTGCTTGAGAGTGCCTCGTTTCGAGACGACCTGCTCGGCAGTGTAAGGGCGGGTGGTGTTGGCGAAGCGAGGGTTCTTCCACCACTGCTTGACGGCCTGGACTTCTTCGGCGAAGAGCTTGAGTTCCTGGTCAGCCATCTTGATTTGCTATCTCTAGATTATGATGTGGGTGTATGGGTGTATGCCGTGCAAGAGAGAAAGAAAGGTGTGTGCAGTCGAAGGTCGCGATGAAGAGTATTGCAAGACGTTTTGATAGGTGAGCGAAAGTAGGGTGGACGTCGACAATGAAGGAAACGATGGCGACGAGCAAGATGTTAGTAGCATGCAAAGACAAAGTTCACGAAGCAGGCTCAGCGTACAGTATATATTTGATTGCTCGATCCGGGCTCGAGCCTAGTCATCCTGCCTCGGGCAAGGCATATGACGAGGCCAGGCGAGGCGGAGCTAGCAGGGATCGCCCTTGAGGGACAGCAGAGGCGCAAGGCTGCTGCTGCTACGATGATGCCATTCAGAAGGCCTGGAGACCGGCAAGAGGGCAGCGTAACTGTGCCGGTCACACACACACACACACACACACACACGAAAAAAGTGCAAGTGGCACAGGACCGAGCGAGTCTGAGGAAAGGGTGAATTCAAGTGTTGAAACCCATCGGACCAAGCGGACTGTGTAACTCATTGACAGCAAGCACAACAGAGGCAGCGAGTTGCTCTCCTCTCTTGACTTGCATTGTGGAGGATTGGCTGCGAAAAGTGGCAGCTTAACGCCTCGATCCCCGCAATCCTCTCATCTTGCCTTGCTTTCCAGGCAGTCAGATCGTCGTCGATTCCTAGGAGATTTTTAGTCTTGAGACACACGAGCTGGCGCCTTCTCTTTGTCTTCATCTCCGATCCGCCCGCATCTGAGCTGCTTCCGGCATTTTCAGAGCGTGAAAGCCTGGTTCACCCTCGATCTATCCATCTCTCTGTCCTCATCGCACCTTGTCCAACCACGCCTATCTATTTGTTGTCTCTTCATCAATAACTGCATGGAGCAAAAGGGCCTGTGATCGTCTTCATCTGTTCGTCATGCTCCTCAGAGGCACGATTGGCGTAGCTGTCTTGACAGGGAAAGTAAGTTTAAGAGCGTGGTCAGACAGATCAAGTGAAATCAGGCTCTGAGAAAGTCGATGCTTGCATCTGGAGGGAGGCGGCCAAAAAAATCGAAAATGTCCAAAAGTCCAGCCTCGTCGCGAACCCTGGCGGCGGCCTCAAACGGAGTTTTGATTGAGCATCGACTCGAAGCCAAAAGGGAAAGCTCAGATCCTTGCAAAGCCGTGATTTCTATCCCGCGTTAGTTCTTTTAGCTCTAACAAAGCTAGTGGCCTCGTTATGTGACACCCGCTTTCCGAGGTTTTGACATTTCGCTGCCAAAAATTCTCCACACTGTTTGGTTTCTTGTTGCTGGATGCGCCACTCACCGATTCCGACACGGCACCAACACGACGATGGGTAAGCCAAACACATCAGCAAGGGGCGGCAAAGGTGGACGCGGGGGTGGTGGAGCTTCTCGGGGTCGAGGAAGGGGAGGTCGTGGTGGAGGTCGAAACATGGCTGACCGCTATGCATCTGCTTTCGAAACTGACAGCTGGAGACCAGACAGCGCCATTGATGAGCCTAGACAAGATTCTTCGGACGAGGCAGCTGACAGCAAAGACGACGAGGAATCTCAAGACGACGTGGAGGACGAAGAAGAGAATCAAGCTGAAGCAGACAGCGACTACAACTCGGTCGATGGCGGCGACGATGTCGCCTCAATATCTGTTCCCGTTGCAATGTGGGACTTCAACCATTGCGACCCGAAACGCTGCTCTGGCAAGAAACTCTCCCGTTTAGGTCTCATCCAGGAACTTCGCGTAGGCCAAAAGTTCCGCGGCATCGTGCTCACTCCGAACGGCACGCAAACCCTCTCTCCTGCCGACGCACACATCATTGCCGAGAACGGCGTCGCCGTCGTCGAATGCAGTTGGGCTCGTCTCGACCAAGTGCCGTTTGGCAAGCTCAAGAGTCCGAACGAGCGTCTTTTGCCACACATGATCGCAACTAACCCGGTCAACTATGGCAAACCGATGAAGCTCAATTGTGTCGAAGCACTTGCTGCGGCATTTTATCTATGCTCGATGCCTGCAGAGGGTCGATTGCTGCTGTCCAAGTTTGGCTGGGGTGAGCATTTCCCCAAGATCAACGCGAGGTGGATTCGTGCATACAGAGGATGCAAGGATGCACCAGAGGTCGACCAGTTGAGTCGAAAGATGGTCGAGGAGGACAAGCTGCAGAAGGAAGAGTTGAAGAAGCGGTTTAATGAGCAGGGAGGCATTCAAGGGACGCTGGATAGGATCGCCGACCAAGCAGCTCAGCATGACGACGAGCTTGACAGCCAGGACGAGCGCCAAGCTGAAGAGAGGGCGCTTCAGCAAGATTTTTCCAAGATTGTTCGTGTCACGCATCAATCTGCCCAGGCCTAAAGCTATCCACACCGCATTTCTGTTCCCGCCACGACCTTGCATATGTACTTGTACCATCTGTCTCTAATTCACAAACTTGTTGCAATCCTTGTCCAACGGCAGCATTGATCTCGAGACACTCAGCTTCGGGAGTTCGACCAAAATGGAAGCCCGATATTAGCTGAGATCAGGAAATAGGTATCGAGATATAAGACGGAAGCAATTTGTCGAGTTCACCGGTCAAAAAGCAAGCAGTCCGAACGAGGGCAGGCACACAGAATAGGTGGCTTTCAGTTATCTCTGAAGGGATTATCATTTTTTTAGTGTTTTTAGAAACACGTGTTTCTCGATTTTGACGTGTTTTTATTTCGCATAAGAATCTTATGTAAGCTCATCCAAAATTGAAAAAACACGTGTTTCTGAACGGGACCAGGTAAAATGATCTCCCCATATTGGTTACTCTTCAAATGATTACTTCATCACACTGGTGCGCCATGTCCTTCATCACCGACAATGTATTTGCATACATGTTATATCGAACTAATTTTTTTTTTAGTGTTTCTAAAAACACTAAAAAAATGATACTCCCATTTGTGGATTCAGGGCTGATATCACGTGATTGTAACACGACCTCGTCTGATTATGATCACTTTGATCTTGACCTGATGTAGGAAATCGGCGATTGCCTTTGCCAAGTGAAACTGCAAGATGCAAGTGTTACAGGTGCTCGGTGGATAAGTGAAACCCTCTGATGGTTGCGTTGACGTATATGCACGAGATGCACCAAACGAGACAACGATGACTTTAGCGATGCAGCGCGTAAGTTGGCATTGCCTTGTCACATCAGCTCGTTCATCGGCCACCTCTTCTCACAACGCTCGAATTGCAACTAGCTTGATTGCGCTCATATCGACCATTCTTGCCATGCTCGATATGTTTAATAATTTCTATCCAATCTCCGGCTGAAACACCAATAGCAGTGAGATGAGATTGCCAAGAGGGAGAGTCGGTGGATGTCGCCGGACTTGCTCGGCCTATCTCCCACACGACCAAGCCTGGCTAAGCCGGATCGATCGAGGTGGCGAATAATATTAGTGGGCATGCACCTTTTCATCGTTGTTCCTAGCGATGATGACAGCTACCTTTGCCACGTTTGCTTCTTGGCATGTTCCGGTGCAGTACACTTGGCTGAGAAAGGTCATCATAGTCAGTCGCATTCACACAAAGCCAAAGACAAGAACGGGGGTGAATGGACTTTTTCAGGGTCAGCTGTGGATCGACTTGACATGTTGTCTTCAGAACAGCGAGCAGCAGCAGCAACAACAGTAGCAGCTGCCTGCCTGTTTCGTGTGATTTTACGCTCTGCCGTTTGTTCTGCTGCAGACGCACACACACACACACACACACAAACACACACAAACACACACAAACACACACACAATCACTCACCACACATGTTCCCTCTCTATCTCGAAAAGCATCCATCTCCTCTGACCCTCTCCATCATCTCACCTTGATCATTCAACACACACCTCCTCACCTTCGCTTACGGACACTCATCGATCTTTGCCCCCTCCCCTTCCTTTTTTTCTTTTTTTTGCTCGCTCTCGACTTCTTATACCCCGAGGACCATCTCGCATGCACCATCTCACGGATCCGTTTCACTTGGCGCTGCTATCTCCGACGGGAACCTCTACACCTCGGCTCATAACCCGGCATCTTCGAGGTCCTTTCAAACTCTGGATTCGCGTTCCTATCGTCACATACAATCTCTTGATTGGGCAGCCAGGCTTACTCGAAATCCTAACGGATACTCTTCCTTGCGCCGACCCACCGAACCAAGCCCTTTTGTGCATGCTTTCAAGTCTGCGCAGAACACTGCCAAGACAAGACTCGGCGCAAAGCTTGTCCATCAACCCACGGACTCAACACTGTAACGTCGCATCCTGTTCTTATCCAGCAGATATCAGAAAGCTAAAAGTTCAAAGCGCTCGTGCCTTCAGCTCTTCCGCCGAAAAGCTTATCGTTGCGCAAATCTCTTTTGCTAGTTCGCAGGTCGCCATTATCTCAGCGCACCTTTCTGTATCGCTGGGCAAAAGGCAAGGGCTTTCGCGCAACCTTGACGGCTTCATCGGCTAACATAAGCGCACATCAACTCTACCTCTCCTGTCCTGAAACCTTATAGCTTGGACCCACTTTCAACATGGCGGCACATAACGATCATCTCTCGATGGATGCGCAGCCACAACTACCTGAATCTTCCGCTCAAAACGAGCCGTCCACCTCCTCTCCACCACAGTACAACCCTTTTCGTCGTGCTTATGGCAGCTTTTCAGGTGGTGCCGTACTCGCTCGTCTCACCAGCTCCACTTCTTTACGCGTACACCATCCTAACACAACCAACAGCAGCAGCATAGACTCGAACACACAACCAAGACCTTCTATCGGCCATCGCATCTCTTCTCGCTCTCGCAAGTCTGCCGAGGCAGCCCATCTCGCAGAGCTCAGCAAGCCTAATGGCAAGTTTCAGAGTGGAATCAAGTGGCATTCGCAACAAACACCCGAACCTTGGATGGAGGCAAGTCATTCAACAGCATTGACAGCCGAGCAGAGGGAGTTGGGCAAGGAGTTGCAAGAGCAAGCTGCATTGGCGAGTGGTAGTACAGCTGCTGCACAAGCTCATGCCAATGCGAGCGGACTAGGAACTCCCATCTTTGGAAATGCGAACAAGGGCGCAGATTCCAGCAGATCCGGATCGCCAAAGAGTCTAGATGCTCGCCTGCCGACAGTCTCACAAACCATCTCGGCCATCCGAAGCAGTGGCATTCATCCCGAGATTCTCGCTGGGATCAGCTCGTCCAACACAAGCACGATGCAATCCGACTCGCCCAAGCCGGTGGAGTCTACCGTTGAACCGAGTGGTATGACAAGTTCAGAGGAGGCTATCCTCAGTGGTGGCGATGGTGCTACACCCTCTTTGACACCACCGCCAGCCAAGAGCAGGGAGCCTTCTCAGTCCGAGCAAGGCGGTATCACGGGCGACAACCACATGGTCGCACGCGCAGCTCAACTCGTACTCGAGGCAGCAAGACAGCAGGCACGCGTCGAGACAAGGAGGAAAGGCAAGTCAGCTCCTGCTTCGCCTAAACGTATCGGTGCCAGCCTCTCCCCCATTTCCACAAGCACCGCCGCGGACCAACCTGCCGCACAGCAAGCACCAACGGCAGAGACGACAGATCAGCTTGAACGCACCCCTTCCCAACGAGCACGCTCCAAGTCGGATGCCGGTGACGAAACGCAGGTCAAGCGCAGGAAGAGTTTTCTTCGTTCCATGAGCTCACGTTCGCGTCGCAACAAGAGTGATGCCAACGGCAACGCATCCGAAGACGGGTCGGAAACGCCCACTCCTTCCTCCAACAGTCCCGCTAATGCTTCTGGCACGAGCTCGGGCACTGTCACTCCCGGTGGTAGGAGAAGGAGATATGTCGACACCCGAGACTTGGACTTGTTGGCCAGAGAGCTCGCCGCAGAAGCGATCGCCGAGCAGATTCCTCAGCCTCCCTTTGCACGCCCTCCAAGTGGCAGTTCATCGCCCCTTCGATCCAAAGCTGGTGTGGCGGCCTACAACGACCCTCGTCGACGATCTTTCCCAAGCATTCTTGAGGACGCACCGCTGCAAGATGATGGCATCACTCTCGCTCCAACGATTAGCGGTAATGGGTTGAAGCAAATGACTCCGCTGCATGATGGACTATCCAATGGGCGCACGCGACGGGCCGACATGGCAGCTGTCGGATCGTCTGGCTTGCCTGCCGATCCGACCAACGGCATGGTTCCAAAAGAGATGTTTTTGGGTTTGGGCGGCTCGCCCTATCCCAGCATCTCTCCTCCTGCTCCAGCGATGCGAGCCTCCGGCAACGCTCTGGACACCATGGACCCATTTGGCATCCCGATCACACAGCAACCTTCACCGTTCGACGCAACCATGGCATACGCAAACAAGACGCACGTCTACCACACTCCGAACCAGGTCGCTGTCTCTCGCAGCCTTTCTGGAGCATCCACATGGAGTGCCTCCCAGACCTCGCCCAATGGTAGCACCAAGCATCGCCGCCCCGTGTTGACCATGACCATGAACGATCCCCAGGCCGAGTTGCAGGGTCTCACCAAGCCACCCAAAGAGCCCAAGAAGTTGACTCCGTTCGGTAGCAGGGCAAGTAGTCGGGCGCCTAGTCCCAGTCCCTCATTCACCAACCTCAAGAAGGAAGCTGCTCGACAGGAGGTGCAGGCTGAGGGTGGCAAGGTGGCAGACGAGGCGAAGGAGGAGAAGGATGCACTCAAGGTCGAGGCAGAGGATGTCAAGGCGAGCAGTAGGAGGAACTCTCTCGCTGCATCTGAGACTAGCGTTCGGCCAGGGCTGGCTTCGGTCAAGTCAAGCAAGAAGAATCGTCTCTCGACCATGTTTTCCCGCTCCAACAAGTCTAAGACGCAAATCGAGACGCTCTCCAGAATTCAAGCCGCATCAAAGGCTACATCGGCGACAAACTCACCAGAGCTCAGCGTCTATGCCACACCAGCCTCAGAGGCTCCTGCTGCCATGTCGCCTCAGTCTGCAGCTATTTCGGCTGACAGCGATGCGGATATCTCGCCTATCGCTTTCCGTACGGTTGACCTCCCGCCGATGACGCAAAACTCGAGGCCAACCAACAGCTCCAATGTCGGCGGAAGTACCGATGCAAGCCGGCCTTCCAGTGTCGCCCCTCAGGATTCGATCGAGTCGAAGGCGGCAGCTCCCAAGAAGCGGCCCATTCGTGCCTTGTTGCGCCGACTCAGCAGTTTCAGCGGCGATAGCGCAAAAGCAGAAGCAAAGAAGGCAGCTAGGAAGAACAGTGCAAAGGCAAATTCCCCTGACGTGGCGACTATGCCTGTTGTTGACATGGACACGATCAAGCAACTCAGCGAGAACCCAAACTCCACTTTGGAGGACATTAAGATAGGAGACGACAAGGTTGAGGTTGCGAAACCTGACGTGGAAACCGTAGAGGCAGAAGGCTTGGCGTCACGCCTCGAGGGCCTCGACCTGTCTAAGGCGTCGCCAGTGCCTGTGAACGAAGAGATGTCTAAAAACGGCTTCGGAACTGGAAGTGCCTACAAGCTTAGTTCCAGCACCAGCAACCCGGACACGGACACTAAGCAGGCCAAGCCGACCACGGTTGCCGAGGATGTAGTTGGTACCGCCCCCACTTCAACCGCCACAAAAGTAGCCGCAACCGAGAACTCAAACACGAGCACAGAGGAAGAAGCCGAAGGCCAAATTGGCAGAACCGACTCTCAAACGCCGTCGTCCGAAGATTCCTTTTTCCTTGGCGCCAGCAGCAGTCGACCAGGGAGCGGTGCAGGAGGGTTGATGAAACACGGGAGTGAAAGCGCCATAAGCGAGGAGCTTCACACTCCCGATCCTTCCACCGCCCACTTGCCAGCTTCCATGGCGGGATTGGGAGGAAAGAAGGACGTGGACCCGGTGGTGACCAGCATCCCTACTGATGCTGAGCAGCCCGTTGCGCTAATCTAAGGAGGAAAAGCAAAGAGCGGAGATCTATGGACAGTATCTCTTGCTGCCAGCTTTATTTAGCAATACGATTTGTTTTGTATGCACCCTTGATGTGGAAAATTGCGTGATCATTAGGGTTCATATGGTCCAATCAGAGTGTTGAGCTTCGGCATAAGGACATGGGATCTTGGTTCCCCACGGGAGTTCACATTGACCTTTCCCCCGTCTTACAACGCTGCCTGTTGTTGTCGTTGTTGTTGCTGGGTCAAGTTCGAAAAGCTGAGACAGCGTCTCCAACTCTCATCTCCCGAGCTCGGATGCTGTTGCGGATCACCTTGCGGTCAACTGATTAGCGTTGACGCGGAGATTGAAGGACGAGATCTAGAACTCGGTCTGCATGGCTCCGCGGACGTCGCTTGGCAAACACTTGAACCTGGAGACTTGCACTTGGTTCTCGTCATGCAAGACAACATAGTCTAACACCAAATGGGACCAAATGGGCAGTTGCATCGAGCGCTGAGGCACCTTTATCAACCAACGAGAGCAGAGCGACTACTTTTTTGTTTGGCGAAGGCGGATGGATTTGATGATTTGATGCGAGACGATCTATGGGCGCCACTTGTTCGGAATGCGCAAAGTGACAGGCGGGGTCCGACATACGAACATCAGCCAGAAGTCGTCTCTGCGGATTTTCGGAATTATAATTCGAATGCGTTGTTTCCGCGCCATTTTGAACTGCATTTGTGTCCAGCATGTGCAGTGGTTCCACAGCTCTCTTGACAAGCCACATCTGCAGTGTTGAGGATCTTGCTTATCTACCACCACCATCACATAGCAGTCGGCAGCTATGTCTTTGGCGCTGAACCATGTAGCAAGGCTGATCTAGTGCGGCTGTTATCACGAAGGGACCCTTTGGATATGTGGGGATCCACCGGTACAACAAAAGCGGCGCTCTTCGTTCGGGTTCGGGCAATTGGTCCTCCTTCCGATTCTCCATCTATTCTTCTGACAGTTACCAACATCCCATTCCAAGCCTGACCCTCGATCAGCTTCCTGTTAGAGTCTTCTCATGTTTTCTTGCTTAAAATGTTGTTGATTTTTTTTTTTTGATTTTTTTTTTTTTGATTTTTTTTTTTTTGATTTTTTTTTTTTTTGATTTTTTTTTTGACATGTGTCAATTTTTCAGGTGCTTCCACAGCAGCCAGAATTTCAACGTTCGGCTGGAGTCCCGGAAATTCCGGTAGAACATGTTGCTTGCTTGACTGACTTTCGGTTTCCACCAAGCTACCAAAGTTGCGACTAGTTTCGAGCTCGTTATCCTGGTCTGCACAGATGTTGGAAGACAAGAAGAACACAGTGTAAGCTCTGAACCTTAGTCGACTTTCGTTACGAGCCGTCGACAATTCATGCAATTGATGGAGAAACCTTCCACCGCATGAGTCCCGTCCTTCCGTGTGGAAACATTGTCTTTTATTCTTCCGGCTAGTTTTTTCTGTAGGGTCCTTGCAGATCCACAGACACTGCTGTCTAGCCGTCATGGAACGGCAGACAGCCAAAGAGTAGCATACGAAGCTGAGCGTTGCTCTTTGCTGTGTCATACACATTCGAGCTTGCTACCACCAAGCAAATTTCATATATGAAGGCGGCAGTCGATCATCATTTCTTCCAACCGTTCTTCATCTCAACTCCATCACCTACCTTCATCGCCTTTTCTACCTTGCCACTTCAACCCAAAACACCTACCTGAGTGCGGTCTAGTGTCGTTAGCTATGCACATCAACGAAACTGCCTTCGGCCAGTTGGCTCACAAGCTCAGCGGCGGCATGTTCTTTGCTTACCAGGAGCTCAGCGAACAGCTCCCCGCCGGCTGGCTTCAAGACAAGTCCGTTCACCTCGACCCCGAGGCTGTCGCCGACTGGAAATCCTGGGCAGCACGATGGGTCAATAGCCCCGCGACTGACCCTCTCAGCGACTCCACCCCCAACACTCTCTCTGGCGTCAATCCCGACACCCTTGTAGGCTGGTACGGCGACAATGATTCTGCCAACCCTCAAAACTGGAGCTCCGCCGAGAAAGCTTTTGTCGCTGGCCTCATCTGCCTCTACACCTTCACCGTTTACCTGGGCTCCGCCATCTACACTCCTTCCACTATCGGTGTGATGCAGCAGTTCGGCGTCTCGTATGCAGCTGCCAGTCTCGGTCTTGCTCTCTTCGTCTTCGGCTACGGCTCGGGTGCCATGATTTTCTCGCCCCTCTCCGAGATCCCTGTCCTTGGACGTAACTGGATCTACATTATCACCCTGTTTATGTACCTCGCCTTCTCGATTGGCGCTGCCGTCGCTCCCAGCTATGGTTCGCTCATCGTCTTTCGATTCTTGGCAGGTTTCGTCGGCTCGCCCGCCTTGGCTACTGGTGGTGCCACGCTTCAGGACATGTATAGCCTTGTGAAGCTTCCTTATGGTATTGCTCTTTGGGCTGCTGCCGCCAGTATGGGTCCTGCGCTCGGACCTGTCATGGGAGGCTTTGCCGTCGAAGCAAAGACTTGGCGCTGGCCTCTCTGGATTCAGGTCTGGTTTCTTGCACCGGTCCTGGTCGTTATGATCCTCATGCTTCCTGAAACCAGCCACGCCAACATTCTCCTTCGTAGGGCGCAGCGCTTGAGGAAAATCACTGGTTGCACAACGCTGCGCTCGGAGGCCGAGATCGAACAAGCCAAGCTCAGCACGCGCAAAATCGTCGTCGAGGCGCTCATCCGTCCCATTCAGATCTCCATCCTTGATCCTGGTACCGGATTCATGAATCTGTATGTGTCGTTAGTGTACGCTATCTACTACAGCTTCTTCGAGAGCTTCCCCCTGGTTTACCCGGTGAGCTACGGGTTCGGTTTGGGCACGACGGGTCTTACCTTTGTCTGTGTCGTTCTGACCACGGTTATGGGCGCTGCCGGCTACATGTACTACATCTACTACTACGTAGAGCCCAAAATCCGCCAGACAGGAAAGCTACCCATCCTCGAGTCTCGACTGATCCCTGCCATCCCAGCTAGCATCATCATGCCCATCGGGCTTTTAATCTTCGGCTGGGCTTCACGAGAGTCGGTCCACTGGATTGTGGGACTTATTGGATCCGGTATCTACAGTATCGGCTTCTACGTCTTCCTTCAGTGCGTCATTCTCTACATTCCTTTGGTTTACCCCAAGTACGCCGCTTCCCTGCTCGCAGCTAACGACTTCTGCAGGTCTACACTCGCGGCAGGATTCGTCATGTCCGGGCACCCCCTCTTCAAGAATCTCGGCGTTGGACCTGGTGTCTCGCTCTTGGCTGGCTTGACCGTCCTCTGTGTGCCCGCTCTCTTGCTCTTGTACAAGTACGGCGAGCTTCTCAGGTCCAAGTCCAAGTTCACCGAGAAGGAACGTGCCTCGTCCTCCAGCTCCACTGTTGCGCTCGAGGAAAGCAAGGACCCCGTTGCGTGAAGAGATGCAACCATCCTCACATCAAGTCTTGCTTCATCGCAAATACCAAGCTTTCAGACTTTCATGCCTTACCTTGGCTTGCATCTGATTTGTTCATACCCACTCAATCCTGTTCCATACATATATTGACTCTTAGATACTTCTCATCTTGGCATGGACTACAACCTCGCTTTCGTCATCGTTGCTCGCTTTCGTGCTGTAACATGAGTCGTTCCTCTTGACTCTGCCGGAATGCCTGCCTTCAGTCTCTTGTTCGTTCTGAAGACAAGATGTGAAGGGCGATAGGTCAGACGATGCTCAAAGTGTACCGGAGGATAGTGGTTGAGATCGAGCTGACTCGAGCGATGGACACGTTCCAGAACCTTAGACCGCTCTTCAGGAACAACACGCACGTGGTTGTCCTCCGCTTATACACGGGCCGATCCGCAGTGAAGGAAGGCCATCGCAGTCCTGCAACCGAACAACTATTGTAGTACGGGAACTTGTCAAACTCTCCATTTGGGGTTGGGGATGGATGCCGCCGGCACTGGGAGCGATGGCCAGGCAAGGTGAGCGAAACAGACATGCCGAAACATTGTCCACGTTCTTGCCGATGATGTGCACAATCAGACAGGCGGTGTCACGCCTGGACACTTCTCGTGCGAATACATGCCGCACAAGAAAGTTCGATTCCTATCATTGCATTGTACGGAAGCTAGTACTTAAACTAGCTTCCCTCTAGATCCTCCTTCCCGCAATCCACTTTGTAACACCATTACAACGTGCATATAGCCTGCGCATGTAACAGGCGGTCCATGCCGATCTACCGGCCTTCCTGACTGCTGAAATTTTCTTAATCTGGCCAATTCCTATTGGCGAAGCGATCCATCCCGCCGGCCATGTTCCGCAGGTCTGCATTTCGCTTGTCTGAGACACAATTTGTTCTCATGGGAAGATTTCACTCGCTTCTCAAGACCACTTTGACCTCGCAATCGTTGATCCTTCGAGCTCCTCTGGCCGCCTGTCTTGGTATTGACGGAGGTATAAAGTAGGAGGCGTTGAGACCGTTCTTCGCAAGTCCTCATCCTCACCTACAGTCGTTTTCCCATGCTAGCTTTGTTTCCGCGATGCAGCTCCCGACCAACCTCCTCGCCCTGCAAGCCCTCTTGGCCTCTGCAGTCTCCGCCGCGGCCTTGCTTCCCCGGGACACCACGCCTAGCAACACCTCTGCCCCAACCTCCACCACTCCCGACAACCCATTCCCCACCAACGTTGGCTACGCAGGAACCATCAAGCACGGCTCCCCACCCTTCCTAGCCGTTGAAGACCGCATCCCAGGTCAACTCAAGACTTCCATCGACACCCGGTTCAAGCCCATCCATGAATTCAAGGACGACGACTATAACATCTTCCACAACCTCGGTAACGAGTCTCCTTACTTCCCTTCGCCACTCTTCTCGTCTTTTCAGGAGAACAACACTGTGCTGCCTGAGAAGTGCACTGTGAAACAAGTGCACATCTTGCACCGTCATGGATCCCGCTACCCCACTTCCTCGACTACCGAAGGAGCTCCTTATTTCGGGGAAGTGATCAAGAATGTTTCACGTCTGAACAACCCCCAGTCAAACTTCAGCGCTTCGGGCCCACTTTCTTTCCTTAACGACTGGAAGTACGAGTTGGGAGCGGAGATCTTGGTCCCTGTCGGAACGCAAGAGCTCTTCGACTCTGGTGTCTCGCACTACTACCAGTATGGAAGGCTGTACAATGCGTCGAGCGACCGGAAGCCCGTGATTCGCACCACGAGCGAACAGAGGATGTTGGACTCTGCTCGATACTGGACCCTTGGCTTCTTCGGCTGGGATGCATCGACAAAGATCAATCTCGAAGTGATTCTGGAGGGAGGTGACGGACTGAGCACACCCGATGCGTTCAACAACACTCTGGCCTCCTACGACACTTGCAACAATTCGGACACGATCACTGTTGGTGACACGTACTTGCGTCCGATCTGGGATGGCATCTACCTGCCCAACATTACTCAGCGTCTGCAGCAGTACGTCAAGGGCTTGACCTTGAAGGATAAGATGGTATATGGTATGCAGAGCCTCTGTGCCTACGAGACTGTCGCTCTTGGCTACAGCAACTTCTGCGGCCTGTTCACCAAGGAAGAATGGGAAGGCTTTGAATATGACTTGGATTTGCAGTTTAGTGGTGATTACGGCATCATGAGTCCCAACGGTAAAGCACAGGGCATCGGCTGGGTTAACGAGTTGCTCGACCGTCTCACCAAGACTCCTTTCAACATCAGCACAATTACCACCGAGAACAGCACGCAAGACAGCAACCCAACCCATTTCCCTCTCGACCAGTCCATCTACGTCGACTTCACCCACGACGACATCGTCCTCTCCGTCCTCACCGCGCTCAACTTCACCCAAGTCGTGGGAGAGTTCTTGGACCCTCACTACCCCGATCCCAACCGTACTTTCAAGCTGAGCCACATCACTCCTTTCGCCGCTCGACTCGTCTTTGAGGTGGTGGATTGCGAAGGAAAGCAAGGGCAGTATATTAGAACAAAGCTCAACGATGCTGTCATTCCATACAGTGAAGCTCAGGGTTGTCCGGAGGGCAAGGCCCTTTGCCCGATGAAAGACTTTGTTGCGTTCCAGCAGGAGAATGCGTACAAGGATGCAAACTTTGGCAAGGCTTGCTTCGGAGTCAACGGTACTGATTTTACTATTACTGGCCCGGTGAGGAACGGAACTGTTTACTAGACGAGCACCTTTGGTCTTACATGCTGCATTAGAGCCTCGCTCGCTTCTTGGGCTTGATGGCGCAATCCATAAAACTTGTTCTTTCTTGAAATGCAAACATAGATTGCCTGACATCCTGAAAAGTGTGCGATGACTCGTCACTAGAGGACGACTAAGCGGCTTGGCCTGTAATGTCGTTGTGTGATGCCAGGACGATGATGCTGTTCAGATCAGGGTGGTATCCTGCGCCGTGCGCGTAGACTTGGCGTGGAGCGGAAATATCTTGGTGACTGCGGGGAAGCGTCAGTCAGCGTCCAACCTCTTGATATTTCCGGTTACTGCTCGAACCTTCATGCCATATGACGAGCAGATGATGGCTTCCGTTTGACCAACAGCATCCTGATGGACCGGCTGCTTCGGCTTTATCACTTTCCGAGTCAAAAGCTCGATGGTCTCGCCATTACGGTTCCAACACCAATCTTACTGGTAGCACACCATCACGGTATCGAACAATTTACACAGCTCCTCGCACGATGTTGAACAAGGGCGACAAGAAAGACAAGTCCAGTCCGCGCCAGAACAGAACCGACCTGCTCAAACCAGACTTGTCGCCGCACAAGCCTGTACACCCGCTTGGCTGTGACCCGCTGCACGGCCCATCTTTACCCAAACATATCGTCATCATCCTTGGTGTTGGACCTGGTCTTGGAATCTCGATCGCTCAAGTCTTCGCTTCTCGAGGCTACATCACTGCCATCCTCTCCCGAAGCAAAGATAGACTGTCTGCTTGGGCTGAAGAACTCCACACCACCGCCCTCAGATTCCGTAAAGAGAACGACCTCCCGCTTCCAGCTGAAGGAGAGAAGCTTTCAGCAGCATTCGCCTGTGATGCGCTGAACAACGAAAGTATCGCCTCTGCCGTTCAAGAAGTAGCTGTCCATTGGAAGGATAAGAAGATTGGCACTGCTTGTTATAATGCTTCCATTCGCAAGCGAGGTCCCTTTTTGGAGCAGAGGTTGGATCAGATCAAAGAAGCTGTACAGGGAAGCATTCTGGGCGGATTCAGTTTCGCTCAAGCCGTGTTGAGGCAGATGGAAAAAGGTGGGGAGGGAGGCAGTTTGTTGGTGACTGGTGCAACATCGAGTACAAGAGGAAGGGAAGGCTTTGCTGGTTTTGCTGCTAGTAGTAAGTTTCGCGCTTCCCACACGCTTCGACGACAAGGTAAGAGAAAGAGAGACATGCTGACGATCCTTGTGCACAATGATAGAATCCGGCCTGAGAGCAATGTGTCAATCAATAGCAAGAGAGTACGGTCCCAAATCGATTCATGTTGCACATGTCATCGTTGATGGACTTATCGAGTCGGATACTGCGTTGGAGTATCTGGGTATGCCCAAGGCAAGTCGGTTCCCTGATGGTTCGGTAGGTTCATACACCCCAGCTTTCTCATGTGACACAGAGGTACAGAGGAAGGAAGCTGACAAGTATGGTTGCGATGTGCATTACAGGCTCTACTGCCACCGCAGATGGCCAAGACGTGGCTTTTCCTTGCTCAACAGCATCAGTCGAATTGGACGTTTGAGATGGATCTCAGGCCTGCTCGCGAACATTGGTGATGGCGTTCTCCACACCAACATGGAAGGTCAAAGTGACAGCGGAAAAGCCTCAGAAAGTTGTTCCCTCGCCCACAGCGCTCGGATAGGAGCACACAAAGCATGGAAGCAGTCACATGAAAAATGTAAAGTGTTGAAAACGCTTATATTTTTTAGTGTGTCAATAACGACGAAGCATAGACAAGCGACGTCGCTACGATAGAAAGAGTAATTTGAGGTTGTGTGTGATGTTTGGGTTTGCCGATTTGGGCTGGTCGACGAAACTTTCGAACCGACTTGAAACGCAGAGTTGACGCTGATGCAGTCTTAGTGAGGACTGTTCGTTGGGGTAGAAGAGAACAATGACAACCAGGAAGGGACAATATGAGTGACATGTTCATATCGAGTAGAGCTCCACCACAACAGGTCGAGGTGTGAACACGTACCATCGCTTAAGACTAACTTCGTTATCGAGTACTTTGTACCCAAGCCGTTTGGGATGCTCTAGATTACGTCGACGGGGTGCAAACAGGTCACACCATCAACAAGGATGGGGTGAGCTGTTTACTTGGATCGGGCACGCATCTTTCTGCGCTTACGACGAAGTCTGCGCATACGCTTCTTCCTCCACTTGGCTCGCATGTTGACAAAGCTATGTGTGTGAGATGACAATGGTTGCAAATGCAATGAGAAAAGGTGCGAAGTGTGAGCGCACTGTTTTCTGTTATGGCTGAGGCGCTGGTCAAGAGGCTAGACTGCTGAAGTTGGTCCATCTTGTATCAAGAGGGTTGGTATATTCGCTGACGCTGACGAGCTGTCGTGCAATGTCGGTCATGCCGGGTGTCCCACATCAAATGGCTGCATTGCAATGCTCCTCGAAGTACGTCGATGTGATGGCTCCAGCAGTAGGCGAGCTCGATGTGTTGTTGAAATGGTACCTACCTGACTTGATCAAATGAGAGTTACTTGGTGGGAGGGAAGAGAGTGGAAGCAAGAATCGACTTGAGCTTTGTAGCTCACTCTCGCTCTCCAAACTCCACCTCTGGCTCAAAACCAGCCTCGACTTCAGTCTGCAGCGTCTCTGCCTCTAAAATTGGACGCACTGCGGTCATAGCACTCCGCCATTATTCCGCTAGCAGTGTGGCTTGAGCCTGGTCAGCTGGCCACAGTCTCGCTTAGTGATAGTTGGCCTGATCACCTGAGAACTTAGTAGGAATTTGCAGAAGATTTTGCTGCTGTAAATTTTGTTCCATGTGATGGCCGAGGTCGGCCGACTCCCGATTGTCATTTCAGTGAGATCGGGAAGAACGAACGCGAGTTTTAGAGCGGGTTTTTTTTTTTTTTCTTTTCTTCTTCGCTTGTGACATATATGTCGGCGTAACACCGGTGACTGTTACGATCTCGTCTGCTTGTCCCTGAACGGGGTCCAATTAGTCTGGGATCATTTGATGATGCGAAGGCACGGATATTCCGCTAACTAGAGTAAGCGCAGAAGATCGGTCACAGCCTTCGTATAACACCCGATACTATACAGCGCTCACTTGGTGGAAGGATCGAGCCTGTCTGGCACTTGTCGGTGGGGATGAAGTCCAGAGCCCCACAGATTGCGCAGTCGCTGCTGGTCAAAGTCGGGTTCAGCTACTATAATCGATCGCTCAGGGCGGTGTTGTGTCTTACGACGTGGCATACATGCCGGTTTGTTTGGTGAAGCAGCTCGGACCTGCCCAGTACACCTAGCAATGTAGTTGTCCTCTAACATATGTAACAGCCACACAGGAGGATTGGACTTTCTCTTTCGGAATCCCTTAAAGTGAATGTGGTCGTTGCGTCGAAAAACACATGACAGAGTCCGCTGTGAACGCAAATTATGCAACGATGCATGCAATGGTCGTGCAACAAGGAAGCGACGGTCCAGATGGTTTCGGTGTGGACCATGCTGATACGTGCACATGAGGTTATGGTGATGCTATATTGAAAAGGCAGTAAAGTACAATGGCGGAAAGAGAAGATCAGATAGTTAGAGTGACACCAACGACAGCATGCTTGGTTGCACGTGTGCTTTACACGGCGAATATCAAGCTAGCGCTGTGAATAAGCTTGACTGAAGGGGGAGCATTTGGTATACAAGGGTCCGGTTCGTGAGGATGGGTTAGGTGCAACTACGAATGCACAGACTCAGCGGATATATCACGACTGGGAGAGGCATTCATGATCGTTGCAAGCAGCTCACTCGCTGGCAATGAGCTCGCTGACGGTCCAGTCCTCGTAAGAGCCATCGGGGAGATATCGCCTGACGACTAATGGAATCTTCTTGGCTGCGAGCTCCTTCATGGCGATTTCGAGAGGGTCGGTCTCGCCTTCGGTTGGCACTAGGACAGGGGCGTTCATGCTGTGCCATCAAAGCGGGAAAAGTGATTGTGCAGACGTTGTCCAGTCAGCACGTAGTCTAGGAGTGCGAATCACACCTATCTGCGTTTGAATGGATGACGGGACTAGGGGATAACTTACGAGATCTGCAATGCACGGGTACCAAGAATCCTAGCACGCTCGTACTTGGTCATATAAGGGGTGGTAATGCGTTCCTGGTTGGCCTGACCAGCCATGGGTGTGGAGGGATCGCCACCTGCGGAAGAGTGAAAGATACCGTTGGCAGCAGCATCGGCGCCATCGTCAAACTGGTCCTCTCCAAGATCGTCGCCATCGTAAACGGGCTCCTCGTCCTCGTAGAAGCTGTTGTGCGCATAGACATATGAGATAGAGAGAGGGCGTCAGCCTCGCTAAATGTGTACAAGATTGCGCCTAACTGCATCGTTGCGATGATACTTACGTCTCTTCACCGCCGTCTTCACGGTCCGACATGATGCAGATCTAAGGGTTCAGATGGAGGCCTTGCAAGGTAAGAGTTCGAGATCAAGCGATCTGATGGGACAAGATGCAATGAAGAGCTGTCCCAGTGTGTCCTTGAGGGATGGAGTAGCACGTTGGGCGATGACGGAGGGGTGTTGAAGCTTGCGGAAGGCTGTTTGTCGAGGGATGTCGCTCGATGTTGAACAGCGATCAACAGGAATTCGAGATGAAGAAGTCAACTTTTGCAACAAATGCCGATAGCCGAAATTTTTGACGTGTGGAGAAAGGCGATCTGATAGAGAGATCGGGCCAGTGCGAATCGGGGAAACGTGAATGCCAAACGCAAAATGTCTCGGCTGGCGTCAAGACGAGCCTTTGCTGGTCGCCTTGTGAGACTTGATTGTTCAGGCAAAGGGTATCAATCGGCTGAGGTGATCCCATTCAACGACTGAAGATGAAGTTGATGGTGCTCCGAAGCGTTCTTACTCGGCATGAAGGAGGCGCGGTTGATTCAGCGAAGGATGCGTTCATGCTCTCGATGTCATCAAGACTGGCGGGCAAAGACTAGCTGCGGCTAGACACGTTGCACAGCGGAAGGCAGGCATTGTTCCTGCATCCAGCAATTGATGCAATGAAAGCAGAGACGGTCGGAAGCGGCTCCGAGTTCTCGATGTCGCAGACTTGGACTTGCCCTTTGTGCTTGCTCACTCTGCATTTCTGTCGGTCACTTGACAATGCAGAGGAGCTCTTTCGGCAGGAGTAATGAGCATACGGGCATCTGTCGACCTTTGCTGTTCAGAGAAATATGGAAAGCCGGCAGAAGGGAGCCAAGGGCAAGTGTCACGTGAGAATTCACATTTTGACAGCGGAAGTCGAATTGGGCGAAAAATCACATAAGTTTGGCTTCTGAATAGAGCTCAGCTCTGTCGGCCATTCTTGCCCTGACAGTCGCCGCATCCCGAGCGGAAATTTGGCGTCGGAACTCGGATGCAGTGGATTCTACACTCTGAGGGGATGCAAGGAGCATGCAGGTCGTGCAGACCTTCAGAGTGCAACACCTGGAAGGCGATCCCCTTTGTTCGACTCTTCCGCACAAGTTGCACTTTGCTTTTGTCGCTGGCAAGCCAAACAAGTCGCCTGGACCACTTCTTCTCTTCCTGCTCACCGAGAGAATCTAGCGTGCAGCGGCGTCGAAGCCCATCTTCGCTACGACCCACACGCAACCTGTTGGCACGCTTGCACCCATACCTCCTCCATCGGTCCTGCCAAACCCATTATTAGCGGACGCAGCGCGCTAACCTCTTCATCCATTCTTAGTGTGGAATCAGCCTCATCTTGCCTATTCTGACCCACCATCACCTTACCCCATCTCTCTCTCTCTCTCTCTCTCTCTCTCTTACACACACACACATCCTGCGACTCCCGTCGACCAAATCACGGTTCCAAGCGATCCAAGAGCTCCAGGCCATGAGCCAGTATAACCGCCAGGGTGGCTCAGGCTACCGGTACGATGAATATGGAGGTCATAATTCGCAATACACCGAACAGCCATCCCATGCTGACTACTCATCCGAAACGTATCACTCCGAACAACAAGGTTATGCTCAGCAGCAATCCTACAACAATTATGATTCGCCGCAGCCCGAGTACCAGTCTGCGCCGATCAAGCCTCAAAGGTATGTCAAAGCACCGCCTTTCGTGCGCTGACTTCATTTCGGCGCAGGCGCTTGAACCCTGAGCCAGCTGACTGACCCCACTTTTCGCGTTTACCCTTTGTGCGCTGCGCCCCTCTTACAAACAGACAACCATCCAGACTGCGATCCAACTCTTCCTCTAGTCGATCTACTGCTCACACTCCTGCCACTTACAACCAAGAGATCCCACCCGTGCCATCCAACTTGTCGGCAGCGAGACAGCGTTCAGCACCCCGCAACAACCAGCTTTCCACCTCGGCTTCCTACAATCAGGACGGCTTCTCTCGGCCCTCATACCATTCCAACCGCAGCGGTCCTACCAACCATCCTAGTCAGTGGGATCCCAACGCATCCTACGACGCCGCTCACACATCACCTCTCTACGACCCTGCGCCATTGCCAGCGCCAGCACAGTATCAAGCTGACCTCTCGCAGCACAGCATCGATCTAGGCGCCCGTGACCCTACCTATGACGAGCGAACCATGCAGCACAATTACCCGTACGCAGGAGCTGCTCCTTTCGAGCGTTCAAACAGCTACCAGTCTGGCCATCCAGGTGGAAACGGATATCACACTGTAGACGACGAGAAGAGTGTCTACTCGAAGAACAGCACACACCTTCCCGCAGCCTGGAACGGAAGCGATCAGGTCAATCACTATCCTGAGATGCCAGCGGCCCACTCCACCCTCCATCTCGGACAACCCGGCTACCCACCCACACCCTATGGCGACTATGGTCACCGCCCAGGGCCAGGCATGCCTGAGGGGCACGTTCCATTTAGCGGTCTCGGAGCGGCTGGTGTTGTCATCGCCCCTGCACCCATGCACACGCTTCAGCACCAAAACTCGAGCTTCCAACGTGAGAACCGCGAACGCATCATGCGCAAGCGCACCGTCAAGCGCATTCCTCTCCAAGACGGCAACCTCGTCCTCGACATTCCCGTCGCCAAAAGCATCAGCAAGTCCAATAGCAACAACCCCGAGTTCCGCGAGATGCGATACACTGCTTGCACAACCGACCCAGACCAGTTCATCGAGGAAAAGTACACCCTCCGTCCCTGGCTTTATGGCAGAGAAACCGAGATGGCAATCGTTCTCACCTGCTACAACGAAGATGACGTCCTCTTTGCCCGCACCATGGGCGGTGTCATCAAGAACATCGCTCACCTTTGCGGTCGAACTCGCTCCAAGACATGGGGACCCGACGCATGGAAGAAGGTCGTGGTCATCATTGTAGCCGATGGACGAAAGAAGGCCAACGAGCGCATGCTCAAAGCGCTCGGTTTGATGGGTTGCTACAACGAAGGTGTCATGAAGGATCACGTTCTCAAGAAACCAGTCGAGGCCCATATCTTCGAGTACACCACTCGCGTTCAAGTCACTGAAAAAGGCGAGGTTCAAGTCACACCCTGCCCTGTTCAGGTCGTCTTCTGTCTCAAGGAGCAGAACAAGAAGAAGCTCAACTCGCACAGATGGTACTTTAACGCTTTCTGCCGCATGCTTCAGCCCAACGTCTGCATTTTGCTCGATGTCGGCACTAAGCCGACGGCCACCTCGATCTACGAGCTCTGGAAGAGCTTTGACAAGCACCCTCACGTCGGTGGAGCCTGTGGAGAGATCTGCGTCGACACAGGTCGAGGCTGCGTATCCCTCTTCAACCCCTTGGTCGCCTCACAGAATTTCGAGTACAAGATGTCCAACATCCTCGACAAGCCCACCGAGTCGGTCTTTGGCTTCATCTCGGTCTTGCCAGGTGCCTTCTCGGCGTACCGATACAAGGCTTTGCAAGGCCGACCGCTGCAGATGTACTTCAAGGGTGAAAAGCTGCACTCGGGCGAGGGAAGCAATTCCATCTTCTCCGGCAACATGTATCTCGCTGAAGATCGTATTTTGTGTTTCGAGTTGGTCACCAAGGAACGCGAAGGATGGCTTTTGAGATACGTCAAGTCGGCCAAGGCGTACACAGATGTGCCAGACAAGGTGCCTGAGTTCATCTCGCAGCGCCGACGATGGCTCAACGGTTCGCTCTTTGCATCCTACTATGCTACATGGCATTGGTACCGCATCTTCAAGTCAGGCCAGCCTTTCCTCCGCAAGCTCTGGTTGCTCTTCCAGGTCATTTACGGCTTGATTCTGCTTGTCTTCAGTTGGTTCGCCCTGGCCAACTTCTTCCTGGCTTTCTACTTTTTGCTCAACTCGGCTGTCAGCACTAACGGCAAGGATCCTTTCGGAGGACAGGGTGCTGCTATCATTGAGATCTTTCAAAACATCTTTATCGCTATGGTCATCGTCGTCTTGGTCTGTTCGCTTGGCAACCGACCTCAGGGATCTAACTTTGCCTACACTTCGGCCATCGTCATCTTTGCGCTTATCATGGGGTTGGCGCTGTACGCAGCAGGTTTCACCACCTACTTGGCGCTCAATGCTTCTGGCCTCACACACCGCAGCGGCTGGCGCATCGACAACCTCGAGCAGCTCTTCAAGACTTCTGGTTTCCGCGACATTGTCGTCTCGCTCGCCGCTACCTACGTCATGTGGTTGGTCTGCTCGATCTTGCACTTTGAGCCGTGGCACATGCTCACCTCGTTCGTCCAGTATCTCTTCCTCACACCGACCTACATCATCATCCTGTCGATGTATTCGATGTGCAACACCAACGATCTTTCCTGGGGTACCAAACAGTCCAACGGTCCTGCCACCGATTTGGGTGGTGCCACTGGCTCCGCATCCAAGCAGGACGGCAAGGGACAGATGGTCGAGGTCAAGATCCCAACGTCGGCCGAAGACGCAGAAGACCTCTGGACGCACTATCGACAGACCCTCTCACAGCCCGTTGCCGAAGTCAAGCAGAAGCGAGACAAGGCGACAAAGCAGGAGGATCACGCCAAGAACTTCCGAACCAATCTGGTGCTCGTCTGGATGTGCACCAACGCTGTCGTTGTGATCGTGTTTACGAGTACTTGGTGGAACAAGTATGTTCGCAACCACATCTATGCCGATGCTGTGCGTAGGGGTGAGCCAATCATCAACCCTTACCAGACGGTCATCTTTTGGTCCACTGCTGGTCTCTCGGCAGTTCGCTTTGTCGGAAGCATTGCTTTCCTCATTATGCGCATGTTTGGACACTAGACGGTCCCCTTCTCTGTAGTCTCGCTCGCTCGCTCGCTCGTCTGCACTGCTCTATCTGTCATTATATTGATATCCTGTACTGATGCGTGAATCCGGTTCACAGTTGAAGCTATGCTAACACCGTTGTGTCTGAGCTACGTTCTAGCTTCACTTTACACAAGTGTATCGTAAGGGCAATGCTCAATCTTAATTCATTGTGCAAGAGTAACTACATGTCTATATATACCTTATGATCACTCCTAGCACTTGTTTTGATCCTGTCAAACAGGTCATGTGTTTTGCATGCTATCCTTCCAATAAGACTCCTGACTGATTGCTGGGCCAATCAGCATGTGTCCCACATGCATGTTGCTTGGCCTATCATGTGGCTCAGCTTCCATTGCTCAGCCTTCATGCATCTTGTTCACCAACTCTCAGTTTGCTTGATGCTTGGATAATCCTTCTGTTAATCCTGTCACATCTTCAACTCCCCCCTTTGATGGCATTACCAGTCCTATGGATCAGGCTAATTGGGATGTGTCTACCCCTTTCAATGGCTTTGTCAGGATGTCCACCACATTATTGATCATGCCCATGAATTCAATCAAGATGTTTCCCTCTTGTGTATGATCTCTTATGAAGTGGTACTGTGTGTCAATGTGCTTGAGTTTCCAGTGTTTGGCCAGATCCTTGCTGACCTGTATACATCCTTGGCTATCTGTTCAAAGCACTGGTTTGACATCTTCTATCCCCAGATCCCTTAACAGATATGAGAAGAAAAGGGCCTCTTATGCTGCTTCAGATGCTGCCATGAATTCAGCTTCTACTGCTGATAGTGCCACACATTTTTGCATGTGCAATCACCAACTCACTGGACACCCATATATGTATGTGATCACTCTGGATGTGCTTCTCCTCCCATTGGTGGCATCTGATGCCCAGTTTGTGTCTGTGTATGTCACCACTGCTTTGTCTTTGTGATCACCTGATCTCCTTCCCAAGTGTAGTTGGTACTCACTCATCTGATTTAGATACTTGAGCATGTGGATAGCTGCCTTCCATGCCCCATCTGTCAGCATCAACATGTGTCACACCAAAATTCCTACTGAGAAAGCAATGTCTGGTCACATGGTGTTGGACACCCATAGTAATTGTCCCACAAGCTCCTGATATCTCTTGCTCTGTGATGGTGGACACTTATCTCCTTTCATGGTATTGACTATGCTTTGCATAGGCACCCAGGACTTATCATTTGACCTTTCTAGCCATTTGCTTACCATTGCCTGTATGTATGCTGTTATATCCAATGATATGTTACCCTGCCTTCTGTCTTGAGTGATTTTGATACCCAGGGATTCCTTGATTGGTCCATTATCTTGCATTCCCCACTTTCTCATGATCTCTGCCTTGGCACAATCCACTTCTTTTCAGCTTGGTGACACTATGAGCATGTCATCTACATATGCCATAATGATTGTGATATTATCTGCTATCCCCCTAGTGTACAGACATGGGGCACTTGGCATGCAATAAAAACCAATACTCCTAAAATGTGAGTCCAATTCATTGTTCCATTCTCGCCCTGATTGCTTTAAGCCATATAGTCCTTTCATGAGCTTAAGCACCTTTCCTGGTGGCACTTTGGTTCCTACCAGTGGTTGCAAATAAACATTGTGATGCAAACTTGAGTTTAGATATGCCTTTTTTGACATTGACTGTATCTACCTCCCAGTTCCATACCACAGCAAGGGCCAATACTCCTCTGATGGACTGGATCGGTGCTACCAGAGTGAAGATTTCCATGTAATCCACACCTTCCTTCTGAGTGAAACCTCACACCATCAGTCTAGCTTTGAACTTCATTGGCACTAGGTTTGCATTGGTCTTGACCTTGAGGACCCATTTGGTATCAATGGTGTTTACACCTGCTGGGAGATCTGTGACCACCCATGTATCCATTGCTTTTAATCTGTCTAACTCCATTTGCATCACTTCCTTCCATAGTCTTTTGTCCAGTCTGGCCAATGCTTCCTGAACAGTCAGATCAAGGTTTATCCTCCTTTTGTTTGTGCTTGTTGCCACTAGTCCAAATGTATTGTTATTTGCCTGAACCTTGTAACTTGTCTGATCATCAGCCTCTTGGTCTGCATCCATGTTTGTGTAGTCATCCAGTGGTTCTTGATTGCTTTCATGAAACAGGGTTTCTTCTGAGTACTGTAGATCTTTGGGGTCTTCTCAACTGTTAATGTCAGTGGCAACAACACATTCATTGGTTGCCACTCAGTCCAGTCTGTCCAGTGCTTTGATTCTAAGAACCTTGCTGAGTTACTCCAGAATATGTTTGGTCTATAATCTGGGCTGTAGAACAGCCATCCTTTTCTTTCTAAACTATATCCTATAAAGATGGTGGCAGTTGCATGCTGATCTAACTTCACAATGTCTTGCTTGGCCTTTGGTACATTTACCCATGCAAGACATCCAAAGACCCAGAGGAGTAGCATAAACCATTTCACAGTCTTTCCAAACATCACTTCATATGGAATTTCTTCATCAACATTTGGAGTTAAGTTTATCTTGAAGGCAGCTGCTCAGATTGCATATGGCCAAAAACTCTTTGGCAGTCCTCTTTGTACCAATAGCATTCACATCTTTTCATTTAAACTCCTATTCATTCTTTCTACCCAACTGTTCTGTTTGCTGTTGTACCCCACAGTTGCTTGCCACTCGATTCCTTTATCTAGTGACCATTCTAGAACTTCATTACTTTTCCATTTGGTCCCCTGATCAGATCAGATTGCCTTCAAGTTTCTTCCTGTCTGTGTTTCAAGGAATGAGACTATTTTCTTGAGTTGCATAAAAGCTTGATTCTTTTGCAATAGTGGCTGTACATACACATACTTGCTATGATCATCCACCAACACCAGTGTGCATGTGTGTTCTGTAATGTGCAATGAATCAATGATCAAGTCTATGTGTATGAGGTTGAGTGGAGCAGTGGCTCTTTCCCTGCTCCCTTGCCCCATTCATGCAATTGTGCTTTTGGACTTTATACACTGCTCACATGTCAGAGCTGTATCTGGGTCCATTTCCATTGTCACTTCACCTCCTAGCTTCTTAACAATTGCTCTAGCCTTGTCTCAACCTGGATGTCCTAGACATTTGTGCCAGAGTTGCTGTGCAGAGGTTCTGGGTTTTGTATTGAATTGCTCATGACTCTCACTGACACCTTCAAATGGTTGAGTTGATGTTACCATGGCTCCCTGTCACCATGTGTCTCCTTGCAATTCTAGTAGTCCATGGTCATGATCCTTTGATATTTTGAGCAGTGTTCCATTTGCTAGATATATCTGCCCACCCATGTGGTCTAAGATCACTTGTGCTCCTTCATCCATTAGAGAGTTGGTTGATAACAGATTAACATTAAGATTTCTAACATACAAAACATTCTGGAGGAAAACATCTCCATGTGCAGTTGATATGTTGATGTCTCCTACAGCAGTTGCCTCCAAAACTTCACTTCCTGCAGTGAAAACATGCTTCTGGCAAGTTTTTGGATTGATGAGAATGCTGTGGTTGTTAATCATATGAAAACTAGCTCCTGAGTCTAGGACCCAATGGTTTATGTCCTTCTGACTTGGGTGTTTTCACCAACACAGGGTGAAGGAACACCAGATCTCCTAACTGGTTTCTGTGAGAGGTGAGTTTTCAGGGATGCTGACTGAAGCATTGCACTGTTTAGCTCCATGTCCAATTTGCTTACACACATAGCAGCAGATCTTGTGGTGTTTGCTCCATGTTGTTTTGGTGCCATTGGCATCTGTCTCTTTGGCTGAATCACCTTGCTCAGTGCTACTGGTGATTCTAGCATTGGCCTGCTGAGGGTCCCATTTCTGTGTGGGTACACTCTCAATTGCTGACTGACATGTGCTGAGTGCAACAGTGAGGGCATCAAAGTTGAGATGGTGAACTGTTGCAATGGTGTCCTTGTATACTGGGTGTCAAATGGTGCACTTCTGGAGGGTGGAGAACAGGGTATCATCTGCAAATGGCCTTCCCAGAATACTGCTTTTGGCCTGGATGGTCCTGATCTCCTGGATGAGTTTCTGAGCATCAGAGTTGAACATCCTGACATCACCCAGCTGAGTGATGAGAGCAAGTTGGCAGGAGCTCCTCGTGGCCTTGCTGCCCAAGCCATTTTCGATTTTCTTCCAAACCTGATGGAAGGTCAGGTATTCCTTGATGATGTCGAGGAGAATATAGTTGATGTTGTATTCTCCTGTGGCATCAATGGTACCTTGGGTGGCATTCATCAGGGCATCATCAAAGGCATGGCTACATCTTGGGTGACTTGCATTGTATGTTCCTTCAAGGTGCTCTATGGTGTGTGGCACTGATTGGAGGAAGGACTTGATGTGTGCACTCCAGCTATGATAGTTCTGGGAGGTCAGCTTGGGCACTGGTTTGAGGAGCTTTGCCAGAGTACAAAAGTTGTATCAGTCACCAACATCATCATTGTCAGAGTCAGAGCCTAGTTCTTCCTTGCCTTTGCCTTCATTGGCTATGTTCTTGGCTTGGGCTTGTCATATGATGATTGCTTTCTTTCCACCTCTCTTCAATCTCTTGGCAATCTTGCTGGCACCAGCTTGAGGGTCATTCTCTTCAACCATGGTTAGTTGGTTTGTTGTCCAGCTGTGGCTTCAGACTCTTAATCAGTTGAAGCTATGCTAACACCATTGTGTCTGAGCTACATTCTAGCTTCACTTTACACAAGTGTATCATAAGGGCAATACTCAATCTTAATTCATTGTGCAAGAGTAACTACATGTCTATATATACCTTATGATCACTCCTAGCACTTGTTTTGATCCTGTCAAACAGGTCATGTGTTTTGCATGCTATCCTTCCAATAAGACTCCTGACTGATTGCTGGGCCAATCAGCATGTGTCCCACATGCATGTTGCTTGGCCTATCATGTGGCTCAGCTTCCATTGCTTGGCCTTCATGCATCTCGTTAGCTGACTCTCAGTTTGCTTGATGCTTGGATAATCCTTCTGTTAATTCTGTCGCATCTTCAACTCAATGACTATCATCTGCGTGGTTATTCTAGAGTCTGCCATCTTGTGCTTGGACTGTGAGAGACCCTGAACTGAGTCTCACAAAAAATGAAAATACTTTCGAAGAAATCAAGAAAAATCAGTTGAAGGTAGTTGAAGAGTTTTTGTTGATGATGGTAAGAGAGAGAGAGCGAGAGAGCGAGGAGTCTATATATACAAAAGAAGAGCGGCAGAGAGCCGCATTGACTGCGGAACATAACAAAGCATTTGTCTTGAGTAGGTTGTGACACATGTGGTCCGTGCTAAGATGCTCAGGCCTTTTACTCGGCCGTAAGCACTACCTTCACTGTCTCTACGCTTTGTGTAGCTTTATCTACTTCAACTCCCCCCCTCAACAGTATATGTACCCTGTTCATTATGCTGTTGTTTCAAGGTGTGACCTCCGTTCTTCAACACTGTCGCATAGCTCGGGGACCCCGTTTCGTACACTGCTGCCGGTATTTGCAGGTGTAGCCCAGATCTTGCTTGCTGCATTGCCTGTCTCCCAATGGGCTTTGTGAGTACGTCTGCCAAGTTTCTTGTGGTGTCTACGTACTTGATCTGCACCCTTCCCTCTTGGACGTTGTTACGGACGAAGTGATACTTGGTGTCAATGTGCTTAAGCTTCCAGTGCTGTGCTGGGTCCTTACTGACCTGTATGCAACCAGTGTTGTCCGAGTAGACCGTCGGTGTGCCTGTGGCAATGCCAATTGAGCGTAGCAGCTGCTTGAGGAAGAGCACCTCACGTGTTGCTTCCATGGCTGCAATGAACTCTGCCTCGACAGCGGACAATGACACGCATTTTTGTGTCGCTGACTTCCAGGCTACTGGGTTCCCATACACTAACGCCACTGACCCCGATGTGCTTCTTCTCTGTATGGTGGCATCGCTTGCCCAGTTTGCATCGCTGTGTGCAACCAGTGGCTCTTGCGACTCACTTGCCCTATAAACCAATCCAACCTGCCTTGTGCTTTCGAGGTAGCGTAAGACCCTTTGTGCTGCCTGATAATGCTCCTGTGATGGTTCACGCATGTGCCTAGCGAGAACACCCACGGTAAGGCTAAGGTCGGGCCGGGTGCTGTTGGCAACCCAGAGCAGCTTGCCAACAATCACCAGATACTCCTTCTGTTGTGCTGCGCTTGCGACAAGGGTTCCCTCCGGTATGCTCTGCATTGGAACCATGGTCGGCTTCGTACGTTTGTCCAGGTGCTTTGCCAGCACTTGGTCAAAGTACCCTGACTGACCAATCGTCATGGTGTGCATTGCACGGTCTCGACTGATTTTGATGCCCAGGAAGTGAGAGACCTCACCGCTATCTTCCATCTTCCATCTCTGACCAATCTGCTTCTTAACCTTTAGGACCGTTTCCAGCCGTGGTGCTATGACTAATGTATCATCGACGTAGATGACCACAATGGCCATATCTTCACCCTGTCCCTTGGTGTAGATGCAGGGAGTGCACTCTACCTGGAAGAATCCCATGCATCGCAAAGACCTGTCGAACTCCTGATTCCATTCTCACCCAGACTGCTTTAGGCCATATAGACCCTTGACTACCTTGTACACCTTGCCGGGTGCTACACCTGATCCTTCTGGCGGCTTCATGTAGATTGCTTCCTTTAACGTGGAGTTCAAGTAAGCCATAGTGATGTCCAGAGCATGTACCTCCCAGTTGTTCTGCACCGCTAGTGCTAAGATGGCTCTGATCGCTCCGAGGGGTGCTACTGGAGAGAAGGTTTCTTGGTAGTCGATCCCCTCTCTCTGTGTGAAGCCCCTTGCAACCAGTCGCGCCTTGTGCTTAACAGGTACACCATCAGCGTCAAGCTTCAGCCGAAGCACAACCTTAGAGTCCACAAGTGGTACTCCTGGTGGTTGGTGCACCACCTCCCAAGTTCCCATTGCCTCGAGTCCTTCTAGCTCCTTTCGTATTGCCTCCTTCCAGAGCTGGGCGTCCTCACTGTTCATTGCTTCCCCAAGCGTTGGGTCCAGGTTCAGTATTGCTGTGTTGGTAGCGCCTACTGTGCTGTCTACAGCTGGTAGGAGATCCTCCACTGCGGCCTCTGATTTGGTCTCCTCCTCCACTATGGCTGGCCTGACACCCTCCTCCTCGACCTCCGCGGTCACCACGGGCCTGACTGCCTCTTGTTGGCGATCACTCCATACTTTGTCCTCATGGAACGTTGCTGAGTTGCTCCATTGAATTGATGCGGGCTGGTCCGGGTTGCAAAACTTCCATGCTTTGTGTTCGTCGTCATACCCAATCATGATGGCTGGCTTTGCTCTAGCCCCATACTTGCCTTGCTGGTCCTTCTGTTGAACATGAACCCATGCCAAGCATCTGAAGACTCGCAGCTGCTGGGCCAGCTTGTGCGCAGTGGTTCCATAAAAGGCCTCGTGGGGGATGGTTTTGGTGGCTGACGGGGTAAGGTTCATCACATGTGCTGCTGCTGTGATTGCATACAGCCACAACTCTCTGGGGCAAGCTCGACCAATCAGCATCGAGCGCATCTTTTCTTGGACCGACCTGATTGCTCTCTCCGCCCGTCCATTTTGGATGCTGATCCCCGGGACACTCTTTTGCCACTTGAAACCCTCTTGAGTTTGCCAGTCTTCGGCTACTATGCTGCACCATTCTCCTCCATTGTCGCTGCAGAGTGTTTTGAGTTTCCTGTCCATTGCCCATTCCATCCTGGCTATCCACCTCCTCAGCGCCGTGAGTGTGGCACTCTTTGTGCAGAGTGGTTCCATGTAGATCAGAGAGGAGAAGTCGTCCACAGCAACTAGTGCATAGTGGTAGTTGGCATGTCCTTTGAAATCTGTCATCAGGTCTATGTGTACCAGCTCTAATGGTGCCTCCATTCTTTCCGACTCTGATTGGCCCATCCGTGCTCGAGTCTGTTTTCCTTGGCTGCATGCATTACAGTGCTTCGACTCATGTTCCATTTCCTCGTTGGTACCTAGGTAATGAGCCCGGATTTGTCTCGTTTTGTCTCGTCCTGGGTGTCCGAACCTCTCATGCCATAGGTAGCTGTCTCGATGCTTCGTGTCCTTATTGCCCTCCGGGGCATTATCTAGTCTTCCTGTGTTCTGGTTGTCCACTGGGACATTGTCTGGTGTTCCTGTGTTCTGGTTGTCCTCTGGGACATCATCTCGTGTTTCCTCCAGTTCCAAAGCCAGTGCTTGTCCTCGCACTTTGAAGTGACCCTGTCTTCTGTCCCTTTTGAATTGTACTTGGGTACCATCGTTCTGCTTTATGGTAGTTCCAAATTCGTCAAAGATTACTTGTGCACCATTCTCGATCAAGCCTTGTATGGACAATAAATTAGCATTCAGTTTCGGTACATAAAGCACATCCAATAGTTGGATGGTGGCCTCACCGACCCGAAGGGAGGCATCTCCTATAGCCTTCACCTGAAGCTTTTCGTCCCCCGCTGTACTGATTTGGCCGACCTTGTTCATCGAGGTGAGCAGCATTCTCTCATCATTTACCATATGATGGGTTGCACCTGAATCGATGATCCAGGTGTCACATGCTGATCGCTCGCCCCTGTCGACTGCTAGGAAGGTGCACCCGAGTTCCTAGTGGTTCACCTCTTGTGTCGTATGGGCAACAGGTTCGCTTGTGCCTGGTGCATTTGTGCAATTTCAAGCAATGTGATTCGGTCCTCCACAAGCGTAGCACTTTGGAGGGGCCAAGGGATTGTGAGGATCGCGCCTGCCCCTGGGTCCTTGCCCCGCCTGGTTGGCACTCCCCTGTTCCATGCTTGTGGCGACCCTTGCTGCTCCTCTAATACGGCCAGTGATCTCACCATCCTGCTGTTTCTTGGCAAGTGCATGGTAGGCTTCGTCATACTTGCAGTCTGGTCTGGCCGTCTTCAGTGCATTGACAGTGTTGGCATAGAACCAATCTTGAGCCATGCAGCGATAGAGAGTTGATTTCTTGAGGTCCTCATCGAAATGCTTTCCGAGGCGTGCCGCATCGTTCCAGATCGAATCGAGTTCCTTGCCTAGCCTGACAACATCTTGATTGTGCAAGCGCGCTGTGTGGATACGATCCTGCAGTCCTGCTCGCTTTACAGCATCGTTTAGTGTTAGTGCCTTCTTGAGTTTGGCATAGAGTGTGCTGCCAAGTTGAATTTCTTCATCCGCCCCTCTGACAGTGTAGGTGTCGATGCGGCTATCCGGGCTGTTATCGCAGCAGGCGTGGATGAGGCCCACGAGTGCCTTGTCTAGGTCTTCATCGTATTCCTCGCTCCCGGGTACAATGGTACCATATGTCAGGGGTCTCGCGCCTGAAACCCAGGTTGGTCTGTCGAGATACTCGGTGACTATTAAACTGTGTGACAGCTATTGTCTCGAGATACTCGGTGACTATCAAGTTGTGCAGTGACAGCAGGTGGCGTTTGTTGTATATACTATCGTAGGTTTCGGCTGACCTCTGTGGACACTCCGTTCAGGGGTAGCTCGGCACGATCAATATCAATGTTATGATGACACCAAGGTCTGGTGTGAGTGTTGATGATGATGAGGTTGATGGTGTTAGTGATGAGATTGGTGATGTCGGTGATAATGA